TTCTTTTTTTTTTTTTTTTTTTTTTTGTTTTTTTTTTGTTTTTTTTTTTTTTTTTTTTTTTTTTTTTTTTTTTTTTTTTTTTTTTTTCTCTATTTAATTCCCGCGCAAGTTGTCGAAAATTTGGCGAGCCTTCTACATATCGATCAATGGATTATTTGACCTTCTCTCCACGGCCTGTCAAACATCAATCCAGTCTTGGGGACTGAAAACGTCACCTATTACTCCGCAACGCAAGCATTCAAGCAATCCTCTTAGCTTCGGGACAAGTAAAAGCAATGCATATTTCGTGCACTCCTCCTGAGACGCAATTTCATATTCTGGTGGGTCTCGGAGTCTTAGCGAACCCAATCCAAACGTCGGAGCATACAAATTTGAATTCGCCATTTCAATGGATCAGGATATGCTGTTGTTAATGCAAAGCCTCCCGCCGGGTTGTTAAAAATGGGTCCATCATTCTAATTATATTCCGTACGTACAATTATAATTGCTCTAGTGAGATACCTATATTGTATACACCTGGCACCTGGGCACATAGTTCCGCAAGACACCGTGAGAAGAGACTTTTAAGGATTTTGATTCTAAAGATTCCATGATTAAGCGATTGAAAACGTCCGACTCTTCCAAGGTCAATCAAACAGCCCGACTTTTTTTCCCGCAAAGCCCAACGCCCCGAAAGAGGCGGTGACACCAGTGAAGACGATGAGGCCACCGAAATTTGTCCCATATCCCATCCCAGCGGTGCTGCCGGCCCAAGGCCATTCCGCGTCAATCAAAGCTGCACTGATTGGACCGCACACGATGGAGCCAACTCCTCGACTAGCAGTCAAGATCCCGAGGAGCAGGCCCCCTGGGGCTGATTCATCGGCGTTCCTTACTATCTTGATAATCCCCGGCCATGTCGCGCTGGCACTGCCAGCCACGATTCCGTATAGAACGGCAAAGACACACAGCGGTGGCAAAGACGTTGATAGGCCCCATATCACAAAGACCCCCACAACAGTGCATAAGGTAGTGACAAATATTACGTTTGCAGCATGCCAGTGATCGACCAAGTAACCCACCAGCACAAATCCGATCACCGTACCTGCATTCAGCGATGTTAAAGGGGCCGTAGTTCCGACGTCGCTGGCTCCCACCACCATCCGAGTATAGGTTGGCAAGTAGAGCGAAGGTGCGAAGTACCCTATACTCTGAAGCCCGCTTCCAACTTGAAATACGATGAACGCTGGCGAGTGCAGGAATTTGAAGCTCAGGTTCTGTGGTCTTGGGGCAATGTCGTGCCCGATCGGTGTGCGCGGCTTCACAAATGGCAAAAATGGGCACACTAAAAGGATCATACCGACGGACCAGGCCCACATGGTGACTTTGAACGAAAATCGCGAGAGCGCCCAGCGGAGCAGGAGTGGGAACACTGTTCCAGCCACACCACTTCCAGCCTAGAGTCGATCAGTTCACCCTTTTCCGAGACACCGTACGCGTGTGATCTGCTTACCCAGGCTACCCCGTAGGCAAGGCCTTTCTTTTGGACGAACCACTCATCGATGAAAATGAGAACTGGGTAATATAACATTGAGGCCCCGATCGGATATATTATGCCCTGCGTCAGGATTAGGTGCCATGCATGTGTGGCAAAAGAGGAGGCTAGAGTGCCGATCACAGCGATTGCGAGGCCAAGCAGACAGTTGATGCGGAATATGTGTGGCCAGCGATGAAGAAAGAACAAAGTGACCGGTGACGCGAGGTAAAGAACACCCTGCACAGATTGATGAGTTAAGGATAATTGCTGGAAAGGGCTTTTAATTGTTGCCCCAACTTACCATACAGCATGATCCTACCAACGACACGGTGGAAGAGTCATGGGAAAATGGCTCAGTCGAGGTATAGTAGTCTTGCAGAACACCGACCGAAAATGCAGACCCTATATCTAGTCAACTGTATTCGATTCGCTTTCACAGAAAGGGCCTACCCCAGACCACCATTTCTAGCACAAAGGCACCCATGAGCAATAGCCAAGCATCTTTGCCTCTATCAACCGGTGGCAGAGAAAATTCACGCGATCCATAGGCCCTGTCATTGGAGAAATCTGGTTCATGCCTTTCGTCAACAGTGATGTGCTGCAATTCTATATCGGATGGCGGGGTCAAATATGTCACATCTGATTTCGCCGAATGATGATGATGGTTCAAATAAGTAGTGGAGCTTTCTGCGTAATCATCCATTTTGGTTGGGCTCTGTTATTGATTGTCCGTGAGTCTGCCGGGCGTAAGAAGGATTGCGATGGGAATTTTAAATCTTGGAAGCCATCGAGATACTGAGAGCTGCACATGTTCTCAATTCCGAATACCTATTTCGGAAGATGAACCCGCCTCGGGTTCATCGACTAAAAAAGCTGTGCGGTCCAATCCTAGTCAAAATTCCGCAGGTGCACCATGGGCCCAGGCTCTCTTCCATATCTCTGTCGAGTGATTGTCATCTGAAAAAGTCGCCCGTGGCTTGAGGTATCGAGCCTGACTTCTATCAAAAGTACGTGACCCAAAACTTGGGTCATAGTGCATCCATGTCACTCCCAAGGTTGATCCCGCAAACCTCATGCATCTGAAACTTTAGAGCCTTCAAGGTTGGAAATGGATACAAAAGTGATTGAAAGAACGGATGTCTTGCGGGACTTATCTACCTAGTAACACCTGGGCAGATTTCAAGGTTCGCCGGCCTGGGTACCTAGTATATCTTTCCACCCGTCGACGACTCCGGAATTGCGTCATTGGGCTACATTAGCCCCGATGTATATGAAAGTTGACATCCATGATATGGTCTAGGAGGTAGGTAGTCGAGTGGAGATCATGGGAAATTCGTGTATCCATTGTACCTATTTACAGATAATGTATATCAAGTGTCTCTAGAGAGGGGGAGTCTCATGGGAGTCACGTCCATTGAAGCTAGACAATAAGTTAGTCAGGAGTTGAGGTATCAACAGAGAACATAACGTACCGACACAGTGCCTCGGGGTAACGAGGACCAGGGACTTCAGTGCGCTTGACGAGCTCGCGAATATCTTGGACCTCCTTCTCGGTCAGCTGGAGCAACGCACCACCCGCATTTTCATCCATGCGGGAGGTGGACTTGGTGCCGGGAATAGGGATGATATCAGGCCCTTGGGCCTGCAGCCACGCGAGAGACACCTGAGCGGAGGTAGCGCCGTGGGCCTTGGCGATATCTTGCAGACCCTGGACGAGCTCCATGATCTTGGGGAAGTTCTCCTGGGAGTACTTGGGCAGCATGCGACGGAAGTCATTCTCGGGAATATCCTCAACAGACTTGATCTGCCCCGACAGGATTCCGCGACCGATGGGGCTGTACGCGATGACGGACATACCGAGCTCGCGGCATGTGCTCAACAGCTCGGACTGGCCCTCGATGTCCAGGGCAAAGGGACTGTATTCCACCTGGTAGGCGCTAATGGGGTAAACTGCGTGTGCGCGACGCAGGGTCGCGGCGGAGCATTCAGACAGACCAATGTAGCGGATCTTTCCTTGGCTACATAGGGGTGTCGAGGTTAGTCTTGGACATGTTGAATCAGGGACACCAGACTCACTTCTTGAGGTCGACCATAGCCTGAACAGTCTTCTCGATAGGAGTGATACCGTCGAGACGGTGGCAGTAGTACAAGTCAATGGTATCAATACCAAGTCTCTTCAAGCTCGTCTCACAAGCAGCCTGGACGTGTTCCGGGTCGGATCGAACGCTGATCTTTCCCTCGTCGGGAACGAAGCCAAACTTGGTGGCAATGAAGATGTCATCACGCTTTCCTGAGCGCTTGAACCATTCTCCGATGATGTCTTCACTGTCCTGGTAGGCATCTGCGGTATCCCAGAATCGCTGGCCAGTGGTGTGTGCGTGGTCCAAGAATGCGACCGTCTCATCGAGCGGGCCAGCCTGGCCGTAGGCACCGCCAATGCTCATCAGGCCAAGACCCATGGCACTGACTTTGGGACCATCGCGGCCAATAGAGCGAAGAGGAGCAGACATCTTGAATCAATAGGGTGGTATGTGTAAACAACAAGTTCCATGATGCGCGGGACCGATCTTTATATGGGGCTTGTGGAGATGGTTGATGTGTCCAAGAAGCTGGAAGAAGATCTACGAACAGCTGTATTTGCATTGGCCATTCAGCCTTCACTCTCAGAGTGGTTCTATACTCTCCAGCCGATTCATCACACTAGCCCGTGCCTTGGCGATCGCGATTGACCAATCAAAAGAGGTGGTTTCCGAGGAGCCCCACCCCGACCCAGTCTTTGGGGTTGGGCCAATCAAAGCGCCGAGTTTCCGAACTTCACCTACCGCAATTCCACCTCCTTCCATTCCGTTGAGCCCCCTATTTTGACATCCCGAAGCCTGTTCCAGCGAGAACATGACAGAGTATGCAGGGATCATCAGAGAGTCAGCCACAAGGAAATGGTAGAAGAAAGGTTAAAACAGGCTGCAAAACTTGCAAGTAGGCCTCACTAGTCCGAGTTTTAAAGACCTGGTCTAATCTGCGTCACAGGGCTCGCCGTGTCAAGTGCGATGAAAGTCGCCCCGCTTGCCGTCGCTGTGTCTCCACGGGCCGAGTGTGCAATGGCTACGGCATCTGGGGTGGCGGTGACAACAAAAGCCCAGTCCAATGCAGCCAGGCCTTGTCGATCCACCGTACACCCGTCCCTGAGACTCAGAGGGGTCTGACCTCCGATGAGCTGATGTCATTTGATTGGTTCAGGGAGAAAACAACCAAGAAGCTTGCTGGTCTCTTTACCTCGGACTTTTGGGAGACACTTGTGTTCCAAGCAAGTGTGCAAGAACCCGCAGTGCGACATGCTGTTGTCGCGCTATCAGCGGCACATAGATCCGATTTCAGTCATGGCCCGAGTGCCATTGCCGCCCGTGGACCCAATGCGGAGCAGTTCATGTTGCAGAATTATAACAAGGCCATCAGTTACCTGAGGTCTGCCTCAACAAGCGAGAATGCGCCTGATATACGCGTGATTCTGATTACGTGTATGATCTTTGTGACATTGGAATACCTGCGTGGTCATTATACATCAGGGAGCTCCCATCTTCAATATGGAATCCAGCTACTATCGGAGCTTTCCCCACATAGGTCAGACAGCAAAACATTACCGCAAATGTCACTGAATCACACCACTCAAGCAACGGACTTTGCGCACAATGCTTTGATTGACTCCTATGCCCAACTGACCATTCAATCGGCCATGTTCGGCATCTTTCCATCCCACATGTGCGTTACGACTCATGATCAACGGATTTGCGCACAGCCCTACAATTTTAAATCTATCATCGAAGCACGGCAGCCGCTCGATGACTTATTGCACAAGGTGAAATGTCTTAAGGAAGACTTTCATGCTGCAATTGAAACGGGATCCACCATTGATCACACAGCCGCCCTGGCGACCCAAGCTTTTATACAGCAAGATCTCTTTGCCTGGCGTCAAGCTTACGACCGCCTAGTCGCCTCGTTACAGCCGATCATAAATCTTCGCGATCTCGCCGGCTCCATCATCATCCGAGTTTATTACGAAATGGCATCTGTGATGGCGGGCGTTAGTCTGTCGGAGACCGAGATGGCCTTTGACGCATATACGGACAACTTCACCGCGATCATTGCAGGATTCCATGAGCTATCGCGTGCGTGGTCACTTTCGAATGTTCAAACTCCGGACCCGAAGCCAGATATGGAAAGTGGGAACTTCCACGACCGTGGCTTTACTATTGAATCGGGTTACATTCCACCTGTATATTACACGGCGATGAAGTGTCGAATCCCACAACTTCGCCGCCAAGCAATTCATGCGCTACGCCTCATGCCACGCCGAGAGGGAATTTGGAACGGGATACTGCTAGCAGATGTGCTTGACGAAGTCGTCGGCATCGAAGAAGGGCGACCTCGGCCTGGTGACCCAAATCCCGCGTCAAGAGATCCGGCTAGTGGAGGCACAGAAAATCAAGTGTTCATGACTAGCGTGAACGAATCGTCGCGGATATCAGACGTGAAAGTGCTTCTTTCTGATACGACAGACGAGACGCAGAGAGATACATATATTGGCTATAAGAAGATGATGTTGCATGGGAACTGGGCAACATGTAAACAGAAAATCGAACGCCGGGCTGCAGTTACTTGAAAACTATATACAAGAGAGATGTCTTCACATTTGGACTACCAGGAGCCTATGCCTTCGCCGGTTGGCTCCAAGGTTGATACAAAATAACGGTGATTATCACTACTCTGAGGTCCCACCAACCTCGGAACCTTCTTGATTTCTCCAAAACAAAAGCTTCCAGAATAGCTGGTTCCATAACTCAGTTGGTTAGAGTGTGATGCTAATAACGTCAAAGTCGAGGGTTCGACCCCCTCTGGAACCACGATTCTTTTGTTTTTTTTTTTTTTTTGTTTTTCAACCAGCCAGATAGCCGAGCAGCAACCTAGGAACCCAGCCATTCACATTCATGGATCTATGGAGCTTCCTCCCGCGTCGCGACGACCAATCATTTCCCCAGCACAGGATTCACAGGTCGGAGGTGGACTGTTTCCACGAGCACCAAGGTGCTGCTAACTTACATGGTTCTAAACTAGGTACCTTCTGAGGCCTACTGTATACAATACAGTTACCATAGGTTGGCACGCCCCCATACCACTAGGGAGCTCTGTGGGGAAAAGGCTCTCGCCCTTGCGCCCGCCGGATGTCAAGAATGACAACAACACACAGGCTTGGCTCCTCCAGACAGTGAGCTTCCGCACGCCATGCGATCCAGCTTTCCCGATACTCAGAATCTGCGACCGGCATGCTAGACATTGCTTAAGATCATATCCGGCTCATTTTACATAAAAAAATCTGGATGATGAGGGAAAAAAACCACTTCAAGAAGATAACGACATGAAGAAGAATTGTATAAACAAAATTGTATTGGATATCATACTAGCATATATCATGAAAAGTACGGCACTTTGACCGAACAGACTAGTTCTGCGATGAAACAGGAGTGATCTTAGTGACCTCCTGCAAGTCACGACTGCTGAAACCAGCACGAAGGACAAATTCGCCCTCAGGGATAAGCCACTGTTGGGAAACGATGTCCCAGTAGCTCAGATCACGGCGCATCAGCTCAAAGCCAACAGTTCGTGACTCGCCTGCAGCCAGAGACACCTTCTCAAAGCCGCGCAGCTGCTTGGGTGGTGTTCCCTCGGGGGTGCTGTCTGGGAATGTAACATACAACTGGGGAACAGTTGCGCCCTTGACATCACCAGAGTTGGTGACGGATACTGTCACATTGTAGAGAGTCTCCCACAGGGCGGGGTTGCCTCCAGGCTGGATGGGCTGGTCCTCGGGGATGGAAGAGACGGAGTCAACAACGAGCTCGGTCTCGATGTCAGAGATGTCGAAGGTGGTGTAAGAGAGACCAAAGCCAAATTCATATTGGACGGAGAGGTTCTTGGCGTCGAAGTAGCGGTAGTCAATCTCGAGCTTCTCGTCGAACCAGGATTGCCAGTCGTATGTGCCATTGGTAGCCACTTCGGTGGTGGGAGGGGCGTTGTAGTCACTAGCGTTCTTGGCGATGGTGTACGGCAAGTGACCAGCGGGGTTGACGTCACCGTAAAGGACATCGACGATGGAGTTTCCAGCTTCCTGGCCAGGGTAGTGGGCAGCGATAATAGCGGTAACGTTAGGGTGGTCGGCGAAGGGGAGGGTGTTGATTCCGGAGGAGTGGGTGACGACAATGGTGTTGTTGCAAGACTTGGCAACTGATTGCACGACCTCGTTACCATTGTAGTCGACTGTCAAGTGCTCGCGATCGGCGCCTTCTTCGGCCCAGGTCTTGAGGAAAACAAGGCAAGCGTCAGGGGTGGTGGGAACCCAGAGATCGGTGACATTCTTGGTAGCGATCTGGGTGTTGTTCAAGAAGTATTGAACCAGAGCGTTATCCTGCTTGGCACGAGTCTTGATGGCCTCCAGGGGAGACACAAGATAAGTGAAGCGACCGGTACCGGATCCACCTCCAGAGGCGAGGTTACCGAACTCAAATGTATCCTCGTTGACAGCGCCCATGGTGTTTTCACCCGCATCATTACCGAAGACGGCAATATTCTTGGGAGCCTTCAAGGGCAAAGCCTTCTTCTCATTCTTGAGTAGGACTGAGGCCTCTGCGGCGAGCTTGCGAATACCTTCGGCATGGTTACTGCGGACATCGCGGCTGCGTTCGCCAGTGAGATTGAACTCGCGCAACCAGGTGGACCGGGGGGAGAAAGTGTTCAGGTCGGCAGATGATGGGTCAACCTCGGGGAAGTCCTTGTCCTGGCCGAGCCAGTAGTAGGGGGTCATGATACGGATGATCATGTCATCGACGCGAGACTCGTCCACGGTTCCGTTGTTGACGGCGTAGGTCACGTTCTTACCGAAGAAGGATCCGGCTTCAGGTGTCTTACCGTAGGCACCGAGACCACCGGGCATGTTCATGTCGAGGCCGCCCTCGATGGAGGCGACACCGGAGTGAGTGCCACCCCAGTCGGACATCACGTATCCCTGGAAGCCAAGCTCTTCCTTAAGGAGACCGTTGAGGGCCTTGGAGTTCTCACAGGCATAAGAACCATTGAGACGCTGGTATGCGCACATGAAGCTGGCTGCCTGAGCGCGGACAGCGTTGGCAAATGGCCAAAGGTAGAGCTCGTGCATGGTGCGGTCATCAATGTTGGAGGAAAGAGCCTCCTGAATGACATCAGTCAGAGTGCCATTAGAGTCGTAAGTAGGGTTTCTCTGGGTCTCCTGTTCGTTTCCGATGAAGTGCTTAGCGGTGGCTTGCACGCCGGCGTCTTGGTGGCCACGAATGGTTCTCTCCATGGCGACACCAGTCAGGTATGGGTCTGCAGCAAACCCTTCCCAGTTTCTACCAGCGTAGGCGGAGCGGCCGAGGGGTCCGGCGACGGGGCTGAGCGCAATGTGGGCACCCTTGGCCTTGAACTCTTGTCCCATAGCATAACCTCTCTCATATAGGAGATCCCGGTCCCAGGTCGACGCCACGGTAACACCAGCAGCGAAGACACTTGCATAGTCGGCAACACGGATTGCCAGAGGGCCATCTTGTAAGCAAAGACCCGAGAAACCCAGTCGAGGAATAGCAACAATGTTTCCAACGCAGGGACCGGGCTGGCCAGTGACCATATCAGCCTTCTCTTCGATTGTCAACTTGGCGACAAACTTTTGGGCCTTAGCGTAGGCATCCTCCCATTCTCCGGACGCAGTCGCGTTGGCTACCTGGAGTGTTAGTACCGGTCCTGTGATCAAAGAGTTTCTGTGGGGCCATACGAGAGGGAAGAACAGCGGGTGAGTGTCCATAGGGACCGAGGATGGTTGTGTTCTTAGGTTGAACATAGCTGAAGGCATCCTCGCTTCGTCCACTTCCAGCAAAGTCTTGACCATTGGCCAATGTGGCTGCCAAAAGGCCTGAGACCACAAATTGAGCGACGCGAGCCATTGTTGTGTAACCTCGTGATCTTGCACGATCAACAAAACCACGGGATACCCGGGGTTCTTATAGTCCGCAACTCTCGACTCGGAATCGGCATTTGCCGCACCCAGCAACAACGATCGGACAGCGGGAATCCCCCCATCCCAACACAAGAGGGTTGGGCGTGGGGTAGTGCCGGGTTTCTACCGGTGAGCGTGCCATGTCCCATGGTTGCAACTTGCCGGAGTTCTGCCGAGCTGTCTTGGCATTGCCGTGGGGACCCCACACTTTCCTCTTTCTGGGGAAATCTCCTCACCCCTGCACAAGACCGTGCAGCGACAACTTATGACGTTCTTGTACTAGTCCGACCTCTCTCCGCAGTGCCCTGACCTCCAAGTGCTCGCTAAATGTTTCCCCTCGACGCACCGGATGGCGTCGGGAGTGTTAGACCTTTTCACCACGAGACATTTCCACAACGATCACCGTCTTGGCGACTACACTTGGCTAGCGGGTAGCCCGCTCGGTGGCTTTATCGGCGACGGCTAGCCGGCTTTTCAACCATGATTCATACCGTACCACCGGCCTTTCCCCGGGTCCTTGATAAACTTTGGTAATAGTCCGGTCGGGGCCCCGCGACGATGTCACCATGTGGCCTTCATGTTTTGGCACTACAACTTGGCATATCCACCCAATCACTTGATGACGTGCCGGACACTCTGAACTTACCGTTACGGCCTAGAGACGGCAAAATGTGGCTTGGGTCGGTGTCCGCAACCTATGCCGCGCTTTCGGGATTTGATCGATAACTTCTAAGTTCTGATCCACCAGTCATCCTCAGACCCGAGAAGACGGCCCAGTTGAATCCTTGGTTGGACTGGTTTCCTTGCTGTCAGAGGCTTGCAAGAAGCCGTATATTGCATCGGCTTTATGCGCCTCCCGTGTTCTCTTGGTCGGGGAATTGTGACAGAGCACCGGTCCCTAACTCATGTCTTGTCCGCAAATGCTGCCGGTGCATTGACTTTTCCTGAGAGGGGTAATTGAATTTCTAATCATTATGGAAGCAAGCCGAAATGATGCCTGCCTATGTGGCGCTTAGAATACTTGCCGATGTCGCACACTAGTCCACCTTTCTCGGGACAAACGTTGAGGCCAAAACTTCGCAGCTTCTGCATATGGCTCTGGGTGACCAGGTTGTGCATCCCCGTGCATTATGCTCTTCTTCTCTCCTTCATCCCATCGGGCAAGCCCGGCAAGCCTAACTTGCCATACCACAGTATGGTAACACGACGAAAGTGTACCAAAACCCTGCTCGGTCAAGGTTTCACGTAAATGATATTCACACCTATGAGATAACGGCTCTCTTGGTAATGCATAGACAAGATTTGGCATTCACTTGTCTCGTTGAGAGTTCAACATCTGGTGAAGGTTCAACACGCCCTTGGATGAATTTTTCAACGGAGCCCCACCAGATACGAACTCCAGAGAAGGACTGCCAACATGTAACCTCCACCACTGATGAACTTCTTAAGAGACAGAAATTTCCCGTGCTAGATTGCTAGGCCCCCGTGGCATGAGACTGTCCTATCAAATTCCAGTGTAGTTGCTTCAAACATGTCTTGCTCCATATTAGCCCTGATATTCCCCCCAACATCTGCTCAATAGTGGGCTCTCATCACTTATTGCTCGCTAGTGCATGAGAACGTAGATTTCTGCTGTTCGGGTGCTATGGTTGATATCAGCTCTTAAACAGCGGTGCAAGCGTTGGCAGACACGCGGCGAAGATTCCGACTGAGATCTCGATGAATGACCACATCCCGGAATAAACCAGATTCCCTTAGGACATTAGCATGTGGTACACAGGCAAGATTATTTATCGGGTTGATACTCACAGCTCGGGTCTCCATATTTCGTATGGAATATCACGACGCATCGAATGATGCCGAAGACACAGACACTGTGCATGTAAATGACTGTATAGACAGAATTTTATTTTTCTTTCTGCTTACACTGCCCCGGAAAGGAAGATTCCAAGTATCTGGATCTTGCGTGTTGTTCTCATATTCAGCCTGATGACTGGTCTGACTGGTAGAGCCAATATCGCAACATCTGTTACCACATTAACGACCCTGTTGAGAAATTTTCGTGAGCAAAGCAAATTACATAACTTGTTGAAAGTGCGTTGTTCGAACTCACCCCAAGATTTGAAACCCAATCCCCTTCTTGATACATCGTCCTGGCTTTCCAGTCCACGTAGAAGATAAAGGAATACATTGAAGAGACACAATAAGGATAGAAGCTAGCCCGTAAAGATTGACGACGATAATCATCACAGTGGAAAGCACAAGAAGCCATTGTAATTCGAAGATTCGACGATAGAGTAGAAGTATTGAAGTTTTTGTGAGCATCATAGTTGTAGAGTAGCAGATCACAGAGCCAACGTATTCCTATTTCGATCAATCAAATCAAGTACTTTGAACTTTTTCAAGGATTTGAAATTATTCGGTTACCTGCATGAATGACTCCAAGCTTTTGAGAAATGACGTGTCGCCCTTCGCCGTTCTCGATCGCCATTGATATTAACACAATGTATGCGAGTAATGAAACCTAGTTGAGGATAAGCTTGAATCGAAGGTCTGTGAGCTTCCACGCACGGCAGCTATAAATATCGTCCAGTCATCGGGGCCGAAAGTATTTTTCGCGCGTATTCGGGAAGCTATACGCGCGATTACAGCACTCAGTGCTAGGCTTGATCCGCAGACGTAGGCGGCAATTTCATTCGGCCGCCGGTCATCGCCGGCTTGGTCCATGGGATAATGATGTCAATAACGCGTCGAGTAGTTTGATCTGTGAGCTTTCTCTTATGAGCAGAAGTACAAGCCTTGGATGGAAGCTTCGAGTTGAAATAAAGACAGTTCCAAGAGTTTAAATCAAAAGGACCCCTCGGTTCATCGCCATGGAGCCATTCATGGATCATCTGAGCTTCCAGACATTTCCGCGGATTTTGGAATAGCCTAGATGGTTTAGAGAGGCAATCATCTTTCCGTGCCACACTCAGTGGGGAGAACAGGAGCAACCTGGAACCTTGGAAAAGATGCCACCTGGGCAGGTTCAAGCTTCCATCGATTCTTCGTTGTTGTTCTTAGGTCCGGGGTCTCACAACTCATGCCACCTCCGAGGTCATTCTGACCTATGGCTCAGGGTGGCTTGTAAATGCTTCCAAGTTCCAATGTCTCAGACAGACTGCCCAGGTGCCAGGTGTGTCTCCTGCCGAAGCTAACATGAAGTCCAGATAGAGCTTGAGACTCGGGACTATCCGAATCCCAACTTCTACAATCTACCTAGTACGAGTCTCCACAACCTCGGAATGCTTCCTGTCCACCTTGGCATTTTGGAATTACCTAGTACCTAGTAAGGATTTTTACAAGGTTTTATTATGGGGTTACTCGGACTTTTGACTCGGCCAGAGTATGAAAAGGCCATCCTAGCTCACGTTCCACAATGTAGGAAGTTATTCCAAATCGGTACGTAATGTAAACTGATCCCCGTAGCCCCGCTTATGCGACAGCCTTGTGATGTGCGTCCCTGAAAATCTCTGGTAGGCCTACCTAGGTAGGAGTATCGACGCGAAGGTTCAATCGGAAGTGAAGGTACGTGAAACTGAGGAGCTGGCTGATATATATTTTCAAATCCAAATCACTGGACCATGAAGACAAAGTGACAGCATTATGCCTATTTGGATGAAATCAATAGCATTCTAAATTTGGAATGCCGATGAAGTCGAATAAAGAGGAAGAGTGAGGATATGAAAGGACCGGGAGAGCCCTGGGAATCCGGGACACAGTCGGTGCCTGAGGCAGCAGGGTCGCACACGCTCGGGCGGAAAATCGTGAACGTTGGAGCAAAAGGGGAAAAGGTGAGGATGAGCTCAATGAAGGAAGTGAACCGAAGCCAAAACGTAAAAAGAAAATGGATCTAAAGAATAAATTGGTAGAAGACTAAATATGAAGATTTCTGAGACCGTGTCTGCGAAAGCATCGAAGTCGAGCCTCTGAATTATGTTGGTCCTTGAAACCCCAGAACAACCCAGAAAGGGTTGAAGTGTCGATAAAACTTCGAGAGCTTGCACCCCAACATGTTCAATGGAGTTGGACCTCGGAAGAAAGTGCAGAGGTTGAGATTACATTATCCAGGGCTCGGCATTCAGATAATGTAATCCCAAATTCCTGCACGCCCGGAGTTTTCTACGTTCCCTTAGTGACTTCGAAGTCAACGAAGTTCGATTTTCTAACCACAACGATTGGAATACGACTGTTCTGCGTCGGTAGTTTGACGAGCCCTGGAGATATGCCCCAAGCGAAGTTGACAACAATGTCGTCGGCGCAGAAGCGGCAGCCGAGAAGCCAAGGGCGGCCTAGACTCGATGCTCCAGCCGCTAAATTGTCCGAGGTATGCTTTTTTCTCCAAGCGCCCGTCATCCCCAGATAATCTGATCAGTTCACGTCTGATATCCTGCGTAGGATCGGCGACAGCAAATCAGACGTGCACAGAAAACGTATAGACTGAAAAAAGAAGCTTGTATCCAACACCATCAGCAGCGTGTCTCCGACCTGGAGCATAAAATGGCACAAGTTGGGGAATATCTCAAGGAATACCAGGATATGCTGCAATCCGAACTACGAAATACCCACCCGGAACTTCTGAAAGGCTGTGACCGAATACTCGAGTTTCTGGCTTCTGCACAAGGCGATCGCCAGATGCCTGATTCTAGCAATTCTCCACACGAAGAAAGCGAAGTAGCATCCAACAATGAAACAACTGACGGTACGCAAGAAAAAAGCCTAGCATCAAAGCGGGCCACCGAACAGTACACCTCAACGCAAAGAATGTCTCCAACAACAGACTCTGAACTGGAAACACGCCATCTCATCCAATCAAACATGATGATCAAGCTGGACCAGTCGGTTTCCGACACAATCGACCGATTTATGGGTGGTAGTACAAATTACTCCTACTCCTTTTTGGAAGCTTCTTTTGCGCGCAGACTGAAGCGATTCAGTCTTGAACACGCTTTCCGGGTTTTCACTAATCCGCAATCCAATCCGTATGAAGTCTTTAGACTATTTAGACTCGTGCCCTGTTTCCGTGAAAGAGATAAGATGCACCCCTACTTCAAGGATCTAGTCACTTCGGATCGAGGTCATTCACTGGAAATTTCGGCATTGCCCTTTTACACCATAGGTGGCGCTGGAACGCACTACCCTGATCTGAACGGACACGGCGATCCGATATACCCCCCGAATATGAGAGTCCCTCGACGTATACTTGGAATCATACCTGGGATGAATGGAGAGGATAATTCGATCCATCTTGATCAACCCCAGCAAAGCCAACTTCAGCTTTGTGGATTTGGAGGGGAATGGTTTGATTGCCGAGATGTGGAGGGGTTTCTCAGAGAAAAAGGAGTGCAAATTACGGAATCCTCTGTATTTCCTTCAGTGAAAGAGGTCCAAAATGGCAAGTGATTCTTTTTTCCTAAGGCAAAGACCTACAATTGACAATCAGCTCATTCATACAGAAAGTCTACAAGATTCCGCACGCTTAGAAAATTGTGTTCTGGATTTGGAAATGTTCCTTGAAGGTGAGCGGATTCCAAATAGACTACAATTAGGGCCGGCACTGACAAAATCAAGGAATACGGGGTAGCGTAGCCATACTGGGGCGAGCCCCTGGATTTCGTCGATCTGAAGTCGAGGCAGCATTCGAGGCAGCACTCAAATAACGTAATTTGAGTATTTTAATAAAACTGAGCTTCGATCTTCGCAGATAAAGTCTGAATATAATGGTTCATAGGCTAGATTACATTATCAGACCTTGCACCCGTGGACCCTGGGGCAGCAGTTGACCCGGACCCTGATCCACTCTGCTACCCTAGGGTAGCCCGTAGATTGGAAAGCCCGAGGCCCAACAAAAACTTTTATAATTGAGTTCTGGAATGCTAGAAGAGTTGCAGGCATCTGTTGGGGGCCAATGTTGTTGAAGGTAGTAAAACTACCTCGGCAAGTGAGATGATGAAATTTCACTTCTTGATTTAAAAAACCCTCTTGACTCTTCCAAAATTGGTTGTCAGTTCATCTGCAATATAACACTACAGCTATAAGACGGTATATCGCGGAAATAATCCCAGAGGAGACTCAATCGATTGCAACGGAGGCTCACTCTTTTCGGAATAAAGAGCCATTTGTCATTCTGATCGAAAAGGATGCTGGATAAGTTCAATCTCGAGCGCAAATCATGCGTCATTTACATATCGATTGCCGTGACAGCCTTCATGGGCTACATGATACTTGTGAGAATATTGCGTTACAAGCGCATGGTCCATATCAGTGCTGCTTTCGTGCACGGGGGAAGAGAGTTGTCGAGCATGACGACAGATGAAGCACATGAAATCATTTCCCAGCTCCAAGAGCTGGAGTTTCCGTACGCATTTGGCAAAGCTCGCAAGATCGCATTATTGAAGGTACGCAGATGAGCTTGACGTTCGACGAAGCCCCTGCACAGTGTTCATTTGACTGATTTTGCACGTCAATTAGGCTGGAGCTATTCCATCCATGTCAAAGCTCTTCGCAGTCACGGGTCAAAACAACAAGAAAAATGCCGGGAAGCGCGCCGTTGACACGGAAATTCTTCTCAGGGAGGCACAATCCAAGCCTCGAGATTCAGATCGGTATATGCGCGCTGTGGCTAGAATGAATTATCTGTGAGTACACAATTGGGTTTCGCGGGGGATTGTATTGGGCCCTTGACGCAGTGGCTTGTATGAACGAAGTTGACAACAATCTACTAGTCACGCCCGGTATCGCAAAGCGAACAAAATCACGGACGACGACCTTCTTCATACCCTTGGCGACGGGCTTTTCGAAATTGTCAACATCGTCGGAAGAGAGGAATGGCGCGACTTGACAGATGTTGAATTATGTGCTCTTGGGGTCTTTCACAAGAACCTAGGAGAAGACATGGGTATCCCTTTCCATAACCTCCCTTCGAGTGAGGAAGGGTGGGAAAACGGGTTGGATTTTGCAACCGAGTTGCAAAACTGGACATTGCGTTATGAAAAAGAAGTCGCCAAGCCTACCGCCACGAATGACCAATATGTCAGAGTCTATGTTGACTCTGCACTATCATCACTCCCTAACTTTGTACGATCAGCTGTGCGCCAGATGTTGGGAGCTAGTCTGGACGACGTTATGAGAACGAGCTTGCAGTAAGTCGCACTTACACCACCCATTCAGGGGTTGAAGAATCAGGGAAATACCTTTCATTTTTTCTCTAACATCTTCGCAGACTTGAGTCTCCCGGCCTAATTTTGTCAACACTGCTCCGATCAATTCAGGAAGTACGGAAACTGTTTTTGAGACATCTTGCACTCCCACGAATCGAAGCAATCAAGCTTGTCAATGAGACACCCAATGCGAACACGGGACTTTATGGATTTGGAAGGAAAACTCTCCAACCATGGTATATGGAGCCCAGTTTCCAGTCTAGTTGGGGGCCCGGAGCCATGCTCGTTAGAGCGTTGGGCGGTAAGGTGCCCGGCTCACGCGGAGACCGATATCACCCACAAGGTTATAACTTGATGACAATCGGACCGGAGCCACAGAAAGAGAAAGGAGAGGAAGATATGTTGTCTGATATCGAAGTCATCCGAGCTAGGACTATGACGTCATGTCCATTCTCCCAGGCAAAGGGTGGTTTTATGTAACAGCTCGTGGGCTTGAGTCAAAGGCCACAAAGGCGGAGGGGCGGTTCGTGAGTTCTGGAATTGTTTCATATCCAAAAGAGTCGAATCGGATGAATGATATCTTTGCCAATTTTCGCACGCAATATCTAGCTGATCTGTGATTGGTCACAATCGAGGGAATGTTGGTTCAATTTCTTCTGTTTGGAGCCAATATTAGGTGAATAGGTGCACATGACGTTCTGAATTTGAGAGTTTCACCGACAAAGCACACCTCGCACTCCCTTTGATTGTTGCTACCGCTTATCCGATACCCGACCCGCAACCCTCCGACGCCCCCGGGCTGCCGGATGTGAGCGGGTCGTGCGGCTCGAAGAACGTTAATTGCGAGGCATAGCAAGATGGGCATCTTAGCATCCTTAAATAACACGCGTTGACAGAACCTTTTCAATGCGAAGAAGGGTGAAGAGAGCTCGGTCAGAAAAGTTTGATTGTCAATCGCGCATAAACCTCGGGATATATCAAGGGACCACAATGGAGCCCTCTGCTCAAGCCTGTTCATAGTCCTGCGCTGGGCTCTGAAAGAGATCGGAAAATGAGGCAGACATTCCATTGCGAATTATGGCCAGATGTGCCCAGCACTCAGGATAATGAGGAACGTGCAAATAAATTCCGTATTGTAGAGCTTTGTTCCGAATGTGGCATGGTTCTGGAATTCGTCTCGACCCAAACTCGGTGAAAGACTCGGTGGTTCCAAGGTTTGCTTCCGTCATTGAATTCGGTCCCGAATCACTCCGATATCAAAGCACCGACCTCTGCGGGACATGGCCCGTGGACTTCATCGATATCGGATGGCGGTGCCGATTAAATGGTCATTGACATTCATTTCGTCAAGGTCCTTGGTAGTGTACCGTATGGAGTAGGAGGTGAAGCCTTCCATGAGAGAGCCAGGCACAAACACGAATTATGTCGCGAATTGTGGTGGAGAGAGGCTACCCGTGGACTCCCTAGTGGGAATGCAACGACGTATGAGAAACGGCCCTGTCGCCCACACGTGACTTCACATGACGAGCCGGTAGGGATGGATTCCTTGGCATGACCAGCCCCCTGGGAGGTGTCCCCTTCTCAAATTTTTACTCTTCAATCTCCGATCACCATTACTCTTCCCACTCCACTCTAAACCTCCGCGTCGCGCGCCCTTCATCACCGTCGCAATGTCTGCTCCCGCCCCCACCCAGAAAGGCCCCCAGGGCGCCGACCTCATCGCCCGTTTCGCTTTCGCCGGTGCCGTCTGCTGCTCCGTCACCCACGGTGCCTTCACTCCCGTCGATGTGTAAGTAGATGCGCGGTAATTGTTTGTCGCCGGATTACTGACAATCCCTCAGCGTCAAGACCAAGATCCAGCTTGACCCTACCACCTACAACAAGGGTATGTTCAGTGCCTTCCGCCAGGTCGTCAAGAACGAGGGTGCTGGTGCTCTCTTGACCGGTGCCGGTCCTACCTTCGCTGGTTACTTCGCCCAGGGTGCCTTCAAGTTCGGAGGTTACGAGTTCTTCAAGGCCCAGGCCGTCAAGAGCGTCGGTATCGAGAAGGCCCGTGAGAACCGTGCTGCCATCTACTCCGTCTCTGCTGCCGCCGCTGAGTTCTTCGCCTCCATTGCCCTTTGCCCTCTTGAGGCTACCCGTATTCGTCTCGTCTCCACCCCTGGCTTCGCCAACGGTCTCATCGGTGGTTTCGGTAAGATCCTGAAGAACGAGGGTGTCGGTGCCTTCTACGGTGGTTTCGGACCCATCCTGCTCAAGCAGTAAGTATTTCCCGAAGCAGAGGCTTCCAATGCATGAAGCAACAGATTACAAAGAATTAAACTAACATGATGGACAGGGTCCCCTACACCGTCACCAAGTTCGTTGCCTTCGAGAAGTTCTCCGAGGTGATCTTCGCTCAGTTCGACAAGTCTAAGATGTCCGACGGTGCCCAGACCACTGTCAACCTCGGAGCTGGTCTCCTTGCCGGTTTCGCTGCTGCCATTGTCTCCCAGCCCGCTGACACCATGCTGTCCAAGATCAACAAGACCAAGGCTGCCGCTGGTGAGGGTACCGTTTCCCGTCTCGTCAAGATTGCTGGTGAGCTCGGTTTCCGTGGTGCCTTCGCTGGTCTCCCCACCCGTCTCGTCATGGTCGGTGGTATCACCGCTGGTCAGTTCGCCATTTACGGTGACATCAAGAAGGCTCTTGGTGCTACCAACGGCACTGAGATCGCTAAATAAGCGTCTCGCTGATATTGCAACATTTCGCGCGGTTTAGATGGAGGGAAAAGGTTTTGGCATAGAGATGGACGTACTGATCTACGGCCTTGTTTAAAGTTGAGTTGGAGACGGTCTCCTTTGTTTATTTCGATTCCCCCAAGATGTGGAGCCCTCTCCCTCTCGACTTTAGTGTATAATCGCATTGGGCCGACATAAGAAGCCGTACACTCTGGCGGGCGTTATCATCTTGTTTCGGCGACCACAATAGATTCTGTATTCTAGCCTCTGCAATTTTCTTTCCCTATACAATTGATGACTGGTCCTGGGTTCTATTTCTTCTTTCTTCCTCAGAAATTGTACTGATAACTTGACAACTGTAAGAATCGCAAGCTCACTTTTGCTCGAAACAATATCCTTTTAACTTGGATGAAATCTGCCCTCTCTTCATCTCTTCGTTTACAATCTCATCAGGTCGGTCTCAAAGAATCCATTCATCATCTTCTCCTGCCTCGAAAGCTTCCCATCAGACTCCAACTACATCGGACGACCACCGTTGCGATACTGCCATAACCTGCTCACATCCCGAGTTCTCAGTTGGAAGGGTGCCCGAGGCCGAGAAATTTCCACGTCTTCTTTCCAAACTCTGGACTCCGTCGGAGAAAGTACTGGGCTCAAGTTTGAAACACCAGCTTCATTAACTGTGTCTGCTGTGGAGATTCGCAGGCCTTTTTTGACCTGACTTCTTGCAGAGACCATGTAGTTCTCGTCATGCTGCAAAGGCTCGCCCCGGGGGCTTTGTCCTTCAATGAAAACCTTCAGGTCCATGAAGTCACCCGTCTGAGGTTCACGTGTGAAGCGGTTGGTGGGATCAAGCGGAAACATGGAGTCGAGATAATGCTGATTGAGTTGATGTCCAGATCTCGGATTGATGAATACCTTCCCCATGAACCTGTTCTTGAGTGGGTGTGTTGGCGCTTGCTTGATGAAATGGAGAACCCCGAATCTGCTCGCGAAATCGTTGCTGTTGGCGTAATGCTCAATGTGGGAGATGGCTCGATTGTGTCTCCTTCTGGTCGAATCGCCATTCTCCATCAACCCTCCTTGCTTTGTGTGCGAGAACACATCACGATACGGGTTGCTGAAGTGGTTGGCAATGATGCCGAATGTATAGATCTCCAGATATTGCAGCAGATCTTGTGGGACCTCGTTGAGAAGCCAATCAACGATCATGCCTCCCTCGATGCCACCTTGAGAATGCAGGATCAAGACCACTCTTTTGACACCTGGTTCATAGAGGGCCTTCTTGACTAATGTATAGCACTCTCGCACGTCTGGTGTCGCGAACAAAAGCGATCTTTGAATGAGACATTGGACAATGTCGAAAACAACACCGGAGCTAGTTTCAGTCAGAGAGATGAAATAATGGGAAAGGTACGCTTGACTTACGTCTTGTTGTGAACTCCGACGATCGGACGGTGGAAAGTCCGTGAAAGTCGATCAACGTTGCTCTGCAACCAATTCTTTCTGCATTGAAGAATGAGCGAAATCCAGCAATGATGGGAGAAAGCGCTTACCCGACACATATTCCATTCAAAAATATCCAACGCTCATCATCATGGCGCTTCCAGCCTTGAGAAAACTCATCCTCTGTCGACTTGAGCCCGTCCTCTGGTATACCTCGATTTAAAAGCCGACATACCGCGAAATTAACCAGCAGTACCCCAGATATGTACGCCCCGAACATGGAAACGGGGAGATAAACCAACAGGGGCAGCGAGATCAAGAACCCAAGTTGGGCCACAAACAGAATTGAGTGGAGGGAAATCTCGAAGATGTTGGTGAGCGATGGGTACTGCTCATCCAGCGGCCCAGAGGGCCAAGGTGCCAAGGGAAAGAACATAAGGGGCAAGTATAAGATATTGCGAAAGAAAAGCTTGATATCGTATACTAAAAGCTGCCAAGGAGATCCAGTGTATTGTGGTGCCTGCTCAACGTCCTCGCGGACTTGTCGCGGGATCACTTGAGCAAATTGAGAGGACATCTTGGCAGGATTCAACGGAATGACAATAACAAAAAAAAGTGCGAATTTAACAATGGAGCAGATGAGATGATATTTCTGAGAGGGGACTCTTGGGGATTTCCTCTAATTTATGTAACCATGACGCTGCCCCGGGGCGACGAGCTGAAAAGCAGCATCTTCGGCTGCGATACTGAGAAATCCCCAGCAAGCGAAGCAAAAGACTACAATCACATGTGTGGCTTCCAACAATCTGCCCAGAAATCGAGATGTCAGCATTACCAACTTGGCGTACAGCCGCAGCCACCATTCTCTTCGACCAAACATCCAAATCCATGGCCAGAACATCTCTATCACGAGTGAAGAGAAAATTGCCTGGAGGTTTTGATGGAATGCAATGATTCTATTGTTCCCCATGAGCGCACGAGAATTTCCAGGATTTGTCCCGCTGCCTTCGATCGTCACGACTGAGGAATGGCTGGCCGACCTCGTATAGCAGAGTGGTGCTTGGCGCGAAGCTGAAAATATTGAGCCTCCTTCTGACGTGGCTTCTGCCAGAACCGCCATCTTGCTGATTGTGGCTCATGATATGACAGAGGAAAAGTATTAACGCCCCTGGAACTGACGGAGGTACGAACAAACAAAGTGTTAATTGAAATACTCGGGCTGAGGCGCCATGCGAAGGCAGGTTCCTTTTGCTACACCACTCGGGGTGACCGGTATCAATGAGCCTGTAAGCCTTCGAAATGTAGAATTCAAGTCTCGATCTGCTAAAATCACATGCAGTGTCAATCCTTTCCGGTATTCGCGACTCTCATTGTCCTTTATCATATAATGTGTCCATTTGGCGGCACTGCGCTGAAAGGATTGTTAGACAAACTATGGGATAGAGGCTTGACTAATCGATATGAGCGTCTCTGCCTACGCAGAGTTATCAATGTTCAAAGTGATGACGCGAGCACTGAGCATTCCTCACTTCGGGTATACCCACTCTGTGGACTTGACCACACTCGGACATCTCAGAAAAAGGGTGAACGACTCAAGGCTCGCTGCCACCCTGCTTGGTGAGTTACCAGCAAAGCTCACTGCTCTGCCAACAATTCTGGAGGCTTTTTCTATGGCCTTTGCTCAACATCCTTTGTTCGACTTCCACCTGGACACCACTGATCCCCAAAAGCCTCAGCTGATCTTGAAGGAGTCTCATGACTTTGGAGTCGCAATTGATACTCCCAATGGACTGCTTGTGCCAGTTGTGAAGGATGTACAGAATCGATCGGTCTTTTCGATTGCATCAGAGATTTCGAGACTATCTGGCCTTGCCCAGAAAGATAAGCTTGCTGTTTCGGATTCAAGGGGTGTCTCCTTCAATATAAGCAACATTGGTAGTATTGGAGGAAATGTTGTCAGCCCTGTTATTGTTCCCCCTATGGTTGCTATCGTCGGCGTGGGTATAATCGAGGGCGTTGTGAGGCCCGCCCCTACCTCCCAAGGAGGAGCACCGTCGATTTGCCATCGCAAGGAAGCAATATTGAGTTGGAGCTGTGATCATCCGATTCTCGATGGGGCGTCAGTTGCACGATGTGCTGAGCTGGTCGCCAGCATTTTGGAAAATATCGAGCACAGTGGCCTTTTCCTGAAATGAGTGCATTTGTTATGGAAGCCGATTTTGGATGTCAGATGTGTCCTTCACACTGGAACGGAAGTCGGACTTCTCGATTGATTAGGTGTTTTGATAGGCAGCCCCGTCTTTCTCGGAGGAAATAATCGATCATCTTTTCCAAGCCCAGAGCCAATACCCCTCGTAGCGTCTCCAGCTTCGTTGCTTATCCTTGATTGCCGCGCGAACCATGAATGAGGAAAAACTGCCAGCTGCTCTCTGTAAACAAGAAAGAAAGAAAGAAAGAAAGAAAGAAAGAAAGAAAGAAAGAAAGAAAGAAAAAAGACAGAGCAGGAAATGGATGCCTTCACCATCGATGTGCGGAACAAGGCCACCTGATCGGGCGCCCACAACCTTGGAAAACATGGGTGTGGTAAATATGTAGTCGTGGGAGAATTGAGAAAAGCGAGAGAACAACTTTACAGCCCTGGGGGCAATTTACATTTCTTTTGATTACTCCGTGAACGAGTTTCGCCCGAAGCAGATCTTACCGCGTTGGTGCCCATCTCCAGGGCTGCATGTTCTCGCCCGGGCGCGACGTGGGGCCTACGAATACACTTGTGGACACTCCAAGCGCCGAGGTCCAGGGCTCCAAAATCGAGAGCCGCATTCTGGAGCTCAGGTTCCTTCCAAGGTTACTGCCTATCCAGACAGGGGCTACAAGATTCTCGAACTTTCTTTGAATTGTTTCCGAGGTTGTGAATGCCCAGGTGAGAACTATCCAACTTTCAGGTAACAACCTTAGAACTTGGAAGTGATTCCCTGTACCTAGGTATCAAAATGTCCGACAACCCGAGCCAAAAACTATTTTTTCATGCTTTCGTGGATAGCATCATAAACCCCCGGGATATAGTCAGTAAATATGTCCAAGGTCGGGAACAACTTTGGCTTCGGTATTGCCTAGGCGATGAAACTCACTCGCAATGTTATGGAAAATACTATGTATATTTCTCTCAACTCAATCTAGTATGGGTTGTCCAACCACCGATGCGCCTGACAGGAGAACCTTGAAGTAAGGTGATACCTAGAAAGCCTTCTCCTGAATCTTCGCCGCTACCTCTGCTCCAACGCCATAGTTGACCATGCTTTCATGAACAACAATAGCTTTCCCTGTTTTGCCCACACTTTTCACAACGAGGTCCTGGTCCCAAGGGTACAGAGTGCGCAGATGGATGAGTTCCACGCTTGCTCCAGGCACCTCCTTTTCAAACTGCTCGATCGCGGCCTGGCAGGTATAAAGAGGGCGGCCATATGAAATGATGGTCAGATCCTTGCCTTCTTTGAGAATCTCGCCTTTGTTCAACGAGATCGTTACGTTGCTGACTCTCAAAAACTTAGCCTCCACAAAAAATATGCCAACATTGGGCAATTGTTCCTTCAGGCTCTTCATGAGTACAAACAAGAGGTGATAGCAACTGAATTCCCCGGAAGGGATCAGATATGTTATCTCCTAGTCCCCAGTCAGTCGTGTGCATGCAGTTGATCGATGAATTACCTGCAGGAATCTGGATTTGGAAGTAAATCAGAATAAATCTTGGAGTAAATTTTTTCGGTATCGCGAAGCCTCTCGTCGAGGTGTCACCGGCACAATGTCAGTCGCAAGGGCATCTTGTATATCAACAGCTCATTACAGTCCCCAAGACTAGCAAGTTTTCAAGGTCGGGATATGGGCGGCTGATGTCGATTCAAAGGTTGATGAAGAGATAGAGTGGAAATAGCACTTGAGGGAGCACTCGGCACTACAGGATGAATAACGCTCAGGTGCTGCCTAAGGCACCCTGCACAGCCAAGGGCCTCGACATCAGGCGAAGTCAACTTCTTGAAGTTCTACAATTTGTTTCCAGTGATTTACATGCTGTAATGCTTTTTGAGGCGACTTGAATTTGCCTACAGAGCTACCTCGGGTGTATGTATCTACCAAACAGAGACTTCAGCTCTGAGGTATTCCATCGCCCCTGGGAGGAATACCGCAGATTGTTTCATTTTATCTTTGTCCACTCTTTCTTTGCAGACTCCTTTCTTGCGACATTTTTGTCTGCGGCCTCTTCCTTTTCGTTTTCCCACTTCTCGATCTTGCGAGAACGATAAATCGATTTATAATAGGAAGTATGCTCCTTTAGTGGGACTCGCCATGCTGGGTCAGTATACCGGTAATACTTCAAAATATCCAACAGCATGAGGCTTAGCATTTCATCTCCCCCGGATACCTTTTCGATCGATTTGGGGAGCTCGGCTTTTCTAGGAATGATTGCATCTTGAAATGGCCTGCCGGAGTTGACTGCGTGGAAATGCATTCTCCAATCCAACCCTGCTTTTTCCCATTCGATCAGCAAAGGTTCGTAGACAGATCGAATGAGTCGGAGAACGGCCGCGCGATCGATTCCTTGGTCGATACTACTGAGTGAGTCCATGCCTAGTGGCGCCCATATATGCCTTTTGGTGTGGTTGTCGCCAGGTGGTTCCAGATCTTTCACGATAGAGATCAGGTTGGCGCGAGTCATTTTGAATTCTTGATGCTTTGGATTGTCGATGCTTTGGGGTTTCAGTTATTTAATTTTTATTCTTCCCAGGGATGTGAGATCTGAACAGGTAATAGATCTATAGGTCTGATCCCTGGGGCTCAGTCGACTCTTAAATCTTCGAAGGCTTCAATGAAGGATACCTAGCAATGTGTTAATGTGTTTGGCCTTTGTCTTCAATTGGTGTATAGATATCCTTCACTTTCTGCAGGTAGCCATGACACAAACAGCCTGTTGTTCCGAGGCCAGGCTCAAAGGTTTCATTCAAAATCCAATAATTTCATTGTTATGGTCCTGTGAGCGAATACAAGGGAAATGTCTTTCACGAGACTGGTCGCCCATCGCGTCTTTACTCGACTTCTCTCATCTTTAGCTTTGCCTTATTCCCTTTGACTTCATTACACATTCTCTTTCGTCAGTCTTTGATTTGAAACTTTTGCTATCGCCTCTTTCTCCAAAACCTGATTCCGGTGGGTTTGCTGGGTTCGCGATCCACGTCCCCAGACGGTCACCCGTCCACACCCGGAAAATGGATCCCATGTATCGGATCGGAATCGAGATGGAGTTCTTGCTGTCCCCGATTGAGATGTCTTTTGGACCTACGGGAAGGCTAAGGAGTATTGCCGATTATATCATCGCAAGGTGCAATCCCGACCTCAGTTCGACCGCTCAGATTCGCAACAGAGTGGATAAACCATGCCGCCGGCCACAATACTGGTCTCTGAAAAAAGACGACTCCGTCATCAGTGAGCAGTGGAATACTTGTATCTTCTCCCATCTTCGAGTCATCGTTGTGCCCCAATGCTAACATTCTTTCACTAGTCCCCTTTGAACTGGTATCACCAATCCTGGATTACAACGAGGCAAATCCCTGGCGCGGCGATCTGCGGGAAATCTACGACGTATTGAGCAAGGTGTGCAACATCACAACCAACTCCTCGTGCGGAGTCCACATTCATATCTCTCGTGGAGTGGCCCCATGGAATCTGCGGACGGTCAAGGAGCTGTGTCGAAACATCTTCTATTTTGAAGAGGTCATAAACACCCTGCTCCCCGCTCACCGTGTTCGAAATGAACTGATTCAGAGCAGCCGTCGCGGGAGCGAAGTACTTCAGGGCAAAACCGCGCGTGAGTGTCTCCATGTGATTGAGAGATGTGTCACTGTACCGCAGGTCGTCAATGCTATGAACAATCGCGGGTCTCGGTACTTTGCTTGGAATCTGGTCAATCTAGTTCACGGTGGCCGAAGGACAGTTGAATTTCGACAGCCTCCTGGGGCAGACAACGCCGACCGGGTGCTACAATGGGCAGAGTTTGTGGTGTTTTTCCTGCATGCTGCGGCCATGTCTGTTCCCTTCGATCGACTTAGCGCAATCAGTCGCTCTCCATCGGGTTTACTACAGTTTCTCTCCATTCATGAGCCTCCAGGCTCTGATATACAAGCCGTTAGACGTCTTTTGCTGGAGCCATTGCCGTTGGAACGTACGAATGCTGAATGATTCCAATATTGATCAGTATTTCCACTGCGAGGAGGCTCCATTGGTTCTTGAGCAAGACATCATGGGACCAGGGACCGAAAGAGAGAACAAAATGCGAGTCTCACTGGTGAGATTGTATTTATTTGATGTGTCTGAAATGACAAAAGGAAGATGGCAACATGCTTCGACAATGGAAAACAGAGAGAATGGCTTTCATACCGCAATCGTTTAAGCCATCGGCATCTCATCTTATGTTTATCCCTATGTGACCTTCAAAGGAGTCAATCCTACGACGAGTTCCGCCTCCTATATCTACGGCTACTTCATGTTCGTTGAAACCCTGGACTGACTTTCAAGGCTTGAATGCTGTTTATGTATCGAAGCTGTGCTCATAGTTGAGCCAAATTGAACAAGCTTGACCCCCAAAGCTGATCCCCTGCTTGTGGGGTTCTCTTCGCATTTCCCCCAAGCATCTCATTGAATACACAAGATTTTCGCGCAAAATGATTGGATGTTTGCAAACTGTCCAAGGTTGCAGCGAATCGTGGCCAATGAGCTGATGTGGCTGGGGGCTGGGTCAGTCAACCTTGGAACCTTGCAAGGCACCCGTGGACGGCCCGAGAACCTTCGGATAGAACCTTGGAACGTTCTGCATTTTAGTGTTGTACATGGCGCTTTCTGGCCACCTTCTATCATCGAGATTATCCCCGTGAGAGCTTGCTCTGAGCTCACAAGGGTGTATGCTTTTCATTTTGGGCCTTATCTTAACCCCTGGTGAGCTCTGAATTACCCGGGTTGACTGGGCAAAGAGGGGTGCCCGGGCGGCGGCAAGCACCCGTGGACCCAATGAACAACAATTGGGACGCTTCAACGGGCGATCATCTGCCAAACCAACTCTTGGCGTTTGGACTGTTTGCCCGGGGCCAGAAGTGGACTCGGTCGGTCTGGAACAAAACTGACATTCAGCCTATTGATCGCCCTGTCATTGCCTGGGAACATAGCCCCCATCAGAGTAAGACCACACCCAACCCTGAGGCTGGATGGGTTTGAAGGCCTTCGTCATCCGACACATCAGTGCGATGTATTCTGCCTTGCTGTGCAAGACTGCAAAATCGCGGAGCACTTCGTAGATCGGGCGTAGGACACCGAATTTCGCGAAAAAATTGCTGGTTTCTTCTTTTCTGGCATGACGACGTCATTAGCAACCTTGCTCCGCGGTGCTTCGTCCCTTCCGACCTTCAAAGCAGCGCAGGCCCGAGAGTATGACATTGCACATTGTTTGTGTCAATCCTCTGAGAGAGAGAGAGGGACGGAAGTGGAGACAAAGAGAAGCAGGGAAAAAAGCAGATGAAATGAAGTGAAAAAGACATTTTGTAGTCAATAAAGCAGCCAAAACGCCCCATGGGAAGTTGTGAATCAAGCAGACGCGATCAGGCCACGAGCCAATAGCGCACACCCCTGGGTTTTGGGGCTTGGTTTTTACGAGAACCTGATCATAACAAGACTTGCAAAAAAATGAGAACATTCCCTTCTATGGCCTACCCGAATCTCGATAATTCTTAGGCGATCGTGTTCGTGACGGCGGAGCAGCCCCGGGTGCAGGCAGGCGCGGGCATACGAAGATCACCTGGGTAAATTACCAGCTGCAGGACTAGCCGCATTGAAGCTTGAGCGCCCACTGGCTCTGCGGGGCTGTACAGCGCGCACTGTCTCGAATCTCATTTTTCTTAAATTGCCGTCTTCAACCTGCACTTCGGATCTATCAAGACTAACAGGCCTTCTACATGTGAGTATTTACAATGAATCAACCACCTTGCCAGAAATGTCCAAGATTAGAACTTCTGCAGTGGGATCATGGTATGTGTATGTTCTCTCCTTACGGGCTGGACCATTATTTATGAGATGTAGGTGGCGGTCGGGAGACGACATATGCCCATCCCAGAGACTTTGTAGATCAAGATGGTGATGGCTCGACTCCGATATGGAAAAGCACAAGGGTTTCCATCATGTTTGTCAACCAAATAATGCATCGACAATCACATTTTGATTGACATCGACAGAATCGCATCCGCCAACAAAATTCGCAAATGTTCAGAATGTCGCCCAGCATTGAGCCGATTTCTCCAGATGCAGGAATCGTGGTGGTCGGATCACTACAAGAAGTCGAATGGTTATTTCGGATGCGAAACAACTCGCGATGCTGGAAAAGTGACAGGCGTCAGTATGTACATGTGTGCCCCACTAGCCGAGGAGACGCTGATCGGAACAGATACATGGTCTTACTTCGAGGTCAAGCAAGTTCCGGAAAACATCGATGATTACCGTTGGGATAAACTCAACGTTTTTACACGATGGATAGCGTCTACCAATCAGACATTTGTGGTCGTCTTTGATCTGGAATCTGCTATTCGAGGACCTGTCACAAATTCGCTGCTAAAGCTCAACCCATCCCATCTGGGCAATCCATACTGGCCCTATCCTGTTATCTTGGATACGGTCTCAAACCTCCAGGAATCCGCAGTCTGGCGCATTCGAGACCAGGTCCGGGCGATCGAAAAAAACAAACCAGGGCCCGGAACAGTCCCCAGGCCCGATTATAGGAAATTGCATGACATTGGCCGCCATGCCATACATGTATGTGAGACATTGGATGTTGCAGTTCAGACCATCGAATCTGTTCAAATGCACTACCTTCGATTCCTCGACTCCAAACTGGACGACGGCGATTCCGCAGTTGACCAAGACATCCGAGCTGGGTTAGAATTCCATCAAAGTTTTATCGCAAATCTACGCCATCGCTCAACATCGAATGAAAAGCGCTTGCAGAATGAAATCCAACTGGCTTTCAATACTGTCGCCCAGCACAATGCTGGAACCTCCGTGGAAATAGGCCGTGCGGCGCAGATAGACAGTTCGGCTATGAAAACCATTGCCTTTGTCACTTTGATTTTCCTTCCTCCGACTTTCATATCCTCTGTCTTCAGCATGTCCTTTTTCCAGTGTGGGGAAAACGATGGATGGGGTATGTCGAACAAGTTTTGGCTTTACTGGGTATTTGCCATCCCAATCACTATCGCCACTGTCGTCGTCTGGCAATACTGGCACAAGCTGTTTCCGAACAAAGACTACAAGAGCCATGTGACCAGACAGGAGGGATCTTTATCAAGAGCTGAAACTGTTATGCCAAAATTGACTGTGTAAATCGATGACCCTTGGGAGACACCAGGAACGCTCAGGTATCGGTGGGATGGCTTTGACCGACTGGCGATAGCGAATTGAGATTATGTTGGCGAAGAGCTTGAGCTGAGAATGACGACGAGAGTTACACATATCATGTATGAGACACCACTCAAATTTGAAAAGGTCCATTCCAGAATGAAAGAAGGATCTTTCGTAAATTATCAGCACCTTTCATTAAACAGTATGATCATCTGTTAAAACATCGGGGCGAAGTTGACCCCGCGTGGACACGCCTCTTAAGTCCAAGTCGAAGCAGCAGCGCAGGCTATTCAACCTTGAACTTTTGGGCAGCGAGTATGATTATGGAGTTTGAAAATATTACTCCGTACTGGGAGTAGTTCCGTCATCTTCGGTTTTCTGTGGCTGTGGTTGCACAGCCTTGCCAAACAACTTTTCCATGAAAGCGTCCGACTCTGCAGCGTAATGGCATCGAGCCCGAATACCCGCACCATATTTGTAGAACAAGAAAGGCATAGGCACGCAAGCAAGGGCCAGAAAAGCGGGAATGCTCGAGGCCCAATGAATACCCAGATTTTGATACATGGGCGTAGTGAAAAGCGGGAAAGCAGCACCGAAGATCGAACGCAGCGCAGCATTGGCGGCTAACACAGATGCAGCATAGATTGTATACGCGTCGATCAAGTAATTCAAAATTGGAAGGAATACCATCACCATGCCGTACCCGAAGGGTACGCCTGCTGCGATTGGTGCCATCCAGTGGACGTGGGGAGAGTTCGTCCAGGCAAACCAAAACAACCCAATTGGCAGTGCAATGGCACCGTAGAAAGAGTCCGGTAGACGCTCTTCTGGGGCTATCCGGCCAGGGGTGGAGAGAACCTTTTTCTTGTATCGGAAGTAGGCTGGGAATGTGGCTACCACTGAGAACAGGATACCAACCAGAATTCCTAGGAAGGCTAGTCCTCCAAGGCCTTCGCTCCAGCCACGTTCGACCTGGAACACAATCGGGAAGGCGGCAAACATGAGATATAAACTGCGAACGTCAGATATGGGCCACAAATGGGTTGCAACAAGGCTTGGTTTGGGGTTTCTTGCTTACATTCCGTAGATGATTGAAAGATAAAGGGAAAGCAGAAGGACAATTGGCTCACGGAATAGAAGCACCCACGGCCGTGAGAGAGCGACCTTGAGAATTTCCACCGGTGACTTCTTACCCTGCTCGATGTCGACTTTGCTCCGGTAGACCTGACCGGATATTTTGGATAAACGCTCAGCGCGCTTTCGCAACAACACGGGTGCGTATGTCTCTGGTAGAGCAAAAATCGTAACGATTGACAATACACCCGCGAACGCAGCTAAAAGGCCTTCAACCCATCGCCATCCCGCAGACTCAGAAAGAAACCCACCAATGATAGGACCGATGGTCGGGCCCAAGAATGGGGCAGCGCAATAAAGCCCACTAGCCAAACCGCGACTTATGCTCGGGAACGTATCGGCAATGACACCACCAGAAACAGCAAAGGGAGCAGAGCCTAGGGTACCGGCAAAAAAGCGGATGATGATGAGAGACCAGATGTTTTGGGCTCCAGCCGCGCCGGCCGTGAATGCCGTCAGACCAATCGAGCTAGCGATCATGATATAGCGACGACCATAGATCTCACTCAGAGGGGCCCAGACCAGAGGTCCGACAGCGAAGCCGATGACGAAGAGCGAAATTCCCAAGATCGCGACCTCCTCGCTGATTCGGAAATCAATGATGACTTCGTTGATGCCGCCTGTGTATGCAGATGAAACCAAGGCAACTGCCATTGTTGACACGCCGACTAGGATCGTGATCATCCATTTGCCCACCTCAGAGAAGTTCATAGGATTGCGCTCGTCTTTGTCCGCCCATGAGACTTGGAAGGGATCCTCCTCTGTGCCTGAACCATCGTATCGGTCATTGATGATGTTTTCAGAAACACTTCCCTGGTCAAAGATCAGACGCCAGCGCGGGACGCGCTTCGGCTGGGCAGCTGTCTTGGAGACCGACATTTTCATCAGTGATGAAGAACAGAGCGTTGCGAATTCTGAGTCTGTCTCAACCAGATCGCATCAGCCCAGTGATCGGGTCCTGTGAAGAATCTGCATTCGGGCAGCCCCCGAATGCTCGTCAGAGATTAACATCGCGCTAGAGAGGGAAAAGCACTGCGATCTGAGACTGAACCGGAAAACCAGTTGATTGGACTGGGAAGTGGGTTGAACGGAGAAAAAGTGACGATCGCCAGATTGTTCTCTGTTTGAGACCCACCGAACCTGAGATCTGCTCAGCTCTAGTTTCACTAGTCCCACTAGTACCGCCCATCCGATGGGTAGTAACTGGTGGCGAGGCTGAGAAACTTGCCGATGAAGCTGCAAAGGATCAATTGCTCAGGAGGTGGATTTCATGAGCTTCATTGCTGCCTGAGGCTGCAACTTCACCAGTGATCTCTCCCTCTATTTCTACACTTCTCCGTTGCAACCACCTCATGTTCCCTCCGACCCTTGGCCTTCCGGGCTCAACAGCATGCACACATTGGAGTCGACTTTTCTTCCACGCGTTTCTGACTGAGCGCAAACCCGGGATCTCCCCCTGGACGAAACCATGGACATCCTCCCTTGCTTCGGTACCATTGGAGCTCGAGATCTATCTTGCTGACGTCGACCCGATCGCGGTCGCCGGTGATCACCGGTGCAAAGGCATCGTGGCTAGCCTGCGACTGATAGAAAACATGCCCACTGACCAGGTGGTGCGGTTTGGTGAATAAATCGAAGCCCGGACTAACTTGTTGATGACAGAAGGACGATTCCACAAGATCTACTCGTGTGAGAGGACTACCAAACGCAGACCTAGCCGTGAGAAAACGTCTACCGGTATTTAAGCGGCCTCCGAACCGCGCGAGTGGTGAGTGGATACATGCCAGAATACCGGTCCACAGGTGTTCCATCAACTACCGATTAAGGGTTGATTTGGATTCACTCATATTACTGTGCGACCATTATATACGCGCTCGCTTGCAAGATCAAATGATGATACGCAGACGCAAGGAGCTTGCCTTTCTCGTTAGCAGCAGCCAATAAGCCGAGACAGAACAGGTCTCGTGGTTCCCATAACAACCGAGTTCGAAATCGGTACTCCGTACGCGGTATTCGGCTACCTCACTGGTGTTTGGCATTCCTTCAAGCAGGTGTGTTACTCGAGGCTCCATTTGCCGATGACTGCATGGCTTCTTCTGTGGCAAGGAAAAGATCCCTTGACCAATCAAAATATCATATCAAGGCCCAGAACAAAAGGGCATCATCAGGGGTAGTTTTGGTCAGCCACAATCATTCTGTCCCTTTCGAGGGATAGATGGCGCGAACCCATCGAAACCCGGCAGGTGACCTAGAGAATGATAGGAATGTCTTCGCATTGCCCTCTGAGGCTCACTTATCATTTCGATGACATCCAACTAACGAAACAGAACCGCGCAATACTCGTGAAACGATATGGAGAACGAACGAGCCATACCTGATGAAAAGCGCCCCGCAGACGAAGATACGAAGCGCAGAGCAGTGGTCGCGGACGCCCAAGAAGCCAATACAAATGAGCACACATTGACCGTGAAGCAAGCCTTGAAAGCATACCCATGGGCGTTGTTCTGGACATTGGCTTGCTCCATGTCCATCATAATGGAAGGATATGACAACATTCTGATCACGAGTTTTTTCGGCTTTCCCACGTTCAAACGGACCTTCGGTCAATATTATGCCGAAAGAGAAGACTGGGAGATTCCTGGACCATGGCAATCCGTACTGAGCAGTGGGCCTGTTGCCGGATCAATCCTTGGGGCGTTTCTCAATGGGTTCATCATTCATCGACATGGATTCAGATTCGCGTTCATGCTCGGTCTTACTATGATGATTGGTTTCGTTTTCATTTCATTCTTTGGTCGAACAGTCGAGATTCAGACTCTTGGCCAAGTTTTGTGTGGGCAGGTCTTCTCCGTACCAAGTGCTGGTCACTTTTACTGACATTACATGCAAGTATCCCATGGGGAATGTTTGCAACAATCGGACCTGCATACGCATCGGAGATATGCCCCCTGGCCTTCCGGCCATATTTAACGGCTTATGTCAACGTGTGTTTTGCAATCGGCCAATTTATCAGTGCCGGGGTAATACAAAGCTTGGTCGACAGAACTGATGAGTGGGCATACCGAATCCCATTCGCGCTCCAGTGGATATGGCCCGCTCCATTGCTATGCATCTCTTGGTTCATGCCGGAGTCTCCATGGTGGCTTGTTCAAAATGGTCGGTACAAGGAAGCTGAGCGATCTGTTGAAAGATTTATGGCCAGTTTTGAGAAACCCAAAGCTGCAAAGGTGGTTGCGATGATGATCCACACCAACCAGATTGAACAGGAAATGCAGTCTGGAACCTCATATCTGGACTGCTTCCGCGGAACCGATCGGCGTCGCACTGAGATTGCTTGTACTGTATTTGCAGGTCAGATTCTTTGCGGTGCCCCATTGGCCTTCAGCGCTACTTACTTCTTCCAACAAGCTGGGCTCAGCACCGAGAACTCATACAAAATCGGGCTAGCTGGTACTGCCATCGCCTTTCTCGGAACCACCGCTTCTTGGCTCTTGATGGCCAGGTTCGATCGTCGGTCGATTTACCTGTTTGGAATGGCCTTTATGAGTATTTGCCTTTTGATAATTGGCTTGCTCGATCTACCCATTAGGAAGCAGACCATTGCGAATGCGCAATCAGCACTTTGCATTGTCTGGTTACTGGCATTCTCCCTGTCCGCAGGGCCCATCGGATGGACTGTTCCTGCCGAGGTATCGTCCACCAGGCTTCGGTCGAAGACAATTTGCTTGGCAAGGAACACCTATTATATATGTCAGATAAGTTCCAACATAATCCAGCCATACATGCTAAATCCAACGGAATGGAATTGGCAAGGTAGAACCGGCTTCTTTTGGTTTGGATTCTCGTCTCTTACGTTCCTCTGGGCGTTCTTTAGAATGGCGGAAACTAAAGGTATGCCTGATTTCTTTTTCTTTTCTTTTTCTTTTTTATTTGGGCTCTGCGTCTAACTCCATCTTCAGGTCGAACTTACGAAGAGCTCGACATATTGTTCGCTGCCAAGGTTCCAACTAGGCAATTTTCCCGGTGTGACATTAGTCCACAACAGGGAGAGTAAATTATTCGCCCACGCAGGAGAGAAGAGAAGACAAGACAAGGACGTCTTTAAATTTCCTCTTGTCCTCTAATACATGTCTTCCCTCTCAGTGGGGCATATAAAATTTGAAGCTGTCTCGGCGGGTCTATACTCGGAAGACACAATGTCGATGGGATTTCTGTGTAATTTTGTTACAGGACGATCTAAAGCTTTAGTCTTGCTGCGTTCTATGAACATCATTTGCCTCCGTGATCATCCTGATTGAAGGTCTCAAAAGTCTCCAGTGACAGGAGCACCATCGAGCTTGAAGTATCCAGGCTGGAGATTCTGGTAGACCTGCTTTGGATCAAACTCCTTCGCAATCTTCTTCAAAAGAGCTTTGTTTGAATTGCCGTATCCTGCGATCGGGTCTTGGAACATACTGGCGTAGTTCATGTAGATGTACTCGTTGAAGACACCAGTGCTCTTGGCGTGTGCAATCACCTTTTCCCAGAAGCTGTTGACAAATGCGTAAACGACATCGTCGTCGGATTCATCGCTCCACCAGCAGGCAATGTGCATCAGATGAACAGGTCCTTTGGAAGCGTCGAGGCCCAGTGCATTACCACCGTGATTCGCCATATTCTTAAGCATTGGCTCAGTGATGCCTTGGTAGATGATGACTGGTTGGACCCCGGCGACATCGGCGACTTGAGGAACCATCGCAAAGAAAGTGTCCAGAGCCCAATTGGAGAATTCTTCGTTGAGCTGGACGCTGATTGGCCAGTAAACTTCACGATGGCCGGATGGGTTCTCGGTCTCCAAGTACTTCACATACTCGACGAGGGACTTTGAGCTGGAGGTGTCGGAGATGGCTGGAATGCTTCGGAACTGTTTGAAGATTTCGGGATCGGACTCATTCTTGGTGTAAGTGAGCTCTGCCGTACCAAGCTTCATTCCGCTGGATTGGAGGAATGCCACATATTGCTGGGCATGACCATCGACAGTGGCGTTGTTGATGACATTGATCCAGGCATTGATAACTTCAGGGAACTCAGTCTCCTGAAAGATCCTCGCTCCACCGTACATCTGAGGGGCAGGAATAGTGAAGAGGTTGTACTTGGTGACAAGACCAAAGTTGTTGCCGCCGCCTCGCAAGGCCCAATACAGTTCGGGGTACAATTTCTCACTAACAGTGAGAATCAAACCGCTTGCAGTAACAACCTGTTGCCATCAGAATCTCTGCGCCGGAATATCACGGTAGAAGCCATACCTCGAAGCTTTCGACATTGTCGCAAGCCCACCCGTAAAGGTTGGAGTGGTATGAGATACCACCACCCAGAATAAAGCCACCAACTCCAATACTAGAAGCGCGGCCACCGATAGTAGCGAGGCCGTATGGCTCTAGGGCAGAGTAAACGGACAGCCAGTTGTTTCCGGGTCCAACAGAGGCAACTGATTTGTCCTCGTTTAGGGTGACCTCGTTCATGTCTTTGAGCCAAATGCTAATACCTCCAGGGCTACTAGAAGCACCCGTGAAAGCAGCATGGCCACCACTTCGAGCAGCAAACTGACAGCCAGTGAGACGAGAGATCAAGACGGCAGTGCTGACTTCGGTGTTCACGGAAGGCCGGAAGACACAATGAGGCTGGACTTCTTCTTGCTGGACGGACCAAAAGGATCCAGTGAAGCTATTGTATCCGGTGCTGTTGTGAGTTGATACTTTTGAGCCGAAAAGGAAGGCCAAGCTTGAGCACTATCTCACTTGTGATCAGTCAAGTCAAATTGATGGCACCACATGCCGGTTTGAAATAATTCAAGCTGAAGCTGACGTACCGCTGTAGAGCAACCCAGCTCTATCGAGCGCGATTGAATGCCAGATGCTAGAGCCGGGATTTTGGTCACATCCACTCCCAGATTTTGCAGTGCGTTGGTCACGTTAAAATCCTCTGGTTCGATAGCAGTAGCCAAGACTCCGCTAATAGCGGATAAACCGCTGACAATGCTTGCGAGACGCATGCTTCAAACGCTGGAATGGTTGAAAGGGTAAGAGCTAGATTCAAGCGAGATGCGCTCAAAGAGAGGTATAAAAGTTACAAGTGAAGAGAAACAAAACCCTTTTAACTTCCCCCAGGGTGAGTGGGTCGAATACTATCCATTGATGCAATTTTCCCGAATCCGACGAACTTCCTTCAACCGTTTGTTGAAGTAGTAACCCACGCTCAGGGGTAGGGCGGTATTACTCGCTAGCTTAGCCTTCGCTTTGACAAGCGCATGAGACACATTCGGCCGGGTCTCCAAGCGAAGCGATGCAGCCCGATCGCGATTAATGACAACGCATGTGTATGATTGGTCAGGTAGTCCTCGCTAATTGCTTTCCTTGACATGTCCCGCTCCCGAGGTCTTTGCCAATGCAAGATTCTTAAAGATATTTTAGTGTGGCCTAGGTACACAGGAATGGCATGAGGCTTGTATTTGGATATGGTACAAGGTGCGCTGCGCCTGTTGGCTGCCGGTGTTAGATTTTTCGCCCCGAGTAAGCAACGAAGTCATCCAGAAGTGATCACCTCACTTACTCTGTACCACTACGAATATCAACACACGGAGCATCAACATCGATCGCTTGTTGCCATAGACTTACAAAACAAGGCCCGGTGGAAAGGGGCTGGCGAATATTCTCTAACCGAGCGCCACATACTCCGCAGCCTGGTGGCTTAACCCCAATTCGACAATCCCCGAATGCACACGAAAACAGAAGAAAATCGAGCACAAAGTGTCGGGGCTCAAGAGCTTTTAAATGTTTGTCGAAGATTATAATCTTCATTTTCTCACGTCCACGAGCATGGACCTTGCGATCTGCGAAAATAGCTAGGCGGCCCCCAATCGCCACTGAAGAGGCCCCCAACTGCCACTGGAGCCCGGCGCGGGCCATCCGTCCCACTGGCGCAGGTGCCCATCCGTGAGTGGCCCGGCCCGGAGTGGGGCATGCATATTCGATCCTTCGTGGCATTAGCACTGTTTTTCTGTATATTACCCCTCCGGGGCGAAAGGACGACCATCCTTGCAAAACTTGCCTGAAGACATGTGGCAAGGGGCCATTTTTCTCAAGTCTACTTGAAACTGCAGATTAGTGCAGCCACCGCGATGTGTGAGAATCCTTGTCCTGGTATAATGTCTTTATATTATGTACCATAATCCCACCCCGTCCCGGGGTAGAATGCCCTTCAGTTTCGTTTGCCGATATGGGAGAAATCTCCAAGGGCAATTTTGGCCCCGAGACAATCAAAGCAACGGGGATTGCTTTAATCGTACTCACTACAATAGTGTTAGCCGGCAGATTTGCCGGCTCGGTTCGCAAGCTCAAGGATCTGAAAGCTGAAGACTATCTTTTGATTGTTGGATACTTGTTCTTCTTGGAGCTGACAATTCTTTACATCTATATCTCGCCCGTGATTTTTCGATTAGCCGCGGTCACGGCCGGGACAATCGGGCCTTATGCGACCATCATGGAAGATTCACGTCGGTTGCAAATTGTATTCTTCGTGACGACTTCCTCCTTGTGGCTATCGTTATGGATGATTAAATACTCACTTCTGGCAATGTATAAGCGATTACTTGTCGGTAAACCCTATATCATTGCCTGGTGGGTAATAGTCGGGTTTTGCACTCTGGTATGAATTCCACCTGGGCATAACTGCTTGTGAATCGCTTGCTAACCAAAGCCACCAGGTCATCATCGGGTGTATTCTCTCGTCTTGGTTGTCTTGTTCTAGTTTCCACGCCTGGTTTACAGCGGGTAAATGCGATACACCTCGTGATCATCGCGCCGCAGTCATCAGCTTGTACTTTTCATATGCCGTGGATATCATCACCGATCTCGCAAGTACGGATGCCAATATCCTCTCAAACCAACAGCTTTGTACTAAGATTTTGATTAGTTATGGCTCTTCCCATTCGATTAATCTGGAATCTACAGATGAAGAAGAAGCAAAAGCTTGTCATTGCCGGACTATTTTGCTTCGGATGGGTCTGTATCATCATATCCACCATCCGCGTTGTTCAGCTAGGAGATACCACGAATGGTGTTCCTGCGCCATCGTGGCTTGCTCTTTGGGCGATGATTGAATCATCCATCGGTATGTCATCGCCGCATATCCTCCTATTGTGATTTGTTGCCCAGCTGACATGTCTTCGCTCTAGCTGTAATAATTGGCTGTTGTCCCGGCCTCTATCGTGTTATAAAAACTGCGGTCTCGCCTTCCAAGAGATCTTACGAATACGAGTCTTACAATTTGCGCGGTCGGGCAGGAAGTGGAATGCCATCACACCGATCAAGTGTGCTGAGGGAGCAAAACCTTACTTTGAACCGATTCACAGGGAAAGTAGAAGCCTGTCAGTCTGCAAATGCATATCGATCGTCGACTCCAGCAAGCAGTCAAGAAAGACTAGCGGGTTCAAAAGAAGAGGGCAACATCATGGTCAATTATGGCGTAGCGGTTACAGTGGAGGATCGATGGAGTGATTACGACCGCACGACTCGTTTTGTTTAGTCAATGCAATCCATTTCACATTTTTGCGCGCTGTACAAGCATTCCGGTATCATGAGGACAGGATATGAGAAAAGACATTCATTTTTCTGATCCACGCTGATCACCGTCTTCATAGACGCACTAGCAAGTAACATCAAAAAGCAACAGATCCATAGCTCTCGTCTTCTTTCTCTCTTTCGGAACTTTGACATCCGTCGATCCAGCCCTCTGTTGAATCAGAACTCCCCACAAAGCCATCCATACTCGCATCATCTGTACCAAGAACATGCAGAGCTTGAGCGAGAAGAAGATACATTCGCGACTTCAAAAAGCGATATTTCTCCAACATTGAGATGGATTCGGGAAGAGGTTTCGATCTTTTATCTCTTTGTTGTTCCTCGACATCAGTGCTCAAACGATGGCAGTCGAGATATAGCGACGCAATATAACGATAGATGGAATTGATGATTTCCTTCCCATGAATCCGGACATCGGTATGATTGGACTTGATGTCGATGTCATTTTCTGGAGTCAGGTCGAGCTTGCCAATGCACAAGTCTTGAAGCTCTGCTTCCAAGCTTTGCAGGCGGTCGAGCCATGCGTTGATAGCATACGCGCGCACGATGTTTACTACATATCCCGCCGTATTGGTGCAATCTCCTGGGATACCCAGCATATCCTTGGCGAATACTTCAACGTCGCAGACCCGGTTTCCCTCAGCTGGAGTGGCTTGCTCAGATTTACTGCTGCCACCCCTGTTCTGCTCTTCACAAAATTGCCGGAAGCTTTTCGTGCTCTCTTCCTTGGACAACGGATCGAGGAAAATGTATGGATCGTTTTCCCCATCGAGTTCAGGGTACGGTGGGAAGATAGCCAGGACTGCCAATATAAGTGAGACGCTGGTTCAATTCAGCAGCACAGGAGAAATAGAAATACTTACCTGTGGTGTGGTTGGAGTAAAAACTGCCCGTTACATAGATGGTAACATGCTGTAAAATATCCAGGCCACTTTGCGTGTATCTTTCCCCTTGGTCGCAAAGCATACTGTCGTCTGCAAATCGCTGCCGGGCACTGCGGCGACTCAAGATGCCATCTTGCAACCCCAAAGACCCAGTACGTAAGGATCTGATGGCACTTGTTCTGTTCGCTTCGCTTTGGTACCCTTGCACGTATATTGTCCGTGGTATATCGATTGAGATCGTTACAGGTAGGTAAGCATCGCAATTATACACTGACTTGAAAGCGGAATCTCGGAACGTGAGGTCTTTCGCATGCTGCACATTTGCGAATTGAAATTGCCCAAGGTGCCTCTGAAGAATCTGCAGGTTCCGGTCCTGCTCATATGCCCCAACTGAAGTGGGGATTGAATCAATCTTCAATTGAGATACTCCAATCCTCTCAATGCTGGTACTTTGTTCGATTGCCCTGAACGACGTTCCAACATGGTGGCTGAGCACATTAGGATCCAGCGACAGCCCAGATCCCAGGGCTTCGATGCTCAAGCAAGTGAGGTGCTGGGCGCAAATGATTCGGGGAAGGACACGACCACCATTTTGATCTGGGCCGGCAAGAAAATTCTTCAAACTTTCCATAGAGCTGAGCTCTGTTCCATCAAACTTGTGATGTTTTAAGCTGTTATGGGTATGACCTGGATCGATGACATGTATGGGCGACCTGAGAGTGGATATCTGGGAGCGATAACCAACTTGGTGCGGCGAGAGTGGAGAGAAACGCCAGATTCGGTCGTTTCTTGAATGTGTCAGCAAATGATCATAGTCCGGAGATAGAGACTGTAAATATCGATGATAGATGCCCTCGTGTGACTCGGGCAGCCATGCGGATAACACTTCTGCTAGCCTCTGCGCCGTGGGACTTTGGCGCATCGGCCTCAAAGGGCTTGGATTCATGATGGTTTGAGGATTGTAGCAAGATCCTGGGGGATATTTGAGACTGGAGGTGGACTCTATTAGAAAGTGGGTCTGGGTTGAAGCGAGATAGAAAACGGCTAAGGAAGTTGGGGGTTGTTGACAGTCCAGCCTTATATGTCGTCAGGGTCGGAGTGTTTGCCTGGTTTGTTTCTCCCATGGCCCTCTACGCCGCAGTTGTTTGCACCCCTGGCTGTTTGCCCTTATTTAATGTTTGACTCTGGAGGTCAAAAATCGCATATATCTGCAGTTGTGACCTTGGATTGGAAGAGTGACTCGATGACCTTCCAAGAGGTTAAACACCTGCCCAGGTGGGCAGACAGTATGATAAGAGGACAAACCAAGAATCAAGAATTTCCTAGATGAGTGGTGGAAAACATTCACCTTGTCGGTTTCTTAAGCAAGCTTGAGGCCAACTCAAGCTAGTCCAGGGTGTTAATTTTGGGTGTGTCATTGGGAGACATCGATTGCTCGCAGCAACCTGTTCAAGCCTTCTTCTAGTACATCCTTTGGATGGGCAAACACCATTCGAAACCACCCCGTCTCTTCAGAAGCATAAACTGCTCCTGTGGCAATGTATACCTTCTCTTTTCGCAGCCTTTCAACAACTTCGTGGTCCGTAATTGGATCACCTTGAACTGCAGCTCCAATATTCATCCAAACGAACAATCCTGCGTTAGATTCCAAATACGGGATCCCATGATTTCTGAGAAACTCCGTTGCAAACAAATAGCTGTCTGCCAAGCGCATCCGGTTTTTCACTATATAGTCCCCAACAAATTCGTCATTGCGCAAGAGAGACGTAGCCACCTGGTCTGCAAGGCTTGACGGGAAGTTGTAGAGTCTAGTAACATAGTTAGCCAGGGTGTCACTATTTATCCCGTTTCTCAAACATACGAGATGCCTTCTGCGGCCTCAATAAGCGCCATATTTGCCTGGCTGATCAAACACCCAATCCTCAATCCTGTGGCGCCAAAGTCCTACCAAGCCCGAAGTCAGCTATCGATTCAATCTGGTTGGGGAATGCAACCTACTTTGCTCAGTCCCCACACAGCATGAATCATGCTGGGATCCATGACCGGCTGATCGCCCATTGAAAGTATAGACTTGAAACGCGGTGCATCTTTGATGCGTGGATTGTCCCAAACAGTCAGAGCGTAAATCTCATCGGAAACCAGATGAAGTCCACTTCTGCCGCACAGTTTCATGTATTCTCTCAACACATGCTCGGGATAGCAACGCCCTGTCATAAATCAATTAATTTCCCAGCTGCGTATGAGATTTCAGTGGAAACAAACCAAGGGGATTGTGTGGTGAACACAAAATCAACGCTCTCACGCGAAGACCTTTACCTCTTGCTTCCTCGTATGCATTTTGATAGACTTGCACTGCCTCTAGACTGAAGGGATCAATGTCTCCAAAGGAAACCTCGAGAAGCTTGATACTGTACAAAGTTCAGAATGGAACAGACAGCAATGAATGGAGAATCTTACCCAGGACGCGTGCCAAGAGTGGTCTTGAAAGCATTGAAATACGGTCGCCCAACGAGAATGTAGTCGCCTATATCTGCCAAAGCCCAGGCGCAGCATTCAACCGCATTACTCACACCGGAAGTAATCGCCAGGTGAGATGGATTGAGCGCAGTGGTAGGTGAAAGTTGGTTATTCAGGAAGTGACAGATGGCCTCTTTCAGGTTGTGGGAGCCACTGAATCCATCGCCGTAGGTTAATGCGTGCGTGGTGAATTTTGACTGTCAGGTCAGCATTCAAGGGCAACGAGATGATGGTAATGTCTTCGTATTTACGTTGGTGTTGATGAAATCCTCCAGCTCTGCGTGCATGAGCGTCTAGATGAATGTTAGCAATGATCACTGGCTCTCTTAGGCACGCGGTCCCACATTTTCAGCCAGTCCAATGTTCACAATTCCATTGGGGTTGAATTTGGGGTCCCACAGATCTCCCAGCACGTCGAAAAAGGTTGGCTTCTGTGCCACGAAGTCTTTGCCTCGTACAGAAAGAGTCTCCATCTCAAACCCAATATGTCAAGTAAACGGTGCCAACTTCAATTGTTGTATCTGTTTTATTGCCGAGGTTTGGTTCGAGTTCGAGTTCTGGCAGCGGATGTTCCCAGAAGGCGCGCAGCCGCTGCGGAAATGGCGGACTCGGTCGATGAGAACTCCCTGAGACGTTTGAAATGAGCGGATGGTGCGGAAATTGTGGTTTTAAGTGAATCCAAGGCCACAATTTCCCTCAACCTCATCTTGGGCCGGTATCATATATGTGATGGCTGAAAACTGTCAATCCGTCCAGTTCCTGGACGAGACACGTCCCCGACTCAGAGCGCAGAGCTCTAGTCGCGGTTCAACCACAAGGCTTCTTTATCCGACATCCTCCTAAGCCTCACGACCTCGAGGAGAATCTGACGGATGAAGCCTGCTTGTTCCAAATCATCCACATGGGCGCCGCAATCGTTGATCCGGTTCGTTGGAAACTTGTCATTGATGGTCTTGTCGAGCGCCCTTTCGTGATAGATTTTCAGCAGTTACGGCAAATGCCTTGCAAAAAGATCGTCCCCTTTCATGAGTGTTACGGTAGCCCACTGGTGGCACCGACGAAAAATGTCTGGAGAATCGGGAATGTTGAATGGACCGGGGTTGTGTTTAGAGACCTTCTTGAAATCGCACGACCACACCCTGAGGCACATTTTGTTTGGTCGGATGGACTGGACTCAGGGGCTTTCGGTGGAGTTGCTGCAGACCGGTATCGTAAGGACTTGCCTATTGACAAGGCGCTCTCGCCAGAGGTGCTAGTAGCCTATGAAATGAACGGCAAGCCGCTGGGAAAAGAGCGAGGTGGGCCAGTAAGGCTGGTTGTTCCGGGCTGGTTTGGTACAAATTCCACGAAGTGGCTCTGTCGCTTGTCCTTGCAGGACAGGAGAGCTCAAGGGCCGTTTACCACCATCTTTTATAATGAGCTTGATCCGGAAGACACGACCGGATTGCGCAAACGGCCGGTCTGGAAGGTCCAACCCAACGCGATGATCGTGCGGCCTCGTCCGGGCGAGACATTCCTGTGTCCTTGCGATGTCGACGTATGGGGTCGGGCATGGGGCGCGGAAGAGATTGTTAGAGTGGAGGTCACAGTCGATGGTGGTAATACTTGGGAGGAAGCAAACCTGCTTCCTAGGGAGATGTTTGAATGGCAGCTTTTTACTCTTCGGGTCATTTCACCTCGTGGGAGACGCGTTATTCAGGCACGAGCAACGGATAGGTTAGGAGCTCAGCAGGCACTGAGACAAAGTCGGAATCATGTACCGACCGTTGAAACTCAGGTAGAATGAAAGTCTTCTCCGATCTCAGAGGAATCAAGGGTGGAGATGGTCGAGATCTCCGCTCTATTCAAGATTAGTGGAAAGAGAATGGTTTCTCCCGTCCGTCGAGTCAAGTTCAACGTTATCAAAAGTCACTCCATGTGAAGCGGTCCATAGACTATTTCAACAGTGGCATTGTAGTGTCGAGTCCAAAGGGGTTGTCCCACGGGTGTCACCCGGAGCGTGAGAGCGTGACAAGGTCGCATACGGTGCAGTGGAGTTGATTTGACTGTATGTATGTGAAGGTTCCAAGAACTCCAACACTGTTTTTGTATTTTTAAACGTACATGTGATATGACAGACAATACGCATAAGCGTTGAATCCGACACTGACATCGAGTAGATGAGATCAGATAAGTTGAGTGGAAAATATGATATTACACAAGGATGTGCCCAAGAGAATAGAAGATGACCAGACACAGTTTCAGCGAAACCGAGCTCAAGCCACAGAAAGAAAAAGGGGAAAGAAAAACATAGATGCAACCAAGTGACAGCCGGGGGGCGTATATCCATTACACGGACAGCCAATGCAAAAGTCAAGTCGCCATGCAAAAACAATATGCCACGCGAGAATCAAGGTGCGAAAAATGTGAAACAGAAGGGGATATTATGTCCGTTGAATCGTGTCGTGTCGTTGAAGTTGTGCAGTGAAGTGAAGAATGAGAAGATGGAGGAGGGAGAAGGAGTAATTATGCGACAGCACAATGAAGGGGGAAATGGAAGACTAAATAGTCGAAGGTCAAGCGCAGCAGATGGATGATCGCAATACCGATGGGGGATATAGCTGGAATGGAAAACCAGTCGAGACTGGTGAAGGACAAGTCCAAAGATGAAACAAAAAGAAGAAAAGAAAAAAAAGCAAATCGGGGTCATAAAGCGTGAATGAAAGATCGTCAAGACAGCGGATGCTGCAACCCAAAGAAATGAAACCTAGAACCCTGTTGTAGTGCCGACAACAGCAAGGGTAACAACAATGACGATGATGACAACGCCAAGTGAAACCATCCACCGGTTGAGAGTTCGCCACCAACGCGCATTGTCATGTCGACGCTGCTGCAGGTTCATGCACTGCATCTCAAGCGCAGCCTCAACATCAGAGTCAGACCCACACTCCGCCATTTCCGGAGACAGGGTTGGCCTGGGCGGTAAAGGCAGGAATGCAGCGACACACCATGCGAGAGGGAAAATGAAGCCAGCGCAGAACGAGTATACTTGAATGTTGCGTCGACCGAAGGTTGGCTCGCCGCGGGAGTCGAGTGAAGGCGCGCGCCAGCCAGATCGCGACCCTTGCAGGACTCTTCGGTCGGGAAGCAGGTGGGGAGACCAACTGTGGTGGAGACGGTGATTGGCATTGCTGGATCCACCGTCCGAAGGCTGCGGTGAGGGCACCCAGTGGGCGCGAGGATCGCGCAGGTCGCTTTCTTGGCGACGCTGTTGGCGCAGAGGTGATGCGGGACGTTGGGAAGGTCCAGGATTTTCTGGGGATCGCGGACGCGGGACGTTGAGCGGCCCGGGGACCAAGTTGAACACACTTGAGTTGGAGGTCCCCGTTCGGGTGGAGGGCGGGCGGATTGACGGGGCTCGGGTGGACGGTGCCCTGGTTGAGGGTGCCTTGGTTGAGGGTGCCCGGGCGGAGGACGGTCGGCTGCCGTCGATCATAGTCAAGGTGGAGTTCAACCCCATGGGTTCGTGCAAATAGTAAACCTTGGCCCAGGTGGGAAGAATATTGAATATATTGCTGGAGCCGGTTCCCGGGCGGGTGCTACGGGTGCTGTTGCTTCGCTTGGAGCCAGAGGAGAGACTTTGAGCGAAGACCGGACGAGAGGGAAGCTTGGTCAGGCTGTCAAGGCGTTCGTCGTCACTATCATTGGAGCTGTCGACGAGCCAAATAGACGACCGGGTGTCCTCCTTCTTGAGAGCCGCGGCGGGTGGAGGCGTGAGCTCTGGCACTGAACGGTCAGAATCTGACTGAGGCTCGGGTTGGGCGGACAGGTTGGCTAAGTCATCGGCGGACCAGTTGGATGAAACAGTTGAGAGGTGAGGGTTCCAGCGACCAGACGCCAGGTGAGGATTGCAACGGCCAGAGGCAGGACCAGGAGAGAAGTCGCGCTCTCCGGATACCGAGGTATCTGCCCGGGAGCTCGAAGATGATGGGCCACGGATCCGGGGGTATTGGATGGGAACGCCACTGTCAATGGCGGCCTGCAGATCAGAAGCGGATCGGAGGCTGCGCGAGGAAGAGGTTGCAGAGCGTGAACGGCCCCCTGATGGAGCGCGCGATGTTGACCGGAAGGATGCGACGGACTGAACGGGAGGGCTGGACGGGAACGACGGGGTGCGGTAGCTCAGTCGGTCGGAAGAGACTGTCTGGAAGGTTGTCTGGAACCAGGGAGTGGCGCCGGAATGTCTCACTACAGTGCCGCCTGAATTGAATGAGGAAATCGAATTGGTTCGGCGGTCCATCTCAGACGACGCACTGCTTGGGCGAGCGAAGTGCGTGCTGGAGTTGTCGAGCATCACGAAGTTCGGACTGGACGGAGCTCCAATCTGCTCGATGTTTGGGCTGGAATAACCTGCAATTGATTCGTCGGAGGACTTGGGCGACATAGAGCCCTCCGAGAGAACGGCTTTGATTGTTGGCGTGGCAGTGGGCAAGACAGCCATATCGTCATCCGAGAACTCTGGCTCCGAACCCTCCGATCCATAGTTTGGCGCTTTTCCCGACGAAACCTCTGGCAGCGACGACTTGCTCGAGCTTGGGTCGTCGTCCCACATCTGTGGCGGCGAGTTCCCAGCGTCATCGGTCGATCTATCCCATCCTTCGCCGATTGAAAAATCCCGTGGGCTGGCCGGGGTCGGGGGACTGAAGGTTGGTGTTGAATAAGTCGACGAGGAGGGCGCGATGTTGTCCGAATAACTGAAACCGGTGTCCGCGATATATTCTTGCTGTCCTTTACCGGGAATAGGCAGCAAAATCTGTTCGGGTTTCGTTGGGAATGGTGTCGCGTTATACATATCCACCTCTTCCTGATCCGCCGAGACCATCCGTAATGACCGAGTCGGCGATCTTTCGTTCGTGTGGGCGGAATTCCGCTCTTGCAACGCCCTGCGCGCGCGCGGCGGCGAGGTCGGTCGAGGAGCAGACATCTCACACTATAGCATTGATCCGAAAAGAAACGAGAGAAAACGGGACGAATAAAAATAATAAAATAACACGGGCGGTTGGCAAATTGCGGAACCGGGAACGTGGGGCGATAAACAACGGACGAACGACGCAATGATTGTTTTCCTTTTCCTGAAACGAGGATGTCGATGAAAAGAATGTGGAAATCCCGGGGATATCGATCCGAAAGGGTCTATAGGCCGAGGATAATCAAATAAAAAAGAATGTGGTAGACGGGCTAAGGCGTCTGTGATTAGTACGTTTCAAACGTGCAAAACCATTAAAAGAGTGACAACAATCGACAGGCACGGCCGGCAGGGGAAAACAATCATTAAAGCGCTTCGAAAAGCACACGACAGGAAGCAACGAGAGAGGAACTTTGAGACAGAAGGGGGTGAGGAATTTTGTTGCCCAGCGGTGAGGAGCAGCCGGGAGCGCCTATCACCGCCGAATCCAGACCCCAGCGTGATGCAGCCTGCATGGGCCCCAGGAGCAGACACTCGGTGGTGGCTGTGAACGATTGGTCCAGATGCGATAAAAAAAGATGTCTCTCGCTGGGCTGTCAAGTCCGTTGTTCTCTGGTTCTTCCCAGCGTTCCCCGGTGCACTATATCATTCTGCCGAACCCCGTCTTGAGTCTCTCCCGAGGTCCGTGAATCCCATTACACCAGAAAGATCCGCCAGGCTTCGTACAGATCAGCAGCACCCTGAAAACTCTCATTATCCAGTTTGTGCAGTGGAGACTGTGTGCGTTGTCCTGAGGCTAAGCCCACAATGGTAAAGTCCTCGTACTTCCATTCTAGCGCCCTGTCTGACCCTGGCGTATTGGTCTCGCAATAAGGGTATTCATTGCCAATGGATTCAATAATGTTTGCTTCTTTGCAGCACTCGTGTGGGCCGGAGAATTAACCTCACGATGTCTTTGACGCCCTCGCATTGACTTGCATTTTAAAATGAAGATTGGCTCTCAAGGAGAGAGCTCACAACGCTCGGTCCACTGGTTTGCCGTTTCGGCCTAATGCCCCCGAGTCCGGAGTCTAACAAGATGGGAGTCTCACACTCCCCATAGAGCTCCGATAGAACAATATTAAGACCACAAAGAAATGGACGAGATGAATCCGGCGAAGTAAACAATACAAAGTTCGATATCCGACACCTTCAACCATGGTGCAGCTTGACAGTACCATACTGTACTGTACTACTCCCAGCCAATCACTACCAACCACTCTTCATGTTTCCGTACGGCCCCAACCGCAACAAAGAACAACCTCCAGGAAGTTGTGTGTTCCTGCCTCCATAAATATTCCCAACCACCCGCAAATCCAATGGCACCCGTCGGACTAATGGCGCGCCTCAAGAGCCTGTACTCGAAGCAGGGTAAGGGGCAAACCTTGAACTATTGATTCCCGCTAACACCCCTCAGATGAACCCGCGCTGTCAAATGGGTCGGTCGCTTGTCTATCCGTACGTAAAGACAACTCTCAAACATGCATATCCGAAAGGATCATGTTTGTTTTGATCGCCTTTTTCAGTCTGTTGTTTTGGTCCTAACTTCCCCAGGTTCTCCTCACTCTGCTTTACGTGGTCCCATTTTATCTTTCTCCAACCACTCGCCCTTCGCCAAGCCTCAGCCGCGATGCCCCATCGGTAATCAGGGCGCGCATCCGCGCAGTGACAGGCTCCTGCGTGGTTAGCTCTATTGTAGTTCTCTGGCTCATCGTTCAAGAAGGCGGTTCCTCCATAGGCGCCGGCGTGCGACTTCTGGGCTGGTGGCCCGTCGGCGTGCTAGAGATTTTCCGATCTCTTCTGCTCACAGCCATTTTATTCATCGGCCCACTTTTCGAGCGCGGTATTGTCGAGGGCGAATGGCGAGTATGGTTCCGTCGCTCAAAGCTTTCTGAAAGCCTGGGTGGCTGGATTGGATGGAGGAACTATGTCGCTGTATGTTTTTACCCATCTGGCCCGGTCATATGCTAACTCGTCCAGGGACCTTTCACTGAGGAAGTGATGTTCCGGTCGGCCATCGTGCCGCTCCACCTTTTGGCGCATGAATCGCCCGGGCGGATTGTCTTCATCGCGCCCCTGTACTTTGGTATCGCCCATGTGCATCACTTCTATGAGTTCAGACTCACGCACCCGGATACGCCGGCTCTTGCTGCCCAGTTGCGCTCGCTATTCCAATTCGGTTACACCACCATCTTTGGATGGTATGCGACCTTTGTGTACCTGCGCACCGGCTCCTTGATTGCCGTGGTCGTTGTGCATAGCTTCTGCAATTGGTGCGGGCTGCCCCGGCTTTGGGGCCGCGTTGAGGCCGGTGACTCGGGGCCCTCTTTCAAGAGAGGCAAGGAAGATGAAGATACAGTGGAAGATGGTCCCTTGGGTGTTGGGTGGACCGTTGCCTACTATGTTCTTCTGGTCGCTGGAGCCGTCGGGTTTTGTCAGGCATTGTGGCCTTTGACGGAATCCTATCACGCGCTTGTCTCCTTTACTGCGAAGACGGCCTAGATTTGTTTATGAGCCACGGTTTGTCCGCGGCAACTTGGTTATGCATTTTGATGACGGCGGTTTCATTTCTTCCTACTTTTTGGAGACTCCGGCGTTCTGTTTATTGGTCATGGATCGAGGTCAGGGGAAATAGTCCCTCACTGACATATGCTAGACACCTGGGCACTTTCCAAGGTTCTCTCATGTCGATATTATTAGAAATTCTGTCAATAGGAATCTCCCAATTTCATCCAATCCGTGATGCTGGCGTAAAAATGCGTAATCATAAGCCACCTTGGACTCTTTAGATTTCGAGATTCATCGGCTGTCCAAAACATCTCAAGGCTCTAGTGTCAAATTTAGGACGGAATTGTCTGCTCCCGGGTTTATGATGTTGACTACCTAGGTAGACACCTAGGTAGGTATGAAATATATCTTGGAATGTGCGCGTTGGATTCCGAAGTTCACAATTGTGTTTTTGGTGCAACTCGGGACCACAATATATTTCTACCGCTAAGTCCAACGGTCCTTCCAAGGGTTGCCTCGCTTTTGTTTTTTTTTTCTTCCTTCTTTCTTATCCCTTTTCAATTGCTTCATACATGAACCATGCTAACTTGGAAACTATTTGAAAAAAGCAAGAAATCAGCATGCCACGTGGAACAACTGGGGTTTCGAAGAAAATGCTTGACACCTCCTAGTCCGGATGTGGCTAGTCCAGTCCATACGCCTAACTGCTTCAGGGATATGGTCTCAACTCCAGTCCCGTATAAGCTGTTTGCACGCCCACAATTTTTGCTCATCCCTGTACCCTGGTATTTTGATGCTGCCTCACGCCAAGTTCTGGAAAAGCGAGGGCGATCGCAAGGTCTTGCCTGCGCCAACCACCATCGTCCCTTTCGCAGGTCGCATTGGTGCTAATCAAGAGTTCTCGCTTGACAAAAACAACTGCACACAAATAGAGTTACTGCAGAAGTTCCCCGATGCCGCCCCCTGGATTCCATTGCGCGATGCTCTCTCACTACGACACTTCCTCCAACCCGAGCTGTGGAAGGCCGCAACTATCGAGGCTGTTGGTCCGTGCGCCCGGATATGCAAGTGACATGGATTCTCACGGCTCTAGGAACATGTTTGCTGGTATATTTGACCTGCTTCATTGGCATTGGTTTGGAACAGACAGTCAAGTGATTCGTCCCGGGTGCTCTATGTTGAATAACGGTTGTACTGACGCCGCAAAGCACCTTTGCAACCGGAGCACTTGTGCCCAGTCTGCTTGGGGCAGTGACGGCGATCCTGGTCCTGCCACTACTGATCTTTGCGACTGGCCCAGTCTCCGGTGCCCACCTTAACCCGACGATCACCATTGCGACATTCTTTGCACGTCTCGCGACGTTGCCGAGATGCATTCTGTACATTGGATTTCAGACACTCGGGGCAACCATAGCAGGCCTGTTACTAAGGGCAAGCTTCGATACGAGATCTGTCTGTTATTCCCCTCCCATACTAGGTATGAGGCATTGGGGGTCTGTTGCTGATCCGCTGAAACAGTTCACCGTTCCCGGTTGCTATATGGATGCGACGAAAGTCTCACCAGGGAACGCGTTCGCCATAGAATTCACCACTGACTTCGCTTTGATCTTCACTGCATTCGGTGTCGGACTAGATCCACGACAGCGCTCTGTTTTTGGACCCGCCTTGGGTCCGATATTTGTCGGCATAACACTGGCGACATGTACTTTTGTGACGGGCTTCAGCCGCGTTGGCTACACTGGATTTTGTGAGTATCCATGGGAGACCTTCACCAGATTTCCATCTCTAACGATTTCAAGCTGGAAATCCTGCTAGATGCTTTGGAGCAATGGTCGGCTCGCACTTTGCTTCTTATCACTGGGTACATTGGGTAGCACCGATCTGTGCCTCCATTACCCATGGCATTCTATACTACCTGGTTCCTCCATACTCCAGGGGCAAGGCCCCGAACGCGAGCAATGGCTCCTCTTGAGCCTTCAGAAAGGGCAAGGGACAAAATGAGCACGAAATCATCTTGCTGTCTCTTGGAATGCCCGTGACCATGCTATCCAGAGTGCAAGGTTTGATGATGAAGATTGCTAATAACTCCGGGGCCACTGTCACAGATGACCAAGTCAGTATTGTTCCAGCTGAGCATAATTTTGCCGGTATCTCCATCAATGGAAATGATGATGCCTTGGTGATTCTCTTCGGATCACAGCGTACTATATGGAGCTCTGTCACGCAGTTACTGACGGGAGTGATGGAGGTCGAATGTATTTTATCTTTTGAACATAATGTGACTTCTAGAACTACATAAATCATTAATCATCTATCTAGTTTCCTATTTTAAACGTAACGAGGACACCCTTGTGGTCGGTGGGCCATTCGTTGTCGAAGTGATCCGGCTCGGGCTTGGGGTCACCGACCATGTAAACCTCTGACTTCTCAGTTGTCAGGTTGCCCTTATAGTAGACAAAATCGAGGCGATCCATAGGCTCTTTGCGGCCGTCGTAGTCGTCATTGATAAGATACACGGGCGACCAAGTGTTGGCTGGGTCAGTGGCCGGGTCCGGGTGAAGTTCACGATATGCATCAATCAGGCCAGCATCAATAGGGACCTTTGAAGTAGGCCAGTCGAATTGTCCGATGCCACAGTGAGAGGATTTAGTCTCTTCAGTCCAGTCAAGATGAGAAGGTGCGTTGAAGTCGCCGGTGAGAAGCACAGGAACATTGTCGGCGTTATCGAGGGCGTCCGCCATGGTGTCCATAATGGCTTTGATCTGACGAATGCGACTGCCCCTTTCCTCGGTATCCATCATCGTATCGGTGCCTTTGTTGTCGAAGCAAGGATCGTAAGGTCCGTAAGGATAGGCGTAAGGATGGCAGTTGTGGATAATAACTTGGCTGTCATCACCGTCGAGGGCAATCCTTACCGCACCACTGATCTCAGTGACTGCGCCGTACTTCTCGGCTATGGGGTAGCGGCTTATGATACTGGAGTCCTTGCCCTGCCATGACTGCCAACCAAGTGCATCTGCGATCTGAGTTGCATGTCCGTGTGTGCTTTCCTGAAGACCGACAACATCTGCATTTGAATTGGCGATGGCCGAGATCTGCTTGCGGTTGTAGTCGCTGACTTGGGTGCCTCCAAACCAGAGGTTCAAAGACATGACCCTCAGCTCGGTGACAAGTGGCTTTCCTGACGCGACTACCGGAACAGTAACGTCGACAGTGGCAGTGGATTTATCGGAAGCAGTAGCTTTCACAGTGACAACGAAGTTGCCGCTTTCCCTGGGGACTCCGGAGATGACACCATCTTCGGATACACTGATCCAACTGGACGAAGAGCTTTCCTTGCTGAATTTGGTGTTGGGATCGGGTGCATGATGTAAAAGACCACTCACACGGGCCTCGAAATTCTCGCCCTCCCGAGCATTTTTAGTGGTGAACTCTTTCACATTAAAAGATATCGGGCCCTTGCCAGAAAGGAAGATATCAATCGGACCGGCAAGGACTTTATAGTCATCGCCGACAAGGAAGTATGCCTTGTAGGCGCCCCAGTTCAGGTGTGCGTCGTCGACGCGTTTGGTCTCCTCTGACTCCCGCATCCAGTCCCAATATAGCGGCTCTTCCTTGCCAGGGCCTTCTCCATATATACTGTATATTCCAATCCAGTTGTTCTCTGAAGGTCGATCGGTTCTGTAGTGAAATGTGAAGAATGGACCGTCGACAAGCTCGAAAGAGTTCTCATGTTTTGAAAGGGCCGCCGAGGCAACGAGACGAGCCCCGAGTAGAGCCGCGTAGGCAAGAGATGACAGACGCATGATCTCTGGTGTCTCTGTGAAAGAAAACCACAACGGCAATGAACCGGGGTACCAAAAAGGATTTGGACACTCGCACTCAAATCACTTCGATGAAGCCTCTGATGTATCCGTGTTTCTGATGTAGCCTCTACTGGGCGTGGGTTCAGATCGTGAGATGGCAGCAGGATCGGCGCCAACTCAAGAGTGTGAACAATTCAGAAGGAGCAGAGACGAGAAAAATGACGTTTCAGCCCTACACACAGAGGATGATATTTGTAGTGAGGTTGTTCTTCGTTTGAAAACAAAAGAGGATGCGTAAAAACTCATATGTATGTACATGCACGGTTGACAAGAATTTGTTATTCCAGCGCTTTCCTGCCCAGCTCTTAGCTGTAACAGGGTAGCTGTGGAGACTGATCCTCGCTTGGTGGACAAGTGATGGTTGTGATCTGGACTCCGGTTGCTACAGTAGCGCGTCCCCGGACATGATCCTAAATGTACAATATGGTGCTCTCAGCCCATTGTGCAATGGGGATATCTCGAGATTGCAGGAATTCCATATCTATCGAGCTCAACCAAGCAAAGCCCTACCAGGCACAGCCATAATATCTCTGCAAAGTTTTTGGGCTGCTCAAATCCTCATCTAATTCGAGCGTCATCAACGGCAGTATCACCCGGGCAACGCAGGTGTGATACGCCAAAGCCTTGGATCTATCGCTTGGCATTGGCCTCCCCGGCAATATGGTGGCATGGCTATTTGTATGCACTCATAAGTCTACTCCGTGCGGAGTACAATAGCTCGCCTTGGAGAGAAAAACCCCATAAATCCGTGGGTAGCGTGTTGATGTTAGGCCGGACGGTGTTTGCATGGTTTGCACCAGAGCGCTCACAGACCCGACAGCATGCATGTACGGAGTACATGTACAGTGGTTAATCAAAACCACATATTGTTGCATGAGGGCTGTTTGAGTAATATGATTCAACATTTCTACAGGCTTCGATGTGACTTGGTTTCAATACCATCTGATAACCATCGAGTTTTGGTCTGACATGCGGTGTATACACTCCATGTACCCCTCACAATTTTCAGTAACTGTTTTTTAGCAACGACAAGACCTCAGAAAGACACGGATATCCTGAGTGGATATTGCGCACATATCCAGCAAGGTACTCCTGAGGCAACATGTTGAGATTCACCAGTTGACCGCAAAACCCCGAGATCGGCATGCCGAATCGGGTAAAGTCCATCTGAAATGACGTCAACCTGCAGGTCGAATCAACAGACTCTTCGTGAGGGGTTTTCACATCTTTCTCTCGCTGTACAGTACTGTCTCCCTGTTAGAGCGACCTCCGACCTGTCGTGACCATGATTTCTCGTCGGGAGCTGAAGCCTTTTGTGGCCGAGTTCCTTGGAACCGCCCTGCTGATTGTCATCGGAGATGGTGTCGTCGCCCAGTGTCTGCTGTCCGACTACCACTACGGCACTTGGCTGTCCATTAACTTCGCCTGGGCTTCTGCCGTATGCCTCGCTGGCTATTTGGCCGACCCCAGCCCGACTATCAACCCGGCCGTGACGATTTGCCTTGCCCTTGTGCGACCATCTGCAGGACAGTGGAAACAAATGCCCGGCAAGCTGGCTGCGCAGTTCCTGGGTGGCTTTGTTGGTGCGGCTATCGTCTATATAAACTACCGCTCGGCTATCAAAGATTGGGATCCCGAATACACGATCCCTGGTGGGTCGATTTTGAGTCCCACGGGTCACCACTCTGCGGGTATCTTCTCCACATACCCGGCTGCCTTCTTCCAGTCCAACTGGGAAGGTGTATTCTCGGAGGGCTTAGGCTCAGCAGTGCTCATGTTTGGCTCGCTCAGCATTTCTGATCCGAGAAATGCTCATCGTTTCCCTGCCCCCCAGCTCGCCGTCTTCCTGCTGTTGCTCATGATTGGTGCGGCGTTGGGCTGGCAGACTGGCTATGTAAGTTCCCCGAAACCCTGATTCAGAGATTTACTAACGATATCAGGCTATCAACCCTGCTCGTGACTTCGGTCCCAGACTGTTCTCTGCTATCCTCTACGGTCGCGAGGTATTTACAGCGGCTAACTACTACTTCGTCGTTCCCCTGTTTGCCCCTGTCATCGGTTGCATTGTAGGAGCTGCGACCTACGACAGCTTGCTTTTCGAGGGAGAGGGCTCTCGGGTCACAGATGCCCTAGACAAAGCGGAGGGCCACGGTTCTCTTCGACTGGAGTGATCATTGACTCTTCACGTGCCAATTCTGCAGCCCGGATATATTCAGATCCATTACGACCATAACTAGATATAGAGTATGAGTTACAAGGTATAGTGAGGTATGATTTTGATTTTGACCCCATGCAGGATTAGATTGTCTAAGAGACAAAATACTATCCTGCCTAGCCATTTTGAAGTGGTGCACACCCGGACGTATGATCTAGATACACCGTAGCACTACCACAGCCCTGAGGAATAACCGCATGGCTGCTTCATATTTTCTTTCAGATGCCCCAATCCAGTCAGCTCCTGCTTGTCCATTTTGGCCGACGCCCGGAGCAGCATAGTGACCAGAGAGGAGTTCGGTGTTCCTGTTTTGTCTTGATTATTTTCAAAGGTGCGCAATCATTGACCAATTGCGTCTCTCCTGCAATTGTTATCTTTGCCCAAATCGACACAGGGTCGAGCTCTAGAGGCTGGAGTCTGGGATGTTTGGTCTCGGCAGATGTAGTCACATCGATGGATATACTTGGCCTGTACGGAATAGATCTTTTTTGAGACCCAGAATCCCAATGTTAAACTCACAAAATCAGTGAAGTTTCGGTCGTTTATCACATCGATAATAGTCGTATGAAATACCCGACCTGGCACCGTAGAACAAATGTCTGGCGAGTTGGAGAATCAATTCGGCGTTTTCGGAGGCCGCGTTTTGGGTTGTTCTTGCAAGAGAGCCTTCGAAACCCCCGAAGCTGCCGGTTCGGCATTCACGGGGACCGCGTTTTAGACTCCTGAGTCCTGAATCATACCAGCATTATCACACACGACTTCGGACAGCTATTGGGATTTTGCCGTGTCGATCTTAAGCGGGCCAAGCCATCGCTGTTCATATAAAGATGTCTGCCCTGACAGGTGGTATAATAACCATACTCTCCGTTACACCAGTCACCGAATAAAGTCCATCGAGCTCTCATTTTCTCAATGGCGAAGATCAATGCGATATGCCACAATGTTATGGAGAACGAAGTCCTTCGTCGCTCTTCACAGGTTCTTTCGGTTATTGGTGATAGAGCGTACGTTTTCGGCGGGGAGCTGCGACCGCGTGAGCCTCGAGACAACGATGTCCATGTTGTTTCGCTGGGTAGCGGTAAGTTGTGTCTCGTCGATCCATGACTAGAGCATATTGTCGGAACATGACTGAGGCCAGTGTAGGGAATACCACGATCACTTCCGAGCCCGCAACGTCTACCTCTCCCTCTCCACGGGTTGGAACCGCCGCTTGTACACTAAACGGGAAAATCTATATCTTCTCTGGGCGCGGTGGAGTCGCCATGGCACCGATTGAAGAGCAGGGCGCTGTCTGGGAATTTGACCCGGCGACAGCGAAGTGGTCATTGATTTTGCCAGCGGACACGAGCGCGAAAACCCCGGTCGCTCGCAGCTACCACTGCACAGCTAGTGATGGGGAAGACACCCTGTACCTCCATGCGGGTTGCCCCGAAAAGGGAAGATTGTCGGATCTGTGGGCGTTCAGCCTTTCCCGGAGAGTCTGGACTGAGCTTAGCCCGGCATCTGATCCTCCACGTGGAGGTGCCTCGATCGCCTTCGCGGATGGCAGATTGTATCGAATGAATGGGTTCGATGGAAATACTGAACAGGGAGGAAGTTTGGATATTTACTCCCTCGAAACGGCTTCTTGGACTTCGCATGTTTATTCCCCAGATGGCAAAGCAGGTCCGGCAGCACGAAGTGTGAGTTGCTTGCTGCCGCTTCGTCTAAATGACCGCCCATTCCTCGTTACCTTATTTGGGGAGCACGATCCTAGTTCATTGGGCCACCAAGGAGCCGGAAAGATGTTGAGTGACATCTGGGCATTTGACATGGAGCGTCAGGGATGGGAAGAGGTTGCTGTTCATGGAGATCGGCCTCTCGCACGGGGCTGGTTTGATGCAGATGTCATTGGAAATACCATCGTGGTTCATGGCGGGTTGGGGGAATCCAATGACCGGTTGGGAGACGTGTGGACTATTGAGCTCTCTGGGTAATCTTGGAAGTGCGCATTGAAATCAGGGCTGCGCAGTTCACAGTCAACAATCAGAATAGTGAATGCACCATTCTGTTGACTCCATCCAGATCCCCGTCGATCTGTAAAGCCACTTTCCCAAAGAGGTAATTAACATGGACTATCATCACTGACGTAGTTCGTACTAGCTGCATATGAGCTGTGAACCGTGGAGTGTTTTCAGCGGGCAGAAATACGGAGACGCACATAAACCATTGTTCAGCTTGAAAATCGACCCGCAGACCAGGTGGAGTGAAAATACGTGGCTGGTTCGGAGGGAATCGAGATCCACCGAAAAGACGGAGTATAAAAATGGAGGGGCTCGCTCTAAGTTTCGGAAAGCTTCACCTCCCACTTTCATCCCAATCATGTCTTCCAACCCCGGCCAAATCTCACCCCTTCGACCTGTTACTCGGCATATCACGGGCCACAATGATGCAGGCAGAGCCGTGATTCATTCCACAACCCCAGGCAACTGGCAGTCATTCGAAGAAAGCGCAATGGCATTCAACGTTGTCTATACATCTCAGTTCCCGGCGGACCTCAACAATGAAGCCGACATCAAACAGCACGAGCAAGTGGAACAGAAAGGGCAGCTGGGTCTAGTCAACCCTGGCGGAACCGTGTGTCGCATTGTGGATTTCGCGCCCAACAACCATGCGGTTGTGCACCGCACCCAGAGTCTTGACTACGGTGTAGTCCTCGAAGGGGAAATTGAAATGATCCTGGAGGATAGCGAGCCTGTCATTATGAAGCGGGGAGATGTTGCCGTACAGCGGGCTACGATGCATGGATGGCGCAACCCCAGTGAGACCGAATGGGCTCGCCTGCTATTCGTGTTACAGGATTGTCAGAAACTGTCGGTGGGTGGCAAGGAATTGGGAGAAGATTTGGGAGTTGCAACTGGTGTTCTGGCGCCCAGCGGAAATTAGCCAGATATCCTGGGATATAATGTATTGGGTATCCTCTATTGGACCTTGATGACTACTTTTCCAAAGTGACTGCCGCTTTCCAAGAATTCGAACGCTTGCTTAGACTCAGCGAATGAGAACACCCGGTTAACCACTGGACGGACCTGGTGGTCCTCGTAGAAACGAGTCATCTCTTCGAAGCGGTCCTTGGGGCCGTTGATGATTCCCTTGAGAGTCACTGTGCGACGGAGTGCCAGCAGGTTGACGTTCAAACGGTCATCGTCGGCATCCATCTTGCCCGACACGTAGCCGATGCAGTTGATAAGACCACCGAAAGCGATGCAATCAAAGCTCTTCCTCAGGGTCTTCGCGCCGCCGACCTCAAGGATAACATCAGCGCCGTGGTTCTGGGTATACTTCATCACCTCGGCTTCCCAGTTGGGGTTAGTGCGGTAGTTGATTGTAAAGTCAGCACCTAGTTGCTTGGCTTGGTCCAATTTCGAATCCGACGAGGAGGTGATGATCACTTGGTAAAGTCAGTTCTTGCCCTGGGGACAATTGGATCAATCTCAAATCGCCTACCTTTAGCGCCGGCCGCCTTAGCGATCTGGAGCCCCGCAATAGCCACACCACCAGTTCCCTGCAGCAAAATATATTCATCCTTTCCACCGCTTTGTCCGAGGGGACGCATTCCATTGATCGACATCCAAGCGGTCACCGATGCGATCGGCAGAGTCGCTGCTTCCTCGTCCGACATGAAAGCGGGAGCCTTGACCAGACTATAGTCAGGGAAGACGCGGTGAGAAGCCAGGACACCGTCCTGGGGCAATCCCAGACTTCTGCCAAGCTCCTTCTCGGTGACTTGGCCGGTTTGATGATCGGGGAGGAATGTCGACAGCACACGATCGCCGACGGTCCATTTTGTCACGTCAGCGCCAACCTGCGTGATCACTCCGCACATATCGGAGCATGGCACAATGGTGGCATCCTGTTCGGCGGTCTTGTGGTGCTTATATTCGCCCTTTGTGACTGAATTGATCAGCCGTTGGTCCAGGGTCATTCTTGGCAGACATACCTTCCACGTCACGGTAGTTCAGCGACACGGCGCGAATCTCCACGAGGACCTCATTTGCTCCCGGGGTGGGCATCGGGGCTTCGGTCTGGCTCAGGCTGTCCAAGCCCTTCAAGGGCGTGATCCACTGTTGAACTGACATTCTATTCTGTGCAGGAAAAATGAAAAACAGTCAAGTCGACCATGACGTCCCCCACTTTTAAATCAAATTCGGAGACATTTGGAGATGGCTTCGGAGGGGCTGAGTAATCGTGGGGGTCCACGGCTCCACGGCTCCATCATGCAGGGTCTCCAAGACCTCCAGAGCTTCGGAGGTCATCATCACAGGTCTCTCGTTCAGATGAGAAGCTCTGCCATTCTGCCTTGCAACTTGAGGAAGTTCCAAGGAAGATCATGGCTAAATGCGCAAAGATCTGCAGGCCTAAGCGAATGCGAACCCAAGCGGGGTCTGCGTCTATCTCTGTCAAAGTCCGGTTTCAGCTCATCTGGTCTCTTCTTCTCTCCAACTACTGTCAATATGAGCGACACCTCACCTAGACTCTCGCAGAAGGTCCCGGGTAAGTGACTGTCCCGGAAATCAGGTTGTGAAGCTAGCTAATTCTCCAAAGCCCACTTTCTCCACTCGCCGGTCGATCAGGATGTCCGGTTACCCCAGAACATTGCTCACCGTGGGTTCAACGGTCAATACCCGGAGAATACGATTCTGGCAATCGAGAAGGGTATCGAAGTTGGCGCTCACGCCATCGAAATCGACCTTCACATCTCCCGCGACGGAGTGGTCGTGCTCTCACACGTATGTGCCCATCCCTTCGTTCCGGACTAAGCTTACCGACTCAAGGACCCCAACCTCGAACGGTGCTACGGCGTGAAGCAAAATGTCGGAGACTGTGACTGGGAATATTTGAAGACTCTGCGAACGTTGCAAGCTCCCCATGAGCCTATCCCTCGCTTCATAGATGTGCTGGAATACCTTCGACAGCCGGGTCGAGAGCATATCTGGATCTTGCTGGACATCAAGGTAATTGAATTTATCTTACTGATCCATACAAAGCTAATACAATATTCTATTACAGCTCACTCAAGACCCAGACGCCATCATGAAGGGAATCGCCGAAGCCACTCGGACCGTACCCATAGCTGCCATCGGACCTGACTGGCACCGTCGTATCGTCGCCGGCACCTGGAACGGACGATTCATCTCGGCAGCCACAGAGCATCTCCCCCGCTACTCATTGTCACTCATCTGTGCGGACCCCAGCTACGCCCGTCAATTCCTCGAGGTCCCCCGTGTCGGGTTCAACATCAATCAGAAGGTTCTCATGGGCCCGTTGGGCAAGGGATTCATCGAAGAAGCTCGAGCTGCCCGCCGCCAAGTCTACGTGTGGACGGTGGATGAGCCCAATCTCATGCGATGGTCGATCGAGCACGAGGTTGACGGCGTTGTTTCCAATGAGCCCGGTCGGTTCCACGAGGTCTGCGACGAATGGGAGAGAGAACATTCGGACCTGAAGGTTGTCCCGCAGAAAACACGCATTTCTCTCAAACAGCGGATGGAGGTACTGGCCATTGCTCTTTACATCAAGTGCTTTGGCTGGTACTATCGGCGCAAGTACCTCAGTCCTATCGAGAGAGTGGATATCCATGCAAACAAGCTCGGATAGGTTCTGTGCGTCTAGCGTTTTGCAGACATAGTTAATGATATAATGACATAGGGTCTTGAGGCATGAGGGACACCCAGGATAGGGTCGTAAATGGTTACGGCCCCTGATACCTAGTATCGGATATTCAACATGCTACGTATGGACCTATCCTACATAGGGCATCGTTCCAGTATATGTGCATTGGCATTGGTTCAGGTTTAGGCAAATAACATCGCAATGACATATCAATACAGGTCCTCCGAATTGTAAACCTTTTCACAAGAATTGACCACCAAACACCAATCCAAGACAGAAATACATTAGGTGCATGTCGCCATAAGATAATCCCACCACATTAACAGGGAATACCAAAAAAGGGAAGTCTTCAATATATGTAGAAGAGAAATCAAAAGGGGAAAGACGATCAACGCCATCGCCAACGAAAGTCAACTCGGTGAGGTAGCACAGGGTATATCGCGATATAAAAGAATGCATAAAGGGGCATGCGCAGGAAAGCAAGGCTGTTGTGCCCTGTACTCTCCGCGGGGCCCATAAGGGACCATCAGCTCAGACCATCATGAGCCGAGTAGTCCGTCGTTCAGGGAATCGTCCACCACCACCACCAGGCGGGAACCGGGGACCTGGTCTAAGACCCGGCCCATGGCCGGGGCCAGGCGGATAAGGACCTGGAGGGAATTGGCCCGAGTGAGCGAGTGGAGAGGAACCCAGGGTCGGTCTACGACGACCAGGCCCAGGGGGAGGATGAGAAGCAGCCGCAGCACGACGAGCATCACGCTCACAGAAAACTTCGCCATTCCACTCGAAGTAGTCGCCCTTCAGAAGGACGTGGCATGTGCGACATTGCAAACACTCCGTGTGGAAGCGTCGGCGGTCTGCGCGTGCCGGGTTCCGCTCGACAGTCTCCAAGTAGTGGCCTTCGATTCCGGTGTGGCATCCGGCGCAGAGGGAGCCGTTGCGTTCGTGGTAATGTTGTGCACAGAAGGGGCGGTTGTTCAGGACGTAGAAGTCAGCTGTTTGGAAGGGCGAGTGGCACTCGAAACAGACAAAGCAGCCGCGGTGGTATCGGCCGGTGAGACGACCGTCGGAGGATGAGATTGACTTTCCGGTGATGGTCTCGTTGCAACCTTTGCATTTGCCCTTTGAACGTGTGCCGGAGCGGGAAGGCGTTTGAGGTGTTGCGGGTGTTTGAGGCGTCGAGGGGATCTGAGGTGTTGAGGTGATTTGCGGAGTCGGTGCAGCGATTGTACGTTCGGTTGCTGGAGGATTTTGAGGTGGAATAGATTTCTTTGGTTGGGATGGTGTCGGTATCGGTGCTGGCTCTTTTCGGTCTGCAATCAATGACAATCCACCCTGGTTGATTGAAGGGTCGGTTGGGGAGTCCGGACTGAAGAAGGCCGCGGGAATGGGTGGGACGCTTTCCACTTCTTCCATGGTGCTTCTCATACGGCCGGGGAGTTCCAAGATAGTCTGTCGGGTGCGTGCGGGAAGTTCCTCAACGAGAACGCCGAGGTTGAGGGGGTCGGAGGTTTTGTGTCGAGTCGAACTGGCATCAGAGGGAAGACTGGACACAGAGCTTCCACTTCTAGCCTCAGAAGGCGAGGAATCCGACGAGACGGAGCTTTCGGGCTTGTTCATTTGATCCTCCAGTCCAAGGGCACGAGCGAAGCTTGTCACCGACAATGCACTAGCCGTACTAGCGTCAGAGTTCTTCCTTGGTGCTTCGGTGGTGGGTTCTGCTGCCGCTGCAGGATGGAGATGAGTCTGCGTAGAAGGCTGAAAGGCGGGATATTCATTGCTGTTCTCAAATTCGGCCGATGGCGATTCCTCCGGGAGATCGTGTAGTCCCGTAGCCGGGTTGGGGCCGGGAAGACCGAAGTCGAATCCACTTGCTTCCTCCTCGCTGATTTGAGACGAGACCACGGAGAGGTTCGAGTCCCGAGGGAAAGAGGTTTTGCTAAGCGTTCGAAGAGGTGCTACCGGTACAGGTGGTGCCTCTTCCCCAAATGATCGCGTACCACGAGAAGAGCCGTTGCTCGAGGATCTCGCCGTTGAATCCCCATAGCGACTGCTGGCGAACGATGACCGATAACTGCTGTGGCTTAGTGTTGAGTCTCCTCTGTGGTGATTCGTATCCGGAGACTTTGGAGGCATGGGACTAAGTGGAAGTTGAATGTTCTCCGGTTTGAGGCCGTCTCCAAAGCCGGACGAGGGGACTGGAGGTAATGACTTCGCCGTCCCGTCTGTCTTTGGGCTTGGTGTTCGAACTTGGGTCGGTAACCTGTTCCCGGGCATGGGAAAAGAGAAGACGTCCATGTCAGATTCCTTGTCAAGCGCATCATAGGGCGCGTGCAGCGGAGATCGAGGTGCCGAGTTGATGGAAGGCGACGGGGCTACACTGCTTGCTGGTGTTGGCATGTTGGGCTGCAGGTATGGTTGATCTATAGAGATTAGTGTCGGATCCATCATATACCCTGGCGGCGGTGAACATACTTGCAACAGATGGGTCAATCCTGGACGGGGGCCCTCCGCGAGGGATCTTTGTGGCCATTGCACTGTTGAGTCGGTCTGGCGATTCTATCCCGGCTGATGGAGGCGGCGATGGCATCGGTGCCACGGGGACTGGAGAGATCAGCACCGTGATGCGCTCCAAGATACACAATCACCTACCGAACTCATTGGGAGCACACGTATGATCTCCCATTGCCATTATCTCGACGTTGGTGCCACAATTCGAGCATTTGATTGTGGGCAAAAAGCCCATATTGGAAGCCATCACGCATCGAAGTCAGTGGGCCACCTGCCCCTGCGTCTAACTACTAGATACAGATGGGGCTATTGAAAATGGAATCTGGGGAATAATTGATTCTAAAAGGAAAGCTGAAGTCGAGGAGAAGATGGTCGATCGTCGGTGGGTACGTGGGAAACGACACTAGTGTAGTAGTGTCTCCAGCACGGAAAGGGGCTGCGTAAGTCTTCAGGGGCTACCATCACATCTTTTTGGCCCGTCAATCTTCAGTTTCCAGTCTCGCGTTCTTTGTGTTCGTAAAGAGAAGCTCGTAGAATACATTATTTACAGTGTTATGGGTAGCCCCAAGCTTAGCGTTGTCGCATATACTAAAATGTGAGCAGAGAATGCATCCTATATGCACTCCCCTGAACGGGATCCTCGCAATTAAATGGCCCTCCGAGTTGTGTGCACAGTTCCATTAGGGACATATGCATATCACACATTGGAAAAAGCACCAGGTTGCAACGCGACTGGTCCGTTCCTGATCCAACTCTCGGACCCGTTCTCCACTGCCAATCACATCCCACAGCCAATTCTCAGGGCCTTGGAAGTGCTTCGATCGGTGGGGATGGAACCCAGGGGTAAACACTCGATCTGGCTTTTGACATGGATCCTGCAAGCAAACTTCTCTCCTCGCAGACAAATACTCCCCTGAGTGGAATAATGTGGTGGCAAACCCGATATTCTTAGAACAGTCAGCGAGGATCTTCAACTCTGGACTCTGCCCGTGTGTCCTGGCGATCGGCGGGGCCAATTCTCCCTCCGAGCTCGCTCCTACCAGTGGCCTTTGCTGTGGTACAAGAATCATGCACGACCCTGAGACTTGGCCCAATGTAGAAATCCGCCCCAGGTGGGGATAACGCGTCAAGTCCGTTTGTCTGTTCCGTGTGGCTCGAGGACACAATGATCTTTAGCAAACAAACAATTTTGAGATGGGCGTTTGCGGTGGGTTTCGTTGCGTGCTCCGACCAGAGAACAAGAACGAACGACCAAATCACGACTGTGTCCACTCCAACTCTAAAAACGGCACAGGCGTCATGGCTGCAGGCCCTATTGCCAGAGGTTGGCTGACTTGCTTCTGAAACAGACTAGCATCAAGGAATGCCCCACGTCTCCCGAAGCTGTCGCTGAAGTGCATGAGTTGGCCAACCATGAAGGGTGTCGGTACGAACAAGAACCTGAATCAGCAGCTCCTGCTGCTGTGGGTCCGTAAACCGATCACCGCCTGTTAGACTCATCAGCTTCATTTCATTCCCGGAAGACACAAAATCGATGGATTCTCACAAAGATGGATAGCCATGCATCCAACGACCATGGCTGGAGGTACATGTGCGTTAGATAGCGCAGCACCACACACAGTCCACACCCCCTTGCGGATAAAGTCCTAGATTTGTCAGATTGGACTTCACCTGGGCAGCATTTCAAGTCTGGCCCGAGAAATTATGCATGCCAGCCACTTACATCAGCTTCATGGATCAACCGTCTACGCAGAGGACCAACTGTCGGTAAAGTAGGATCATGTACGGCTAGCAGAATCCGTGCAAGATCAGTGTACTGATTCCCAATTGCTGTATCAAATTAGCCTTCGGCACGTCTTTGATGCATCCCGGGCGAGGGAAGCTGTTTCAGAGCTTACCATGCCAGGGACATCCAAAACGAATATCAGGGAATGCGGCTCCAATCTCCACCTCCTCGCCTACGAAGAATGGGTCGAAAGAATCTGGACGGGTCTCCGTCCACTGCTCATTCTGCGCCTTAAGCTCTGCATGCACAGCTGTTGAGCGGTGTCCCTCCCCGAAGCAGAAGATCAACACATCCGCACAATGTGCAATGGCCTGGTTTGCCCATGCACAGTCCCCCGCGTCCGGTCCAAGCGGACTAAATTGGGAGTTCAGATTTAGAGAGCTCAGGTCAATATCGGGGGCTTGTTGTAGACTGAGCGCGTTATAAATTTCTTGCCGCAAACCACTCCAATAGACAGCTTGTCGAAGGCTGGGTGTCGTGGTCATCAGCGTGGGGCCCCGTATGAAAGCCTTTGTTCCAAAGGAGTGTCCCCGAATATCTGACCCAGCGAGTGGGACTGTGATCGTCAGAAACGTCGTCGACATGACAGTGGAGGAGATCCACTACTTACCGTCAAATTCTTCCAGCAGGCGCAGGATGACAGTAGCAGTGAGCAAGTCGTCATCCATAGTTACCCCATGGTTGTCCAATGCCGGAATCAGTTTTTCCAGACACGCCTGGTAGTAATGGTCGGACACGAAAGTATCAAAATCAGTAGTCCGGTTCAGATGGCGCGCGGACATGGCCATTATAGCGTTGAACAGGGTTTCACAACGGCGCGCCCGGTGGGGAATATGGATAGCAAAGTGCTGTTGACGATCGGTGCAATCAAACTACGCACAACTCGGTCAGGATGCATCGGCCAACCTAAGGATGGATACTCACAAATGGGGCGACGTTATTGACAAAATGTTGCAAAAGTCGCGCCTCTTGAGGATCTCTCAGAGGCCATCGTCGCTCATGCTGTTGCTCGGGGGTATCTGGTCCGTGGATAATTGACGATCGAGAGCTCCCGGGTAATCCATGCGTTGGGTTCTCGAAGTCCGGTACTATGGCAGTGTACGAGGAACTTGACGGTGGCCTTTCCGGACTCGGAATGGACTGTGTGTGGCTCCGCAGATTCCTTCCTGGTGAATGATGGGTCTCTCTCTCGGTCAGATCGTCCGGTTCTCCGCTTCCTGATTCAAGTATGAAATCAACTAGACGATGTCAGGAGTGTCCGGCAAACAGTGGCGAGTGTCCAACCTCTCGGCGGTGGCCGAAGCCAGACCTGGTTCTGGGGAAACTTTGTGCGCGAAGTGCGACCCTTTGCTTGTCGAAATTTGGTCTCCCGTTTCCCTCGCGTACATTCCCGACTCGTTCGAGTGCATCGGCCGCATTGTGGCAAAACCCCGTCGCCTGGAGAGTCAGAAGGGCACTTGGATGGGGTGGAAGGGCATACATTTGTGATGCAAGACGCGACAGGGATCGCTGAGAGAATGTTAGGAGAAACGATTGAAGCTCATCCGGGGAACTCACCAGCATTGGGGGTTCTTGGGCCCCGGCATGTTGGTGTTGAATTTCTTCGCGGGAACTTTTCCCCGCATTGCAACTGTGGGGGAGTTTGTGTTCCGCCTTCCCCAAGGCCAACTGAACGCCAACGCCTTGACAGCTGTCAAATATGTGAGATACAATGACCGTGCGGAGAACTTGGAAGGGCAAATTTATTCCATGATGACCTCGGACTCGACTCCCAGTTCCAAACAACGGTCGCATGCATGGATTCCCCGTACATCTCGATTCCTCTCATAGGCCTTCTAATGCCGCGACGCCAATCTCAATTGCGCTGAAATACCGAGCTCCTCTATCATGAAATCTTGTATGGGATGAAATATGACAGGCGGTGGACTCTTTGCCGTCGTGGCGAACTCTGTGTCATCTGTCCTCGTGAGAGGCTGCCATTATGCTCTACCACTGCAGGAAATGACAATGTGAAGATTGGTTTTAACATCGATTCAATGGAACACTCAATCTTGCTAGAATCATTTGCAACAAACATCAGACTGGCCTCAGCAGCAAAGAAAGCAGCACTGTGAGCTCGCCCCAACTATTCCCATGTTAAAACTCTGTCCTCTGTTCCGCCCAAGTAAAATCGGGCAACCAGCTAACACGGTGCTGAGCATACAGCTCGGCCTCTGGTTTGTGTTGCTCCAGTCCATTAGGGCCGTCAAGTGTGCCTGCCAAAACCACCACCATTCCTGGGAACTTTTCGTGCGTCTTGTATATGGCGCAGCCACACTGGCTGCAGAAATAAAGCGTCAGGCTCAACCCACTTTCATGCATACTAGTATGCTTCGTGGTGGTGCCATTCGTGACGTGCAGACTGTCCTCTGGAAGAAGCAAATTCAATGTATTTGTGCTGCCGCTGATCTTCCGACACGATAAGCAGTGACAGGTTGCCTATTGAAGAGCGGTCAACTGAGGAACATTACCCCTTTCCAGGATTTTACCACTGGCTTGCCTTCGTGATGGGCTCTGAGATAAACTCATACTTCAAGTTTCCGCAGAGACAGGAGCCCGTGGACATACTGGGCGGGAGGGTGTATGTATGTGTGTTGAGATATATTCGAGACCCGTCGGATCAATGCCCAGGTGGAGTCGGGCACAATTCATTTACTAGAACCTTGGAATATGTGAATGTATTCCCGAGTCCGAGGGTGTTCTCTGCAGATTATAAGCAACGGGGTGTACCTAGGTAATATATACGTCACCGTTGGATACTAGGTAGTTTCGTGAACAGTGGCAAGCAATCATCATGGAGATGATCTCTGTATCTCGCTATCGTAGAGTCAAATACGAGATGAAGAAAGCCATTGGCAACGAAAAGCGACGAACGGATGTGTTAGGCTTGTCACGAGAGCAACCCGTGGAATGGATTTAGAGCCCGTATTGTATAACTCTATTCCAAGGCTAGATCGGCCTGAAATATCAGCGTTAGGTCTCTAGTATCCTGGCAAATCACTTTGATCGACTAATTCTAAGGTTGCCCCAAGGTCTTGAGTGCCCAGTGTACATCTAAGTACTTGGTACCATCTTGATCATGGCAAATGGTGATATTAGCATGGGAGGCGCCGAGGGTGTTTAGGAGTACTCCGTGCCTAGTGGAGGCATGTATTTTGCTCACCACAGGTATGGCATCTTCCGAACCAGACGCCGGTGGAATTGCGATCATAAAAAGCTTTTCACGATGAATAACTCAGTAACAATCCCTTCACAGCCCCCCGGGTAATGCGAGACTGTCGTTCGATAGATAATGTACTCGTATGCACTCGACTGAAACAAGTCTTATCATGTTGAGCACTACACATATCACAGATCGGCCAGACAGTGGCCTCTCGATGGTGAATATCTTACCCCTTGCAGTCCCCCAAGGAATGGTATGCGATCGATAACAACGCAAGGATCACAATCTCGAAATGACACCTCTGTCAGATCCTCGATCGATCAGAGGAGCTTGTTTCCTTAGTTCACTTTTAATATTTTCAACGTTTCCGCGGCCCGCTAGCGCACCTCTATTCCAACCTTGAGGGCCGAATGTCACCTTTCCAGGGCCTCCGAGGCAATCGTCTCAACTATGTGGCTCTGATTGGCGTGGTCATGCCTGCCATGATATCACTCGGCTACAATCAGGGCTTACTGGGAGGTGTTTTGACCATGGACTGGTTCCAGGAGCAATTTCCACAAATCGATGTCAATGATGCACTCCCTGCTGAAAGACATCGCAAATCAACCCTGCAGGGCACGGTTGTGGCATTGTATGCGGCAGGGGGACTATTAGGCGCTCTCGCTTGTATTGGAATTGGTGATACCATTGGGCGCCGGCGTACCATCCGAATTGCCACGGTCATTCACATGATTGGGGCTTTCCTTGGAGCCAGCTCCTTCAACCTCGCTCAGCTTGTGGCGTCGCGCGTTATACTTGGACTTGGTTGTGGCGGTCAGCTGGCGACCGTCCCTATCTGGCAGTCCGAGATATCGCCAGCGAAAAAGAGAGGTGCACATGTTGGAATGACTGGTGTTTTCATCGGGTTGGGCCTAACTTTGGCTCTGCTTATGGATCTTGGTATGTCATTTGTCGATAGGAGTGTGAGCTGGCGACTCCCACTTGCGTTGCCAATCGTGCTTTGCATCCCAATTCTCATGTTAACTTCTCGGCTGCCCGAGTCGCCTCGTTGGCTGGTCCAGCGAGGTCAATTTTCCGAGGCCCGTGAAGTTATTGCACGGTTCAGACATACATCGCCAGACACTGAAGTGGTAGAGAAGGAGATACAGGATGTACTCGCCTCATTAGCCATCGCTGGCGAAGGCTCCTTCGCTCGAGTATTTCAGATGGGGCATCAACGAGTACTTCATCGCGCCTCACTTGCAGTAGGAGGACTGGTGCTTCTGCAGCTGACAGGAATCAACTGTATCACATTTTACAGTTCGTGTTGCAGATTCTCATAACGACTTCACTTTGTTGACTCACTATGGCATAGGTACAACCCTTTTCCAAACACATCTACATCTCAATCCCCTCACTTCCAGGATTCTTGGTGCAGGATTCCAATTATCTGGCACCGTTGGAGGCGTTGTTTGTGCCTTCACCATAGACGGGTTCGGTCGCCGATTCCTCATGTTACTGAGCGCGATAGCCAACACCGTCTGCATGATTCTCGTGGCTGGTTTGAGCTCTCCCCCAACCAACGCTGCCTCAAATGCTGCGGTGGCATTTATGTTCATTTTTCATTTCAGTGTCAATGTTGGTTTTGGCGGAATTCCGTTCCTCTATGCCTCGGAGGTCGCGCCTCTTAGTCTACGTACCACCATCACCGGGATCAGTTCTGCCATCTGGTGGGGTCTCAGTGTGCTCATTGCTCTGGTCACTCCTATTGCTTTCAACGCTATTGAATGGAAGTACTTCATAATATTCGCCGCTCTGAATGCAGGGATAATACCTGTTATATACTACATCTTCCCGGAGACTGCTGGTCTGACTCTGGAAGATGTAGATGAGGTCTTCATCACGTCGTCGGGGGTCTTCGATTCTGTCCGTGTGGCGAAACGGATGAAACAAACGTCGGGCAAAGCTCGGGCCCAGGAGAATACTGAGGCAGAGAAAGGAAAGGGGCGAGCGCCGATGGCGTGCGAATCGGAATAAAAGGACTTGGGCTTGCAGGTGAGCCTGGCATTGGCTCATCAAAGACATATTCCATGCCGTAAGACTGTACAGGATACCGGGTCTTCCAAGGTTCTCGTTACAGTTCCAAGGTTGGACAACAGCTATGACACAAAAGTAGAACCTTGAAAACAGCCCTGGAGGACCCAGTTAGCCCAGACTGCCCAAGTCTTCCAGAGCTTCCTCGGGGTTCTCTCCTTTTTCAAATACATTTCCTTGCTACCTAGGTACACCTGGACATATTCTACACCCCGTCTCCCACTCGGTAAGGCTCGTTCCATCTCTGTCCCTGGTTATTATGCGTATATTGTGCAAGTGATGGAGCAACATACCCTATCAAATGGCTTTGAAGAGTTGACAAAGCGCAGATCCGTGGCCAAGCGAATAACTCGATCAGGATCATTGTTAATTGTCGATGCGTGAATCTTGCAAATTAGTATAATCAAACGTTGACAGAGAATTCTCATACCGTGTGTGGTTTGTGTAATACAACATCACCAGCCTCGTACTCAGCCACTAACCATGATCGTTGGTTCTCGCGGGCGAATTCCAGAGGATACTCCGACAGCAGTCCAGTTGCCATCATATTACTGTTGAAAGCATCCTTCGCCTCGTCATCGCTAAGCCCGGCTGCATTCGCCTTCTTTTTGAAATCTTCCTCGCAGGCGACACCTACGGGATCGCCTATTGAATGCCTTGGTCAGAAAAGGTAAGCATATCAGCCAGATGAGTCTTGACATACCATCTTCTAGGTATATCAAGCCACCACCACACACTTTGATATCACCGATGGGAACCCACGCAGTGACGCTTGTGGGCTCGCCGTGGCGAAGGAAAATCTGGTCATAGTGGACTCCAATAGGCTTTGTGCCTGGGATATTGTTTCGCAGCAATGACCTTCGAAGACCTAGCGTATCGGCATCCCAGCCCGTGAACCGGGCGATAAATTCCAACAGCGCTGGATGTCGACAAAACTCTTCCGCATACCAATCGCGATAGTGAGCTTCGATGGCGAGGTCAACAAACTGCGCGGCGTTTTCACCCCCAGGCCTGCCATTCTTCCCTGCTCCGCCGGCACCGATTCCTGGGAATTCAGCGGGTGATTTGAGCTGGTTGAAGATACCCTGTACCGGATCGGTGTTTTCTTCCAATACGCCCGTTTGTTGCATCATGGTGAAATACTCATGGCGGGCTTTCAAGACATCGGCCCTTGGAAGCACGCCCTTCAGGAACAGGTACCCATCAGCTTCGTAGCGTTGTCGTAAGGCTTCCAGTGGCTCTGTTGGGCGTGATTGATGCAAATATTTGACTTGTTGTAGAGGGCCGTCGTTGACAGCCAATATGTTAGGTTGGAATTCAAGTGGTGGCTGCATTCTGGCTTGCAGGGATGAAAATAATCCCAAGTTTGCCTTCGAATGAGCTGAAATCTGGAATCATTTATAGCTTCTTAACTTGTTCGGCAATACTCTGCACCTTTCAACCCCCTCTCCACCTTTCGAAAATGAGCAGGTCATCAATACAATTCCCCACGAGGATCCATATCGCTTGATTGTCGGCATCTTGCGACAACTTGGGGTCATATACTTCCCCGCAAAGTGAAAATTACTGCTTTTGTTTCGATCGGGGAAATGACCCGTCAATGTTGCCCCTGCGGAACGGCTCTTAAACCCCCATCTTCGGCCAAAACAGGTAACTTTCGCCCGCTGCATTCCTCCTCACATTCGGACCCCGGGGTGCTCATCACTTACCCCAGAAGATCCCCCATGGGGATCTGGGGAAAAGGCCTTGTCTAGTTTCAAGACTATTTGAGTCATATGGAATCCCACGATCGGCCCCGTTCTCACTTGATCCACGCGATCATGGATGCTCTCAAACAAACCAAGCTCATTCGGCCACCTGCAGGTTTGGGTCCTTTGGATTCGCGGCCTGGGAACACCAGGCTTCTATACACCGTCACGGCATTTGTATCGCTGGGTGCATTTCTGTTTGGATATGATCAAGGGGTTATGGGAGTCATCGTCGCCGATGCACGATGGATCGACTTGATGCACCCGAAGAACTCTTGTAGGTGTGCAACAGGAAATTGATCTCTCAGCCCGAGCTCATGAAATCTTGTATAGGGGTTACCGGCACAGTCGTTTCCTTGTACGATGTCGGATGTTTCTTCGGGGCTATGTCGCTTGGATATCTCGCTGATCCACTGGGTCGTGAGCGGACATTGTCTATCGCATGCGCGGTGTTTATTGTGGGTGCTGTTCTACAGGCTGCATCATATACAGTCGTTCAAATTGTAAGTAACATTTCCGGTGTTGGATTTTCTTCGACATTCTAACCCTGAAATATAGACCATCGGCCGTGTGATATTAGGACTTGGGGTAGGAGCTTGTGCAGGAGGTGTTCCTCTGTACGTTGCTGAGATAGCACCACCTGCGATCCGGGGTCGAATTGTTGCAATCGAACAAATGATTCTCTGTCTCGGAGAACTTGTCGCATTCTGGCTCAACTACGGTTTCAATTTCCTCGAGACTAAGGGTTGGTGGCGCATTCCGCTAGCCATTCAGATTGTCCCCGCCATCATTCTCGGCGTGGGCTGTTGGTTCTGGGTGCCTCCCAGTCCGCGTTGGCTCGCGAGCCAGGATCGCCATGAATGTGCGCGAGAGGTTCTTACCCGGCTCCATGGCTCGGAGGTGGCCGAGTTGGAAATGCAGGAGATACAGGCGTCTATTGAGTTTGAACATACTGTCAGTGAGGCCACTTGGGAAGATATGTTCATGATGCCTGTTCTTCGCGTAACGGTCTTAGGAATGGCTGTTCAATTCTTCCAGCAGATCACTGGAACTAACTCAATTCTTTATTATACGGTGAGTCGAGATCTGAGCTCAATTCATTCGTCACTCCCATCGGCTGACATCCATGCGCAGCCATCTCTATTCAAGCGCGGAGGCATTACGGACCCTCGCACCGCCAACCTCGCAACCGGTGGCGTAGGTATCGTCTTATTTGTCTTTTCGTGGGTCCCAATATTTTATTTCGACCGACTGGGCCGAAAGACATGGTTACAGATTGGAACTATGGGAATGATGGCAGCCATGATTGGCATCACTATTCTCCAATGGCATGCGGAGCACAATCCAGGCGACCCGGCTAATTACACCATCATATTATTCCCATATCTCTTCTATGTCTTTTTCAACATCAGCTGGGGTGTCGGATCCTGGACATATGCCGCCGAAATCTTCCCCGTCTCAATGCGAGCCAAGGGAAATGCGTTGTCGACCGCATCTTTATGGGCCGCCTGTTATATTGTCGCGCAGGCGAGTCCGCCTATCGCCGATGCGATTGGCTGGGGACTTTATATCATCTACACTGGGATTTGTGTGGTTGCTTTCATTTTTGTGCGATATGCCCTGGGTTCGTGCTTCTCTTTTCTAAGCTTTCAAGTTTCGTGGGAAGTTTGCTGATCATGCTCTAGTGGAAACCCGCGGCCGATCCCTGGAAGAGATGTCCCGATTGTTTGGCATTGAGACTCGCTTGGCGCAGCAGAGTGGTTTGAAGCCAAGCCCGGGTGGAAAGGATCCCACAGAAGAGCATGTAGAGGACCTGGGCTCGTCAAGCCGCTCGAGATAACATCCATGGACGGAAACCTTCAAGGTGGAATTAACCCAGGCCCGGGGCTGACACATTCATGGCTATTCAGTAGACCGAACGTAGAAATTATCTCTAACCTTGAAGTTTGCATATTTATTTTCCATAAATACTCGAAAATGGGGTGCATCGCCCACCGTACACTTACTAGGTAGATATATCTTCAAGGTTCAACATTAGAAAATGTACCTAGTATATTTCCAACGCTATAATACCAGCTACCTAGTACCTGCTACCTAGGTAGGCAGTAATAATTACACAGGGCAATGCTGGGAAATATCGGTCTGCCCAGATGGGCAACCCCCAAGGTTGGAAATTAATGTCCTCCCGAGGTCACCGGCATCGCTTAAAGGACGGATCACATGAGAAACGGTCAAACGGGGGTCATTATAGTCATGTATTCATGGCTATTGTCAAGTCCAGAGATCCAGTTATATTTGATCATGTCACTAATCCTTGGAAATAGGGAAAGACCTTGCATTGAATTCATATGATCCAAATGTGAAGGTCTCTAGACTGACAGACCGCTCTTTGCGGAGGCGACCTCTCCGGACTGCACGGTTCAGCCGAGGGCTCGTGGGCTGATCATTTCCCAACTCCATTCTTGTATGGAGTGTACCCAGGTAGTATCAAGTCTACCCTTCCTGTACCAGCAGTAGCATGTTTACTATGGAACAGAAACAGTATTCCAATTCACGCCAAACTCTGACCCCTGAATTACAATTCGTATTCGGCAGAGATTGTGGGTAATAGGCACCAGGCACCCAGCAAAGCCGGAAGCGGAACGCCCCAGACGGCAATCATTCGGTACAAGTGGACAGGAAAACTGGAGAATGGAATTGCCGAAACGGGTGGAATCGCGTACTCTGGCTTCAACGGGGATTTCATATGAGACTACGGAGTAGTATGTAACCCTTCAGGGCTGTACGAGTGACTACAGTATGATAGTAGGGGTTGAATCTCACAACCTTGAAAGGACACCATAAATGAGAAAGGGTATCAGGCAATCAACAGACGGTGAGGACCAGCGAATAATAGGCCGAAGCTAAATCGTAAATTGTAAACTGGAATAGGGGGATGTCGGGGCACCGGAGTATGGCGGAGGTTCATATTATTTAAGGTCCGCCGCTTCCCTCTCCCCTCCTCCCCTCCACATCAACTTCATCTTTCTGTCCCGTTTATTTTAGGTTCGTATAAACCTTTTCAACAGGTCAGATCACTTCTCGTCGAGACAGTGGTCACATACAACCGCCAAAATTTTCGCGACAAGTCTTAACTCGTGAGTACTCATCTACCTACTGGACTATACAATGCTAACCTCTGACCAGGCGGCACCACCCGTTCAACGGCCGACGCTCATCCAACCGTGGAGGAGCATCGGACTGCGCACCCTTTATCCGCTAAAGCTACGCACTCACACACATAACACTTTCCAATTCATCCCGCTGTGAACGCAATGGCTCCTCACGCTAGCTCGGATGCTGCCAATGGCGCCCTGAACGGGTCGGTTCGCCAAGAATCCTCTCTGTTTACTGTCCAATCGCCCAATGTCGTCTACACGGACGACGAAATCAAGTCGAAGTACGCCTATCAGACTACTGAGATTACCCGCTCTGCGGACAACAAGTTGGTGGCCACTCCCAAGGCCACCAACTACAACTTCAAGGTCAACCGCAAGGTTGGCAAGGTCGGTATGATGCTGGTCGGCTGGGGTGGTAACAACGGTTCCACCGTCACCGCCGGTATTCTGGCCAACCGTCGCAAGCTCTCGTGGGAGACTCGTGATGGTCAACAGACCTCCAACTACTATGGCTCGATCGTCATGGGCTCCACTGTCAAGTTGGGCACGGACGCCAAGACGGGCGAGGAGATCAATATCCCCTTCCACGACCTGCTCCCCATGGCCCACCCCAATGATTTGGCTATTGGCGGTTGGGACATTAGCAGCCTGAACTTGGCCGAGTCCATGGACCGGGCCCAGGTGCTGGAGCCCACCCTCAAGAACCAGGTCCGCAAGGAGATGAATGAGATGAAGCCGTTGCCTAGTATCTACTACCCCGACTTCATCGCTGCCAACCAGGAGGACCGTGCCGACAATGTCGTCAAGGGTGACAAGGCTTGCTGGGAGCACGTGGAGCACATCCAGAAGGATATCCGCGACTTCAAGGCCAAGAACGGCTTGGACAAGGTGATTGTCATGTGGACCGCCAACACTGAACGGTACGCCGACATCATCCCCGGTGTCAATGACACCGCCGAGAACCTGATCAACTCCATCAAGACTGGTCACCTCGAAGTTGCTCCTTCCACCGTGTTTGCTGTGGCCTCCATCCTCGAGGACACTCCTTTCATCAACGGTTCCCCCCAGAACACCTTTGTTCCCGGTGCTCTGCAACTCGCCGAGCAGCGCAAGGCCTTCATTGGTGGTGATGACTTCAAGTCCGGCCAGACCAAGATGAAGTCCGCTCTGGTCGACTTCTTGATCAATGCCGGTATCAAGCTCACCTCCATTGCCAGCTACAACCACCTGGGCAACAACGATGGCAAGAACCTGAGCTCTCAGAAGCAATTCCGCTCCAAGGAGATCTCCAAGTCCAACGTCGTGGACGACATGGTCGCGGCCAACCACATTCTCTACGAGAAGGATGAGCACCCCGACCACACCGTTGTCATCAAGTACATGCCCGCTGTTGGCGACAACAAGCGCGCTCTGGACGAGTACTACGCCGAAATCTTCATGGGTGGTCACCAGACCATCAGCTTGTTCAACATCTGTGAGGACTCGCTGCTGGCTTCGCCTCTGATCATCGATCTTGTCATTCTTGCCGAGATGATGACCCGCATCAGCTGGCAGGCCGACTCCGAGGGCGCCGAGTACAAGGGCTTCCACAGCGTTCTGAGCATCCTCAGCTACATGCTCAAGGCTCCTCTGACTCCCCCCGGCACCCCCGTTGTCAACGCCCTTGGCAAGCAGCGCTCTGCTCTGATCAACATCTTCCGCGCCTGCGTTGGCCTCCAGCCCGAGTCGGAGATGACCCTCGAGCACAAGCTGTTCTAGACTTCCCATGGATGGATTCAGCCTGATAGTTTCAACCCAACTTTAGTCACTCTTTTACTCTAAATTGAAACCCGAACACAATGTGTTGGAAAAATTTGGAATATTCATCGTAGCATTGTAATCGTTATGTACTGTTAAAATCGTATGAACACAGAGTCCTCTACTGGGTCCGGCCCAGGTCAGAGTAGGCATTCAGAGCCAATTGCCCACCGAGGTGCGCATACAAAATGTTTCCCTCCTCGATCTCTCCACGACGGATCATATCAATCATGCCCGCGAAGCTCTTACCCTCATACACAGGATCCGTGATGAACGCCTCCATCTTGGCAGCGTACTCAATCGCATCCCAAGTCTGACGATCCGGAATGCCATAAATGCCCGCATGATAGCGATCATCCAGAATAACATCCTCAGCCGTGATATCATCTTCAGTCAAGCCAATCTTAGCAGCAGTGTTCTTCGCAATGCGCAAGACCTGATCAAAAGTCGCCTCAACCGTTGCCGAAGCATCGATTCCAATGACCCGTCTCTTGGGATCATCAGGATACATCTTCTCCAACAACTTAAACCCAGCAATCATGCCAGCAAAAGTCGAGCCGGTAACAGCACAAACCAAAACCGTATTGAAAAACACCCCCATCTTCGCCTCCTGCTCTCGAACCTCAAACGCCCACCTCGCGAACCCCAATCCGCCAAGCGGATGATCCGATGCACCAGCAGGAATATAGTAAGGAATCTCCCCATTCTTCTTCGCCTCCTCCACAACAGCCGCAGCAGTATTCTTATGTTCGATTCCAAACCCAGAAGGATCAAGCCTCACATCCGCATTCATGAGTCTGGAAAGTTGAATATTCCCCGTATCCTCGTACCCCTTATCAGACCAGTCTACCCAATGTTCCTGCACAAGACGGGCCTTCAGACCCGACCGTGCAGCAACGGCCGCGACCTGGCGGGTGTGGTTGCTTTGGACGCCGCCGATGGAAACCAGTGTGTTGCATCCTTGCGCGAGGGCGTCGGCAAGCAGGTACTCGAGTTTGCGGGTCTTGTTGCCTCCGTAGGCGTAGGCGGAGTTGAGATCGTCGCGCTTGGCGTAGATGGTGACCTTTTTGGGGTTTTGGAGGTCGGCGGTTATGCGGGGGAGGGGGTGGATTGGAGATGGGCCCAGGAGGAGGGGAGAGCGCGGGATTGAGGAGAATGGCTCTGGGAGGATTATGGGGTTGGGGTCCATTTTGGATGTGTTTGTTGGTTGAGAGAGTGAGATTGGTTTGCTTTCAGAGGTTTGGACTGATCTTGTTGTTTTCTGCGAGGTCTTTATACTTCGCTCTGATCTATATGCCGCGGGAATGGCCGCGGCGTGGAGTATACTCCACGGCGCACCCCTCTTCGAGCCGTTTCAGAACCCGATATGCATGTAGGACGAATGGATCATGTCCTATCAGTACGTTTAATTCGACCGACATCGGCGCTCTTATCACGAAGATCACCAAGTACCTGGACCTGGAGTGTGGAGGACCCTTGGGACCTCGAGAGGGGTATGAGTACTGTACGAAATCTTGGGTACTAATTTCATGCAACTTCCACGGTCACGCAGCGCAGAAGTATCAATGTATTACACTCGGTAGCTATGTGATTATTATGATGGAATCCGTCTACTCGCATTAACGGAACCCCTATGATGTATATGGGTCCTAGGTAGCTACAAGGTGCTGCGGGGAGTGAGGACCTTGGACGATCAGCGCTACAAATATTGCAGATTCCCAGAAAATAGTAAAGTCATATTTCACATCAGTTGCTTTTATCTATTTCATGTCGACAACGCAACGAACACAGTCACCCTCCTTCATCTGATCGAAGGCGCTGTTGATAGCACTCAAAGGCTGGCGGTGGGTGATGAACTCGTCCACCTTGAGCTCGCCGTTCAGGTAGTCGTCGACCAGACCGGGGAGTTGTGTGCGACCCTTGATACCACCGAAGGCACATCCCTTCCAGACACGACCGGTAACAAGTTGGAATGCTGCAGAGAGTTAGCGAACGATCATACACAGCTTGAGGGGAAAACCTACGTCGGGTGGAGATCTCCTGTCCAGCAGCGGCCACACCAATGACAATGCTCTCACCCCAGCCCTTGTGGCAGGCCTCGAGAGCGGCACGCATCACACCGACGTTACCGGTGCAGTCGAAGGTGTAGTCGCAACCACCGTCAGTCATCTCAATCAAGTGTTCTTGGATAGTCTTGCCAGACAGCTTGGTGGGGTTGACGAAGTGAGTGGCACCGAACTTGCGGGCCCAGGCCTCCTTGCCGTCGTTCACATCGACGGCGATGATCTTGCCGGCCTTGTTCTTCACAGCACCCTGCAGAACGGAGAGACCGACACAGCCAACACCGAAGACAGCGACGTTGGATCCCTCCTCAACCTTGGCAGTGACAACAGCAGCACCGTATCCGGTGGTGATACCACAGCCGAGCAGGCAGGAGCGATCAGTGGGGATCTTAGGGGTGACGGCAACCACAGAGATATCGGCCACAACGGTGTACTGGGAGAAGGTGGAGGTACCCATGAAGTGAAGGAGATCCTTGCCGCGGGCACGGAAACGGGAGGTGCCATCAGGCATGACACCCTTACCCTGTGTAGCGCGGATCTTGCCGCAAAGGTTGGTCTTGCCAGACTTGCAGAACTTGCACTCGCGGCATTCGGGAGTGCTGAAGGGTGGTCAGTGAATGTTGCGAGGTTCAAGTGAGGTGCATCTGAAACATACTAAAGAGCGACAACGTAGTCGCCAACGTTCACGGAAGTCACACCCTCGCCGACAGACTCGACGATACCGGCACCCTCGTGACCGAGGACGACGGGGAAAGCACCCTCGGGATCCTTGCCGGAGAGAGTGTAGGCATCTGGTGTTGTCAGTCGGAACAGTTCGGCAGCGGGGTTGTTTTTTTTTCCTTGGCGGGGAGCTTACCGGTGTGGCAGACACCGGTGTGGTGAACTTGAATGCGCACCTCACCAGCTTTGGGGGGAGCAACCTCAATGTCCTCATAGGACAAGGGCGCGCCAGCCTCCCAGGCGATGGCAGCCTACTGAGATTAGTATACTGATTGGGTCGGTGATGTGATTGCATCATCTCTGTGGCGGGATGATCGGATGGCGCATACCTTGCAAGTGATGGTCTGACAATGTTAATTGAGATCCAGAATTTTCTTGAACGGAAGAGGGTAGCTTACCTGTCCTACTGTGCTGGCCATTGTGGATAACCCAGATACCAAAAGGACTTGGAAGTTAGTAAAGGTTTGAGGTATGCAGTGACAGCACTCACAGAAGTTCTGAAGAGAGAAAGAGGGAGGAAGAGGCTTTTGAATGAGACGAGTGGGGCAATGAGGGGGACAGCTCAAGCTCTGGAAAATGACGGACCGTGAGAAGTTGGAGATCCGGCTCCCCTCATCCTCCTCCCCCACCTGGAACCCGCGGGCAGCCAAAAGGGTAAGATAAGCCGTTATTTCCCTGGGCGTTGCCCCTACGTGATCGGGAGCTGTTCCGACATCCGGCTCAACACGGTCCTATCTCCGGTCCCGCTCTTCGAGGACTTGGAGAGAACCTGAGATCATAGATAGTATACAGTAATTCAAATGGAAGCAGATATACCGATGGGGTTTCAATGTTGGAGTTTGACATTGCACATAATCTTCCAATGCTTCCGGACTGGAAAAAGATATGATATGAAAGTCTCCAGTGTCACCCACAGCTCGTATGAATACATACAGAGGACAACCTTGAAGGCGAGGAACGAATCAGTCACCGATGCTGCAAGCTACAAGGCCCACATAATGAACATTTGGAACAAGAATCAATTATGTCAAGTAGGGGAAACATGACACCAGCAAAGTGGCTGAGAAGGCCAAGTCAGGTCAAATCCTGGTAGACGGCGACAGCAGAAAGACCCCAGGGCTGCTGCGCGTTATATGCAAAGCGCCAATCTAACTTGAGCCGCATGGGCGACAGCTCCGACCGCCACAGGGGTAGCGAGTTATTGGGTTAGATCTGGAGCCGGCGGCTACAGATGCAGGCCAACGACCCCGGACCGCGTTGGCCGGACTAGCAGAAAGCTTGTTCAAGAGAGTTGTATTTTAAGCACCTGGGGGAAATATCACCCAAATGCTATTCTTTATGATACACGGCAGGAAGCCGATCCTGTCTGCTTCCATGCCCAAAGGCCATCGACCACACATCCCGTCTCCGGACCCTGTCAGGTCGACGACAGGGTGAATCACGTTGATTCCTAGCTCACACCGTATTGATTCACGTGATTGTATACTAACAGCGACTCCGGTCGGTCGAATGTCAATTCAGGTTCTTAACGTTGCATAGAGCCGGACTGCATCATGGCAGCGTTCTGCTCCTGGAATCGCTCGTTGAGGCGGGCGGAGCTCTTGAGGTTCTTGTCGACACAGCGCATGATGCAGGTCTCCTCGCGGTTGATGAGGGACTTGGTGGTGAAGTCGTTGACACAGTCGTCGAAGCAGCGCTGGACCATCTTGGAGTACATCTGGAGGAGACGAGGTCAGCGCCACTCGGGTAGAAAAAGGGGGTGGGAAGCAATTGCTTTGGTCAATTGCATTCAAAGTTGGATTGAACGTACGGTCATAAACTCCTTGAGCTGCTTGCGCTCCATGCGAGCGGAGAACTCGCGCTGTTCCGATGCGTTCAGTCTGCATGGGGTTAGCTGGCAATCACGGAGGGAAAGGGGAACAAATAACGCGGTTCCAAAGAAACTCGAAACATAGGGAGATGCTTACCCGTCCATTGTGAAATGTAGTTGTTATTGAGGTGATGGATTGATGGGTTTCAAACACGGTTGACCTCACCCATCATCAAGCTCAGATATTCAGCTCGGGAATATCAGCACGTGATATGAGCATCACGTGATATTATCATTTCAGAGTATCACGTGACAGAAAGGAACCCAGGGTTTCACGTGACGTTACTACAGTCATCCGATCCCATTCAAGTTTAGCGTGTCCTGTCCCATGGATGAGGTTCCAATCGACGCACCGATCACACCCGGCACCCGCAAGGCTGATTTGGCCAGCTCTCTCCTTTTGAAACATCTCAGTCAACAGTCCATGGCCCCATCTAAATTTAGATGTACCCTGTTCCATGCTGGAGGCAGAGAGCGGCTCTTGCAGATCAAGCTGTGGTCATAACTCATTTCTTTGAGAGTACGATCTACCCGAGACACATTGTTCTGCGTCCAAGGGCCCAAGGGTCGGGATGGAGAGAGGTATCTGGGGCTGCTGATTGGCTCTGGCATCCCCAAAAAGAAAGGCGCGCCAAACAAGAAAAATGGGAACAGTCAATCGGTACCTGATCGGGCGATGCTATGAAACCGGTGACGGAGTGGTCTCCAGACCCCTAAAAGAACACTAACTCACCCTAATGGCACCCTAGCGGAGGGCCCAGACACCCTTGGGGCTGGGACTCCATCGGTTCCAGACTCTTCACCCTGGTACCTGAATCCTGAAGAACACAGGGTGAACGGGGTAATTTAATCTATTTCGTGACTCCATTAACGGTTATCCGCTGAGACGGAGTAATTTGAAGCGTGGACTAGTTAGGGGGGGAGCTATACATAGAAGCCAATGACTCCGTACTCGGTACTCTCGAATACTACTCCGTACGAAGCTATATTACCCAGAAATTATAATATGGAAAAATAGGGCTGTCATATTTTGTTCATATGGATTGGCTCGTGCCCCCCCGAACCCTCCCCTAGATCATCCCTTCCCCCCCCCCCTCCCTCTCTTTGTTCAACTTATACTATCAGTTGTACACTCGATCTTTGTTTCGCCACTGGACTATTTCGGGATAGGCGGTGACGCAGGGACTCTACTCTCCCTCCCCCGACCGCTGCCTCTCCAACCTCATCTCGAGTATTCGTCATGGTCACGGTCGGGAAATCGCACGGTGACGCCGTTCACCCGCTACCTACCTCCGATCCGGTCGGCCCCAGCTCGCCGCCCTCGAAACGGGACTTGGCCTCGTGGTGGAAGCAGTTCAAGCGCAGCACCCGCAAAGATGATTTGAAAGGTGGGTTTCCTGTCATCCCAAGGCGATCAAGCGATACATCTCCGTGGACACCCGGCATTGGAATACTTCGCAACGTCCGCCCGGACTTCCGGATCTCGTTCCCTCGTCGCACCGAAGGCTGTCACGGTTTGTGGAGCGGATGCCGGATACCTCCCTGGCCCTGCGATTGCGTGGTCCGTTACAATGTTTGTCGAACTGGAGTACCTGACTATGGATTGTAGTAGAGCCACCCCGCGGTATCTTCGGAGTTCCGCTTAACGTCAGCATCAAGTATGCCAATGTGGCTATCTCCCTGACCAACGACCACGGCGAGAGTTTCATATATGGATACGTGCCCATTGTGGTTGCCAAATGCGGTGTATTCCTCAAAGAGAAGGGTGAGTCTCCCGCAGAGGATGTGTCGCGGATCAACGCTGACGAGTGCCGACAATAGCTACCGATGTGGAGGGCATCTTCCGACTGAACGGCTCGGCCAAGCGCATCAAGGATCTCCAGGAGGTCTTCGACTCCCCCGAGCGATATGGAAAAGGGCTGGATTGGGCTGGGTATACGGTGCACGATGCGGCGAACGTACTCCGCCGATACTTGAACCAGCTGCCCGAGCCGATTGTGCCCCTCGAATTCTACGAGCGCTTCCGCGATCCTTTGCGCATCTACCAACAACAGGTCAAGGAGGGCAAGGAACCTAGCGACGCCGACAGGTTCGATCATGCGAAGGCCGTGGATACCTACCAGCGCCTGATCATCGAGTTGCCCCCGTTGAACAAACAACTGCTCCTCTACATCCTCGATCTCCTTGCGGTGTTTGCTTCCAAATCCGACCAAAATCGCATGCCGTCGAACAACCTCGCCGCCATCTTCCAACCGGGCATGCTTTCCCACCCCAACCACGACATGTCGCCGGACGAGTACAAGCTCAGCCAAGACGTGCTGATCTTCCTGATCGAGAACCAAGACCACTTCCTATTCGGCATGAGCGGCACAGCCGCCGACGAAGAAACCATGAAGGAAGTCGAGGCCGGTATCCCCCGTCCTGCCCACTCCAGCATCCGAAGATCCGTCTCCAACGCCAGCGCGAACACAGAAAGCCACCGCAAGCTCGGTAGCATCCGCCGAAATGTCTCGGTATCATCTCGCAACTCGCGTCACTCAAACACCGCCCAGAGCCCAGGCACCCCAACATCTATCTCCGGCAGTGGTGTTCACAGGAGCAACACCCTGCCTTCGAAAATGGGTCCAGTCTTGACTTCTGCTCGCTATGCGCGTGCGAATGACCCAGCTACGACAAATCTTGCTGGCCTGGCGGTTTCACATCAGAGTTCCCGATCTACGAGTCGGACGCCGTCGGTGCGTGAAGAGCCGGAGGAATCGACTCAGGCTGTCCACGAGCCGGCTCATCATGCCCCTCGCCCTGCTTCTCGTCCGGGATCTCGGCAGACACTCGAGCCTGTTGCTCAGCCTGTTCCTCAGCCCGCTACTGAGCCGGTCTCTCAGCCCGTCCAGCCCGTCCAGCCCGCTCAGCCTGCTGTTCAAACCGTTGCCCAGCCAGACGCCCAGCCAGTCGTTCAGCCAGTCGTTCAGCCAGTCGTTCAGCCAGTCGTTCAGCCAGTCGTTCAGCCAGTCGTTCAGCCAGTTGCTCAGCCAGTTGCTCAGCCAGTTGCTCAGCCCGTTGCTCAGCCCGTCGCACAACCAGTCGCCCCGCCTGTTGCCCAGCCCACTCAAGCTAGTGCCCAGCCTGCGATCGAGCCAGCCACGCACTCAGTTGCCGGTAACGCTGCTCATAGTGAACCCGTTGCTCAACCAATCCCTCGGGCTTCACACGAAAAATTGGAAGAGCGTTCTGATCAACCAAAGAATCGCCAATCAACTTCTTTCTCGCCAACTCAAGGCAGTGCGTATGTGCATACATCAACCCATGGTCCATTGCCCCCAGCTGCTGCCGAGCGCCTCAGCATTACTGAAACGGCAAGACCCCACGAGAATCTCAGCACGCCTATTGCCTCACCTCCCCAGGTTGTCACTCCATCTCGCGAACGCAAGCTTTCCAATTTCTTCACTAAATCACCGCCCCCTGAAGGTGAACTGAGAGAGCCTCGACAGCCTAACCGGCTGAGAAAGAAGCGCATTCCAGGTAGTGCAAGCATGAGCGCACAAAGCTCAACCAATTCTCTTCACGCCTACGGTGCTGATTCTGGTGCGGAATTGCAGCCAAGCAACGAGCACCATCCTGAAGTGGTCGGTGATACCACACCCAGACCTCCAAACACAGCAACACTTGGTAACCGCCGTGAGAGTGCTTCGGAGTCCACCTCGGCTCTGACTGAGGGCACCTCGCAATCACATCAAGATCACTCCCTGCGGCCCAATAAGTCCCGCACACCCTCCATGAACTCTCGATCGTCCTTTACAGATCAGTCCGATTTGGATCAGTCCGAAGACGCTCCTCGTAATGATCGTCATGAGCACCGTCGCAGCTGGCGCTTCCACCGTTCGTCCAAACGCACTAGCGAGCAGCTTGGCCTTGGGCTCTCTTCACCGCCGCTGGTAGCAACAAATCCTGGGGCGGAGCAAAGCACCAGTTCCATTGGCAGTGGATATCACCAAGGCTCCGAACTTTCAAACCATCCGCTCAGTTTGGATGCTGGAGTTCAAAGCACCTCATCAATTGCCCTCGAGCCCGAAAAGAAAAGTCTCTTCGGCAAATTCAAGGCAAAGGTCGCTCAGGTTCGTGACGGTGTCAAGGATGAGCGTGATCGCACGAAGAGCCCAACTCGCTCGGATACCGACGCCTCCCTCGCCAGCCAACCTCTTTCGCCAATCATCACTGATTCCACAAATGGGAATTCTTCCGAGGCACTGCGCGAACAAAACAAGGAAGACCCAGTCCGATCTCCTGTGTCGCCATTCCCTAGCGCTGGCCTGCCTCCGCCTATTCCGGAAGAGCCACACAGTCCGGTGTTAACCAATGCTGCGCCTGTTATTGAACAGAAAGATTCAGTCCCCATTCCAGGTGCCGGCTCGGTTCCTGCCCCAATCGACTCTACCGAGGCAGCCCCAGCCACTGAAGCTGCTCCACTCAACGAGTCGGTCCCAGTCACGGAGCCAGTGATACCTAGTGAGCCTCCCAAAGAGAGTGCCGAGCCTTCCAAGGCCACTTAGATCTTCAGAGAATGTGCCTTTTCCCTTTGGGGATCGAACTCCCAGTGTTTCGCCGCAAATTTTGGCAAGTCCACCTGACATGCGAAATGAATGGTTTTGGTGCGCCTGTGCCGGGCCACTACAGGCGTTGGTGTCTCTTTTTCCTGATGATCGACTCATGACCATATCCCCTCATGCCATGTCGAATGACAGTGTCATCCGGCTGCCCTGGCGTTGTATTCTTTAACCCCCCTCTCTCTGCCCCTGTTCTCCGAGCCCTGAGCCCTTATTCCAGATTCCAGTTGATCATGTTGCCATGTGGTATGAATGTACGTTTCTCTGCGATTGCAGCCGGTCTGTCTTGAGCTTTCCGCGTTTGAATTTACTTATTCTTGCTTGCGATATCTCTGATCTTATATCCAAGAAAATGTCAAGAATAGGGTTGGTTTCATTGTTGTCCTCGTCCCGCTCTAGTCTAGCGTGGCTTTGTAGATTATGCGTCATGTCGGGTTATCAAAATGTAAAATTTCATTATATCCCTAATCAACGACTAATAAAATGTAGACGCCACATTTGGTCGTGTTCCCTGTATTTCCATCCTATTGAACCGTTTCAAAGGGACCTTGTGGTTGTCGATGCCCTGAGTGGTTCCAATGACACCTGCGTTATAAGGCAACAAGGCACTCAGGCCAGCAACCACCCATCTCGCCAAAACCACGAGAATCCTCGTCCCGGCTCAGCCGAAGCTCTCCAAGGTTTACCTTCGTTTTCCACGGCAAAATGGCTTCGGACCCCTTGTCGCCAGGGGCATCAACTCCCCAGACACCTACAGAAAAGCCGTCCACTCCCCCCGTCAACATCCTCTCCTCGCCGATATCCCGCGTGTACTCGATCATCCACCCAGCACTTCTCCTGGCCTTGGGCGCGACTCAATTCGAGAGCGTGGTCGCAAATCCGACCAAAGGACTGCTGAGCACTCTGCCATGGCTCACCCTTGTTCAGATACTCTATGTGATCATTTGCCTTCCCCCCGCCGGATCAACAGAGACCACCGCGCCCGCCGATGGCAAGTCGAGCTCCCGGTCACCTGGGCCCGCTTCGCGCCATGGAAAGCACGGCAAGCGCAAGCAGCACGTCAATAGCTGGACGTGCATCTGGTCTCGACTACTGGTACGACCTCACTCGAAACTATTCCGAGTTTGAGTGCTAACTCTTCGTCTAGCCCGCTTTGCTTGCCCTCGCTCTGACATTCGTGCTCGCTACCCCGGTCCTGGCAGCACTCCTCGTCCTCTTCGGCGCTCCTCTCACCACCCATAATGCCGAGACTATTCTCGGTGCGGCCCATATGGCCGTCCTGTCTGCTACCGCGCTGATCTACACGCATGGCCTGGACCGATCTGTCTGGAACGAAGTCTGGGGCATTGCTCGTCCCGCCGATGCGGTTTGGGGTAGTGCGTTGGGTACAGGTCTCGGCGCGTGGTTCGGCGCCATCCCCATTCCTCTCGATTGGTGAGTCGTACAATTGCATATTTAGCCATGGATTTTATAGCTAACTGAATGTGAAGGGATCGCCCTTGGCAGGCATTCCCCATCACGATCCTCACTGGGGCGTACATTGGCTATGCTCTTGGATCTTTTGCTGCTCGCACACCAATTCTCTTTGGCAAGCGTATCGTCTTCGCGGTGGAGGAAGTCGACGATGCCGAGAAGAAGTCTAACTAAAGATATAGCCTCCTCGGGCCCTTTTTTTTTCACCCTATGGTATATCGCGGGATATACGCGTGGGCTGTATTATTATCGAAAGTTGCCCTTTGAGCAGCTTCTTGCATTGGGTATCCCATACATCATATATTAATGCATTTCCGTTACTGTGACAATCAATCTTCACAGCTTGCTGTGATCATGGAAACTACCATGCCGCCCTTGGCCATTGCTGAATCTGGCCGCTCCTGCAATGGATTCCTTCGAGATGACCTTCTCTCCAGCATCGAACTCCTGTGCCATGGCGTCTTGGAACGAAGATGCATCGTAAGCACTGTAGTAGCAGGACCGGCGGTCCGTATTGAGACAAAGCTCGGGAAATCCCACTAGCTCCTTTGCCAGCGCAATGGCCGCCTTCAAAGATTCCCCTTTAGGAACCACCCGGCTCGCCAGTCCCATCTTCAGGGCCTCCTCGGCTCCAACGGCACGCCCGGTCAGTATCATGTCCAGCGCACGACCGAGTCCGACAATCGCCTGCAAACGAACAGTTCCGCCATCTATCAATGGTACTCCCCACCGTCGGCAGAAAACACCGAAGACTGCGTCCTCCTCGACGACGCGCATATCTGCAAGTAGACTCAATTCTAGACCCCCTGCAACAGCGTAACCTGAGACAGCACAGATGACTGGCTTCGTCACCATCATGCGAGAGGGCCCCACGGGAGCCAGGTTACGACCATTGACGGGCTGGATATTCGCGGCGGGCTTATCATAGTTTGCTTGTGCGACACCATGAAGATCGGCTCCGGCACAGAATGTACTCCCAGCACCGGTGAGGATGCAGACCTTCTGATTGGGATCATCTTCGAACTTGAGGATGGCCTCGTAAAGCGCTCGCGCCGTAAGGGTATCAACCGCATTCTTCCTTCGGGGACGATTGATAGTTATTACTGAGATGCCTTCAATTGAAGTATCAGTAGTAACCGAAATTGGTTCTGTCATGGTGTAGATCGTGAAATGTCAGCAGCGCGCCGGTGAGGGTTTTATATTCCCTCGCGACCTCGGCAAACCCCACTCGATCTCCTCCAACCATCCACCGGATCGACAATATGTCTTCCGCGTGTATAATATGTCATAAGAGAAAGGTAGTATACTAGCCCGGTCGTGCATGATGGGTGGCTGACGAGTTCCAGGTGAGGTGTGATTTTGCAACGCAAGACCCGTGCACCAATTGCAAAAAATCCGATGTGGAGTGCAGGTAAGTGGACTCCCCCTTACCTCCTGAACGCATAGATTGACCACTCAAAGGCCATATACAAGGAAGCGCAAGAGATTCACAAACAGTCTCTCGCCGGGTCGCAACCTGTCAAGCTCTGCGGCCTCAAGTCAACCACGGGGATCTCAAATACCCGCTGACTCAGATGGAGACGCGCCATTGACCTCGCTGAGCAGGCCTCAACGAGATGGAGATGATCGCGGTGCGCCAAATGTATCTAATCATGGCGAACCATCTATCAAGCAAGAGAGCTATCGTGGGCGCAGCGAATACATCGGCGGTAGCGTCCCGTTTGATGAAAATATGGTCAAACCCGGTCGCGAGACTACATACACCAACCCCAAGGCATCGGCGATCGATTTGCAGATGCTCCGTGACCAGAATGCCTTTGAACTTCCACCGGTGTCTGTTCAGAAGGAATTGATGGCTAGTTTCAACACACATTGCGCGCCTTGGACGCCGGTCGTTGATCCCAGGTGGGTGGAAGACGGCGCGCCATCAATGCTACTCTTGCAGGCAATATTCCTCGCCGGTAGCCGGGTGTCCAAAGCGCATTTGGATTATGGATCCAGTGAGGTGTTCTATCGGCGAGCAAAGCTGCTTTTCTTCTTTGGCGGATGTGACGATCCTCTGATCTCCATTGTCGCTGCTTGCCTCTTGCATTGGTATAATCCGGTTGGACCAGAGGACGTCTCGACAGACACGAGTGGCTTTTGGATTCGAACGGCTGGGGCGATGGCCTTTCAGATTGGGCTGCATAAGGAGCCACCGTCGAACTCCCGTGATCGGGGCCTAAGGCGAAGGTTGTGGTGGTCTCTAGTGGTAAGTAATTTCGAGGTCAAATATGGCAAACATGGAGTATGCCAGCTGACTATCTCAGGTGCGTGATAATATTATTTCCGTTGGTGTTGGCCGACCACGGACCATCAACCTGCGCGATAGCGACGTGTTACCACCCTCGCTCAATGATTTCCCCGCGAACAACTTCAAATCCCAGCTTTTCCTTGGGTACTGTACAATAGCCCGACTTCTAGGTGATACCGTCGAGTCCCACTTGCGGCAAGAAATCACCCGTCAACGGCAGACAGATCTTGAAAATGCCGTCTACAGATGGGCGAAACAGGTCATTCCGAAACTGCAGTCTGCCGTCCCATCCCAGGAAGATGCGGTCATTTGCAATCTCGAAGTCCAGCAGCTGCTGGTCATGTACTTTGTGGTTCTCACCATCCTCCATCGCTCACCCACACCGGGAGGCTCCCCACCCGCCGCAGCACTAGTTGCATCATCCTTCATCGCCGGTATCTACGAGGAATTCCTACTTCGGGACGAGCTCCGCTATCTCGGACCTGTCTTCGCATTCTATCCATTATGCGCCGGTCTATCTCTTCTTTCCAGCAGCCGATACACACATCTACAGAGTACAGCCGAGCACGAATTGACCGTGATGAAGTTATGCCTCCAAAAATTATCCGAAAGATGGCTTTCGGCAGTCGGGCCTCTGCGTGCCTTGAACAAATTGACCGAGAAGGTCCGAGAACAGGGCCCATTCGAAGGTACGCCACCCAAGCTTGACGCAGATGCCACTTCATTCTTTGAAGGATTTGAAACAAGATTGTGCAAGCAATGGCAAGTACTTGGTCATTCGCTGGAGCCTTTGAGTGCGAACGCTAGTGTTGCGCCGACGTGTAATTTGGCGGACATTCAAGACCCAAGTGATGCCCTTCGGTCTCTGGATACACCCTCTGCACAACAGGAGTATGACTTTGCGTCACTTGATGTTAGTCTAGACCCGTTCAGCAACAACTGGGAAGGGGCTGGGCTTGACTGGAGTAGTGCCTGGCTGCTCAATGTATAATAGCTGTTCAATGGGCGTTGGAAGAAAAAGACATGCCCAAGTGTTTCATTATATTTCTTGTATCAAGAAGACATTGTTAGCCATGTGTTCCTGTTCTTCAAGGTCCTTGATTCCAATCCGTTGGGTGATGATTTTCCAAGGTTGCTAAGATTCAATTGAACCTAACGCTTATAATTCGAATCGCTTCAAAGCTTAGAGCCCGCCTTCTGCAGCGATCTGTGGCCCGATGCACGCCCTGCTGGCAAATCGACCCCCCATGCAATGCGACAGTCCCATTGCAGATGTTCTTCGCCGCTAGAAGCCTCCACAGACCCCTTGTTTGCAACAATGTCGTGGAAGACCTGATCTCCCACACCGCCCTCGGCACAGAGAACCCAGCGGCGGGCAATCTCAGTGGTCGTTGGGTCTTGGTCACGCTCAGCATCGAGCGCCAATAGAGCTCCCGATAAGATCCAAGCAAGAGTGAACATAAAGCGACGACCATCGGCAACAGTCGAAGCCGGATCTTGAGATGTGAAACGAGCTCGGAGTGTAGACCATGCAGTCTTCAAAGTGCCTTGGAGACTCGGAGTTTGGATAAGGGCCACCATCCGCTCAACCCACACCGAGAATACTTGGAGATTGTCGTTCTTAAGAAGGAATCGAACGACCTCACTAGCCAGCACGTTCGTGGTACCTTCCCAGATAGAGTTCACGGCATTGTTGCGCAGGATCCGAGAGATATTGAATTCAGGCTCATCAGCCTCGTCCATATAGCCGACTCCACCCATTGATTCCTGGCATTCTTGAATCCCCAACGTGGCCATCTTGCTGATAACAGCCTTGGCAGTGGCTGTCAATGTACGGAAAACCACATTGGCCTCCTTGCCAGGCTGTGGTATATGGGCGAGCTTGGAGGATGGCGATTTGTTATCCTCAACCACCCCGAACAATGTGACCGTGAACCAGGCAAGGTTCATTGCACCCCGATGCTTGACTTCCAAATCTGCCAACAATCGAAGATGCATTGGAATCAGCCAAAGAGGCTCACCGACTGTGGTTCTTGCCTTCGCAAAACTTTTCGTGATGCTAATGGCACGACGCCAACCACCCAGTGAGCCGACGAAAGTATGAACGCGAGTGACGTTCAGCAAAGGCGCAATTGTGACGACGCCCTGATCCAACTCGCCGATGAGATGGGCTCGCATATCTTTCAGTTCCAGCTCCGCGGTGGGGAGCTCCTTGGTGCCAAGTTTGTTCTTTAGTCGGTGGATTCTCACGCCATTTGATACAACCTTGGTGACTCCATCGGCCCCTACGACGGTGCGTCGTAGCGGTGCGAGGAAAGTGCTCAGTTTTCCCGATGGGGTCTTAGCCAGCAAGAGTGCAAGATTGGCATCCGTTGCCGAAGAGAAGAATTTGAATCCACTGATTAAATAATCGCCATCACCCAGAGGGTCAGAGCCGGGGTTAGCAAGTGGCGAATATGTTGCCCATGTTTCGGTGTTTTGGACATCGCTTCCGCCAGCTCTTTCGGTCATCCACTGCCCTGAAGTCCAGTGGTCATCCTTCTCGGAGATCAAGCCTTGGAATGCAGCATGGAATGGATGGTCCGAGGGTAAGCTGCTGATTCTGGAAGACAATATGAAAGCAGCCCCGTCCGTCATGCTGATTGGACAGGAGTAGAGGCCAGAGGAAGGCGAGTAGAGATAGTTTCTGCAACCATTGATGGTGAGTACTTACCATAGAGCGAGCATGTCTTAGTGCACTTACAGAGCATATTGAATCGTTCTCCGATCAACTCCCAGGCTTTGGTCATAGCCTGCTGAAACAATTCTGAAAAGAGTCAGAGGGGGTAAAGTTTAGTGATTTCAAAACATACTTGTTCCGAGCACCCCATTTACCGAGTTGTTTCCAACCCTCAGTTGTGATCAAACGATCATAATCATATTGTTTACCCCAAACGTTGTGGCTTTTCACATAGGGGACGTTACGTTCAGCATCGCCACTCCATTCACGGACCCGCTCGGAGATAGCCTCGGCACCCAGCTGAGTGAGGTGTGGTCGTACAGACTGCAAGGTGGCAGATGGAAGGTACCCTGCAAGGAGTTGAGAGGCGACTCATGCACTGGTTATCAATGCACTCACATTTCAGTGTCCTTTGCAGACTAGGGTCTGAAGTATAAGTGTTCTCCAGTGACACCGGCTCAGTGATGTAACCGCTGTCCGCTGTTGCTGGTTGAGTAGTCGGCATAGTGCAGGTTGCCTGAAATGATGCAAACTGCATGTATCCCAGTCTGCGAATATCTGGTCTCGATCAAAATGCGGGGGTGGAGATTGTTAAGTCAAATTCCCAGGTTGTACCTCGGCGTTCGGTTGTCTGCCCGGGTGATCGTCTCAAGCTCCGTGAAAACACCGACGTATCTTCGTTATGTCTTTACAGTATATGTTCTTGATAATTATGAATGCACAAGCGGGTCTTGTGCGATATCTAGTATTGTAATCACAACCAAGTCAAAGGCATATGAAATATTATTTCTCCACAAAGACCCTCCAGGGCTGAAGATTGACCCTTCGGCGTCCGCGCGAATAGAGATCCCACCGTTTTCATGGTTGGGGTAACATAGACCAACACAAGAGAAACAAAACTTTGCTTTTGATCAACCTGACAGTGCGAGACACTCACATCTCATGGAGGGTGTTGTACCCAGTCTCAATAAGAGTGCGCGGTCCCCGGGCATCGGAACAAACGTGCCAGTAGAACAGACCCCCTAACTTTTCAGAGGTCACAAACTCGGCCTTTTGCTTCACTGTCCCCGGGGTATCATATGTAACGAATCCACCATCAGCTCCCACACAAGATCCCGCGCCTATCCTTGGATCATGATACTCCTGTGTGCCCGGTCGGGGCAAATCACGGTAGTCAAAGACACCTTCTTCTCCACCATTCCCAGTGTAGCGCTGGCCAGGCCCGTTGCTACCCAGGAAAGAGCGTCCATACACTGGGACCCCGAGAATGATCTTGCGACGGGAAACACCTTGCGACAACACATACGACACGGACGAATCACCCGATACCGCTGAGCCATAGAGCTGCGCTTGGTGACCGGTCTCGGGAGCCCAGGGTCCGGCGAAATCGTACGTCATGAGGTTGATCATGTCCAGATACTTTGCCGCCGCAGAGAGGTCGATGTTTTTCAATGCCCACTGACCAGCAGGGAGCGCGGTGGTAAGGACGTATCGTGGGGCGGGCAGCGCCTCGCGTAGGCGTGCGAGCAAACGAACGTAATCCTTTCCTTGCTTGGAGTTCGATGGATGCTCCCAATCAACTGTGAATATGGTAAGCAGATATTCTAGCTTGGGCCTGTGATCTTCGGGCCTGAAGCTCGGGGTCTCACTGTCGATGCCATCGATTCCAAACTGGTCTACCAGTCCTCGAGCGGTGCGAACGAATGTGTCCGTCTTGGAGCGGCTGTTGGCAACTTCTGCAAAGTTCTCACTGCCTTTCCCGCCTCCACCGACTGAGAGAACGACGCGCATCTTTGAGTACTGCTGCTTCAGTTGGGCAAACGCCCGCAGGCAGCCCTCAGTCCCATCAACGGGCATTTGAGTATCGGCCCACTCATCGCTCAACTGTGTCGTGTCAGTAATATATAAGGAATTCGCATCCAACGCGATCATACGTAAACAGTGCCATCTTCTTTGACCCTGCAAGAAGCCGATTCGAGGTTAGCGCATCAGCCATCAACACAGAAGTTATTGTTGATTGGCTAGAAATACCAGGCAAACGCGTAGAACACATGTGAGATGAACCCAAGTCTCAGCGACGAAGGGGGCTCTTTTCGATAGATCCGCCAGTTAGGGTAGTAAGCCGCATTTGTGTACAGCGGGACCTCATAGTGCGACTCGGTGGCGGGGTCACGACCCGCACGCCGGCGGAAGAGCGAGCTGGCGGCTGAAAACATTGATGTGGTGAATGAACCACTTGATTATCAAACGGAGGGATCAAAAGCAGAAAAGAAAGGAGAGGTGTAGCTGACCACGGGAAATGCAGGTAATAAGATCAAAGATCAACTTCGCTCAGACAATGTGTTTCCCTTTTTGGAAGATGTCACGTGGGAGGGCCCTTGGAAGAGGCCTTTCTCGCCTTTCCTGACCATCCCTTTTGTACATACACTGATTGGACAGCTCCGGGCACTAACTGATCAGCTGCAGATGCAAATCTCAGGTCACTCCATTCCGTTAAGCGTAAAACTCAGGACACTTGGGATGCGGGGATGGACTAAAGAGGCAGCCTTCCGCGTCAAGCATATGCATGCACATTTTTCCTCGCAAAAGTACGGCGTACACAACGGCTGATGTTTGCTGCTCAGCCACATGTCAGTACGCGGAGGACTTTGGCCCCCAAAAGTTCAGCTGCCTTCGCGAAATCTTGCTTCCCAACATCTAGTTCTCGGCTACGGAATACCCAACAGAGCACCTGGGCATGACCAAGATACGAATGATCCTCGAATGACGCGCGGTGAGATCTGACCAGGGAATGTTATTAAATGCACTAGCGAACGAATCCGATTAGACGGCACATGCAGCTAGGGCTCTAGTGTGGATCAACCTGCATAAGCATGCACCCCATGTTTGAAGATTTACTCGCAATGATGCCGGATCATCGACGGTAAAAAGGCATAAGAGTAGACTTGGTGGGGATTTCCAGAGCGTTTACGGCGTTAATTTCGCATCTGGCGCACAGTATCTGATACTGCGGAGTCAAGGACCAGGCTAGAAGAGTGGCGATGCAAGCTTGGCTTTTCCACTAATGTTTGCTTTTTCTCTTGTTTGCTGATCAAATCGCTTATTGCTTGGTGCTGATTCGTCACACTGGAGCTTATATGTTGAGGCTGGAAGACTATAGGTAGGGATGCAGGGGTGTCTCTCATGTATGGATCTTTGCTTTGCCGGAGACAAGGCAAAATCTATCTTTGAGTACAATAATATATGGAAAACCCTCTAATTTATTTCAACTCCAGTGTGGATAAAGCAAAAGTACGAGGGAATAAAATCCAGGCCCGAAATCTGCCCGGGTGCCTTCTGAGCCATCCAGAGCGCCTATCACAGACGACATATTAACAACTCCCGAGGTCTCAATGCCCAACCATATCGAGCATGTTACAAATACCATTTGTCTGTTTTTCGATGAACAAATCCTTCTTGTATATATTAACCCCTGAGACTCATGCCCTCCTGTTCTGTTTCACACGAAAGGTCCACAAGGTCGAATCGTGAACACGGAATATCACCGGCGACTTACAAGGCCGAGGTTGAGTTTACCAGCCTCCTCCAGGCTCTGCAGCTGGATCAACGCCACAGAAGATTCGGTTTTTTAGAGGCCAGTCTTGTTGGGTTGGCCTTTTGTCTTCGAATCGAGTAGCAACCAGGCAAGTACCGAACGCTGTTATCCCACGCATTTTCCAAAGTTGAGTTGGGCATCAAACCTTGGAAATTCCGCGACCAGGCAGCCTGCGATACTAAAATGATGTTTCTCATGCCCAGGTGGCGCCTGGTTCGCACTAATGTTAGTCTATCTCCAGTTGACCTCAACTGCTTGCCCATACTTGAGCACCTGGGCACCTGGGCAAACTCTCACCTCTAGGCTCGTGCATGGTATATGGATACTTACAAATATGCATTGCACTGATAAATGTGTCTAACAGGCCTCAGACCTCAAGAATAGAAGGACATGGTCGTCACGAAGCTGGGGTCCCAAGGGTTCATGATCTGAATGAGCACGAACGAAAGCTCGCCGATGAAAGCCGGAAATCAGTCGCCTCATGAGCAAAGTATGTGAACCTTGATCCATTATCTGCGGTTGATTACCATATCTCCAGGCTGCTACCCCCAGGGCTGTGATACAGGATCGTATCATGATGTCAAAGATGATATTACCGGAGAGGACTGTTGCAAAGTCATATCAAACCCTTGAAACTTGCAAAGTTTTTTGGTGATTCGCCGGAGAGGACCTCGGGAACGTCAATGAAAGAGAGGTACGGCTTCCAAGCTTCGATGGCAGAGTCGAAACTTCCCGAGGTCATATGGAATCTTGGAGCTGAAATCGTTCCTGCTTCCCGAGCGTATACTCTCGCTCCTTTGATAAATGAACAAGAAAGAATCTTCGAATTAGAAGCAGTGCGGGATCTCTCATTTTGAGGTTGTTCCTCGGAGCCAGTTCTGTTGAGTAGGTATCTGTGAAAGCGCCTAAGCTGCTTGCATCCCGTCAAGCCGACTTTAAATGCTTCGATTATTCGTGGTATTCGACCGCGATGTTTTGGCTAGCAACCGTTGGAACAAGGTTGAAGTTGTAATCCAACCCTGGAATTGGCCCATCGACACTTGGTGGCGGTGAAACCTTGAAGTACGCTTAGCAGGGGCTGAGCGCTGGTCCTCGGGAGCCTTGACGCCTTTTGATTCCAACAAGTACAATCAATCTCAGACTACCGCGATAGGCAGGGCAAGGGAGTCATGATGTGGCAATGGAGTCGTGAGGTAATACGAAACATGCCCAGGATACCAGATGCAGTCATCGAAACGGTGAATGCGGTCGGGAAGATAACATAACACCAAAAGGGCTTCAAACCATTCGCTGCCCATTATGTGGAGCCGATGAAATTCTGATCATTTCATCAACCTCGGGGCCAGAATGATGACTATATCAACAAATATTGACTTGTGAGGTCTACGCTACACCAAGAGACTCGATTGGTATACAATTTACACACCGACGGCATGATTGTGACTATTTTCCCGTATTCGGTGCTCGGGGGGTTGGGCCAGCCGACGCCATCGAATTCAACATACCTAGACCTGGGAGGAGGTAATAGCTCAGATTACAAATGCAAAGGTTTAGTTAGGAAGCTCGTATAAATACCACTACCGATTCCTGGTCCCTAGCAGACCAACAGTCTTGGAAGCCATCACAATGTCGAAAGAACTCATTTTCATTACCGGAGCCACCGGTTTTATTGGCAGTGCCACAGCTGTGGAAGCCCTTAAGCACGGATATCGATTGAGAATATGCCTTCGCAAACCTTCACCGCAGCTGGAGACTTTGCTATCGGCATATAGCGAGCAAATCGAAAGTGTTATAGTCCCCGACATCACCGATGAAACAGCATTTGAAGGAAAGTTAGAGGGCGTGGACTACGTATTCCACCTTGCATCGCCTCTGCTTCATGGAACAAACAAGGATTCATACTTTACTCCAGCTGTCAAAGGAACCACCGCGTTGCTGAAAGCAGCGGCAAATGTGTCTTCCATCAAGAAAGTAGTGGTCACCTCGTCCATTGCGGCTTTGATTCCCTTGACTGGAATTCCAGATGGCGGAGTTATCAAAGGTATGCTCATCTTTCTGAGAATGAAAGTCTTTATTAACCGCAGTGTTGTAGAGGATAATGACTGGGATTTCTCGGTCGACGAGAATGGATCTTTCGAGGACCCCGAAAACCCAGCCGGGACAGCCATGCGATTGTACGTCGCCTCAAAGCTCCTGGCAAACAACGCAACCTGGGACTTATGGAGAGCGGCCAAGCCACACTATGCGCTGGTGACGCTTCACCCTGCGTTTGTGTATGGGCACAATCTTGTCCAGACCTCAGCCGACGGGGTTTACACGGGCTCAAACGTCAATTTGTGGACTCTCATCATGCAAGATAAGCCTGCCCCTCTGACTGGTGTGCACATCCAAGATGTGGCGGAAGCTCAGATCAAAGCACTTCACCCGAATATCGCGGATGGCTCGAAGTATCTTCTCGCTGGACCGAAGGCGACAGCAGCAGATATTGCAAGTATCATACAAAAGCATTACCCCGAGGCCGGTGCTTTGATCAACGACCAATCTCAGGGGATGCTCATGCCGACCGATACAACTAAGGCCGAGACGGAGCTTGGGATTCAGTGGCGCTCGTACGAGCAGATGGTGCGGGAGATCATGGATCAACAGCTAGCATTTGTGTAAGGGAAATTAGTCACATCCATCCATGGATTGGAAATTATATTGGTTTTCGTAAATTCTCAAGTTGCTCTAGTTGTACATAGATATTTCCTCTGCCGGGGCTTTCCTATCTTAGCTGCCGCTTTTACGAGGGCGCTCAGAGTCAGGCTCACTGAGTAAATTTCAGTCCAAGCTCAGACTCAGTGATTGTGATTGAATGCAAGGTCCACGGGTTAGTATATGATATTTGCCTGGTACGTAGTTTGCTGGGTCATCTGCTGGTAGAATAACGTCTTAAAGATATTATTAGTATAAGCCAGAATCATATTGATATTAGATAACATACCTCACACCATTTCAGTGCGTGAGCCGGCACCGATCTATCTTGCCATGGTCCTTTTCAACGTGAACTCCAGGGCTTGTTGTGAACACCTGGTCAGGTGACCATGGTTCCCCATAGCTCGCTCTCTTCCTCTCTTTGCTTTTCCCTTTCTTTCTCTCTCTCCCCTAGAGAATCAATCTTTTCCGCCTCTCTCTCTGGCTCTGAATAGTCAGATCAGAACTCCATAAACCAGGAAAACAGGGGGATCAGTTCGCTGGCGTGGTCGGAGATTGCCAATCTCGTATAGGTGAATGAGAGCTTCGATGTTCACTCTCTGAGCTGGTCCGAAATCCGTGTCCAGAACGGCTTGCAAATCTTTCACTCGCTCCCGTGAACTTGTCGTCAGCGAGCTGGACTCTTGTTTCTCGAACGCCCGGTCGCCTCTCTTCATCGAGCAATAGGAGAGAAGGATCCGCTTCTGCGAGCAACTGAGAAGAAATGCCCAGGTCATTGGCGTGTCGCAAATCCAGCGTATTAAAGGTGATTCCTAGTTCCGTTGCCCGGTTTCGCGCATCGTTCGCTCAAGTAAGTCCACAGTCTGCGCAGCCATCAGGTAGCGAACTTGTAGAGAATGGGGAGTGGAAGTCTGTCATGTCATATCATGTGATGACATCATGTGCCCGATACCTACCTAGGTAGGTATGTCTGCCCAGGTGCCTGCCCAGGTGGGCTGGATGCCTCCAGGGCTGAAAGGTCCGGATGGAGAAGTGCAAGGTCAAGATAAACTGAAGACCAAGTGAAATAACAGAGATGGGATGGAGAGCACGGGACTTCCGCCGGAAGGGAGGAGTGTAGTTGTTGAGGCAGTTTCTCTTTCTTCTTCTTCTTCTCTCTCCATACTTGATATTTTCGATAAATGCACTCTGGTTGTTGAGGGATTTGGCAGACGTCACACGCTCTTCGGGTTGGAGGATGTACGGGATGGGACACTCGGGGCTGAACTCGGGAAGCGGATTAGGCATGTTGACAAGCGCGGGATGGATGGATGTGGGTGGTGGAAAAGGTGGAATTTGTGGAGCGCTACGGAGTACGGAGTATGTAGATGATCGGGGAGCAAGTCCGACGCGCCCAATGTGTAGACAAACATAATGCAAACGAGGCAAACACTTCTTGCCTGATTTCTAAGGAAAGAACTGGAGAACACCCAGACAGCTCCAACCTTCAGGACGATCCGATTCTTTCATATCTTCCACTCGGACAAGATTTGAAATCAACTCAGGTATACACAAAGACTCATCGTCTGCCTTGATTACCTCGGTACCCTACCCAGAGGCAACTCCCAGCCCGAGCCTTGCCATAATCGCGACGACGACCGACCCTTCACACCCGAGACTCTCCACTAGAGCTTGATCGAGCATGGCTACCATCTCCGAGGGCGCAGCTGCGCAAATAGTTTCTGCAGAGCCGACACGAGACCCCAGCTACAATGACTTCACCTTCATGCCCTTCCTACGCAAGAGTTTCGGCTTTGGACTCGCCAGCGATGTGCCTGTCTGCAAAGCCTACAGCGAGGGACACTGTCCCTTGGGGCCTGCGTGCCCAGATCGCCATCCTACCCCGTCACGCGTCACTACCTCTACCACCACAGCATCCGGAATGGCACCGTCAACAACACACGGGTCGCTGGTTTGCAAGCATTTCCTGAAGGGTCTTTGTAAGAAGGGCTTGAAATGCGAATATCTCCATGAATACAACTTGCGACGGATGCCAGAATGCCAGTCCTTTTCACGATCCGGATACTGCACGAACGGAGACGACTGTCTGTACCAGCATGTCCGCGAGGAGGCACGCTTGCCGCCATGTGAGCACTACGACCGCGGATACTGTGAGCTTGGACCTCTTTGCGCGAAGCGACATGTGCGCCGCCGCCTGTGCGTCTTCTATCTAGCTGGGTTCTGTCCAGATGGAAAGGGCTGTGCGAATGCACACCCCCGGTGGTCGGAAAACCTGCCGCGACCTACAATGCGCACCGAGAAGACCGAGGAGGAGTTGGAGCGCGAGCGGACACTCATCCGGGAAGAGCAAGAGCGAGAGAAGGAGCGGGAAAGAGAATGGAGGAACGAACGTGGACGAGGTGGTGGATTTGGACGGGGCCGCTTCCGTGGGCGTGGAAGGGGTTAAGTTCTTACACCGCGTCTTTTTCTTTCTCTTTGGCGACAATTGCATGGCATGGAGCGGGGGGACTCGGCAAGGGGGCTGTACTTGTTTTCACTTATGGTTCCTGCTGGGATCATCCTAAGATACCCTATCGAACACGACTACAAACACAATTTAGACAGCATTCAATAAAATTGGTGAATTTTTCCGAATCTCAGCAGCCCCGTTTTGGAACAGGTCACCGCTTTCCTCTCATCCATTGTACCCCTCCTAGATACCACCTGGGCACTATGGCCTTTCCGGAAAATGGTCCCATAGCGTACGGTGTGCCGTAGAACCACAGTCCATTTTGGGCCAATTTTAAGCCACCGGAGCTGTACATGCCGTGGTCAGCTTACCGATCGAGCTAGATCCTGGGCAGTATTGGCGTTAGCGCCTCGTGAAAAGAGTGAAAAATTCGAGACAGAGATCTAAGGGATTGCCCTCCAAATGCATGACATCATGATCAATAAGTCTTTAGAAACCACTGTATAATTTTGGAGTGTAGTACTACTAATATATCCTATTATTTCCGGTGTGTTGATCATCGCGGAATCCAGGGTCTCGACAGTCTGACCTGCAGAAACCCAATATTCTCGCCCACTTGCATAAATTGCCATTTGTCAGTGCTGTGTAAGAATTGCCTAAGAAAGCTATATCCGGGTGGAGACCCATTGGCCAGTAATATTACCCGTGTGCTCTGTCATCGATGACTGATTTGCTTTGAGAAGCTTTATGGATCTTGCTAATCGGGGATGGTACATCGGTGCCCATACTGTGTGTTATGGTGAGTAATGTACCGAAAACGTTCCCGGCGGGGATGGGAACAGACTATAACTAGACTCCCCTCCCCCGCCCTTCTCAATCCTATAATCCTCTCTTCTTTTCCAAATCGGTATTACATACTCCGAATACATTCACAATGGCTCCCAAGGTCGCTATCGTCTACGTATGTCGCTCAATCGCATGGATTGCCTCCCGACGTATACTAACCGCAACAGTACTCCATGTACGGCCACATCCAGGCCTTGGCCGAGGCCGAGAAGAAGGGTATCGAGTCTGCCGGTGGTCAGGCTGATATCTTCCAGTACGTATCTCGCTCTTTCCATGGCTGTCCATAACTTGCTCCCCGTCTATTGTCTTACCATGCAATGTAGGATCGCCGAGACCCTCAGCGAAGAGGTCCTGACCAAGATGCACGCTCCTACCAAGTCCAGCTACCCCATTGCCGAGCCTGCCGACCTCCTTGCCTACGATGCCGTCCTGTTCGGTATCCCCACCCGTTACGGTAACTTCCCTGCCCAGTGGAAGACTTTCTGGGACAAGACCGGCGGTATCTGGGCCACCGGTGGCTACTGGGGCAAGCACGCTGGTCTCTTCGTCTCTACTGGTACCCAGGGCGGTGGCCAGGAGTCCACTTGTCTTGCCGCCATGAGCACCCTCGCTCACCATGTAAGCTTCATCCAACCACAACCTCGTTTTTTGAACAGATACTGACCTTTGGAAGGGTTTCGTTTATGTGCCGCTTGGATACAAGACTGTCTTCGCTCAGCTCTCCAACCTGGACGAGGTTCACGGTGGTAGCGCCTGGGGTGCCGGTACATTCGCTGTAAGTTGACACGAACTCTAACCTTGACATTTTCCATTCTAAACCCCTCTAGGGTGCCGACGGTTCCCGCCAGCCCAGTGCTCTCGAGATCGAGGTCGCCACCGCCCAGGGCAAGGCCTTCTACGAGACTGTTTCCAAGGGCCAGTGACTGCATGGCAGTGCCGAGTCGAAGCCGGAGAGCTCGACCCCTGCCGCCGAGCCTGCCACAAAGACTGAGCAGGTTCCTCGACAGGCTTCTCAGGAACCAACCAAGAAGGAAAAGAGCAACGAAGGGCCTTGCGGCTTGCCCAAGAAGTGTGTGATTCAGTAATTGAGTCTGATGTTTCTGTGCCTTCTACACTTTCTTGGTTGTTTATCTGGGGCGTTCTCCTGGCGTTTTGGATTCTTATGACAGATATGACCTTCACAGTCGAAAACTACATAATCAAATATTTTAAGAACCCTTCAATACGTCGCTCTCTACCTACCTAGGTAGGTAGTATTCGGGGCCTCATTCCACGGGCTTAAATCTGTTACGCTCCGCTGGACTTAGGTATTTGTAGATCCCATGCTGGATTTTTCTGACGACCATATACCTAGGTACTTTTGAGATGATACTACCTATGTACCTATGTAGGTATTGACCATTTACTTCGGATAAGGTTTTCTAAGATTTTGTTAAGTTCAGAAATCACCTGCTCCGTTCCAAGGTTGCAGATTACTCAGTGCCTTTGGAGCCTGGAGAATAAGGTGTATATATGGCATCGGCAAACCGCGATACAATATGGACGGTGTACCTAGTGTAGTGGGGGGACTGCGCAATGGGATAGAACGATAGGCCATCGGCCTATGAGCGATCCAGTATTCGTGGTGAACATGACGACGCCGTGCAGGCTTAGAAGCTCAGAGAGACATAATTCAGATTCCAATTAGATGGCGGCGGCCTTCAACTGGCTGCCATCTACCTAGGTAGTACCTAGTATTAGAGCCATTCCACGGGCTTTAATCTATTACGCTCCGACAGACTGACGTCTTTCTATATCACATGTCCGATATTTTCAGGGACATTATCCTTTGAGGAAGCACTTCTAGGGCTCGGTGTTGAGACGGAAATTGTGGTTTTGGTCCACGGGTAGGCCCCGGCTCCAGCCCTGGAGCCCAGGTGCAGGGGCTGCCTGGGCCCGGGGGCCCGCGGCCCCGGGGGCTTCCAGGTTGCTGGCTGCTTTTGGAGCCTGAATAACCAGGCGCATACAGGGCATCACATGTACAGCAAACAGCGATACAATATGTACAATCCATGGAATATGTACAATCCATGGGTATATATAATAACTCCGGGGTAACTACTTCGCGGTCTACCTCTGGACAAATTACGAAGCATTAAATTTACGTGAGACCGTCTTATTGAAGCATTCATTAGGTCACTGAGCATCAATCCAAAATTTAAGTCACCTCAATATCCCCAAATGGTCTTAGGCGGTGAGCTGTTAGATTACCATACCGCCCGCCGCCTGTGACGTGACCAGGGAAGCTTCGAGTCGAGCTCGGCTTTATCTCGTCAATGCCCTCCGGTCCCCATGGATCAATAAAGATCACCACCCCAAAACTATCTAGCCGCTTATATCTGCATCCACTCTCACCTCTCTCTCTGCAGGCGCCATTATGGCGTCCATTCTGCTACGATTTGAGAGTCGAAACGGCCAGTTTCGACTCACAGTCAGCCCGCAGGAACTTTTCCCTGCGCTCAACCAAAAGGTATTTGATGGATCAATACTGAGCTCTGATTCAGTTTGGATCGAGAGCCCAAGCTGACTTCAATATTGATATTAGATCTTGGAGCACCTCCCGCCGAACACGGAAGCTTCATCTATCGCCCTTTCAAATAAACCGATCGGCACAGGTGGCGAGGAGAGGCAATTAGCAGAACTGCAAGGTGTTTCGCTACAGCAGGTTGGCCTGAAGTGAGTATCTCAGTGACTTGTTGTCATCTATTGAGGCCATCACTTACACATCTTGGCCTCTCAGGCATGGTGATAAACTCTTTGTGGGGTACAAAGAACAGTCACAACAGAACGGATCCTTGAACGGCACTCCATCCACGACTTCAGAACACCGGCTCAATGGCGCTCCCGTTCCCGCGCAACAAACAGTCCCGATACGCACGCAGCCAGGCCCTTCCACCTCAATGAAGAACCCGTGGGACTTGGTGAAACAATCTCCGCTCGACAACTTGCTGGACAAGAAGGATGGGAAAATCAAGCGAGGAATGGATTACAAAATGTGCAGACATGGTCCACGAGGCATGTGCGACTACTGCATGCCGCTCGAGCCCTATGATAAGAACAACATGGCAGAGAAGAAGATCAAGCATCTCTCTTTCCATTCATACTTGCGGAAGATCAATGCTGCTACCAACAAGCCTGAACTAGGAACCTCATTCATGCCGCCCCTCAACGAACCATACTACCGAGTGAAACCCGACTGTCCTTCGGGCCATTCCCCGTGGCCGGAGGGAATCTGCACCAAGTGTCAACCAAGCGCGATCAGTTTGCAACCCCAGGAATTCCGCATGGTGGATCATGTCGAGTTTGCCTCGCCCGAATTGATCAACTCTCTCCTCGACTTCTGGCGAAAATCTGGAGCCCAGCGACTGGGATTCTTATATGGAACATACGAGGAATATACTGAAGTGCCGCTCGGTGTGAAGGCCGTTGTGCAGGCAATCTACGAACCCCCACAAGTTGGGGAAGTTGACGGCATCACACTTCATGATTGGCACAACGAAAAGGAAGTAGACGAGGTGGCCAGTTTCTGTGGACTGCAGAAGGTCGGTGTCATCTATACTGATCTGCTTGACGCTGGTCGTGGCGACGGATCTGTGGTATGCAAGCGGCATATCGACTCTTACTTTTTGTCATCCCTCGAAATCGCCTTTTCTGCAAGGCTCCAAGCGCAGAACCCGAAGGCCACGAAATGGAGTCGCTCAGGGCAATTCGGCTCCGACTTTGTGACGTGTGTCCTCAGTGGCGATGATACCGGAGCGATCTCCATCAGCTCGTACCAAGCATCGGTCTCTGCCGTTGAGATGGTCAGGGGAGACATCATTGAACCGTCCGCTGACCCAACAGTGATGTTGGTCCAATCAGAGCATGACGAAGACATTGGCAGCAGGACTAGATATATCCCCGAGGTCTTCTACCGGAGAATTAACGAATACGGCGCAAGCGTCCAGGAGAACGCGGAGCCAAGTTTCCCAGTCGACTTCTTGCTAGTTACCCTCACCCATGGATTCCCAACAGAGTCAAACCCGATGTTCACCAACAGTCGATTCCCAATCGAGAACCGAGAAGTCATCGGCGAGAGCCAAGAACTTCGACACGTCGCCCAGAAGCTCATGTCCCACGGCGACACCGATAAGGCCATTCAGGCCGTTTCCGACTTCCACATCCTGTGCTTCTTGCATGGACTCAGCACATTCAACAAGGTCAGTCATCTTCAAAAGTCTGGAATTTAATGATAGAACGCTGACTCGGGCTTCAAAGGACGAGGAATCGCTACTTTGCCGCGTCGCGCAAACGAAGTCTCCGGCGGATGGGATTCAGCTTGTGAATACCCCAGGATGGGCGACATTGATGACAATTCTTCAGGAGAGTGGTGAGCGCCCCCCTAAGCGCCCCTGGCCCACCCCGGCCCAGCCCCTTCGGTCGTCTTCGCCGGATTCCCAAATCCGCAAACGTCGCAACCCCCAACCCTCCACATTACCCCGCTCCATTTCTCCCAGTACCGAGAGTGAGCATCTTGCTAAGAGGTTTAAGGGAGCTAGTCTAGAGTGACGGATTTCGTACTCTCGCCATTTCTCGTCGTCCCCATATCCGCTTCCGCTTTCCCCTCGTGCTGTCCCACTAAAGAAGAGGTGGTGAGTTTATCTTCATCGGTTACGCCGCCTCTTTCGCCCACACTTGTCGATGTCCGAGTTTCTCTGGTGGAATTTCTGAACTGGGGAATCAATAGAGATGGCCGACAGTCCATCATTTTAAATCAAGATAGCAGCTACCGGCAGCTAGTGTTTGAACACCATGATATCTATCTTCACGTTGCTGTTAGCTTTGGAATCATCTGCGACCTACCCATTTGTAGTGCAGCAATAGGACAAAGGCTCTCCAGACGGCAAGCCTCAATATCTCACCATCCTTATGAGTCCTGGGCATGAATCGGCATGGATAACTAGTCTAGTGGGAACCATACACCACTGTCCTCTAAACCGTAGTCCCATGGCACATGCTGTTGTTCAATACTTAGTACATTGATATCAAAATTATATGCCTAGGTACCTAGTGGTTGCCATTATAGATTGCATCAATTTCGTAACGCGTGATCCAGTCCATCTCAATTCGCTTTGCATGAACGCCCAAATGATCTCAAACCCGCAAGGCCACCCGAAGTCAAAAGGTCAAAACAGTTACGTCTGGCTTTGTTGCACCAACTCCTTCAATCGTCGTTCAAGAAGTTCTCGCCCTTGGCCTGTTGTCCACACCTCATGCGGTGCATCCTCTGCCACATCCCAAGCAAGAAGATTGTCAGTGATGTGGGATAGGTCTTCTTGCCTTTCTTCCCAGAGGGAACTCTTTCGAACTTCCTCACCAGAACTAACAACAACGACCGGAGCATGGCCCATTTGAACATGACGAGCAGATTGAATCTCCGCGGCAGTCATTGTCACAGCGACCAGGCTTTCCTGCAACTTGGCTTTGATGTACTTCCCAGACTGGTAGGCCGAGCGACCCATCACCCGATCTTCGCGAGAGCGGCCTCGTAGAATGGCACCCGCCAATCTATCCAGGCCCAGCGGGGAGACAACACCACGGAGCCACAGCAGGAAACCACGACCCGGTCGTCCAATATTTCCCAAGTATTCCTCGTGAAGCGGGTCGATCATGAAGATGCCTCGAACCTCTAGAAGGTTGCGACTGGCAAAGAGTCTGGAGTAGAGACTTCCCACGCCTGCGGAAACGACTATCCAGGGGCCAGTCTCGCCTGCGAGTGCCAAAGCCTCGGCCAACACATCTGCCGACATGCCTGCTGAATGAGGCGAGGGGGCATTGTCGGACCATCCGAAACCTGGCCGATCCCAGTAGCAGTATCGGCCGATGGACCCCCGCTGATAAACATCGTCTATGAAAGGCTGCAAGGTGTGCTCGACGGGTCCATTGCCGCCTTCGAGGAGGATTGTCGGGACCTCAGAGTCCCCGGCAGTCTTGTTTCCGAAGCATGCGAGATGAACCTGATAAGCGTCCCCGTGGACGAGATACCTCTGGCCAGGAGCCTCGAGTCCAACATCGAAAGCCCGTAGGATAAGTGTAGCCGTGAACAACACCGCTGCAATCGCCATGAATGCAAGCAGGATCGTTTCGGCGAGTACCACGACCCACTCAATCAATGACCTTCTCGTTTCCTCCCGACCAGTCAATCGCTCTTCCTCCTCCCGTTTTCCCCAGGCCACGGCTCGATTCTGTACAACCTGGTAAGAGGAGATGAGTGTCACCCAGACAACAGAGGCAATACCGACCCATCCCTCCTCGAGTCGGATTCGGGGGACTGCAAGAATAATTATCATGTCGACCAGAAGCAGGACGGCCAAGATGATTCCCCAGATCGTCATCGGTTTCGATGGCACCGCGAAGAATAACAGTCCCGCCACCAGATACCCTGTCGCGAGGGTCGTATATGCGAATGCGAAGAATCCCGACCCACGCGGGTGGATCATCGGGGGGCTAACGAAGATAGAGACAAGGAGGAAAGTCCACCATATAAAGCTGAGCGCGAGGGCGACGATTGAAACGCCGCGCAGTGCCCGGACACTCCATAAATTGTACGGTGATACCTTGATCAATCCATGGATGTTAGCACTGGCTTCTGGCTTAATTTTGTAGTGAGCTTACTGCTGGATCATCTGGGCTCAGGTACCCCTCGTTATCGGGCAGCAGCCTTGTCTGCTCGGTTGGTTCGGTGTTCTCAGAGATATGGTCATTTTGGGCCGGGGCTGTATGTTCCCCGGGAGAAGCTTTATTACCCCAAGGAGACATTATGAGTAAATAATGAAATGTCGAGCTGTCAAAAGCAGAGTTGCACAGTATATAAAGGGCGATGACATCATGCATTCTCCATGCGTTCCCGGTTTGCGGATCTGCGTGGGATCGACAGACAACCATTGGATACTCTGTACAACGGAGTGCCACTTGGGACTTGATTGGAGTACTCTGAAGATGTTATCATGAAATTCAGAGCATCTGATCACGTCGATATAGTTATGTAAAAATCAGCCATATCTGACCTTTTCAGATCCCCCAAACCAGTCATCACTGGCCAGTGACTCCTCCGGAGAAGCATAATTGATGATTGTGCTTTTCGTAGTGGTGTACGTATGGTAAGCCTCAATCCCATTCTCACTTCCAACTCCACTGGCGCTTGTCACGCCACCCCATGGACTACTGGGGTCGTTGCGGTGATGGGTGTTGACCCATGTGATTCCAGCCTCAATTCTCTCTGAGACCCGGAAGGCCTGAGAGAGATCCTGGGTCCAAATCCCAGCGCCCAGCCCAAACTCAGTGTCGTTGGCCAAAGCAATTGCTTCCTCTTCGCTGTCGAATTTAGCAACAACAATGACAGGTCCAAATGCTTCTTCTCTCCATATGGATGTTTGGACGATACTGTTGTCGCTCGTTGACACCAGCACAGTTGGCTCATAGAAATATCCCTTAGCAAAGTCAAATCCGTCGGTATTGCTGTGACCTGTCATTCGTTTGGCTCCAACGAGGGGAATCGCGAGTTGGTTTTCCCGCGCTTGATCGACCAGACGTTCCACCCGTCCCAGCTGCCTCTCGGAGATCAAAGGTCCCATCGAAGACTCCAATTTACTCGGGTCTCCCATGCGTCTGGTAATGCCTTCAACTTTCGCTTTGAGCTTTTCCAGCAGCGTGTCGACAATCGTGCTCTGCACGATGATTCTGGTGCCTGCCACGCACGTCTGGCCACTTGCAATGAAGCTTCCGAAGACGATTCCATTCACGGCCGTGTCAATATCGGCTTTTTCAAACACAATGACCGGCGCCTTTCCACCTAGCTCTGCGGTGTACTTTGCCAGGTTGCCGCCCACGATCTTGCCAATCGCCCTCCCAGCCTCGGTACCGCCAGTCACATCCACTTTCCTCACCAGTGGATGCTCCACGAGGGCCTTTCCAGTGACAGCACCCAACCCAGGTAGCACACTGAGGACGCCATCTGGAAGACCCGCCTGATGAAGTATTTTGGCGAGTAAAAGTGTCGTCAAGGGAGTCAGCTCACTAGGCTTGATGATAACGCTATTTCCGGCGGCAAGCGCCGGTGCCAGCTTTTTCACGGCGATCAAAAGTGGATGATTGAATGGTGTGATTTGAACGACAACACCCAGCGGTGTGCGGTCGATGAAGTTATGCAATTTTCCCACGGTCGGAAGAACAGATCGCTCTTCCACCCGAAGCAATGAAGCATAGTACTTGAACCATCTCGTGAGGGACGGGACCTGGGCGTTCATCTCGCGCATGACTCGCCCTGTCTGCTTCGATTCTAGGGGGATAAGCTGTGGGAGTGCGTCCGTGAGCAGTGCGGCGCATTTATCAAGCACATCTGCGCGATGATGACGGCTGGCGCGCGACCATATGCCGGATTCGTAGGCCTGTTGAGCGGCCGTGATGGCGGCCTCTACATCTGACGAGGAGGCGGCGTGGCATCTGGGGGTTTTTTTTAGCTGATGCATGTTATCGGTAGAGATATATGAACTCACGAAGCAAATGTCTCTCCTGTTGCTGGGTTTTCAATGGGGATGCTATCGACATATCAGTGTGGGTTCGAGGATGTCAAGTATCTATCCGCACATGTCTCCCTGGCCTTCTTGTTCTTTACCAGCCAGCCATAAAAAATGAGTCTCCATTTTGATTTTTTGAACTCCGAGCAGAGGTTGAAGACCTCGGGAGTTCACCTGGGCATGCAGAGTGGCTTATCATGAAGTGCCCAGGTGAGGGGTACCTAGTACATTCTATAGCCTGCGGGCCATTTCAACTAGCAACAGACTCGGTTTGATTCGCCGGACAGACTAGAGTATTTATATCGGGGCTTTTTATCAATGCCATCTCTGAATTCAGCTATCGGAAACCGTCGGGGTATTGTAGTGATACGACAATCTGGACTGGGAAACGCCCAGGCGTAACCTCGCCAAGTACCTAATAAGTACATGAAAATATCATGCACGAAAGGAAACGAAAGAGAAAACCCCGGAAAAGACCGAAATGCTCAACCGCACTTACCGTTACTTTCAAATCCATACATACTCTGTACGGCAATGTGGGTATGGAGAGAATAGATCCGAGAAATGACGGGGGCGGGCCCATGTCGATCACCCAACCTCGTTTCATCCTCAACCCACCATGTCGGTGTACGCTGCCTTCAGCGCAGCGCCAGTCTCGGTGAACAAGGGACTGAAAAAGCTATCGCAGCCTGTCGGAATCCGGCCCGACCACATCGCCAGCGAGGAAACACTGCTCTATCTCAAACCACAGTATGACCACCGCTCGCCCAATGAATACACCATCAAAAGATACTGGGACGATTCAGACATCTTCACAATCACCGGTCATAAATATGGAGACACTCCAGCTCGAGAATTCCGCGATGCATCAGGGCTGCCGATGTTTCAATCTCGCGCCACATCGCTGGCATGGAAGAGACCGTTGCGGGTACGATTACCCGGCAATGAAGAGGCCGAGCTAGTGGACTTTCGGGTCGTCGCCAATGGTGCTTACAAACTCTCCTTTCGCAATGCGATGGCCCCAGAGGTGGTGGAGAAGTCCTATAATATGATCGACGTTGAAGTGCGCGATATGGACTCTGCCGCCTGGTCGGGCTGCTCGGCAACAGTTAGAGGCCAGAAAGTGCTTGATATACGCGAGAGTATTAGCATGAACAGAACTTTGCCAAAGGGAAGGGCAAAAGGTGATATTTCCCTGATGCCACGGCAAATCCTTGAGGTTTCGGTCGCGGAGGGCTTTGACATGTCTCTGGTGAGCAGGCCACGGCGAAAATCACTTAGACAACACAACTACTAATCACCATGATGTTTCTAGGCGGCGCTCATTGCGGTTCATATGGCCGATACGAGATTTAGCACAGCGCCTCCACCTCGACGCTGAGAACGAGTACACAGGGGAAAAGAACGCAAACGCTATATTCATGCAAAAAGCCGCTATGATGTCGCTTCTCAATCTAAAGGAAGTCGTGTGACCACATCGCTGATAGCATCAGCCACCCATTCAATGTTTTGAGCGTTTACTGCAGTCTGTTAGCAATACGACTTTGACCATTTGGGACCACCCAACATACATCCCGGAAGCGAGATTCGACCGGTGCTCATGATATAGATATGATAATCCTTGCGCAGCAGCTCGATATGTTGCTTGGATAAGCTCGTGTATGCAAACATACCTCTCTGTTCAAAGACTTCTCATTAGCAGATGTCCCGGTGGTCGATGAAAGATCTCTTTGAAACTTGCCTGGATCAAAAGATATTCCCAGCTTCCCGGAACCCTCCGTTTGATCAGTTCAGCATATAACCCCAGCCTGAGTTTTTTGATACGGTCAGTCATGCTCTTGAGATCTGCCCGCCACGCCGCATAAAGACTCTCGGAGGTTAGGATCGTAGACACCAAGTTAGCACCATAGGTCGGCGGCGTTGAGGTCAGACCACGCTGGTAATAATAAAGCTTGTTCAAGACAGCTTCGCGCTGATCTGGAAAAGCAAGTACCACATGTAAACATCCTACCCTCTCGCCGGATAATCCAAAATTTCGCGAAAAGGACTGAGCAACGCAGACCTCCAATCCTAATTGCACGAAGCACCTGATCGCCCACACATCTGTGTCCGGGTCCCCCGACGCGAACCCCTGGTACGTGGAATCAAAGAATGGAAATATCTCAATTCTCCGGCAGACTTCGCCAAGCTCAATCCACTGATGTGGCTCAAGATCGAGCCCGCTAGATCCATGCGCACAGGAATCCAGAAGGATTATATCATTTCTCTGTGCTTTCGTGTTCAGAGAATCTAACATCCTCTCGAAGTCGATTGCCGATCGATCGGGAAGGCTGTAGGGGTATGCGCGCTTTTGAACGGTCCCCATCCAGTCCCAGATAGCGTCGTGACTTGTGTAAGTGAGATCTGGCATCCATATCGTCTTTGGCTTGATTGTATCACATAAAAGCCTGGCGCCCATATGGCAAGCCCCTGTCCCAGAGACTGTTTGAATAGAGGCAATTTTGCTCTTCAACTCTGATGATAACGGCCCAAAGATCATATCTTGAGCGGCATGGATAAAATTTGCAGGACTGCGTACACTTGATTTGCTGTGTGTTAGAGATGTGTCCATGATCAATTCAAGTTCGGTCTATGCACTCGTTGGTAAATTGGTCTGAGATACGTGGCAATACTCACTTGTCGCACAACGGGGAGAACCCATGGCTCCCCATTTCTGTCCTTGTATTCTTCCGTTGAAAGGTTCACTTTCTGCTCATTTGGGTCGGTATCGTGGACTTGGGTTAGCGCGATCTGCTCGTCATGGGGTGGCGGGGCCAGATCGGCGAAGGCGGATAACGGGGAGAATGAGCCCATGTTGAGTCTGTACGGAGTACGTTGAGAGAGAAAGAGGGGATGCGAAATGATATATACGATTCGGTTACCGCCGGTTTGGGGTGGTCATGGGATCCCATTAGGCCTCTATGACCAACGTTTTACTGACATAATGTATCTTGCGGCCCCGGGGGCCAACTGTGATACAATTTCCATAAGTACTTGGATGCCCAAGCAAGCTGCTTATCTCTTATTTTATATCTCTTATTTTATATCTCTTATTATATTGTTCCCGGATATTTACTTTTTTGGGAAATTACAACACAACCTGACAATCATCCAACGCCCCCAAACCCGACATATCTGGAACCCACCCACTTAACAATGTGTCCTGGTAGGATTTCCATATAAGATCGGACGAAAAGTCCGTGAAATCCCGATACGCCTTCAAAGTTACCGAGTCTAAAGATTTCGGCCGTGACAAGACTGCCTGCTTCTGCGGCCGAAGAGCCACTCCATGTGCCATGATATTAGCCGCGGGGTCATACAGCTCGGGATACCTTTGGAAAAACGCAGGATCCATCATATACTGTGAGACGCCGTGATCCATGCGCAATTTCTGGAAAACTAAGCGTGCAGTGGCTGGCGATTCGAAAATGGCGCGAGCATTCGACGCCGGCAGCCTTCCAATATCGCTTTCTTTGGACTTTTCATCCATCGCCTTGATAAGATCCAGAACACGTACATGGACCGGGAGTGCAGAGGCGCCCTCGACAAGCTCCGACATGGCTGTTTGCACCACATACCCGCTGACCGCGTCGCAGAAGATGTCGTCGACGTTCGGATTCCCGGCATGCAGGAGAATCAACTTGTCTCGAATGGAGGGAAATGGAATCCAGTCAACAATCGAAGGGTATCTCTTCGTTGACTGAATATGTGTCAGACGATATAATGGGTGAACCTTTTGCGCTGCCTGCTCCGTCGGATTCAAGAGCGAGACAGTCAAATCAACAATATGATAGAAGCGAGTTCGGGCATACCATGTCATAGCATCTGGCCTGGAGATGCTGTTAAACATGGAGAGTACCGTCGAAACAGATTGATAGAACCTAGAAAGATTAGAAAACTTTCTCACCCGTAGATACTTCATGATGGCCCTTACAGGTCAGGGTAGGACTCGGGACTTCGGCCCATTCCGTCCCACTTTTCTCGCAGAATGTTCTTCAAAGCACTCACATGCTCTGAGAATGGCGAATTCGAGGGCGTCCACTCTATTTTCAGGTGCTCGGCTATTGCCTCATTAGCCCCGAGAGCGTCAACATATGGCGTAGGGCCCATTTGATATTGATGGGTCCAAATATTCGGTAAAGTTGATAGAATATTCGGTTTGGGTTGGTGTATTAATTCCGTGCAAACAGCGTCCGGGGGTTTAGGGGTGTCCAAATCATCGAGTTTTGCACTTTGTGATAGGTCCATGGGCAGACTGGTATCAACTGATGCGTCCGGCACTGCTTCCGGATTGTCGAGCCTCGGTATTGGATCCAGTCCTGCCAAGGGAAGCTCTGGAGAAGAATGCTCTATTGAAACGTCGATTTCGTTGTTTATTGACGGCTTGATATTTGCCTCTCCCTGGAACTTGTCAACACGGCACAGAATCCCGATGAAAAATGCAATTAATGCAAATGATGCAGAGGTCTCTTACCCAATCATCTAATGTTCGTGTGATACCAGCCCCGAGAGAGCATATCGTTGTGCGTAAACTCTCCAGCTTGGTATGGCAATGAATTAAACTCTCGCGAAGAGATTTATTCTCCTTCTCTAATTCAATGATTCGTTCGTTGTCCGGTTTGTGCTCTTTCGCCTTCTGCTCGAGCTGTCTAATATATTCGGACTGTCGGCGGCGAAATGCCTGCTGAGAGACCCGATTACGCAGTTTTCTTGGTCTCATCAGCGATGAGCGAATACAATGTTCCCGAGGCACACTCACTTGGTTTCGGAGTCTTTGCTCGCGCTTTCACTCCTCATCTTGGGAGGCATTTCAATGCTTGTCCGGGCCTCTATCGCCGCACAGATCAGTGGTTATACCTAGGTAGGAGTCAAACCCGATCAGCTGATTTGCGCGGTGTTTGAGTCCGAGATTTCACCTGCGTTACCCCACTTGGCCGATTTGCGCCGGGGACTTCCCCGATAAATGACAGTACCTGGTATTGATGTGTATATGATACCTGGGCATCACGGCGGACCACACGAGAACTACTTCTCAGTGAGGGCGAGCATACTTGGCCGTCTGGTGGCAGAGCAAGTCTAGACACAGCAATAGAATCAGCCTCATTAAGCCACTCCCTACCACAGCACCTGGGTGATGGTCTCCTTGCATCCACGTTCAAATATTACCGATAAGGATTGGCCATGCCAAATTTAGAACACCTTCAGGGATCGGGGCTGGAACAAAAAGTGGGAACAGATAAAAGGCTTGGTTAGAATCTCATAGCCTAGAAAGGAGGGAAGGAGAGAGGGGGGAAGGGAGGGAAAAGATGATATGAGAGCAGTATCTCAATCCCATAGCATTGTCCAAGTGCAAGGCATATCTCCACTGCATTTGCGCCACAAGATTGATGGTATGATAACTTACTCCGTATGGAGTACAATGTGCTATTTGCTGTAAGATAGTATCTGTATATACCTTGTAGGGCGGGTGATCGACTTCATTAATTCCGAAATATCAAATCTCGGATTCGCATGGAGTATGTCGTACATTATCCAACCTTGGAAGTTCCCATTGTGCATCCCGAAAGGAGTATGTACGGAATACGGAGTACTCCGTGGCCTTCCTGTTATCACCAGTGAGGACTCATCAACATCAAATTGGAATTCATTGATGTCAACAAATACTTGACCTATCCTTATGATGACCATGTCCACCATATGTATTGCCTGGAAGTAGTCTTGGCATCTAAAAATACCCATCAGAGTTACACTTCATTCAACAATGGAATTGCTTCATTTCCTTAAAGTTAATTTCAACGAGTCCAGATTCTCCAAATCGGAGGTTTCTTTTTCCTTTCGGTGCACGCCGAGCTCAAATACTCAGGCCTTGCATCCGGAGAATTCAGCGTGCCGTCCCTGAGAATGCATTTAATCTTGGCGCTCATTTCACCGGTGCTGTGACGCGATAATACTCCATTTGAACGAGTGATAAGGTAATGAAATCCCACGGGCTGTGGAAGATCAGGGTTTCGTAGGTTGGGAAAAAGGAGCAGCAACATTCCTCTCACAAGGGGGGTCGGGTAGGAATCGATGCATGGCCAGACACTATTGAATCCGAAGGGGCAATAATCGCTGCGAGCTCCAGCAGCTCTATAGTCTTTATATGAAATTGAAGAACCCGGCCCTGGATTGGAGCTCTGCAGCTTACGACGACTTCCAACTGAGCATGCCGATCATGGCAGATCTGTTTAAGCTCAACTCCCTCACTCTACATTATGCCTATTTCGTTCTAACGCCTATGATCGTCAGTGTCATATACTACACTGTGACCCACAATGGTGATCTCCGCTACGTGGATGCGTTGTTCATGTGTTTCAGTGCCGTGACAGGCACTGGAATCGACGTTGTAAGTCAAAGTCTGACTCCATCGCACTACAATCATCACTGACATGTTTTAAAGGTAGATGTATCAAGTCAGAACTCGATTCAACAAGGGCTTCTCTTCGCACTCATCATCCTGGGCCATGCAATTCCTATCTGCGGTGTACTCTCTCTGCAACGAGCCTGGTCGCTTCGTGCTGCATTGGAGGATGATACCAGCAATAATGAAATGAGATGCATTATTGATGCAGAAAAAGACAAAATTACCGCGGCAGTGAAGGAACTGCCACCTTGCCTACCGTCTCCAACCGAGTCTGAAACACCACAAGAGGACTATGGCTTCATTACTGTGGTCGAATCAACGCCCGATAAATATGATCAAGAAGTGGGTGTTGGATCGATCACTGCCCAGGCGAGCTCTCTATCGACCGCCCAGAGCTACATACTTCGAATAGCCGCAGTCTTCACAAACATGGCCCGGTCAGCGCGGAAAAATTGGATACGGAGATCAATCGACTACAACCAGCCTGGCGGAGTTGAGTGTCTCTCTGTCACCCTAGTGTCGATATTGGTCCTTGCCTACTTCATTGGATTCCTTTGTATAGGGATCGTGGGCATTGGAGTCTGGTCACACGTCTTTCGTCCTGATATTGCCCACGAAGATGGAGTGTCGGCATTCTGGGGAGGCGCTTTCCTCGCTACTTCTGCATTGTGCAATAATGGCATGTCCCTTATCACAACTAACATGGGCCCGTTCCAACGAGAGTGAGTTCACATCTTCGTTACAGTGACTATGAGCAGTTCAATTCTGATACAAACTATACAGGGCTTTTCCACTTCTTACTGCCGGATTCTTGGTTCTCGCTGGAAATACGCTGTTTCCATGCCTGCTTCGACTACTCGTTTGGACTATCAGGAAAGTCACCCCTAAGCATTCTGACTGGGATCTTTGGCGACAAGTTCTTGATCACACTCTCGATCGATCACAAAGTGTGAGTTGTTCTCAGGCGTTCACTGCATATTTGATGCTAATGTGATATTAAGGTATGCAATTACTTGTACCCTTCTTGGCATACTTGGTTCTTGTTGGGAACTGTGATATTCCTGAATTGTATAATGTGGGCCGCATTTGAGCTGTCTGCAATTCACAACGAAGAGATCGGGGCGCTCCCTCCCGGCTACCGTATCTTGGACGGATTTTTCCAAGCACTATGTGCGTTATGAAATCTTCTATGGCTCGGACTGGACTAATCAGAGACTTGCAGCTGTGCGTGGTGGTGGATTCTCTATTGTCGCATTTGACAGACTGCCCCAGGCGTTGCTGATTCTTTATGGTATGTCTTGTCCTGTTCAATCGAGCCATTCGGCCATGTCTAGAAACATCGCTAACACCCTTTCCAACAGGACTGATGATGGTAAGAGTGACAATGAGACTTGGGAAAGGACCAGTCGCTGACCGAATGCTTTGTAGTATCTCTCTGCATTCCCAGTGTCAACCACAATCTGGTAAGTCTTTCTAGATTCCCGATCCAACAATTTACTCTAACACCATCCAGTGGCCTTGAATCATTCAGACAGTCTTTTTCATCACCTCCCAACGAAGACAACTTCGATTACGCGTCTGAAAAATGCAACCCGCAACTCTCACGGTTTGCGCGCGCTCGATTTGTGTATGATCAACTTCGCTCTCAATTCGATAACGATATGTGGTGGCTGTGCCTAGCAATTCTACTCATCACCGTCGTCGAATCCAACAACTACAAAGCCCACCCCTTGGCCTTCTCCACCTTCAACATTATTTTTGAGGTGATATCTGCATATAGCTGCGTCGGTGAAACGATGGGCTTTCCCGGCAAGAGTTATGCCTTCTCTGGTGAATGGCATACCTTCAGCAAACTACTTCTCATCGTGGTCGCCCTGCGTGGAAAGATTCGCAGTATGCCGATCAAAGTCGAAGGCACTGGCTGCCTTGAACAACACACGCTTGACGACTTGAATTGCAAGAACCCAACATAATGTGTCTGGGCCTCACGTTACATGTGTACATTCTATATCAAAAGTTTAATAATGAAATAAAAATGTTAAATACCATTCAATAGAATTCCCTCCCATGAACACCTAGATCTCTACATTGAATCACAGCGGGAGTCCGGTTTGGTGTCGATCACCAGCGCGGGGAGGGGCGGAGAAAAGCCCGCTCAGCTGAGCGGAAATTTGGCGTACTCTCGCAATAATCGTTTTTGCTCTAGATTGTGGAACGGGGAGATGAATAGAGTTTACACACTTTCAACGGCAAACTGACCGGCCTCCGTGGATGGAGCTCTGACCAAAGGGCTCGGACTATAAAGCGGCCACCCTTCCGGGTTGGTGCACATTGGTCAATCAACACATGACTCAACAAGCTACAATGGCGATTCCAATTGCTGAGCTGGAAACTCAATTCTCCCTTGCTACCAACTCCATTCACGTTGATGACCGATATGCCGGGCCTGAGCTGGCACCGGCCATGCACCCGACGAGCACTTTCAGATATCCGCTCGACCCGGACGAGCTAGAGCCCCAGCAGGCTCTTTCTGTGAGCATTTAATTTGATGGCCCTATTTGATTAGCCCTTGATCTAATCTGTGTCGTAACACAGAAAACCAAGCATGTGTACGCAAGACTTGCACGGCCAACAAGTTCGCGATTGGAGCTTGTGCTCTCAACCATCCTCAAGGGAGAATGCTTGACATACTCGACTGGTCTTTCCGCTATTCACGCCTATCTCACATGTCTGACCCCCAAGCGAGTCGCGATCACAGGTGGCTACCATGGCGCCCACGATGTTCTTCGTATCCAGGAACGGTTAACGGGATGTACCAAGGTTGGGTTGCATGAATTAGACCAGCTTGAGAAGGGAGATGTCATTCATCTAGAGACGCCTCTCAACCCGACAGGCGAAGCTCGCAATATTGCCGCGTTTGCTAAGGTTGCCAAGGAGAAAGGCTTGTATTTGGTCGTGGATTCCACCTTCGGTCCCCCATCACTGCAGGATCCTTTCCTTTGGGGCGCAGATCTAGTCATTCACAGTGGTACCAAGTACATTGGTGGCCATAGTGATATCATGTGTGGTGTTATCAGTGTTCCTCCCCAGAATCCCGAGCTGTTCATGAAGCTATGGAAAGATAGATGCGCCCTCGGGAACATCATGGGTGGGTTCGAGTCGTGGCTCGGTCTTCGCAGTCTGCGAACACTGGACATCCGCTGCATTCGACAGAGTCAGAATTGCACGGCAATCGTGTCCTGGCTGTCAACTATGATCAAGTCTTCCACACCGAACGCAGTCAATGCCACGATCGAAAGTCTCAAACATGCAAGCCTGCAGACATCCGATATGGATTGGCTTGCAAAGCAGATGCCGAATGGATTTGGTCCTGTTTTCTTGGTGGTCATGAAGAGCTCGCGGCAGGCTCGACGTCTGCCTAGCAAGCTGCGTATCTTCCAACATGCAACTAGCCTGGGCGGAGTAGAGAGTCTCATTGAGTGGAGGAAGATGACTGACCCCACAGCCGGAGAGAACATTATGCGGGTGAGCGTTGGCATTGAGACGCTGGAAGATTTGCAGCAGGATCTGCTCAATGGACTTCAAGCCTTGATTGAGGAAGGTGAAAAATAGACAGTTCTTTGCCTCAATGCAGCGTCTCAATTTTCAAGTTTCGACCGTACAAAAACGATCTCTTGTCATCGACCTCACTGCCCAAGGCAGCGAGATCCATCTTGACGGAGAGTTCACCACAGGCGCATCGATTGCACTGCACGCGTAGGCCTGAATCGCGCGAACCTCCAGTCTCGACGACACCGACCTCGGGATATTCCCAAGTCATTTTGACAGGCCTCTTAGTCAGCGAGAGGCGGGGCGACATCAGGACATCTGGAAGACGAAGGCATAGACTCGTGATTCCTCGAGACGAAGTAGCTGAAGTGAGAGGAACTCCCGATCGACAAGTATTCACCGGAGATGAGCGACCTCCAGAAATCCTTCGCCAAGTCGAAATTGGCAAAACTTCCATCTGAAGTCCCGATGGAAGAACCACAGATCCCCGAAGATGCTTGGGAGTCAAGCTCCGCGACTTCGTCGGTGTCTTCGTCCGGAACTGCGGTGCCATCACCTACTCGTCAACTGTTTGCGCGCGCTGGTCGGTCAGTTCACTTCGCAAATGCGACCATCCGATCCACTGGAGATCAGACCGTTCCTGCTCAGTCCACTAACTCGCGATCACAGACAATCGTCCCAAACCTCGTTGGCATGGACGGACTTTTTTGAACAGGAGCTTTTCATCCCCGATGAGGTGGGGAGTCTCCGCATCGTCCACCACGTTTATCTGATGCCACCAGCCGAGAAAGGTCCGCTCTTCGTGATGCACCATGGAGCCGGCTCATCGGGTCTTTCTTTCGCAACCTGCGCAGATGAAATTCGCAAGATTCTCCCAAAGGCGGGGATTCTGTCCCTGGACGCCCGAAGTCACGGCCGCACTGTGACGAGTTCCGTGGACGCGAATTCCACCAACGAAACCCCGTCCACTGCCGATGCGGCTCGGATTGAGTCTTCTGGGCAAGTCGAGCTGGATCTCAGCCTGGAGACTTTGAGTCGAGATCTGGTCTATGTCATTCACCAGACGCAGGCACGGATGGGATGGCAAAGCCTTCCAGATATCATTCTGGTCGGACACAGTCTAGGTGGCGCGGTTATCACAGACGTTGCGAAGAAGGGAGAGCTAGGTCCGAAGTTGTTGGCATACGCTGTTTTGGACGTGGTAGAAGGTATGGTGATATCATCAACTTATTTACTCGCATATACTGACGAATACCACACTAGGCTCGGCCATAGACGCCTTGCAGAGCATGGACCTATATCTATCAACAAGACCAACCAGGTTCCCATCTCTTCAGTCCGGAATTGAGTGGCAGTACGTATCAATGAAAACCTGGTCTGCTCCTTGATTAACAAGACACAAGCACACGCTCCCGCACGATTCGCAACACAACGTCCGCTCGCGTCTCGGTCCCGTCCCTTTTGCATGAAGAACACGAAGCCACCGAATCTTCCCGACCTTGGGTATGGCGGACCAATCTCTCCGCGACGAAACCTTTCTGGGAGAATTGGTTCGTTGGCTTGAGTCGGAAATTTTTGGATGCACGAGGCGGCAAGCTCCTATTGCTTGCCGGCACAGATCGGTTGGACAAGGAATTAATGATTGGCCAAATGCAAGGTGCGTTCTCATGATTCTTTCTCAGATATTACAAATTGACTGTTCATGCAGGGAAATATCAACTTCAAGTCTTTCCCGAAGCGGGCCATTTCGTTCACGAGGACCAGCCTGTCAAGACCGCTCAGATTTTGGCTGACTTCTACCGGCGCAATGACCGCAGTGCGTTGGTGCTTCCGCCAAAGGTTGCTGATATGCAAGCATTTGCTGCTATGAAGAAGGGAAACAGTCCAGGTGGCTCCGCTCCACCTAAATAGATATTAGGACTGAGCACTGCTCATCATCAAACCACCATCTCCCGAGTCAAGCCTCGTCATGTGTCGGTCCTGGAAAGGTACACAATTCACTTGCCTCTCAAGACCGACAAAACACTGTTACACCTTTCAAATAATCATTTACAATGCACACGGGATAGATTGAATTGTTAATTTTGTGATTAGCGGGATATTAGCAGTCTTGTAACAGCCGAGGTCGATACGACCAAGGGACAAGATATGCTTCACTCCATCACACTATTGAGGATATCGCGAATATTGGAGAAATCAGCCATCTTCCGCACGAGCAGCTGCAAAGCAGTTGAACTATCCTGAGGAGCAGGGACCTGAGGATAGCAAAGAAAAGACTGCAAACGCAGGACACGACGAAAAGGATCCATGCCACCCCACCGATAAACTCCGATTATGAATTTTCAAATTTCCCAACGCCATCAGGATCCAGGGGCACAGAACAACCGTGCGCGATATCTGAGAGAGGATGAATTAAAAGCAAAGTCGCAGGGGTATTGAATGACCATAGAAGAAGCACAGAACATCAATCATGGTCGGACCAGATTGGCGCGCCATCTAAGGCAAGTAGGCACCGCATGCGAGGACCAAGTTCATGTTGGTGAACTTGACCTTGTACACGGGGGTCTTCTTAGTTGGGAAAGCACTGATTTGATCGGAGGTGACCACTGTCTCCTTGGCCTTCTTCTTCTTGTTTTGACCTGCAGGAGTAGGCCCGGCATCGATCTTGGCTCCGGCGCCTCCTTCGCCAACAATCCGACCTTGACCTTCTTGGGGACCAGCGACATCCCAGACACGGACAGTTCCATCTGCTCCGCCAGAAACAATCACAGTGGACTCCACACTCCAGCTGAGAGACCAGATGCCTCCTTTGCCGTGACCACGCATGCGCTTCAGGAGTCGGCCAGGTGCAAGGTCCCACAGGATAATGGTGCCCTGGTCATCTGCAGAGGCCAGAAGCTTACCATCACGGCTGCATTCCATGGCGGTGATGTTTCCGGTGTGGCCCGTGAACATGCGAACTGCGTTACCAGTCGTGATTGCCCACATGCGAACAGTGTGGTCAGAGCTAGCAGTGAACACATACGCTGAGTTGGGGTGGAAGCATACGCAGTCAGCATCCTGGTCATGGCCAACAAAGATGCGCTGCTGGCGAATGTGATCAGAGACCCAAAGGCGGGCAGTCCGGTCATTGCTACCAGAAACAAAGTAGTGACCAAAAGGTCCCCAGCGCAGATCCCAGACTGGACCATCATGGCCCTTGTAAATGACCATGCACTGCCAAGTATCGAGAGACCACAAGCGGATTGTCTTATCGGCTGCTGATGAAAGAAGCCAGCGAGCTCCGGTGTGAACGCGGTCATGTTCTGAGACTTCGTCACGAATAGATGAACAGGGTGGGAAGGCAACTGCGTAGACAGCACCCGAGTGGCCAATCAAGCGATGCGAGTTTGATTCGGGCATGTCGGCAAACTCGGGACCCGACTTGGGAATCGGCTTTCCATCGACAGACCATACACGAATGTAAGACTGTTGGAATCCGGCGGCGATGAGCGAATTGTCATCAGAGACGTCCATGCAGTTAATGCTGTGACAGTGTTAGCATATGTGGTGATTGGGACGTTGACACCATGTTAGACTTACTTGTCAAAGGTGTTGTGGAATGTGAACATGCAAACACTAACTCCTGGGCCAACACCGCCAGTACGACCTTTAATCTCAAATCGATCGCGATGCTCCATGACCCTTTTCACCTCGACGTGAACGTCACGGGCTGTGGATTCGGGGAATGGGATATCAGTGCGGGAAGGCGCTTCATCCTCCTCCTCCTTCTTGATCATTTCTTCGAACTCTTGGGTGAGCGTGTTGCGGCCGGGGGGAGGTGCTTGCTTTTGATCCTCCTCGGCCAGCTCAGCCCGCACATCCTCCTCCAAAGTCGGCTCCATCGGCATTTTTCCGAGCCTCAATCTGGGAAGTGTACCAGCCATAGCGGGGTTGTCGCCGGTGTAAGCTGAACCAGGATGGTGGCCTGGGATGCCTTCATCTTCAGCAGGGAAAGTCTGGCCAGCGCCGATTTGGCTCAACATAGCAGCGAAGCTGAAGCGGTCGTCTGCAGCTCGGTCTAGGGTTTTCACAGAGCAATAGCTGCTGAGAATTGCGTTCATGACAGACCCTCCTTCTTTGTCCTTGCTTTCCAAGAACTGCAACAGGTTGGTATATGCAGGGTTGCTCAGAACCACACGATATTTGTTAGTGCGATACAGCGTAGCAATGGAGTTATCCTGCAGATGCTCAGGCAGACTGATAGGCTCAAAGTGGCGAATGTCGTCAGTGTGCTCGGGAAGGAACATGTTTTTGTTTGCCTCAAAGAATGATTTAGCATCCTGCGGATAAAAGGATGTCACCATGTTGAAGAACGAGTAGACAAATAGCGGCCAGAGCACGCGACGTAGTTCCGGCTGTGAAGTAATTAGCAAACAGTCCCTGAATGTTTGTTGCAAACCCACTTTGTACAGATCAAGATTCTCCTCGACCCAGTTCTTAAACAAATCTGAATATTGTAAGCTAAATCCAAAGGCATGCAGCTGCAGGTACGGGATTGAACGCACCAAATCCTTGGCGTGTCTTTGGGCGAGAATCCTCTCCCAGTTGGGGAAGAGGACGTCCATCGATCTCTTGATTTGCCGACTCCATTCGCAGCATAGCCTCGGTGCGGCTGTAGCCTTTCTTCGCGAGGTAATCGATGACCTAATTAGGATCACAGTCAGTAAAAAGCTCAAACAATTAGCGTATGAGATATTCAGATGAAAAAAGCAAACGACAAAACAAAACAAAAACAAAAGTTTATAAAAGTTTAGCGTGTTTATTCTTCAGGGGTAAACAAACAACTTCATTCATCCTGGGGCCCAAGGATCTCGCGCGGGGTGATGGCGACGGAGATTTCATCAGGGGAAGATCGACTTTGGTGTCTTCGCCTTCTAGAGTTTCGAACATCTCCAGGCTGTCCAGCCGTTCGATAACTTGAAGGTCTTCCTGGGCTTCCTTTGCAAAGGCTTCCTTCTCAAGAGCCTCCTTCTCAAGAGCCTCCTTCTCCAGAGCCTGGACCAGTCGCTGCTGCGTCTGCTTCTCCCGTGCTCTTTTCTCCCGATTGGCCCGAGTTTGAGGTAGGAGTTTGGGACGACTGCCAGTAGGCGAATTAAGGCCTTGAGAACTTCGTGTACCCATAACGTCTTGATCAAATTCAATGGATGGTAAGATTATTTCCTGCTCGGCAATGACAGGGCCAACGGTGGTTGGTGGCGCGAAAGATTGAGGAGACTCGGGGAGGCTGTTGAAATCTTCTTCCTCGGAAGGCTGATCTGAGTCTGTAGCCGCCGTCGCGGTAGGGCTTGGGGTACAAGGATATTCTTGTCCAAACTGCCGATTGAATGAGGCTGGTCTTGCTTCAGGATCTGTAATGGAGAAGCTATCGCCCTGAGCCGAGTAAAATGAACCAGAGAAAGCATCTTCCTGATCTGAGAAGTGACCCAGATCTGAGTCTACTTTTGGACTGGAGACGGTGGAATCGGTAGGATCGTCTTGTGGGGGGTACTCCGAGTCCGAGGCTTCTGCCACAACGGAGCTCACGGAATAAGCACGGCCATCTTGCAGAGGATATTCTGAGTCTGAGGCCGCAGTCTTAGAGGATTCTTCGGACTCGGTAGGATCGTCTTCAAAGCGGTACTCCGAGTTCGAGGCTTCTGCCACAACGGAGCTCACAGAAGCATGATCATCTTGCAGAGGATATTCTGAGTCCGAGGCCGAAGTCTTATAGGATTCTTCGGACTCGGTAGGATCGTCTTCGAGGGGGTACTCCGACTCTGGGGCTTCTGCGAGGGTGGAGTATGTGGGTGATACCGGCATACCAAATCCATGGAGGTGCACACGGGGGTTGCCAGGTCCGCGGGGCAAAACAACTCGACTCGGAACTCGCAGTTGGTATGGCTGATAACGCTCTCGAAACTGTCTATCGATCCGACCGCGTCCTTTTCCCCGGCGGCTGCGAATAGGGCCAAACCCGGAAGCACGTTGATCTTCGGGTTTAGGCATTTTGGTGACGCAGTAGCCGGTACTAGCACGCGTAGCAACGGTCGATGAAACAGTCACGCGAACAGTAGGATAAGGAGAGTGTTGAATGGAAACGCGTAGGTCAAGGACGCGAAGTTCCAGAGAGTGTGTATACACGCGCAAGGTGAACGCGACCTGGGGGACAAGCAAGACGCGATCTCAACCGAACAGGAAAGCACGCCTGGGTTCCTGCAATAACACACCTAGGAAAGCCCTAGGAAAGCCCTAGGAAATAGTAGGCAGGCAGTCCAACCGCATGCTGCTAATAAGAATTTCCCTCCACTGGATCTGTGGTTGCTTTGTTCTGCTTGGTGTCGAGTATTTCCAACGATATGGAACTAGTGGCCATTTCCCTGGCGTTCTGTACTAGACCATTCCCGCGGATCAACTGTAGAAACAGCCGGAGAGCGCCACAGGTCTTGCTTGAGATCATGATCCATTGCGGTTGGCACTGATGATGGCAGTAGCACAAGGGCGCATGTATCATCGTGTGTCGGGACAACATTACATGACGGGTCGAATAGATGCATAAGACCAGGCATCGAGCATGAGTTGGGCTTTTTCCGTGACATAGAGATATAGACTTGGCATCACACGGCGCAATGCTTCCACGGAAAGGCGAAGAAAGAGTACACCAGGGCAATCAACGCCGTCATGCAGCGTGAGACTGGTCCTTGGCAAGGAAGACACGTCCATGCCTTTGCGTAAAAGCTCAATGGTAATCCAGAGGTCCGTTGGGTCCGTGGCTGGCCGCGGGCCTGCATGCGTAGTCGCAATCGCAAAGATAACGGTACTAGCCAGTTGGCTGCAATTTCCACATTCATGGAAGCATATTGAAGCCGGCAAGATTGAGAGCCCGCGTGGGGCTGATGGGAAACAAGGCGCATATCAAGCCCGCGCAACGGAAGCAGGGCCTCGCTGCTTGACATAAAGACCAAGACGCAACGCAGCAACAGAACAAAGAGGGCAGGGGTAAAACACAGCGCAGGAAATAGAGGTATCAGGGAATCATCGCAACACTTACAATTTGGTTGAGGTTTTGCTGAGACATAGCACCGCTGGGGGGTGCGCTTGGCCCCGGGGTGGGCGCAGAGTGGACTGGCGTTCCAGGAAGAGATCCCTGTGATGGCATTCCCATTCCAGTTCCGTTTGCACTGGGTCCCATGCTCCCGCCTCTGGGACCAGGGCTTGGAGCCCCGCCTGGCGCCGACATAATCGACTATCGTGAGATTCCCTGTTGGGACGTTGCGTGCAAGGGCCGCTGCCAAAGAAGGAGCCAATGACTCTACCGTCTCTTTGGTCTCGCCGGCAATGATAGAAAGTGAAATCGGCGTTTCTTATTTTCGGCAATGGAATGGATGGCTTGGATATCGATCTTGAATTTGATATCCTGGGCCACCTCACCGCTTATTAAAAGCTCCCCAGATTCTGCACGTGATGTTAAACACAACTACCTAAGTACTCTTGCGATCTCATAGTTGACCTCCACCCTGAACAATCTGTTAGGCGACAGTTTTACGAGTGAAACTATTGTGAAGGTCACCCCGTCTTATCGGCAACCAAAATGGACCAAGACGCGTCCCAGCAAGAGCCTCAGTGCTTCACCTCCGCCGATCGCATTCGACAGCTCAATGAAGTAGACAAGGTATGCCGACCGGGTCAATCTACACAGAGCAGTCGCTAAGAAGCATATTTTAGGATGTCACTCGATTAATCCATTCTGCCGGCCTCGCTATTCAAGCTCTGACCAACACCAAACCAGACCCTTCCTCCCCCGCACCAGATGGATCACTAGACTCGCACAAAGCACGGTTCAAGGAAGCAACATCCCAATACTTTGCGCTGCTATCATCGATCGATGTTCGACTACGTCGTCAAGTTTACGCCCTAGAGGAAGCATCTCTACTAGCACCAGAGACATCGCGCGCAGGAGACACTAAAGGCACCCGAAACGACAAGAGCGCAGCCGCGTCAAACAGTGCCTACAACCCGCTGGAGATTAGCAGACTCAACAACCGAAAGGATACAGTTGGAAAGGACAAGGAGGCCGAATTATGGGCTGCCGCACGATCGTTTGTTGAGCAGCTCGACAAGCCCGAGTCGAGTCAGGACAAGATCGTCAACGACCCCGATAACATGCAGGTGGATTGAGTGGACAATGTCGACATGTCAGGCGCGATTGGTGATGGTTAATATGCATTTATGATACCCCGGGCTCCTCGGCCTCTGGAATTGAAACTCATTGACAATGAGTGCCATATGAAGATCAATTTGTGCCACTTGAATCTGGATAAATATGTTATATGGAGCGATAATCAGGCATGTTCACAGAACATGACTATGCAAAACGAAAACGCAACGACGGATCTAGTTCCTCGGCCTAGCCGGACAGAATGATAGTGGGAAAAGTTCGGCGGTCTACTTCTGCATGGACGCAATCATTTCCCGCTGAGTCTCGCGGTCTCTGTTCGCATCAGACAGCGGTCCCAGGCCTGTGGGTTTGTCAGTAAGGGGTGCCAGAATTAGAGAGATGTGGATAGACTTACTGCGAAGCTCACCAACAACATCCTTGGCTTTTCCGAAGTATACTTCCTCTGTCATGTGAAATCCCGTGTTAGCATACACCCCAATAGGTTCGACGAGGCAACAGAGTATTGGGGACGTACGGAGCAGATTGCGCATCTTCAATTCCATGTCCTCAACCAGTCTGCCGACATTGGCAACGTGGCTAGCGTCCGACTCTACTGGCAGATCAACCTCCACCTGGCGAGTCATATTACCGCTCAAGTCCATATCGCCAAGGGCCTCGGTCTTGTTGGCTAGATGGAGGATGACGGTACTGGTGAGTTTGTAGTGGCACATGCGAGCACGGTCGGTGGCCTCGAAGACGTGAATGCTATCCCATTCACCGGAGCTCTGCGAGCCCGGGGTGACACCTGTACCAAAGCAAGTCAGTCGCCAATTTTCCAAGCAGTATTTCCGTGGTGCTCAACTCACCCTTCTTCAACAGGATGACACCCGCAAATCCATCATCCAAATCCCAGAAGTACACGCTTCCAACGCCGCCCTCATAGTACAGCTCGCGGTACACATCGAATGACTCGTTTGCGGCGATCTCAAGCTTGCGGACCCGTTCGCTTGGGACCGTACCGTCCTCGAGTGGGGGATCAAACTCGTTGCTCCATGGTGAGCGGTAACTATCCCCGTCACGGTTGTAATCACAAAGCAGGTAGTCGCGGTTTGTCTGCGGACAGCGGCGAATCTCCAGGGGCTGATCGACCGAGGCAAGGAGGTCTTCGGTAAGCTCGGGGACGATCGAGGTAATGGCTTGAAGGTTAGTCTTTGTATCGCGGGGATTCAAACGCCGAAGGAGATCGCTGGAATGCACTGATTAGCTTGGTGGTCTCCGTCTGCATTGCGGCGGGGTTGCGGCGGAGGCCGGGGTTGCAAAGGCAGGTGTCACAGCTGGGGGTAATGTGGTTGATGATGCTCTTCAAAACTCGGTCGGGGTCACTCACAGCGCGCTGTCAAATTGTGCGTCAGCCATTGTTGCGAAGGGTGAATGTTGTCTATACACTCTTCCCCGATGGGTGGCAGTGTTGATCTTAGGCGGAGGAGGTGCGTGCATATTGCCGGGCCGTCGTGGCAGTAGATCTATATCAACGGAAACCATTGAGCTTGGCGAAGAACAGTGGGAAAACGATCGTGAAGTCACAGTTGCTTGTGTCGATTTTATTCCAAGATGAGTCTGAGCAAATTGCTTTGAGACTGCACACTGCTTTCCGGAGAGATGGACGACGCAGTCGAAAACAACAAAGCGCAACATGGTCACCACTTCTAAAACCAATAGATCGATGCAACTGCCTATGTACCTAATGCACATCGGTCGACAAAGTATGTATGGTTCAATTATTTTCATATGACTATCAGCATCTGTATATCGAGAGTACCAGAATATACTCTATATAGACCATGCTAGAAAGCGTAAAGTAAAGCCCAAGGGATTTCAAGCAGAGGTCAAACTCATCTCTTCTTCCCACCATCCTGCAAAGATCTTCAATCTCTCTGTCCGCACCTTGGCCATCTGTCGCCCGGTGGAAGTTTTCATCATTCCCTCAAGCTTGACCAGCTTATCCTCGAAATGCTCGATAGAATTGCTCATTTCCCATTTCCCATCAACACAATACTTCTTCCCGACAGCACCGAGGAAAGTGAAGCATCTCCCAATACCAACAGCCCCGATGGCATCCAACCTGTCTGCATCCTGCACAACTGCAAGCTCCACAAACCCCTCATCGTCGATCAAACGGCGGATCACAGACGGATCCTTGCATTCGGTGGTATAGGATACATGTGACACAATTGTCTGAACTCGGGACGCCAAATCAGGTGCTGCACCACGAGCGATAAGAGCATGCTGGACCATCGTCGTTGGATCGGGAGCTTCACTTCCAGGCGCTGTGTCCAATTTTGACAGGTACTTTCTGTCTCCGATGTCGTGCAGGAGTGCTGCCAGCTTAACAACTGCTCCGTTGTATTTTGTTGCCGGGTTCAAGGCCCGCTCTGCTTCCAGAATTTTGTTCGCGAGTGCTACCACTCTGTGGACATGCGCTGGGTTATGCGATGGGTCATGGCCAGACATGCAGTCTGTCACGAACGCGGACATCCCGCTGAAGAGCACTTGGAATTCTTCGCTTGTGTCATCCATGATGTTAAGGTCAGGGCTTTTCCTCCCAGTGGTTCCGACTCAATGGCTTGTTCGTGAAGCTGTGGGCGCTTGGATTGCGACTCGGGACGATTGTTTGATATGTCGGACTGTTGATTGGACACGATCAGTATATTTTCGGAGGGGAAAGTTCCCCAGTCAACAAACTTTGGCGGTGAGTTGTGGAAATATCCCAGGCACCCGAAGGTTCTTCCAGCCGCATCGCCTTTGTCTCGAGGCCTTTCTTGTTGAATTTCGCTTTCGTCTACTCCGTACACTCCAACTGTCCACAGGTTCACGGGTTCACGGGTCCTCCAAGTGCTGACACCCGTGGCTTTCAGGTCACATACCTTAGGAGCTGGGCACATGTGTAAAGGCGCCTTGGCTCAATTGGATATTTTTAGAATGTTGAAGGTAACATTGCCACCGATCAAAGATCACTCGTCAAATTCCTTTGTGGTTGATCTTACAGCCCTCGGGGTGGCAACCCTCGTACTTGGTATGGCCGATTCTTTGTCACGGTGCTCCTGCTTCTGTGCAGGGAATTCATGACCTAGCCTTGATCGATGTGACAACAGTTCCTAACGAAATGCGAGGATATTTCTTTTTTCAATAACGCTATGAAGCACATGCGGCCTCACGGGTGCCCGCTTTCTCGTGTACCGTTGCATGCATGGGCCTTGCTCAGAGCCAAATATCACATTTAATCCTAGCAGCATTTGGGCGCCAACGTTCCCATTGATGTTCATGCTATAGGCTTACTTGGCTCTATGGAGCACGAGTTTTGACGGCTGATAGTTGCAGGAATATAACCTTGGGACCTTGGAATATGGTTGGGCTACACCTGGGCAGCTGATCTTGTTGATGTCTGGAATGTGCTACTGCCCAGTGTCCAGTTTCCGCGAAGCTTTCGGGCACAGAGAATGGCAATTGGATTCTCAACCATGTACGAAGTTCCATTAAGATTAGCTTCAATTTATTAATCAACACACTATGACAAGAAATAAACATGGCACAGTCCACAAGTTGCCCTATTGATGTAGACCAGGGTCTCGCTGTGTCCATTAATTACAATGTTTCAAGGTTGCAATCACAGAGCAAATGCAGCCGCAACCAAGCCAAACATGCCAGCAGCGGAAGCACCCAGCTTGACGCGAGCACCGGCGTTGTCGGTTTGCTGTGCGAATGTGGACGTGCTAGTTGAGCTTCCATCAGAAGAGTCGGAATCGTCGGAGTCGTTGTTCGAGGCTAAAGAAACAGGTTAGACAATTGTAAATTGAGATAACGAATAAAGACGTACAGTTGGAGTCGGAAGAGCTTGTGCTTGATGAGCTTGATCCAGTCTGCGTAGCAGTGGTACCAGAGGTGCCAGTGGAAGTCGAGGTGGTGGAAGGTTGGGTAGCTGTGGCACCATGGCCGCCCCAGAAGTGGGAGCTGTAGCAAGACTGCTCACACTCGGAGTACTTCTGGATATCCGAGGGAGAGCCGGTACCCTGAGGGCAGGCAGAAACACAGTTGTTGGTGTCGTCGGCCTGGTTGTCGCTAGGGCAAGGGACCTTGTAGCACTTTGCAGTACAGCAGATATCCTTGGGATCGCCTAGATAAAGTGTTAGCGCTTTCCCAATTGTCGTCTATAATTGTGGAATTGCGACGTACATTGCTTCGCGCATTCAGTCTCCGGGGTGCTGGTGGTCACCGAGGCCTCCGCAGTGGTGGTGTCGGCAACAGCGAGGGCCAACAGAGCCGACAGAGCAACGAATGTGAACTTCATGATTATGGATGCGAAAGAACTTTTGATGCGAAAGAAAATATGGATTCGAGAGTAGCGACTGTAGTAGGAACTGATTCAAGATGGACTGGAGACAGATTAAGTATTAAATACAGGCCTCATAAAGCAAACGAAACGCGCCCTGGCATCTTGGAAGTTTGCCTCAAACCAAATAAAGACAAAACCAGTCCCAATGCGGGCTCCCATTCGTGATGTCTCAGATTTGCGGCGAGGATACTAAACCCATTGCCAACTGACCAAGGAAATCCGGCCACTGGGCAAGGGTATATAGCCGACGCACGGGGATTGCCTTGCTTCCCCAGAGAAATTTGACCAGCAGATCGCTCCCTTGAGACGAAGGGGCTTTCATTATTGCCGCTAAGCTAGACCCTGCGGGGAGAGGGACCTGTCAGATAGGGGAATATTGATTGACCCCAGACAATAGTGTCTACCCTATGCAAGGGATCAATCTATTTTTGCTTTTTGAACAACTCGAATCGCCCACTCAATTTGGGCCATTCAAGGGACTTTCCCTAGACCTTCCTTCCCTGGCACAGTTTTGCATTCGGGTTCTTTGCAATTATCCACTTCTGCCCTCGGAGAATAGCTCGGGTCATATTGGAGGCCACGAAATAGCTAAAGACCGTACGGAGTACTCCGCACACTGTGGGCTTGAAAATCCAAACGCCCGCGCCTCCCTTTGAGGTTTCGTATTTGGTTTTTGCTGAAACTTGATTCAATATTCACCGTCGCGAGATTTATGTACTTTGGGGCAAATTTATGCACATCGGTGGCTAAGGTGGAAATGAACAAGTATCCTTTCGTATTCTTCTGGGCATGCAGAGTACTACTTGAATTTGCAACGCCAGGGCCATCAATCTCGTGAAATTGTCTGGATTTAGCATTTCTCCTTGGTTTTACTCTTTCCGACGTTGAGATACTGGCCATTCGTCGCCGGTGGACGTAAAACCTGAAGTGGAGTTTATCCTTGGGGGTGCAAGTCACCGGGTCACCATGTCCACAACACCACCTCGGTAGTGTGACTGAGCTGGGGCGATCCAACAGTGCTCATTCCAAGGCCATATAAATGTAATAGCCACTTTCGCGCCTAAATTAGGCTCCAGTGGTAACACGTACAGCTTCAAGGTTTCATCCAGACATTGGACTTCAATGTTCACATTCTATATGGTGAAAACAAAGCCTACATATGAGAGCCTAGATGAGCTGAATCCCCATTTCCTATCGCTCTTTTGTATTGCCTGGATCAATCCGCATGCCCTGAGTCGGGTAGGAAAATTGCCCGGATGAGTGAGCTCTATGCTTTATCGCCCCTGAGAGGTAGGAAAGACACTTTTCTCTCCTGTTTCAATTCTCCATGGCTCAGCATACCAAGATGCTGAGCTAGATCGGTGGATATATCATACCAAGCTTGAATTTCCCTTATCCTATGTACGCTCATCACACCTGGGCAGATCATGGGTACTTGCACTTGGTTTTCTTTTTTCTTTTCCTGCGAGATATCTTCATCTGGCAGAACAGCTAAGTGCTATTTGTTTCCTCGTTATCTACCTTTTATGAAGCCGTAGCTTTAAACTTGAATATGTTTACATCTATCGTCGTATTCCAACCTTGGAAGGTTATCCATGGATGTAGGCAATTTGATGGTACCACATAGTAGATCGGCCTAATATCGCGCAGCAAGAAAGAGCCTTACCTAGTTGGACTGATAATGACTGGGCCTGGGTAATGGTTCAAGGTTGATCTCAATTCATTCAGGAAAGACAGCAAGCTTTTCGTGGCTCCAAGATCTGTTGCCACTATGTCTCGTACCTAGGTCCCTACCTAGGTACCTAGGTAGGTAGGTAGGAACTGACCCTCCAGGGCTCTTTGGATCAGACTCAGTCCACGGTGTAGAATGCTTATGTGCGTGTCGAACATGCCCAGGTGCCCCCTTTATAGTGGGCTTCTGTTCAACTTGGAACCTTGAATGATTCCAACCTTGGAAAGATGAAAGGGCTACTAGGTCACAGCTTAGGCGCAAGAATTTATTATGCATGTCTATGTAGTGTAACATACCTACCTACCTAGTAGTAGTATGCGGTTCTACCTAGGTACAAGCAACTGTTACAATTCATGAATTAATCCACGGATGTTCATGAGCGATGGCCATATATATCCCTGCATGTATACACTTGTTGTGGCAATCCAGAAGATAAATATTTCAAAATAGATCAGTTTGAAAGTGAAAGATCCTTCCAATTTTGTCATATCCAGTTTTGACAGCAAAAAGAATGAGCAGTGTACTAGAATTCAATGCCCGGTGGAAGTAGTGCATTGATTCAATGTGTGTGATGTGCTTGGCAGCCATTTGTGGCTAGCGTCCCCCTAACGCGGCCCCCGATCCAGGCAACGGAGCTCGGAACTCCCATTCTCCACTGTCCATACCCCTCGAGCTTGACTTAAATGATCATTTCATAGCCCAATTTGTTTTTCACTGTCACTGAGAGCCTCACAATTGATTTCAATCCGCGGATTCCCCACACCGCTCATCGGGCTGCGATTCTCACAAGCCAAGCGACGGAAGCAATGGTCATACGGAGATCACGCTCATGAGCTCGATGGCTGAGGGCAATGAGGGATGGGCGCGCGAGGATGAGCTTGACCTAGGCCAGGAAGATGAGCAGCAACCCGACCAAGACCTCCCCGAACAAGCAGTACCTTCCCCGCACGAACCGGTCGATGATGGATTGGACACGATAGAGCGTGCGGAGGACCAGGATTCCGAACGAACGGTAGAACAGAAGGATTCAATTATTCCAGAAACCCCACCGCCCCGTCATGCAGACTGGGCTGCGACTGCGAGTCTAGATGGCACAGGGTCGAACCCGGACGATTCACCGTCTTTACATGTGAGTGGTACGAATGGCGCGCAATCAGAGCCGTGATCTGACTTTCACAGGGCTCCGTCCCGTCATCATTAAGCAGCAGTGCGCTTGCACTCCGATCGTCCCCTCGCATCAGCCCAAGCCCGGCACGGCGACCTTTTGATCTCCGCTTCCAGTCCCGCCTTTCCTCATCCCCGCAGAGTGTGTCCCGAGCTGGCTCACCATTCCTTGCGCATCTCCACTCCCGACAATCGTCAATCACTAGCCAAGTATCGCATATACCAGATGTTGAAGCCGACCCAGTGCAGGGACCTTGGGATGTGGTGCGATGGACCAAGTTGCGCAAGATCACTGGACAGGCGTTCTCAGAGATCGGGAGACGCAATTTCGGACGCCCGACCTGCCTTGCCGTTTCTACATCCATTGTGGTAGGTACATCGAAAGGAATCATACTTGTATTCGATTATCAGCAAAGCCTAAAGACCATCATTGGAACAGGCACACAAGGTTTGTCGAATGCTGTCCAAAACCCGCGATCTCGCATACTGATAAAGACGCAGCTGTTGAATCCGGATCTGTTACCTCCCTCGCGCTATCCGCAGATCATTCGACGATCGCAGGTGGTCATGAGTCGGGTGACATCTTCACCTGGGAGATATCACGCTCTGCAAAGCCTTTCCTCCACATCCCACCAATCCCGGCCAACCAAGTAGAAACCCGAACTTCCGATGGACATCTCTCAGGATCCGCGGTCATTCATATCGGCTTCCTTGGCACTAGACGCACCGCCCTTGTGTCTGCCGACACACGTGGAATGGCTTTCTCCCACCTTGCAACAAGAGGCATGGGTGCTGTAGGCCGTACAGTTAAGACCGCACGAATTCTTGGTCGATACCCGCAGGCAATTACGGAGACCAAGCGCCGAAAGCCTAGTTCAGTGCTTGCTTTTTCTCCCCTGCCACTCGGAAATGTGGAACAGTCTACCGATTCACTGGGCCTAGTTGCTATGTTGACGCCATATTTGTTGGTCATCGTATCTACCACGCCAGTGGCTCAAACCCAGCACAAATCTGCGCGGCCGAAGGAAGTCCAGGCTCACGGTGCTATGACTGGCGCCCTTGCATGGTTTCCAGCTATCCGACTCAAGGGAAAAGACACCCAGACATCGAACACAAAACTAGTATACTGCTGGTCAAATGTGCTGACGGTACTTGACGTCACTGAGGCCGAGACAGACGAGCCGGTGGACAAGGACAAGCCCCCTAGCCTTGATTTCAGGCCAAGAAGCAGGTGGAGAGCAGATGAAGCAATTGTAGCCGTGCAATGGCTGAGTCGTTCGGTACTTGCTGTGTTCACAATTACGCAGCGGCTTCTGATAATTGAGGATTACTCCATGCATGTTACCGACTCAATAGATCTTGCCAACAGGCACATATACCACACCGATCTCTTCTCTTCGCAGCTACATTCATTGGTTGAGCAGCTTGACGAGGAAGATGATTCAATGCACGGTGTAGTAGCTGATGCATTTCACATGAGCTTCCGTTCTTACAAAGGTCGTTTGTTCCTGCTCGGCTACAACGAAGCTTTGGTGGGCACTTTGTCGAACTGGGCGGATCGTCTGCTCGCTCTGATGGAGGCAGGCGATTTCATCTCAGCCATCCGGCTAGCGACATCTTACTGGACAGGAGATGCGGAGAAGTTGACAGTCGGACTTCCCGAGGAAGACAGCCTCAGACAACCCATCGTCCAACAGAAACTTCTTGAGATGATTTCGGCATCACTCAAATATGCATTTGGTCGGAACTCAGAAGCGAGTGACGGCCGACTAGAGAACCAACAACTGGAGGAGTTGGCTGACGTGTCTATCGCAGCTTGTGTTCATATGGCCGACGAAGAGTTCCTCTGGGAAGAGGTCTTCAACTGGTATGAAGAGCAAGAATCGGCCGGAATGTTCTTATCTGCCCTCGAGCCACGTATTGTCGATGGACACTTGCGTTCTCTTCCTCCCACTGCAGTCAAGTCCTTGATCAACCACTTCATCAGAACTCATTCCCCCGGTCGCCTGGAAGAGATTATCTGTCTGCTTGATACCACTACGATGGATATTGACCAGGTGACCACATTGTGCAAGCAGTATAATCTCTATGATGCATTTATCTACGTTTGGAACCGTTGTCTGATGGATTACATTGGTCCATTGGAGGAGCTAGTAGAGCTGGCTTCTCCTCAGGAACAGACATTTGTTAATGGCGACCATGTGAATGATCTACGGCGACAGAACAACGCGATGAAAATGTTCCCCTACCTATCCTTCATATTGACTGGCCGTGTCTACCCCACTGGGGACGATATGGATGAGCCCGAGGCTTCGCGTGTCAAGACAGACGTGTATCAATGGCTGTTTTCTGGACAAGGCTCGAGTGCTTCAAATGCCAGTAACCAGACTGACTCATTCTCTACACTTCGAGCTATGCTGAAGTTTGATCCTTCCAGCTTCATGAGTATGCTGAACGAAGCTTTCGAAGACAGTTTCCTGAATGAGCCTGAGGATGAGGACATCCCAGCCTCGGGCATGTCGATTAACCGGCAATATCTAATCAGCATCTTGCTTCAAGTCATGACGGGGCCCTTCTTCACACCGTTCGAGACTATTTACCTAGACATGTTTGTTGCCCGCAACCTTCCCAAATACCCCCAGTACATCCTGCTTTCTGGCACAACTCTGCACCAAGTCCTGGTCCGTGTCTGCCAATATTCCGAAGAGGACATGGCAGATGACTGCGAGTTGAGCGCTGAGTATCTGCTCTCTTTCTACCATCCGCCCGATGTTCAGAGCATGATCCCTCTGTTCAAGGAGGCGCGCTTTTTCCGAGTATTGAAGTCGACTTACCGATCCGAGAAACAATACGCCGAGCTAGTTTTGACTTACTTGGAAGACCCGAATGATCGCGAAACCATCTTCACCTGTCTACGTGATTGTCTTCGTGTGGGAGCCGGGCTTGGCAAAAAGCAAAGAAGAGACGTTCTAGACGTTGTGGAGAAGCATGCTCGCGAAATCGCCGCAATCGATGTGACCCACACGGCCCAGACCATGCAGGACCTCGCTCCCCAAACCCATTCGACGTTCTTGCGGGCCTTGGAAGAAAACCCCCAAAAGCAGTATGAGTACCTGCTCGTGTTGATCGAGCCGAGTTCTGAGTCAGCGGACAATCGGTCTCCGACCACCGCGGAGAATTGGATGGTTGAGCGTTACGTACAGCTGCTGTGCAAGTACAACCCTTCTCATGTGGCAGAATTTGTGGACAACCTGCGTGTGGGCGACATCCACTTGGAAGAACTGCTTCCTTTCATCGAGGAGAGCGGAGCCATCGATGCTGCTGTCATTCTCCTCGCCCGACAGGGTCAGGTCCGCGAGGCTCTCGACCGCCTCGTCGCACATTTGAAAACCCTCGAGTCTGGCCTACTTGGCATCCTCCAGAGTTTCCGCGATAGTCCAGATTCAGCTACCACCGCGGAAGCAATCGATGACCTGGTAGAGTCTTTGAACAAGTATGCCGGGGTTGGTACCTGGCTCTGTCAAGGCCAAAGCAAGACAGCCAAAAACACCCGACTCGGGAGCTCCAACGGCAGCCGCAGCTCACCAGCCCTCGAACAACCTCTCGCGTTTGATGAAGGCCTTTGGCTCGACCATATCGAAGCTGTCGTGCGAATTGCAAGCAATGTCTTCGCCTTCATCCAGAATAGCAGCCAAACAACTGCGCAATCTACCACACTGGGCGACAACAACCGTCTCACAGCTTCCTTCCGAAAGCTGGTCCAGCAGGTCTTCACGGCCCTTCTCGCAAGCACCGTCAAAGCCAACACCACCGAACGGACAGACATGTCTTTCCTCCGTATCCTGCGTGCCTTCCTGACACGAGCAGCTACGTGGTCCACCTCCCTCCCGGAGCTTCGCGCAGTCCTCGCCTCCATTTTCTCCGCCTACTCCTACGAGAAATCCCTCCTCACCCTCGCCAACGGCATGCTAGACCGAGACCTCTTCGTCCACGTCGACGAAGTCACACGCCTCCGCCAACAAGGCTGGCGACCTCGTGGCCACGTATGCGAAATCTGCCACGTCCGAGTTTGGGGACCCAGCGTGGGGGACGCGCACTGGACCGCCTGGCAAGACCGGCAGGCGGATTCCTACTCGCGCCGCCTCACGCGTCGCATTGAGGATGGCTACAATCCCTCCGAGCGGGGCAAAGGCAAAGCCGCCGATGTGGGGCATCATCCGTCACGGTTGGATACGCACGCGCACCAGCATGACCCTGACGAAGACCATGACCCGGTTGCATCTGGACCGGTCGGACCCGTTCCTGAACCGGTGGTGGTTTTCTCGTGTCGACATCTGTTCCATCGCCGGTGCGTGTCGGCTGCTATCGGTGCGGCCGCCCGTCCTGAAACTGGGACTCGGAGTGAGCCGCCCGAATTGTTTTGTCCAGCTTGTACATAGTCATTGCAGCGAATTTTTGCTTCTTTTTTTTAACTTTGTGTCGCATAGCCTACTAGAATAGCGTGCTGGTGCTTTGTCCAACGTTGTACTGTACTTGTTTGATTCCAATGTGTCCGGAGTAAATGTTCAGGGTCTCATCGTTTCAGGCGGGTGGGTTAGATGTTGATCATGACCATCTCGGCGATGTCTCACTCAACTCCGCCCTCAGCTTCTCCGCTTTCCCGCCCTGATCGTCCAAGACACGGCTGCCAGTACCTTGTCCGCGGGTACCTTTGACTCCTGCTTCATGGCAAGTGCTTCGCATTTGTGCGAGGGTGATCGGATTTTCATATCCACCTCACCGGGTCACCGGAGTGCAACGCTCAAGTGGGCAGTGTGGACACTTGATATGCAGCAAAGAGGAGACCCGTGGACAAGTGTAGAATGTGTGCGTAGGCCACTTGCTCCAACTTTGGAAGAAATCAACTGATGTTCGGAGGATTGATTTTCCTGTACCAGCTGCGCATGTACCACCCGCAGTCACTTGCAGGCAAAATATACTTACCCCTAAAGTACCCCTAGCTTAATCGGAAACATCTCCGCATCTAATCGCCACCTCTCTTTTGACGTCTCCCTTCGTCTGCCCAGGTGGTCTAGACAGATCATTCAGCGGTTCACTCCCGAGAAAAAATTCGGACGAGAAAAAAAAAAAGAAAGGAAAAAAAAAGCTTCAAACCTTCAGACGGCATCCTTAGCCGTGACCTATCATCTGTCGATCGTCCCTTTGCCACCAAAATCCTTGCAGGTGCGCGGCCATGATTGGCGACAGTCTCACTGGTCACGGCCAGTGACAGGCCTCGGTCCATTTCCTACCTCTTCCCGGCCTTTTCTGCTCTGTATCCAGCATGGTACCGATGACTCGTCGGTTCCGAAACGTCCTTCAAACTTAGATTCGGCGCATAAGTTTTCCACTCGATACATTGCATATAGTACTAGTACTCTGTACTCACCGTTGTCATTCCCCACGGCCATATGATATGCCCGGAAACAGTACCATGCAGGCCACATTCCAAAGATCAGAATTCATTTCCAACCTGTAGACCACGCGATTGACCGGTTCAATCGGCAAGATGGACATCTCAGGCCGAAGACTGCTTCCGAGATCCACAACGGCCTTGAGCTACCACAAGTCCAGACGTGTCCCTACACTCTGTGCAGTGGATAATATCTCATCCTGAAAATGTGAGTGGGCGTTTCAGATTTCCAGACTTTCAGGGACCCCACCGTTCTCCCCTTTTGCCGTTTCACTTCACATTGTCCCTGGCGATCGGGTCTGGTGTATCCATCCGCGTGGCCTGGATGCTGGGAATTCTCATTCGTCCATTCTTTTCTTTTGATGAATTTTCATTCGTTTTTTTCCCGCCCTGACTGATTTCCACTCCCAAAGTGTCTAAAGTGGGGAGACAATATAGTCTCCAGGGCTGTATAAAGTCCTCCCGCCTCCCACTTTTTGAGACTCAAGCCTTTCCTTTTTGCTCCTTTGCTCATTCACTTTCCTTTTTTGGGACCCCTCCATTGGGCCCTTTCTTTCTTTTTAGTCCTGCTGGAGTATCTGCGATACTATTCAGGCGTAGTCTTTGACAGACTCTCTTCCAATCCTTACAATGCACGTTCTCTCCATCCTGCCCGCTCTGGGCTTTGCGTCTTTGGCTTCGGCCAAATATACCTTGCACGAAGATTATGGCACCAACAGCTCTTTCTTCGACAAGTTCGACTTCTTCACGGTACGTCGATCGCAGACCTCGTTGGAAGGCTGGACTAATTCAAACCAGGACTCCGATCCCACCAACGGCTACGTGGACTATGTCAGTCGCAATGTTGCCGAGAGTAAGGGTCTGATCAACGCCTCTACCAGCAATGGCGTGTACATTGGCGTGGATCACTCCAACACCGCCAGCAAGCCCGGCCGTAAGAGTGTCCGCCTGGAAAGCACCAGTACATACCAGCACGGCCTGGTGATCCTCGACCTCGCCCACATGCCCGGTAGCGTGTGCGGCACCTGGCCCGCCTTCTGGATGCTGGGCTCGGACTGGCCCTCGCACGGCGAAATCGACATCATCGAGGGCGTCAACGACCAATCTGAGAACCAAATGGCTCTCCACACCAGCGACGGATGCACCGTCAAGAACACCGGCTTCAGCGGCAACCTCGACACCGACAACTGCTACGTGGATGCGGATGGCCAGTCGGCCAACGCCGGCTGCGCAATCATGAGCTCTGATACCAAGTCCTACGGAAGCGGATTCAACGACGCTGGCGGCGGTGTTTACGCAACTGAATGGACGGGCGATGCCATCTCGGCCTGGTTTTTCCCCTCCAGCTCCATTCCCAAGGACATCACCGCCGGATATCCCGTCCCAAGCAGCTGGGGCACCCCCGCTGCCAAGTTCGCCGGCTCCTGCGACATCGACAAGCACTTCAAGGACCTCCAGATTGTCTTTGACATCACTTTCTGCGGAGACTGGGCCGGTGAAGAAAGCGTCTGGTCTTCCTCCTCCTGCTCTAGCAAGGCAAGCACTTGCAACGACTACGTCCAGAACAACCCCTCCGCCTTCGAGGATTCATACTGGCGCCTCAACTCACTCAAGGTCTACCAGGAGTCCAAGTCCTCTGGTCTGGACCTTGATGTTGACGTTGATATCGATCTCGACCTTAGTCTCGGCAATGGCAAGCGCACTGCGCCTTACCTGCGCCCTGGACCTCGCCCTAAGCACCACCGCGAACGCCGTCACGGCCACGGCCACGGCCACGGCCATGCTTAGATGATGTACTGTATATGTTTATGAGGGGGACTTGTGTTACGGAGCGTTTTCATTTTTCTGGCATTTATTGCGACATTGTACATCTCCGCGCCTGTGCTAGTCTACGGCTGGAGCGCATTTGATATGCTATGCTTTATGGGTTATGTGAGGTTTGAGACCTTTTTATGTTTGTGAATACCCCTGCACTTTCGTTCAATGAATTGCATTATGCATCCGGAGTACTTTGAAGGGCTGTCAGTCTGGAAATTGACATCCTCAATTCTTGGACCTCAATTCTTGGAATTGAGATTGTCGGGTAACAAGTAAATTGGAAAACGACCTGGGAAGTTTGCTTTCCTGTGGACCTTGAGACACCCATGGATCCACGAAGACGATACGAATAATCTAGATCTAGACCTCTTGTTCTTTGACTCTTGGCTGGCATTGCTGGAAGTAAGACGCTACTTGGCTTTGGCAGTGCTCGGCCAGATCTAACATCTGTACTCTGTGCACCCACTCGAACAAAAGGATCTCACCTTACCCAAGATCTTGGCATCGAAGACAAGGATGGTCTAGACTTCTACACTTCGTTTCCCCGAAGATTTGGCGGCCATGTGGTTCGAGAGCTGATGCGAGCTAACCTTGGAAACAGCAGCCGTGGGATTGGATTTTATCAGGACAAAGAATGTGGCTTTTAGACGGACCCTGGGACTGGCTAGGCACATATTTCTTCATTTAACATTATTTTGCTAGATTCTACTCCGTAGATGCTTCCAAGAAGTTGAATCTGCTGCCCACACGATACCCGTGGACCATCTGGATGTTGTGATGAGAAAACTTTCGTGGCGATATTCACAAGTCCGAGATGATCGTGTAAATGTGGAATCTCGTCACGCGACGCATTCTTTGTGAAGCAATAGCTTCTGTATGGATTGTTCCTGAGTTAATTATTGCCGATGTGATTCTTTGTTAGGTTATGTCTCTTTCTGGGGAGACAAGGGATGGCAGTTCTTTCTCATGTAGTGGATCCAGACTTCGATAGAATCATATGAGTATGTTTGAATAGTACGTCTATAGAGTGGAAAAGCCGAGAATGGCTTTTGGGGATGTTCTTTCAAAGCCTCGAGAGAGATCAAAGAGCCATTCCGAGAAGAGGTGCCCACCTGAGCAGGTGCACTTCGGTTTCTTTGGTAATTCCCACTACTGGTGAATATTAACTTCCTCAAATTGTTTATTGACGCTGCCTATGGATAATTCTCGGATGTACTTGCGGTCGTATTTATTTCACTTGCTACCTAGTATACACTTTCTGGCTAGATGGATAGAACTTATCAGGGCTAACCCGCTACATGCTCGCCTGCACATGTGAACCAACTGGCTTAGTGAGCCCCAGATAAACCAAAGCAAAAAGTAGTTTCCAAATCAATGTCCCTTACCCTGATACTTTCCATACCATTGTCCGAGGCTGTCGAGTCATTCAAAGGTCAGTAAGGGTTCAATGAGAGTCTCGACCACTCCAGGCAGATGAAACTTACAGGGCTTTCTCCCACGCCTTAGTTTCACTCTTTCTCCTCGCTCGCCCATTGGTCGGAGGCAGGACCGGGGATTTGAGAACGTCAAAACTACAAAGCAAGTCATCGTCGACCGTCATGATAGCCCCCCAGTTATCGAACTCGCCGCAGTACTTTCACACAGGTTAGTGGGCGCCTCTAGGCAGATTCACACAAAGAACGGGACTCACATTCGGCGCCGAGAAGATGGTCACCAGACTCCTCTCCCCAAAGAACTCATAGCCCGTTTCCACTACCATGTGTGACCGGCACACCAAATCCAGGTCATGGCGTTTCAGGAAATTGGCAACGGGCTTGCGTCCAAATGTCCAACTCACACCTCGATCTTCATTCGGTCCCCAATCTTTGATATTTGCGGGATCGCTCCAGAGTAGATCGGTTAGGAGGCCTTGGCCGGGGATCTCGGTCGGGCGAACAATGGTTCGAATTTCATTCATATCGGTCAAGTTGGGAGAAAGGCCACCGTGGACACAGAATATTTTCTCCGCCACCACGGCCGCAATCGGGAGACAGTTAAACACGTCAGTAAATGTCTTCCAGACCTTGACGTTAGATCTGCGCTTGCACTCGTCATGAAAGCCGTAGATACGGGAGATATTGGCGCACTCATGATTGCCTCGGAGGAGGAAGAAAGTCTCGGGGTATTTGAGCTTGTAGCAAAGTAGCAATAGTATGGTTTCCAAGCTCTGTTTCCCTCTGTCAACATAATCGCCCAGGAAAAGATAATTGGTGGTGGAGGGATAGCCGGATTGTTCGAAGATCCGGAGCAGATCCGTGTATTGGCCGTGGATATCGCCGACGATTCGGACGGGCGCATTAAGCTCTAGGAGGATGGGCTGGGAGAGGAATAGGTTCCGTGCGATTGAGCAGATAGATAGGATCTCGGTGGGTTCAAGGCAGAACTTTTTTGTAGCTTTTGATTGTCCGGCCTGTAAGAGGCGCGCGATCATATCGTCTAGATCAACCGATGCGCGCCGATTCAAGCCATCTCTTGAAGAGTCATCCCAGATGATATGGTCAAGATTGAAATGGTTCTGTTTGCGTAGAATAGATTCCGATGCGGTTGCCGCATCGGAACCTACTCGGTCTGGCTTGGGTTCTGAGGCCGGTACGGCCTCCTTTTCTTGGCTTTTCTCGAGATCTCCAGTGATCTCCGTGAAGGGTGGCGGGCCGTCGAGCTTCTCGTCCGTTGGATTCGGTTTCGTAGGAAGATTGGTCGAGTTCGAGGCGATGGAGTTGTCTTGTTTACTAGATCTGCGCAGATGAATACTCCCTCTTTTCAAAAAATCGACGAATGAGGATCTTGGTGCAATGGGGCTCAGATTTTCTTCAGGCAGCGTGCGTTGCTCGGCATAGTCAATCTCCATCTTGGCGTGCAGGTGAAGAAGAAGTTGAAGAAAGAACACTGTCCCACCTGGGAGGTTTTTAGTTTTGATTTAGTTTTTTCCCACAAACTTTCAGCTGAAAGGCCTTTGGCATCTGAAAGAAACGAGTTTCCGGGGCAAAAATAGACAACATAGCGTCATCCGGTTCTCATCTTCGAGGCGATGATCTTCACTAATCATCGACAAGAGCGGACATCCAGGAGCGGGGGACTCTTGGCAACCGACGCAAGTGGTGCTGGATCGTTCTAATTCCCTCGTACAACGTTGCATGTTGTAATCTGACTCGATGACCTCACGACTGTGCAGATATTTGCAGATATTGGCAGAGTTTGGCAGTTCATTGTTTCGACACGAACTGCTGGGGCTGCACCTAGACTACTCCAGGGCTAGTCCAGGATCAAAGATCCCACGAACTAAGAACTAAGCATGTGAACGAAATGAATCAAATAGAACATATGTACTGGAATAGCTATGTATTTGACATTAACATTAATAGTGAAAACTCGACATCTTAAGGTTTGAATCCAAGCACATCCCGCTGATCATCCGTCAAACGTCCCCACTCCAAAAGAAGTCGGAAGAAGTAGATCTCCATGTCTTCCTTGCGGAGTGCAGTCTGCGCCCACTTCCGCCCCTCCTCGGCGATCCATTTGCCCTGTTGATCATGACTCTTCATCCGGGCCTTGGGGGCATCGGGTCCATCGGTCGCGGGGGCGGGTACACCCGCGAAGTACGCCAGGGTACTCCACATCCCATGGAGACGAATGTCAATAGGCACGAAATGGAGCCAGGAAGAGACACGGGGGTCAAACCACTGTCGGAAAAGACCGGTCTTAAAAGGCAGACTGTGACTATGTAAGAATGGCAGGAAGCGACCGCTGAAACCGGCGCCGTCAAGATCGAAGAGGTAGCGGTGGGACCAGTGAGCTTGGAAGTCGGCCCAGCCTACAGTGCCCATTTCGGCAGCTTGTTCCTCGCAATCTTCACAGCGGACGATGGGATCGGCGAGGTGGACGGAGGTTTGGAGTTGCAGCTTCTCGGTGGGGGCGGAGCCGTCCATGATTTCGTAGCGGAAAGAGCCATCGTCTGCGGGGAGCAGGACAGAGACGTCATTGTTGGTGTTGTTGTTGATGAGATGGGCGAAGCGCTGGCGGGGCATGCCTTTCCATTCGCCAAAGCGACTCACGCCTTCCGACGTGCTGCCAACCCAGTAGAGGGAGTTTTCCTTGTGCCCGTATTCCGGGTCAGGGTGGTCGTTTGTGGGTTCATATTTCACCTTGTCGATGTAGTTCCAGGGGCTGGGGAAAAGGATGTCATTGAACCCGGATAAAGCACTCTGGCTGAACACGGGGATGAGTTCCTGGGAGACCTTGAATGAAGCCGGCGATATCAACAAGCCATGCATGAATGCAATGTCTGGCTGATGGCAGATGTCCGACGCGATGTTGAAGTCCAGCGGGAACTGACCCATGGAATGAGGCGCTGTGCAGGACAGGCAAATATCGTGACGGTTCCAGATTCGTTGGGAGCGAGCCTTGGACGAAGGAGGGCATACGGCCCCGACATAGGGGTCAAAAACCCCTCTCCAGGCCCCATCGGTGAACACTGTGATGTTGGTTTGGTCGGCGGGTTCAATGGGGGCCCAGCCCTCTTCTCGGTTGGTCGACCAAGTGTTTATCGCATGCTCTTCGGGTACCATGTTCTGCATTTGGGCCTGGCGTGTCAACCCTGAAACCTTCTCCCAGGGCACTGCCACTCGCGGCTCGTCGTTTAGGTTGAATACCAAGTCCATGTCGGGGAGATGTTTGACAAAGTTCTCCATCATGTCCGCAGCACCTTTCACCATCCATGCATGGGTAGGTTTGATGCCTTCCTGCACCATGGCGGTACCGTTGCGAATCCTAATTCCACCGAGATCATTGAATGGGTTGGTAGCCAACTCATGGGTCATTGCCCGGATGTGCTCCGGGGCCACGGCTCGGAAAGGAAGCAGATCGTGATGGATCTGGTCGAAATCGTCGATGACAACCGACGATCGACTAGTGGCATATTGGTACCACTTGTCGAAACCCCTGAATCAGTCAGTCAAGCAGTGGATTCATGTTAAGGACCAAAACTTACGGAGGAGGGTGCTGATCATATCTTCTCCGGTACTCCCAAACAGCATCTCCGAGGCTCTTGCTGCTTGCGGCCTGGTTCATGAAATTATCATGCCGAACCCTGCCTTCGTGGACGAGGAAATCAATGGGATGCATGTGAAAGAACCTATGCTTGTTCACTGCGAAGAACAAACCAATAGCACTGAGCAATAGGAACAGCACTTGGATTGCGATGTTGGTGCGGTACAACGGTTTCGATTCTTCATCGTGAACGATCCGCGCAAGCAGGAATATAACGACACCAGTCCAGCATGCCGCAAATGGTAAAATGGCGTGGGTCAATGATATGAAGGGGAAAGGCTCCTGTGCACTTGTCAATGCAGACAAGGATGAGAAGTACATGATTGTGAAGCCGCCTATGATGCAGACACCCAAAATGTCAAAATGTGGGAGCTAGGAATATTAGTGCTGTGAGTCAGGCGAGCAGAAAAGAGGTACACTAACCATGTGCCATGCAGACACCACCAGTAGCAGTACTAGGATGGATTGGCTGAATGCGCCACGAGAGTACTCCAAATCGAACATGGGTTGGCCTGCGAGCTCAGGGGAGCTATTCGACACCCAGAATGAGAGAACACTCCAGATAAACGAGACGCCCTATACACGTTAATGAGGGCCCCAAGAAAACCACGGTGCAATCCACTCACCAGGAGGCCAGCTCCAAGGAACGTCAGTGCTCGCTTTCTCCGCGCGTCGTCGAACTGAGCCCCAATGCGACATAGCTCGGTGACCCCAATGAGCAGTCCGGAATCCACGAACAGATTGAATATCTTGAGAGATTGCATTCGCGATGCGCCACCTGACACTATAGGGCAAATATATGACGACCGTGTTCCATCAAGGAGCGAAGAAGCCAGAAGGCCACCAATTGACAAGAAAGCCGCCGCGATCACCCCTCGGAAGCGGCTTTGGGTCAGGTAGTAGAAACTCCGGCGAGACATCGAATATGTTACCTGAAGCGGCAGGCTTTGAAACCGCTGGATCGGCACATAGTTATCCGTTTGGCGGGATCGCTGATTGCGCCAGAAGTCATAAATGGAGACAGCGAACGGAATCGCGTACTATGAGGGCAATGTGTTAGTCGCATCGGATATGGGTTGTTTTGCGCGGGCTGGCTACTCACGGTATATCCGGCGGGCGCGCATTCGGTGTTGCGGCTGATTTGACGGAACGATTCGATTCGCGCGCCACATAGCCCCAGGAGCAGGCCGACTTTGATCCACCAGGACTGAAACCGCACTCGCGGACGGGTGTCGACGTCACCCACTGGAAAGGATGAGCTCGATGCGCGGGAAGGGAGCTCAAATTGCTCTGCCAGCGGGAGGCCTGGTCGTTTGCTTGTTGGCGACGGCGGTGTCGAAGACACGGATGTGAAGCGACTCCATGTCAAGAAACTAACTCCGGTGAGGAAGCACACGAGCACAGAGGTACTGATCGGTCGGTCTGGATGGGCGCCACCGTTAGAACAATTGTAGAGTGATGAATGAGCGACTCACCAAAGGCAAATGTAGTGTTATATGAAGTCGCCAGGAACAGCGAGCTCAGAATAAATGTTCTGCGCGAAAATGACGATGAGCTTGAGCTCTCCCATGTGCAGGGATTAGGTTCAACTCACCCCACGGAGACCTTGAGCCCCAGGTCGGAAGATAATTGGACCATTTTGCGCCCAAAATTATGCCTCACAAGTGTCCCAGTCCATCGCTCTCAATCTGAATGAAGAATGAAGGAAGAAAATCAATGACATGAATAGAAACAGCCTCGTGTGGATCAGGGGATTGGCATTGCTCGAAACATGGCAAAAAGCAGGGTAGGCTAGGAGGGCCCTGAGATCCGCTGGCGGCTAATCAGAGGCATTCGGAGTGCTGATCCATTAGGGTTGCGTCAACGCGGGCTGGACATTAACGCAACCACGGGCCTTGGATGGGTATCAGCGCAGAGTATCTTGGGCCAATGATGAGTTGTTGAATACCTCCCACCGTTGTCCGATCCCTTAGTCTGTCTTAGCTTATTAGCCCTGGTTCTGGGGACTAACAAGGCTGGTCAGCGAGAAATGCCGGGCCGATCAGCGTCCAGAATCAAGGCTTGCTTGACCCACATAGTCTACCAGAAACGTCATGTCTGGTTGTCATGTACTAATTGTACAGTACAGTAGCCCGGTCACAGCATCACTAGTGCAGCCCTGTGAGAAGTCCACCTATAGTATAGCACAAAAGGACATGCAGTTGATAGCCAAGAGCATGGACACGCGTCATGAAGCCAAGATGGCTTGGAGAAGGGCTCATTAGCATCGAAATAGAGATAGCCGGGAGATCCACTGCAAACAGCCAATGAACGTCCAATGGGAAACAAGGGTCGCCCGCTACACTGCATCCGGCCTAGTGCACTGTATTTCCACGGAGCTCCAGTCACGTGGATTAAGATTGCGCTGTTCACGCCACAGAGCCACTCTCGTATACAAGCGCATATAGACGAAAATTACACCGTATAGAGAATCAACCTTGGAAGCTCGGTGAGGGGGTGTGTCATTATTGTAGCTCAGGGCTTGCAAGGAGCTGAATCGATTTCACTCTACCTAGTAGCAGACGTGGCCATGTTTTGCAGCTACTTCATACTTGACTTGGGATGTACAACTTTGGGGAAAGCCGTTGAACCCAATCCATGGATCGAGCACTCAGAGGTACAGTGCTAATTCTACCGCATCCTTCGTCTCAGCCGCCAACCTCCGCTTTATGCTTGGAGTCTGTCCAGAACGAAAAGAGAAAGTAGAAAAGAATAAGAAAAGAAAATATTATTTTCAGAGCAGTACCAGATCTCGGCATGAATTAGAGAATAACATGAATACTTTTCTCATGCAACGTTCTTGAGCATAAATTCAATCATTGTGCCCTTTTTATGCCCTCTTCCGGGAAGGCTGGGAAAGGGTGTCCACTAGCTCTCTAGGCCTTCCCGGCTCTCTTCAATATGAGAAAGATGGATGACCCTAGAAACTTCATGCGTCAAGAACAACACACAATTTGACACTTTCTCAAAGCAAGGGCATTGTTCAATTCGAGATCAGTGCAGCAGCCAAGCAACATACTTTGATATTGAATACAATGCCAAGGCAAGGCGATACATGCAAACATGCAGACATGCAGAGTCTTGGCCCGTGACCTAGCTGGTCAACCCCAAATTCTTGGGTTTAAAATGACTCCAACGGAGACATTGTGTGTATGTTGCTCTAGCAGTCTTTCCTGCAGAGGCGCTTCCTTCTGATGTCCAAGGAATTGGTGCGTTGCTTGGAAAGTATGAACACAGCTACTAGCTGGTTGGCTATAACGATGGAGGTTCATAATCCATGGGCGGATGTGTGCCAAAGGAACCTGTATATGCCAGCACTTGATAAATGCATCGCTCCCAGTCCCAAGAGCCGGGTCAAGCTGTTGGAGCCTGGGGGTTGCCACTTTCGTTTTGGCAGTTAGTACAAGTCTTGCTCACCGCAACAAGCCTCCCATAGCAATTTATACCAATATGGAATAGATTTCATGGACAACCCTCCCGTCACTGTTCTCGTGATTCTCATTGAGATTTGTTGTTTTCGTTTGCTGACTAGCCTGACAGCCAACCCGTAGATATGGAAATATCCGATCAGATCATTTGAAATGTAAGCAGAGATATGAAAGAATATCTTCCAACATCCTGGCTTCTATCATTGTGGAATTACTGAAGTGATGTTCCGGGTGGATGGGACTCATGCTCAGGGTGTAGCAGTGGTGAGAACACGCCAAAGGCGGTGAGCACACATGAGGCGGAGTATTCGGGCAGTATGATTTTTTTTCTAACCGCCATTTTTGGTCGCAAGCAGTAGTGTTTTGCCAATCAACACCAGTCCGGATTTCGCCATGCCTCGCAAGGCAATTGATTCGCGGATTCCCGCACTTATCCGAAATGGCGTCCAGGAAAAGAAGCGTAGCTTCTTCGTGGTCGTTGGCGACCATGCCAAGGATGTGATCGTTCACCTTCACTACATCATGTCCAGCGTGGATGTGAAGCAGAACAAGTCGGTCTTGTGGGCTTACAAGAAGGATCTGCTTGGGTTCTCCAGTCACCGAAAGAAGCGCGAGGCTAAGATCAAGAAGGAGGTCAAACGAGGCATCCGCGAACCCAACCAGGAAGATCCGTTCGAGCTTTTCATCACCCTCAACCAAATCCGCTATGTCTACTACAAGGAAACCGAGAAGATTTTGGGTAACACATACGGCATGTGTGTGCTGCAGGACTTTGAGGCCATGACCCCCAACTTGCTTGCTCGAACCGTCGAGACTGTCGAGGGTGGAGGTATGGTCATTTTGTTGCTTGAGAGCATGACCAGTCTGAAGCAGCTTTACACCATGTCCATGGACATCCACTCGCGTTATCGCACAGAGGCCCACGACGACGTCGTTGCTCGTTTCAACGAACGTTTCATCCTTTCTCTGGGAAGCTGTGATTCCTGTCTGGTGGTCGACGACGAGTTGAATGTGTTGCCCATCTCTGGCGGCAAGACCGTCAAGCCTCTTCCCGCCCCTGAATCCGCCGAAGAAGCCCTCACTGCGCCCCAGAAGGAGCTGAAGGAAATCAAAGAGAGCCTTGCTGACGCACAGCCCGTCGGCCCTCTGTTGAATTTGGCACGCACTACCGACCAAGCCAAGGCCCTCCTCACTTTTGTTGATGCGATCGCCGAGAAGACCCTGAAGAGCACTGTCGCTTTGACCGCTGGTCGTGGACGCGGAAAGTCCGCCGCTCTGGGTGTTGCCATCGCTGCCGCCATCGCGCACGGTTACAGCAACATCTTCATCACATCTCCCAGCCCGGAGAACTTGAAGACCCTCTTTGAGTTCATCTTCAAGGGCTTTGATGCTCTTGGTTACCTTGACCACGTTGATTACACTATCCTGCAATCTACCAACCCCGACTTCAACAAGGCCGTTGTGCGTGTCAACATCCACCGCAACCACCGTCAAACCATTCAGTACATCCAGCCCCAGGATGCCCATGTCCTGGGTCAGGCTGAGCTCCTTGTCATTGATGAAGCCGCAGCTATTCCATTGCCCTTGGTGCGGAAACTTATGGGACCATACCTGGTCTTCATGTCTTCCACCATCAACGGTTACGAAGGCACGGGCCGGTCCCTGTCTTTGAAACTCATCCAGCAGCTGCGCGAACAGTCCCGCAGTGGAGTCAAGACAGATGACACCGATGTTGCAGACCGCAGCACCGGCAAGTCGGCCAAGGATACTGACAAGAACCTTACTGGCCGAAGCTTGCGGGAGATCACTCTCGCCGAGCCCATTCGTTACGCCCCCGGTGATTCCGTCGAGAAGTGGTTGAACAAGGTTCTTTGCCTCGATGCAACCCTTCCCAAGTCTCGCATGAACACACAAGGCTGCCCCCACCCATCCCAATGTCAGCTGCTTCAGGTCAACCGTGATACCCTCTTCTCATTCCACCCTGTTTCGGAGAAGTTCTTGCAACAAATGATGGCCCTTTACGTTGCCAGTCATTACAAGAACACCCCGAACGACCTGCAGCTTATGAGTGATGCCCCCGCCCACCAGCTTTACGTCCTTGTTCCACCCATTGACGAGGAAGCCACCAAGCTTCCTGAGCCTCTTTGTGTGATCCAAGTCGCTCTTGAAGGTCGCATCAGCCGCCAGAGCGTGCTTAACAGCCTAAGCCGTGGCCAGCGTGCCGGAGGTGACCTGATCCCCTGGTTGGTCAGCCAACAGTTCCAGGATGAGAACTTTGCCAGTCTCTCTGGTGCTCGTGTGGTCCGTATTGCCACCAACCCCGAATACATGGGCATGGGATACGGATCCCGAGCCATGGAGCTCCTTGTCGACTACTTCGAGGGCAAGTTCACGAACCTGGAGGAGAACAGCACTGCCGCCGAGGAGGAGATGGTCCGTGTTACCGACGAAGAGCTCGCCGGCTCTAGCCTCCTGGATGACAATGTCCAGGTTCGGGACATTCGCACAATGCCTCCTCTGTTTGGCAAGCTGACCGAACGTCGTCCTGATGCGCTTGACTACATTGGTGTCAGCTACGGTCTGACTCCTTCCCTTCACAAGTTCTGGAAGCGTGGCTCTTTCCACCCCGTCTACCTGCGCCAGACCCCCAACGAACTCACTGGCGAGCACTCATGCGTCATGGTCCGCACCCTGACCAGCGCTGAAACCGACGATGCCTGGCTCAGCGCCTACGCCCGCGATTTCCACAAGCGTTTCCTCTCACTTCTGTCATACCAATTCGGCCAGTTCCCATCCGTGCTCTCCTTGAGTATCTGTGAGTCTGCCAACGCCGGTTCCAAGAAGGACCCGAAGTTCAAGCCTCGTTTGTTGAAGAAGGGCGATCTCGACGCCGAATTCTCGCCGTTCGATCTCAAGCGTCTTGACAGCTACGCCAACAACCTTTTGGATTACCACGTCATCCTCGATATGGTACCCGTCCTTGCCCAGTTCTACTTCAGCAACCGCCTGGATGGCAAGATCAGCCTGTCTGGCGTTCAGCAATCCATCCTGCTCGCCATCGGTCTGCAGCACAAGAACCTCGACGATCTCGAGAAGGAGCTGAACCTCCCCTCGTCCCAACTCCTGGCCATGTTCCTCAAGATCATTCGCAAGATCTCTACTCACTTCCGCGCTTTGGTCGAGAAGAGCATCGAGGATACCCTGCCCGCCAAGAAGCAGGTCCTTGTGACTTCCGCCGCGCACGACGACGAGCCCGAGGCCAAGCTCCAGCCATTGTCCGTCAGTCTGGAAGACGAACTCCGCGAGGGCGGCAAGAAGATCGACGACGAGATGCGTGCCAAGCAGCGTGCTATGGCCGAGTCGAACCCGTAAGTTATACCCGCAGACAGGTCTGATGCGAAACAACAATAACTGATTCCTAGCCAGTGAAGCACAAGATGGCTCGAAGCCTTCCAAGCGCAAGAAGGTTGAGACTGCGCGCGATATCTACGATAAGGAGATTGACTCGAAGAGACAGAAGATCATCAAGAAGGGCACCGAGGGCCGCAAAAAGCGTTGAATGTTGTAGTATTCTTGGCAACTGTTTCTTTCTGCATTTGTGTTCGGTGTTCGGTTTGGGTCTCAGAGACTTTTCCCTCTTGTTTCTAGTATCTGTCTGTACGATTCGAGGTTCATGTTTCCATCGGGGTATCCGTCCCGAGGTCCTTGTATATATGGATCATGTGTTTATCACGACTATCATCCTCTCGTAATGATTCCAGAGACTTGAAAACGTAACAGCTTAGCGATAACATGTTGCATTGACTACACGTAACTAAATGAAGCATGGCTGGTCGAGAAAACAATAGTCGATCCTATCTCAAGGGTTCAAGCAGTCGTCTTACAACTCATCATGCTCAACGGCCTGCGCCTCAGCCTCCTCAGCCTCCGGCTCAACACTCTCAGCATCCGCCTCGGCTTCAGCTTCAGGTTGAGCAACAGGCTCCTCGGCCTGCGGCTCAGCCCCAATCACCACGCCCTCAGGCAACTTCTCCTTCGTACCCTCTCCAAGCCGAATGCTATCAATCCAAGACTCGACAGCCACAGCGCCGAAGTCCTCGACACTGTAACGACGCCACCATCCACGACGAGCATTCAGCGCAATAAGCTGAACAGTCTGGGCATCGTCAGCTTGCAAGCCCAAGGCTGCACGCAGCACGCCAGAGCCACTGTTGGTATCAGGCACTGCATACAGCGGGAACAGATGGGCCCCGCGCTGAGCATGCTTGTGTCCAATATCAGCAAGGCTAGCGAGAGCATCGGCGACGGATTGTGGGATCGCGGCCTCGGGTTCGCTGGCTGGGAGCAGCGCAAGGACACAAGTGCCGGATTTCGGGGCAAGACAGGAAGCCTCAATGGACTCGGGGGTGGAAAGGGTGGGGATTGGGGGAGCTGGAATAGGAACGTGTGCAGGCTTGGCTGTTGGGTCCTGGTCCTCGGAGGCTGTGGGCTCGACGTCCGGCTCGTCGGCGACAGAGGTAGGCTTGGAGGCGGGCTTAGACTTCTTGGACTTCGGCTTCGGCTTCGGCTTCGAGTCTGCGGCGGCACGGCCTGACGCGTCGGGGTTGGGAGTTGCTGCTTGGCTCAAGAACTCGGTGATGGGCTTCTTCTTCAAGTCACCTTGGTAGATCTTGGGTTCAGCGTCGGGGCCGGGAATGAGAACGAGGGCGGGGACGTCGGTCACGCCGAATTTCTTGAGGGAGGCTGTTTCCTTGTTGCGGACTTGCGCGATGTCGATCGCGCCGAGGAAGTCGATGGCCAGGGAACGGATGAGTGCGCTGGTTGTGCCCTTCTCGGTGAAGAGGATGGCCTTGGGTCGGTCCTCGTCCTGTCCGAGCCATTTGTCCAAATCCTTGTCGGATGCGCGTTTGACGTGGTTGGGGATGTGGTCGACGACCGCGTCGACGATTCCTTTGACGGTGCGAGCGCCCTTGTAGTCCTCCACGCGAGGCTTTCCGGGCTTCTTCGAGGGCGTCACGATCTTCAGGGTCGGGAAGCCCTGCACGCCCATTTGCCCGCAGAAGGGTTTGTTTTCATCCTCGTCGCAATTGATCGCTGCGACTTTGGCAAGTCCGTCGAGGTTCTTCGCGGCTTTCTCGTAGGCAGGTTTCAGGTTCTGGCAGTGACCGCACCAGGGGGCGTAGAATCTAGCAAAAATGTGAGTAGGTTGCGGAGGGACCTCGGCATGGAGCTATGCGCGGGATAGCTTACTCGACGATCTACGTAGCCGTTAGTCAATTAAGCATGGTTGCTCGTTCAGCGACTCACTGAAGTATGATTTGACTTGGCGATGAGCGAGTTGTAGGTCTTGGGGTTTAGTTGCAGCACCGGCGAGTTTTTGGTGTAGATTCCATCGGCGTTGACAGGCAACGCCGCCAGGAGTGACGCGACAAACAGAAGGCTTGCCTTGGGCAGCATGGTTTCAAGTTAGATACAGGATGCGATAGAATGGAGTGGGAGAAACGGGTCTCACGGAGTCACCGAAAGGGTCCGAATTACCATCAGGCAAGGTGTCCTGAAGCTCTTGGCATGCGGAGTGTATTTATGTCCAACATTCGGACCTTTAGATCAATCAGATCAGAGGGGACTCTTCTTTAATCTAGCAAGTTGATTTTCAAACTTCCAATGTGAACACAAATCCGTTATCTGCTCTCTGAGTAAAGTCCATGGGTATATCCCTTGAAGCATCCTCCCCGGCGCCATATACTTCCCGGTCATTGCATGTTTGAGACAACACTACTCCATACACTCCTGCGGAGGATGAAATCCTTTGACAATGTTGCCCTTGGTGCTTTTTCTTCTCTCGTAGGTCTTCGAACAGTCATTATTTGACCGGCGCGGGTGCTTCGCATCAGCTTGGAGCATAGCCATGCATGTCAAAGTAGCCAATTGACGACAGGAGGATACAGAGACTCTGTTTTATGCAGTTGCTGTTGATGCTGTCTGAGCCAGTGCCTTAGTCTAATGTGACACGGCTATAGTAGACTTGCACTAGTACCCTCCATGGAGCCCCCAGGGATGAAATTCCAATCCCCAGTCTCCCCAATTCTGTGTTAGTGGGTCTCCCAACTGCCCAGGCGAAGGCGGAGGTGACTCTTACTCGGCTTCCGTCTGACTCGACTTGCTAGGAGTTTCTGGTTGCACACTGGTCGCCATGCTGCTTCAATTGTTGCAGTCATTCAATACATCCCTGGGGGATGTTCTCCTTCAGGTTGCCACAATTCTCATCTTGCTGCTGGGCATTGGCTTTGCTATCGCGTTTCTATGTGGAAATCACTACAAAACGCGCAGAAGACTGAAACACCTCCAAAATGTGGGATCTGACACCAGCAGAATGGCGGACCAGTACAGTCCTAAATTCGCGGTCTCACCAAGCGCCCGGGTAGACGGCCCAGTGCGAATTAAAGCATTGTATCTTCACCCGGTCAAGTCTTGTGGCCCGATCGAGGTTGATCGAGCCTTGCTCACTAAGACCGGGTTTATGTACGACAGATGCTTTGCCTTGGCAACGGAGAACACGGACAAAGATGATGCGGGCTCGTGGCGGTTCATCAGCCAACGCACCAAGCCCCTCATGTCACGGATCAAGACAGAGATATGGGTTCCTCATTCAGGCAGTGATCCAAATGATCCTCTGGTTCAATCGGGCGGATGCTTGGTTATGAAGTTCAATGATCCAGGCATACCCACCTGGATCGACCAAATCGATGCGTTCTTCCAGACGTGGAACCCTTTTGCCATCCCGGAAATCATCGCTGTCGTGCCTCTTCAATTAACGACATCCCAACTCGAAGAAAGTCAACTGAAATTGGAGACGTTCGGTATTCATAGCCGTGACGCAATGGGCCTTGACTACGGCCGCATCCCTTCTGTCGCAGCAGTCTTTCCCAAGCTAAAGATGTTTTTGAGCATCCCGGCAGACCAAAGCCTCACCCTCTTCAAATGCACACCCGACACATTGACTCGTACTGATAAGAACCTTGCACCGCTCGAACACATTGGTACCCCGGCCGTGCATGGCTACACAGATCAACAGCCTATCAACATCAACAGTTTGTCTTCGGTTCATGCCGTATCGGCCCTCCTGCCCCCTGAAAACCAACCGATGAATGCGCTTCGTTTCCGCGCAAATATATGGATCACCAACACCCCTGCCTTTGAAGAAGAGACATGGAAGCGCTATCGCATTCTGCCAAAGAGTACTGGCACGAAACCACGAGCGAAAATAGCACCGAAACTGTCTGTTGTGTGTCGAACATCGAGATGTACGATGCCCAACGTCAACCCGGACAAAGGGACGTTTGACACCGACATCCCACGCCCCGACAAGAAACGTGGGAAACCACAGCCCAGCACTACACTGGTTGAGCACCGTACGATTGAGACTGGCAATAGATCTGCACTCGGCTATCTTGGCATGCACTGTGTTCCCGAGGACTCAAGTCTGAAGACAGCCGAAGAGCAGGGGCAAGGATTATACGTTGAAGTTGGTGATGAGATTGAAGTCATAGAACGTGGGACTCATCTCTATGGATCTACGGGTGACGATTATTAGGGCCGCGGACATCAATTGATGGGGCGTGAGTAGCTATATCATATATCAATGCAGTTTATGCCTGAGATGATGATTGGAACAATGTCCTCATGAGCCTTCCAAGGTTGATCGCTATGCGCAGTACCAATCAACCGGATGATAAATTTTCTTTGTCGGGTTTAAGGCTCCCAGCATGCCCGTATATGACTATACTCTGACATTCATATGTGTAGAAGTCGGGAAACTAAAAGGGTATAGCGTGGAGATGACTCTGTATGACTCGATTCCACGCTGACGATCGTGATCGTCGCCAGCATCAACACTCCTTACGCCTACTGTATAAAACATTCTATATTCCTTCAATAAATGGATCATTCAAATCAACGGCTCCAAAATAGCAATCGAGATGGCTCTCCGAAACCTGGGCCGAAATGGCCCCCAAATCTCTCCCGTCGGTCTAGGGTTTGGCAGCATCGGTGGCTTTTATGGACCAGTAGGTACTTTTGACGAGAAGGTGGCTCTTCTAGATCATGCCCATGCTACTGGTCTGCGCTTTTGGGATCTTTCCGACATCTACGGTGACTGTGAAGCAGTTGTTGGCGAATGGATCAAGCGATCGGGGAAACGCGAGGACATCTTCATAGGCACCAAGTTCTCGCTTAAACGTCAGTCCAATGGTAGACACACCTTTCACTCTGATCCCGCTTATGCCAAAGAGGCATGTCTGAAAAGTCTCGAAAGGCTTGGTATTGATACCATTGATCTTTACTATTGCCATGCAGTCGATGGAATCACGCCCATTGAGAAGACCATGGAAGCCCTGGTTGAGTTGAAGCGGTAAGTTCAGACTGACGCATATTTCGTGGAGCAACCTTTAATCATTACATGACAGAGAAGGGAAAGTTCGTCACATCGGTCTATCTGGTGTGTCGGCAGCAACACTACGCCGGGCGCATGCCATCCACCCCATTGCGGCCCTGCAGTGGGAGTACAGCTTGTTCACGCTGGACATAGAATCATCTAAATCGGAGATCCTCACTACATGTCGTGAGCTGGGCATTAGTCTTGTTGCCTTTTGTCCTATCGGCCGCGGTATCTTCACCCAAGAACTCCGATCCTACGAAGACATCCCCGAGAACTTGCGACTGTTTTACCCCAAATACGCCGAGAAGAACTTCCCTGCAATCGCTTCATTGGTATCTGGTGTCAAGAGAATTGCTGATTCCCATGAAACCACTACGGCACAGGTCGCTCTTGCATGGCTGTTGGCACAAGGACCAGATATCATACCAATCCCGGGCACGAAGAAGAAATCTAAGATGGATGATAATGCAGCCGCTGCGCTGCTGCAACTGAGTCAGGAGGAACTGCGAGAAATTCGCACCCTAGCAGAGGAAGCTGAAATTGATGGTCCTCGGTATCACCCTTCGTGAGTGTTCCACAATATCTTTCCACATCGTGACACAATTTTGACTGTTGCTAGGGTCATGGATGTACTCTATCAAGATACTCCTCCCTTGTGATCTGCCCAGCTGGGTTCCGAGACCTATCATGCCGGTTCAATTGATTTGCATATTTCAGACACAGTGCTGCTTCGACGCCTCAGAGGTCTACTAGATCTATATGTCTCTTTCCTCACCGTAAAACAGCTCTAATTTGATTGCCATTTTGATCACTACGTTCTCAGTTTCAGTTTACTGAAAGTTCATCAGATACCTTGTCAGGCTGCTGAGGAACGGATCGTCGCTTGCCTGCCTTGATATGCGGAGTCGGCTTTACTGAACTTGGTATCTGTCTTCTTTTACGGTGCTGGGGTCGAAGGCGACCTAGAGAAGTCCATGACGAACGATATTGGACGACATCGTGGCACAGCTGGTACACAGCCCGGTCGAGGCCTTTGAAACACTCTCGGTTTAGGTAGTTATTACGTTTGTTACGTTCGTTCATAGACAAAGAAAAAGATTGCTTCCCCCTACTCCAAACAAGTAATCATACACACGTTGACCCTTCAGGACCCCTGCCCAGGGGGCCCAATGACCGCACGACCACTTCAACATTGGTCACCCACCTGGGCAGAGATCCTGAAGGATCAACGTTTTCGCCATTCAACGTAGCGTTCCTTTCCTGAAACGCCCCCTCCAATCCACCACTCCACCTCGTCCCGCCCCTTCTCTCCAGGCGCAAGCTTGAGCTTCCAGGGCCACTTTTCGACGACGGTGTGGCCCTCCCTTATCTCCACGCCGAACATCTTCTCTGCCCTGGCGAAGTCGTATTTCGCCATGTGCCTATTTTTCATGTTAGCATAGAGTTCAATCAAAACTTCACGGGTCATTCTGTAGAGGGCTAACACACCTTTCGAAGAAATGCTCGCCATCACCTTCCTGCGGGAGGGGTATTGGCCCAACCCATTGGCTGAGCACCAGGGCAGCCGGCTCTGTTTTCTTTTCCCCCCTCTGCTGGAAGATTTTGCGGAGGGGGGAAAAGAATCGGCGGACGAAATTGGGATCCGTGTTTTTTGGACCCGCTGGCCGAGTCTCCCCTTCACCCTCTATCATCATCATGGGGACCGCGTTTAGGAGCAGGGTGATAATTGTGGCGTGAGGGTTTTCTCGCGGGGATTGGAGCAAGGGCACCGTGCACTGTAATGTGCGGCGCATTCCTAGCCAATTCTCGTCCGCGATGTTGGAGACCTGTGAATGTCAGTTTTTCTGGCTGTAAGAGTGATAGGCTTCACAACAGAGAGTTGTTTACTTACATCGATGCGACTGAAATAGTCTGCACGTAAGAGCATGGGGAGGGAGAACGCGTCGTAATTAAGAACTCGAAAAGAGATCTGCGATTTCTCAAGACGGTCGAGGAAGGAGCCAAGGACTCGGTGGAGGTGGAAGTACAGTCTTCCGTAGATGTCATCAACTGCAGAGATGCTTGGTGTATTGAGAATCTCTTGAAGTGACCATCCAAAAAGGGGCTCAGCAGTGACTTCCATTGGCCATATTAGCTTCCTATTTTTCCTCATCTGAAAAAAAGTTCTATTCATTTGTTAGCATCCTTCAGCAAGTGAGAAATTTGCTTTCAACATACGGGTTTGGCTCTTTGAATTCATGTTGAGGTGATCCGAAAGGAAGCAGAAGCCCATCCTCACGAAACTTCAGATTAATGAAGCGACGCGATTGTGAGAGGCAAGCCAAATGTAAGTCACGCGAGTATCTGCCCTCATGACACAGGACGCTAGCCTTTCGGATTTCCCGCGCTCGGTCTGCCGTCAACCCATCCGGCTTGGTCAAGTATGTGAGTAGGCGCCTCCATGACTGCCTGTCCAGACTGACTCGGAGTAAGCTGTTCCCAAACTTCTACGACTTCTCAATAAGTTCCTTGGGTTGCATTCCCTCGGACTCGTTGCAGACTTCCTCGATCAGAGGCCGAAGATGCTTGTGAAGAATATCCAAGTCACTTTCGCGTAAGAGCACAGAATACCAAAGATGAATCATGCATTCGATTGCCTCCTTTGGGTCCTCGACGACCAGAGCGATAAGAAGCAGGATTACATTTCGGGCGACGAGGTCGAAGTCCCTGTCGTTGATGGTAACTTCCAAGTCATGCTTATAGCTGGACGGAAGATCGCCGATCGTTTTGATAACATTGCGAAGGTCTCCTGAGGCTATTGGTACCGTCAAGTCAACTTCCGATCAATCGAGATGCACAAGATCAGACTATACCTGCGAACAAAACCTTCAAGGGCTTGTCATATCTCTCTCCTTCATTGGCTCCCAGATTCAGGAAATCTAGGGCCGGAGTGTTACCCCAGAGGTACTTCGATGGCCCAAGTGGTATATAACACTCCGTGTCGGTGAAGTCGGGGAATCTGTCCTCGAGGACCCAGGATGGTTTCCAAGTGTCGAGACCAGTCATCGATTCGCAGTCGGGGTTGTGAGAAGGCTCGTGGGCCGTTCGACATGCTTGACTACAGTACTGGAGGCACATTAGCACACACGGACGACAAGAGACTCCATGTTCTCGGAGTAGACTTACAACAACGATCTGGCATTTCTCACAAACCAGTCTGCCTTTTTTCTTGCAGGATGGGTGCTCGGGTCCCCAGTTGGCGCAAACGTGCTCGGGTCTGGTCATCTTGCTCCCGTTGATACTCGAAGTGGAGAACAAGTTGGCGCAACGTGCTTCGATCTGTTATTTGGTGTTGATATCCGGCGAATGCGGCTTTCAGATTGGATAAGCTGAATGGATGGGAAGAAATGGAAGCGTGAAGAGCAGCAAGCAGATGGGAATGTTTATAATTACGGAAAAGCGTGTACACCGTCAAACGAGACAAACGTTTGATGCACAGGTATAGTTCAAGACGCTTCGCTGCACTCTCAAAGAGACACAGGTGCCAGTCTGAGACTTAGAAACATCAAAGGAATCCTATTGTCTAGAATGAATACTATTGAAGTAAGACGTCTCAAAATATAAGGGAATGCATTAAGTATATGCTATTTTGAGGCAAATTCTTGGGGTGAAGCTTTTCCCATCACGTATAATTTGACATCGTCAGATTTTCTGGCGTTGATGTCCCCAACTTTCTTTGCGGGAGAAGCCCTATTGATTAAGATACGGACGCTCGGGATCAATATCTGCACTTCTATAATAAATTTGAATGAAGTAGGAACAATGGATATAGGCATTTTGTATAAAAATGGTGATTCGTCCGATCTATTACGAGTTCGGACGAAAGCTTTATTAACCGTAAGATTCGAAAAATGGTGTTCAATATTCAAATTACGGAATGCAGTGCTCCAGGATTTACACTCTGCAACTCTCCTCACGAACTTCCAAGTTTGGGAACATCGCGATACTCGTGCCAGAACCGTGGCAACGCTACCTAGTACAATAGCGGCCAGTCGGTTCGAGATATTTATCGAAGATTCCGAGGTCGAATTGCATCCCGCCCTATGAGATAAACTATATAGATGACCTCGGGATTCGTGCCATCATATGTACTAGGTACCTACCTATGTAGGTATAGACCTGGAGGTCTTTGACATTTGCAATGAAGCTTAGGGCCGGAGGTAGGAGCTGATCAATATACGTTCGAACCTTGAAGATGATATACCCAGACCATTCCAGTACTCGAGCTCCGAGTTCACGTCTGAATAACTTTCAATCCTTGTATCAACAGTGAGGTCGATAGGCTCTGACCTGCGATTCAACTCTATGATCTTCCAAGGTTTTGACTGAACAAAATTCTCTGACTCGACCAAAGATGTATAAATTCACTGGGGCCAATTTTGGACTTTCCTCCCAACGCTCCGCAGTCCGGACACGGTCGATCCATGGATATTTGGATTTACAAGAAGAGAGGTACCTAGTGTCTCCAGCGCTAACTAGATATACTGTGTACCTAGGCTGATCAGGCTTGGATAGTGTCTCGATCTGGATGAAATATTATCGGTGTATTCCTATGACTGCATATTGTTAAGCGACTCCCAAAAATTGAATATGGACACTTCGTCCATCAGTGCATCAATGGCATCTTCGCCGATATTAAACCCGGCGATCATGCCATCGGTCATGACATTTTCCTGCAATGAATCTTCCGACGAAGCCAGCTCCGGCATGGTAGACTGGGCCACATAGGTTGGGAATATATGATGAATTGCTTCGAGAAAGATGCCGCGGAAGAGTGATGATGATGGGTGGGTGTGTTGCATCTGCTCCAGAACCATCATACATAATTCCAGCTTGTTTAGACCTAGACGTCGAGAAAGTGGATCTGGTGATTTGCAATTCAAAAGGTGGACATGCATTGCTGGTACTAATAATGGCGGTCTGGAGCAAGAGTTAGCCCAAATTCTCCTGAAACCTTTTCACAACTCACGTCATAGGACCAGAAAAGTCAAGCAGCTTCTCGCGAACTAGACTGTCCAATACAGCGTTTGTCTGCAAGGCAGCTGTGTCAATGGAGTTTCTAATGTGAGTTTGCCATGAGCTCTGTTGAGATATAGGTAGGCCCTCAGGAGTTTTGGTGATAAATGGTCGGTAAAAGGTGACGAGGAACGCTCTGCTGGCTGTTAGATTTCGGCGAAGACTAGCGACATTAGAAATACTTACTGATAATGAAGCTGAAGGTGGTATAAGTAGAATGTTACCACAGGACTTGAGACCGTGTCTTTGTTCTCTGGGAGATGAAACATCGAGATCTCTCTCTCGAGCCTTTCAACCTGCTGAAAGGATGGTTTAGGTCCAAAGGGTTGATAACACAAAGTCAGCGTTTTCCCCAAGAGTTGGGTTAGTTGTATCATTGTGACCCAATACTGCGCCAGCTGTGGTAGGTCTCTTGGGATATATGCATCTGACATCGATTCGGGGAGCTCGGCAAAGTCGCTCAACATATCATCTGCAGATGGCATCATAGTGTTGCAATCATTCATATTGATTCTCAGTGGTCGCCCCATCGTAAGACTTAGCCACCGATCTCTGAAGACACAGGTCCACCAAAGACGGCGCCAAAGACGCTGCTGTTGTTGAGGAATGGGCGAGGTGGCACAAACTGCACTGGAGCATCTATGCAGACCTATAGATTGACATAGGCTTATTGCCACTCCAAGCCAGTACCATGGTTGTGTGTGGGTATCAGCTTCGGAATGATAGAATCCCAGCAGGAGTGCTGATTGCAGCAGCACCGTGTGATTTGTTTCACCCCCGATAGAGTGCAAACACTGGCAGACTGTCGTCAGTAAGAATAGTAAAGTCGATTCTGGCTAATCATACCTTTGCGCGAGAGTACATGGAGTCTTTCATATCTTTTCTAGATGAAAACCCTTCCAATTTCCATGTTTCAGCCGAGACATACTTGGTTGTGTTAGCCATGACTCCATTTTGAGGAAACATTGGGTTGAGATCTCACATTTGCCGCAACAAAGAATATGCTCCATATCAGCAGCAGATTATGCTGTTGATTGCCTCCAGTTGGATAGAGATGCGGTAGTGTGGTAGCGTCCACCACTGGTGTCAGAGGATGCACATGGTGAAAATATGCCCGCAAGAGCTCATTGCACGTAGAGTTTTGTGGCAGGGTAAAGACTCCCTTGTATTGCAGATATTCTTTGTCTTCGGGAGATAGAATGGTTGCAGTCTTGGATGTTAGTAAGATATGCCTTTGGATGGGCTGCCGAGGAGATGAACATATGTCAAAAACACTACCGAATCCGGGTGAATCGCCTGTGAGAGAAAGTGAGTTCATTGGCACAGGTTTAAGGGCCAATTTTATTGGTACGCACCGGTGTAGAACGGCGCTTGGCCAGGTTTGTTGCTTCTTCCCAGAACTTTGGTAGCAATCTCAACACCCGTCCGCTCTTCGGCCCGGCTTTGAGGATACTCCGGAGGGTGAGACACACTTCTGGTACCAGGAATACTAGCACCATTCATGCCAGGCTGATTGTTTTGGTGCGCCGGATTTATGCCTGGAAATGCATCTTCCGGGCCTGGCGACTGAGCGGTCATCCCAGCAAGTTGTGTATTGGCCGGGCTTGTGGCTGCTGATATAGCTCGACGAGCATGTCTCTCGCGGATGCTGGTGGAGTCAGTTTCCTCTATCTATTGGCGCATCAGATTTTCTCACGTTTGGACTTTGCCTGGCGGAAGATGACAATCTCTGCCATCTTGTGTACATCCTATGCACGGGATACCTGTCACCGTCACGCTGCACCGGACTTTGCGCTGCCTGCAATTCTGACAGGCCGCAGCCGATCGATAGCGGCGCGTAGACATAGCAGATAGGCTGGACTCACACTGGGCGTTGGTCGGGATGCCGAGAATCAAATAATGGGAGAAGCCGAGGTACGTCATTCCTTGCCGAGGTTTCCGACACTCAATCTCAAACAGCAGAGTTTGCCCCATGCTCCAGGCTTCACATTGTATTTTCCAACACTGAAATAATATTCAAAAAAAAATATATAAGATATATCTAAGATTTCAGGAGTGCAATGCCTGTGAAGGCCCGCTGATCCTCGGAGAAAATTCTCTCCTTATGAGTGCCATCCAAGTTGCACCGGTAGACTGATCCACCCAGATCCGTCAGGTAGATATGGGAGTTTGGTACATCCAGCTTCAGTCCGATAGCTTCATTTAGCCCCCTGGTGAGAATCTCGTGGTCCCGAGAAGTATCCACAGAGAGAAGAAGCCCAGCTTCGTTCAAGCTGGTTTTGTTGAGCGAGTTGCCCCAAGGAATTTCACCCCGATCAGTCCAATAAAGAGTGCGAGTGTCCTCCTCAATTTCGAGATCAATGGGCTCAGGAAGCCCACTTAGAATGCACTGGACATCATTGCGCGAGCTCATTGACTGGCCCTCAGGAGTAACGATATTAGCACAGAAGATGCGGCCATTGCCACCCTTGGGTGAACCCTTCTGAGTCCAGTAGAATTTTCCCAATGCTGGACTTACAGTAACTCCCACACACCAGTCGTGGATAGTTTCCTGTGAAGTCAGATCATCTCCAATATTGTCGACCAAAACCTCCAAATCGGAGCCATCGAATGAACAGCGGTAAACTCGGCACCCTTCGCGGTCACAGAAGTAAATTTTCTGTGCCTGATGATCCAGCGATAGCTGCTTTGGGGTGTTTACGACACCTGGCTCAACAAGTGTAGTGATATCAGACCCATCAAGCTTGGCGGAGTAGACTGCCCCATCAGGCTTTCCAGGAACACCCATACAAGTCCAGAACATGCGGCCACAGGTTTGGTCCACGGCCAGTCCGTCCGGTAGAGCTTGGTCTGTCAGAATTGCTTCATATGACTTCCCGTCTGTGGTCAACTTGAGGATCTGTCCCGAGGTTGTATTGGGTGTAGAAGCTGAGAGCCCTACGTCCAAGACCAAAAGCTCAGCCTGTTTTGATGGGTCTGCTGCAGTAGTCGGTTTGTCGTCTGGTGCGTAGAGACCACCTTGAGAGCATTTGTCTCCCAATTTGCCTTGATCGAGGTAATTGGTCTTCAGGAAGTCGACCGTGTTCTCCGGTGATAGTCCACGTTCGTGCACATAATGGTTCTCGATGAAGGCAACGGTGTCCAAGCCAATTTCTAAGAAATGCTGTGTCAGTTTCTTTTGCTTTCACAGGCTCCAGTAAATCAGCGGCTCACTATCCATCATGCGGCAGGGAAGAGTTTCCCCTTTGATAAACATCTCAAGCCACATGGAATCGATCTCTTCGGGGACAGATACACCATCGGCGATGATCGTCAAGATTTCTCGCTTCACAGCAGCCCAAAGGCGGTTGAAGATAAAACCAGTGGACTCTTTCCGTGCAACGTAAGGGAGAGTAGCAGCCTCTCGGGAACGTTCAACCATGAATGGGAATATCTCCGGAGAAGTATATCCATCAGTCATGAGCTCCACAATCATGCACTGAGGCGGCATGTAATAGTGCATATTCAATATACGACTCTTGGTTTGATCATTGACTTTGCTGATCATCTCGGATGACTTGTATGAAGATGAGTTGGAAGCCAAGATGCAATCTTGCGGAGCAGCGGTCTCCAACTCTGCGAAAGTGGCAGTCTTGAGTTCTATCTTCTCGGGAACTGCTTCAATCACGAGCCAAGCATTTTCAACAGCTTCTTTCATGTCTTCGACTGCCTCGAATGGCCCTGGGGTCTTCCCAGTCTTAGCACTGTATGCCTCCACATTCTCTCGGATGTATGTGATTGCGTCTGCTCGCTGTTGCTCACTAGGGTCTCGTAGTCGAACACTGTAGCCAGCCGATGCCCAGATACAGCCTGGTCAATAGATGTTAGCAAGGATCAACGTGTGTGGATTATGGATCATGTGGAATGCGTACCTACTCGACGACCGAGTACACCCGCGCCAAGGATGGCAACTGGGCGACTACGGTAGTCTTGCGGAGGCTGCCAAGTGGGTCTCATGTTTGTTGGAGAGTATCGTCAGTAGAATAAGATGTAAACGGGATTCTATGTTTGAAATGTGAGAGATTGAGGGTACCAGATAGTTGCAGGCCAACACTCTTTTATGTACCATGACGGTGTTCGGCATGCCGTTGATCCTCGGAATCGAAGCTCCACTGAAACCAAAGACAACCTCGACGCGAAGACGGCCGACTTTGCCGCTGACAAAATCAGGTAAGCTACAAAGTAGGTTGCAAATGTCGGGCGTCGTCATGGTACCTCGGTGTCTTCCGTGTTCGGGCCGTGGAAGGAAACCGATGCTGACAGGACGTTGGCCGGGATGAGATATTCGGTGTGTAGGGCTCCACTCAACAACACTGAAAGACTCCATCGCTTGGGAGTCAATATCCCTGAGTCCTTGTTTCCTGTCGGTGGGCCCAATGTGTGGGGCCTGAAGCCGAGGGAGCATACCTCGGAAAGGTCTGACATGACAGACCCTCAACTGGCCAACGCTGTTTGGTCGGAAATTCTCATTGAAACAGGAGAGTTATTTTCGTCTCCACAGATATAAAGTGATCTGCCTGTAATGAGTGTCACGCCGAAAGTTCCCCGTGATTCCTCCAACATCCACCTGGGCACACAGCAATGGCATCTTTGAAAGAGTTCAACAAAAGTGAAGTGGCAGCCCATGCCTCGAAAACAGATTTGTTTGTCATTATCCATGGCAAAGGTACGTCTTCTTGTTTGGCCTGAAGATGATGGATGATGCTGACAGTTCCAGTGTACGATATCACGAACTACGTGCGCGACCACCCGGGAGGTGCAGATGTGTTGGTAGATGTCGCCGGCGGAGACGCCACGGCTGCTTACGAGGACGTCGGTCATTCGGAAGACGCGAATGAGATTCTTGAGACATACTTGGTCGGCACGGTCAAAGATGCGCAACAATTCGTTCAACCTAAGACCGTTCGTGTTATCCAGCAAAGCTCCCCCAGCACGGAACGACCCAAATCCACATTCTCCGCCGCAAGATCTCTAGCAAGTGTCGCTACCGCGCTTACTGCGACGGGTCTGATCTACATCTTCAGCAAGAATCATCGGGCATTGAGCAATTTGGCCACAACATGTTCTCCTTCTACATGGAGAGTCACCGGAGTCCATGTGCCATTGCCAGAGTTCCTCCGGGGGGGGTTCGCGAGTGGATTTGCTGCTGCCACTTTGGCATGTACAATTGTTGGTGGATCATTGGCAAGCAAGCTCTCGGCATTCACCAAAATCGATGCTGGATTTACAAAATATCGTCCACACATCAAAGCGTCCGTCGTGAAGAAGCAAAACCCACACAATGCGAAGGGTTTCCTCCAGCCTAAGAGCTACAAAACCTTGCCGCTGGTCAAGAAGGACCAGTTGTCGTCCAATGTCTTCCGTTTCGTTTTCCAACTGCCTAATCCACGAGACGTCGTGGGACTTCCCATCGGTCAACATGTTGCTATCAAGGCCACAATCAATGGAGCCACTGTTTCGAGATCCTACACCCCGACATCCAACAATTTGGATGCTGGAATACTTGAACTTGTGATCAAGTGCTACCCAGACGGTCTCCTCACCGGCCAGTATCTTGCGTCTCTAGAAGTCGGCGATCTTGTGGAGTTCCGAGGCCCGAAAGGTGGAATGAAGTATCATGACGGTCTTTGCAAGAAGATCGGCATGATCGCTGGTGGAACTGGAATCACCCCAATGTATCAACTCATTCGGGCAATTTGCGAGGACGATCGCGATATGACTGAGATCAGCCTCATCTACGCAAATAGATCGGAAGAAGATATTCTTCTTCGTCGTGAGTTGGAGACATTCGCTAGAGCTTACCCTCGGAACTTCAAGCTTTGGTATATGTTGGATCATCCCTCAGAGGGCTGGGAATATGGCAAGGGATATGTTACAGCGGAAGTCATGTCGGCAAGACTCCCTGGACCTGCACCCGATACAAAAATAATGCTTTGCGGGCCACCAGGCATGGTGAATGCTTCGAAAAAGAGCTTGGTAGCTGCAGGATTTGAGGCTCCAGGTGCTGTTGCAAAGATGACAGACCAAATTTTCTGCTTTTAAGAAAGTTCTGGGGCTATGTACCATACTGCGAATTCATTCTGTACACTCTGCGGTTAGACTTTTTTTACAATTCAAAATTTTCCTTCTCGATAACCGTTTTCTTTTCTTTTTCTTTCTTTTTCTTACCTATATATACTATCCTTACCATGCTGCTTTGCGTGCCTAGGTATATGCTCCACCAACCTAGAATTTTCTCCCAATTATCACCTCTAAGCATATCAGAAAACATACGTAGGTAGTATGTAGACCTTTGGCACGTCCACGGGTAAGCTTTTCCCTAGGCTGCATTTGTACATCTAGAAGTATGCGTAGGTGAAGTGCAAGTAAGACGGCCTTGGGATTTGCTTTCTAGTGTCAATTCAAATGGACTCAACGATATTTCACGGACCAATGAAGACATCTTCAATTGTTATTTCTATTTCTGGAATTTTTTTGGCTTCTAGAACGTGCGATAGAAACCGGATGCTTGTGGTCATCATGAGGGACCCGTTTGTTCGCCCTGGAATCCCGAAGTGGAGCCCTCTACCTCGGCATTGCCTCGCAGCCTATTTGCTGAGAACGTCCCGCGTATGGCTTTCCGAGGTAGTAGTGTCAGTCGTGCCGGTAACCTATCGGAAACTACCTCGGACCCACTCTCCGAGGAAGCGGCATCCCGAACTACGAGCGTGCAATCACCGAGTGCAGGTTTTTGTTTACGTGAAACTAATGGATACGATATAAAGTTGAGAGCACGACCTTCCAGAGTGTCTTGATAGCTCAGTACTTCCAAGGTTTGAGGTCTAAATCAAAAATGCCTGCAAAACAGTTCTATCTCCTCGGCGAGCCAGTCTCCTCCGCCAGGAACATTGATGTCGATCCAGCAAGTAGTCTGGAGGATCTAAAAGATTTGATTGCGGCTCACTTTGCAATTGTTGAGTCAAGTGGTGAGCTGGACATATTGCTCAATTTCTCGTTCACGCTAACAGATGTCTTTTTTAGGAATCGGGTTCCAAGCTCAAGACTGTGAACTGGACGAAACTTCGGAAATCACGTCCGCCGAGGCGGAAATTGCAATCACTATCGATGGGCACGCGATTAGAGACCCTCCAGGTCCCAAGGGACTGCCTTTCGTTGGTAATTTCCTCGAAGTATACCCCGATCACCTTGGGAATCACCAACGCCTCTTCGAACAATACGGGCCGATCATCAAAACCACAACCCTCGGGCGCACGGCATATCATACAAATGATCCAACTCTGGCAGCAGTCTGCTTCGCTGAGTCTGACTTCTTTACCAAGGAAATCAATGAAGCTCATCCGCTCTATCCCCTGAAGCAACAGGAGGCTGGTGTTTTCCTGGGTGACACACACACTCCCGAGTGGAAAGTTGCCCATAAATTCCTGCCCCCGGCCCTCGGTCCCAAGGCAGTCCGGCACTATGCACCAATGATGCAAAAGACAGTGGAAGATTCTTTCGAGGTTTTCGACGCCCTCGACGAGCAAGGCGAAGCCTGGAACGTCTATCAGTACATGCTGAAGCTCGGGTCTCAAGCTGTGGGCAAGCTCACTCTTGGTTTGGACTTCCAACACTTTTCATCGCCGGATACTCCTCTACACGAGATGGTGCATCTGATTGCGGAACTTCTTTCTCTCAATAAGAAGGTCTCGTCGAAAGGGGATTGGTACGGTCGGCTGCCGTTCGGTGATCCCCAACGGCTTCGGAATGTTAAATCCCGAATCGAGGAGCTTGTAGGAGATTCAATCAAGAAAGCCGAAAGTGGTGGAGTTGAGGATCTTCCACTTCAAGATGCGGCGCTGAAAGCATCCAATATGGTTGGTAAGTGAATGTTCTCTGTTACCTCTGTCTTTGAATATCAAAGAGCTTACAAAGAAGCAGACTATGCAATCCGTGCGACAGACAATAAAGGGGAGAAGCTCCCAAAGGAAAGCTTGGTGTGGGCTCTGCTTGTAGCAACGGGTGCTGGTTTCACGACAACCAGCTCTCTGCTGTCCTGGCTGATTTACGGGCTCGTCACGTATCCCGGAATGCAAGAAAGACTTCTTCAAGAACTGATCGACAATGGCATTGACGAAAACACGGAAATCACGGCAGATGTCACCGAGCGTCTCGATTTCCTCGACAAATATATTAAGGAGATGCAGCGCCGTCACAACCCAAGTTTCCAGCCAGCGCGAACCGCCCGGGTAGACCTTATTCTCCCAGGAGGCTACAGGATCCCCAAAGACTCGGTTGTTCTCCCAGCCTTGCATCATATTCATAACAACCCCGATTTGTGGGACAACCCACACAAGTTCACGCCTGACCGCTGGGATACAGATGAGGTCAAAAACCGGCACAAAGCAGCATACATCCCCTTTGCCACCGGGCAGCGAATGTGTATAGGGTTCAACTTTGCTCTCCAGGAGATTAAAGTGTTCCTTCCGAAGCTGATTTATCGGTATAACTTCATCCGGGAGGGCGATGGACCGATTGAGTATGACCCTATGTTCCAGCTGATTCGACCAAACAATCTCTACGTCAGAGCAGAGAGAAGAGTCAAATGGCCACCAACAACGGAATCGTTGCAACAAGGTGATCTGTGAGGTTGTGGCCGCCCGGTTGGAAATTAAACATAGGCATCACCAAGTGCCCCCACGGTCAACTGGCGAACGCAAGATGACAATCATGTGTTTGAATCAATTCGAAGGATATTCTGTATAATTCAAATTTATCAGTGGATCTCGTGACCCCCAAACTTTCCCACGTAGCAAAATGAGGTAAAACTGCGTGGGATGCCCATTCTGCTGTGCCATAAAACAGGCCCGTAGACCGACTATAAAGGACCCGCCCCCCATGTCCTTTCGTACCCCCACGCTCAGCAATGACAAAGTCACAAAGCCATGATTTCGCGTACTTGCCTAGCGACATCTTTTGGATGATCCTAGTCTATTTGGGAGCCACTGATATTGTTCGATGTCGTCGCGTCTCCCGCGCCTGGAATACCGCGCTCAGCAATCCAGCCATTCTGGTCCCATTCTTGAAAAGGGAATTTCCATGGATATCGGAAGTCAAGAAATTGAACGCGGGCTCAAGTCTTGAAGATCAAGGTCCAGTCCTTGAGCTGTTCGATCGAGTGGCTTCTCGATGTCATTTCCTAGAGCGAGGGAAACCCCGCTCTGTTCGAAAGTTGCGACTATGCGACGATTTCGGCAGCACTGGAGACCGCGAGTGGTACCAGGTGCAGCCATGGGACTCTCATACCAGCCAGAAACGAATATTCGTCGATCGGCAGTTTTCGGAAGCTTTATGGACTGTGGAAGACGGCTTGCTGGTCTATCCTAGCGCCGATCACCAGTGTCTCGTGCTGAGGGATTTGGAATCGGACCGCCAGTTTATGGTGCCGTTCATCATCACCGGCAGGGTCATTCGCCGCGTCCGTCTGGCGAAACGATTACTGGTAATCGAATGGGCCGAGCCGAAGGCCTTCCACTGGTTGAATGAGAGCGACGGCGTGCATCGCCACTTCGCGTCTTCCTTTGATGTCTCGAGCAATGCAACCAGTGGCTGGAGCATCACACCGCGGAATGAGTGGAAGATCATGTTTTTGGGTCATCCTTTGAGCGAACGAGATCGCTTCTTCTCTGCCCATAACAACACCCACTACGTGATCTATATCTGGCAGCCCAACCGCAGTCTCTACACGGCAGACGAAGATGCGCCTATTGAGTCTTTGTTTGTTTGGGACATCTCCGACGAATCATCCTATCGCCCATCATTAGACCCCACGGGGCGATTAAGAGAGGGTTCCCCGGATGAGACACCGCACATCGTTTCACGATTCAGCTTCCGGGATCTTGAATTCTTTGGTGTTCGTCAACGAGGCTGTCCCAGTATTCAGAAACTGAGTATCACGGACGATTCAGGGGCAATCGAAATCACCGAAAGTAGATTTTCTCTCGTGACTCCGTCTGAACACTTGACCTCTTCTGGGTCCATCACCACGAGCATCCCCTTGACTGGACATGGGCCCCATCGGCGACGGGATTGTGAGGGTGAGCTACCCCCATATCGAGGACACCGCAGCCTAAATGCCGAAATTATCAACCCGGACAGCATGATACCCAATCCATTATACGACATGATTGACCATGTCACCGGTGGGGAGGTCAGTTTTTGCCTTGATTCAGATCCCGAGCGGGCTGCGGACGAGGGTTACCGCTTGACTATTCAGACCCCTCGATCCTGCTCCACCGATGATCATAACGTGGATTTCACGCGGGGGAAGCTTGCAGGCAGTGAGAGATACCTGGTGGGTGAGAATTGCAATCGGGAGGTGGTCGTATACGAGTTTGATAAATAGTTCACAGCAGCCCTGGAGTGTTGGCATAGAGTCAGATAAACAAATAGTCAAATGCTTAGCCTCAGCATCTTCGGGTGATCGGAACCGGTACCATGGGACTCGGGCGCAGGGATGTCTTAACCTAGGCTTTGTTAACTACCTATACTAACAGTAACAGTATAATACACTAATTAACTACACTAAGTTCGCCAAACTATCACTAGCACACACTATTCCTTTGCCGACGTCACAGATAGATTCCGATTCGATTGAAATTCCAAATTGCCTCAATTTCTAGTGTAAACCCACCGCCTTGGCAGGGGAGAATCCCGTATAGATTATTACTTTCTTGATTCTTCTTTCTCTCGTGGCTTGAACTTCTCTCCGATCAGAAGTTGGCCCCTCCTTGCTCCCGTCCCAACTTTCCCCCTTTCAATCTCCTGAACCTGCGGGGAGCATATCACCATGGACAAACCCGCCGTGCTGATTGTGGGTGGTCTCGGTATATTTTCCTCCTCAATTCGCTCTGGAAGATTCTGACCCTGCTAGGCTTCATTGGTCGACACCTCGCCCTATATATCCACGAAAACAACCTAGCCTCCGAAGTCCGCTTGGTCGACAAGGTCCTACCCCAACTCGCCTGGCTGGCGCCAGAGTTTGCAGAGGCATGCTCCAAGGAGAAGTTCGTTCAGGCCGATGCCAGCCGTGAACGTAAGTGACAGACCCTTCCCATGCCCGACAAGGGAGGGAAAAAGAATCCCCCCGAGGCTGAACGCTGAACTCTCGTCCAGAACACTTCCCGCGCATCTTCGACCGAGCCAATGGCCAACAATTCGACTACGTCTTCAACTGTGGCGGCGAAACCCGTCACTCCCAACCCGACGACGTCTACGAAGCCCGCAGCTGTCGTTTAACAGTCGCCCTCGGCAAGGAAATCGCCCGTCGCCGGATCCCCGCTTTCATCGAAACCTCCACCGCCCACGTCTACAAGGGCGGTTCCTCCCCGCGAAAGGAAGACGACAAGCTTGCCCCCTGGCACAAACTCGCCGACTGGAAACTAAAGGCCGCCGAGGAACTCCGCAAAATCCCCGATTTGCAATACTGCGCCCTCCGCTTGCCCCACGTCTACGGTGCCTATGATCCCGGCTACTTCGCCACCGGTATCTGCCTCTCGGCCGTCCATGTCGATCTCCAACAGGATCTCGTCCTCCTGCACACCAAGGACCTGAAGATCAATACCCTCCACGTCAAGGATGCCGCCAGTGCACTCTTCGAGTCCGCCAAGTGGCGCGCCGCGGCCGGTTACATTGACATGTCCAAAGGCACCATCGCGTTCAATGTGGTCGATCACAACGACACACGCCAGGAACACGTCGCCAATGCGCTGACCGAGGTCTTCGGCCTCAAGGTCACCTTCATCGGCTCGCTTGCTTCTCAGCTCGCCAAGCTCAACCTGGACGATGTGGTTGATGACATGAACGAAATCAGTCTGCAAACTTGGGCGGAACTCGTTGAGAAGGCCGGTATCACGCGACCTGGCCCCATCAGCCCCTTCCTTGAGCGCGACGTGCTCAAGGACCAGGACATGTCGATTGATGGATCGAAGTTCGAGCGCGAAACGGGCTGGAAACCTAAATACCCTCACTTTGGCGCGGACAGCATTCGCGAAATCGTGGACAGTTATAAGCGGATGGGCTGGTGGCCGTGAAGAGTCGACCTCTCGATTTCCCCATTGTTCTGTTTTGTTTGAAGATATCCCGTCTGTCGGCTACTTTAGGTTTCCCTTTTTTTTTTTTATTCTTTTGTTCTTTTTCTTCTTTGAACCCCTTTCCCCATGATTCATAGCCGTCTTCGCTGCCCCAACTAAAATTCGGGTCGCTGCATCGCTGTTCCAGATGCATTGTTTCCTCCACGACATGACTCTCATGAACTACATATGGTCTCCCCCATCACCCTGAGACTTATCTGTCTGACGGACCAGTCTGGCTATGCTGGACATGGGTCGCGATTTCACTGTCATTGATACTACTTATCTCAGGTGAAATCCTCTGATGCATACATGTTTTCTTTTCTACTTGCATGATTCTGCATTAGCCTGTTGAGCTTATTCCTTGGCTGATTCCAAAAAGCTTGTGAATCTACGTCAATAAATCTTCATTTTCAAGCCAGTATAAGGCGTCCTTTCAAATTCTTGCTATTTGTCTCCCTAGCATACGAGTACACGTAGAAACTAATGACGGTAAGTCCCACTCCTGTCATGCATGATGCACAGATGCAGGGATAGATATGTCGTGCAGGTCCCACTAAGGTCATACCCACTCCTTACGAAGTACGGAGCACATGAAACTTGGCTACCTTTTCTTAATTGTGTCGTAATCCTATATGCTATCTACCTAGGTACCTATATAGGTAGTAATACAGTACATTCATGAATAGTGTTAATCTCAGGGCTTGATCGGTGCCTGTGGACTAAGGTATCAATGGATCAAATGTGCAATGTTAGACGTGATACATCGAGGTTGCCCAGGTGGAATGACAATGATAATGTATATTGCTATCTGCGAGCTAACTTCTAACCCGGGACTGGAATGGGGGATAGCAATCAGGGAAAACTGTGCAAATGTGCCCGAGTGCCAAGCATTGTATGCTTCAAAGGTGCTCAACGCTCAAACCGTCGAGGGTGAACGAGTTGTATTTTTTTTTTGTCCTTTTCTTTTTCCTCTTCTGTTCTTCACATCCGTATATTTCTTTTTGCGATGTGGCAGTATTGGTACACCACCAAAGATTCAATCGTATCATACCCACGACCACCACCGATGCAGGCTCAGCGAGCTACTCCCCTTGAAGAAAAGCAAAAATTGTCAATCAAAACCGGAAAATATTGTACGGTGAATGTAAGCTAGGAAATTGGGAGATTGGAAGTGATTAGAACTCCCAGTCCTCTTCGACGGACTTGATAGCCCACTCGAACTTCTCGCGCAGGGCCTTGGAGAAGAACTTTTCGATGGGGACGTCGAACTTCTTGCTGAAGACGACAGTAAGACGGGGGTCAATATAGTTCTGTTTGAAAATAAGTCAGAAAATGCATGAGACAATGGTGAACGATATCAAAACGTCGACTTACAATCTTGGAGGTACCCAGAGCAACTTCCTTGTTGTCTTCCTTGTCCTGGGCTTGGACGGACATGGTCTCAACACGCTGGTCGATCTTCTGGATCTGAGCATCAAGCTTCTCGACAGTCGCGCCCCGGGCTTCAGCCTCGACCTTGCCGGTCTTGTTCTCCTTCTTGAACTTCTTCTCCATATCCTTGACGGCGTTGAGACGTTCTTCGAGCTCGGTCGCCTTCATCTCCTTCTCCCCATCGGCAACCCTCTTTTCGTTGTCCTTTTCGAACTTCTTATTAATCTTGGTCCGCTGCTCCTCCATCAAGAAGGTCTGGTGCTCGTCGATCCATTCTTGGTCAAGATCCTCGTCGATTTCGAAGAAGGAAGCACCCCTCTTCTTCTTCAAAGTGGGATCCAAGTCAAGCATCATTTGCTTGAGGCGCCACTTCTGATATCGAAGTCCCTTGATCTGTTGGTAAACAGTTAGTCCACTGTTCTCACTTCAGGGAAATTTGCTCTGGTCTTACCCGCTCGCCCATCTTCTCCATAGCGTTGGCATGGCCAGCAGTGACAGTGCGCTTGTGGTTACACAAAATTGCGACCTTGCGGTTGGCATCGTTGTATGCCTTCACCTTTTCGGCAACAGTGCCACCAGCTCCATTCATCTCCTTGAGCACGGAGCCCATGGTATACGAAGCGTTGTAGGTACGGAACACCTTCGCGGTCAGCCCGGGCATGTAATTGGCAAGATGCTTGTTGAGTGCAGAAGTCTTTTTGATGTTAGTAATATGTATAACCATCATGGATGAGGGGATTTACCGTGAGCCGATCAAAGATCTCATCGCCGTTCTTCTTGGGTGCCTTCTTGAAGATTTTCAGGTTCTTGAAGACCTGCAGATCGACTTTGACCTCGTCGTAGAACCGAATACTATCCTTACCCAGGAAATCGAAGACGACGGTATTAGGTGGCTTGAGCGTGACGTTTTCGTACTTCAGTGAGCAACAACCGACAGTCTCGGCTTCGTCTTCGCCTTTCTCATTACCAGCACGCAACGCGAACTGATCAATAAGGTAGACGGCTGTAGCTTTCTGACGCTCAACCATCATGTCATGCTTCAGGTTCTTCTGGTAGTCCTTCCGGATCTTTTCGATGTGCTTCTTGAGTTCACGGGCTTTCTCGAACTTCTTGAAGTCACTTTGGCCCTTGACGTCGGAGTTGGCAGCCAACATCACGTACTTGTAGTTGCCGTTGATATTCTCTTGCCACATGGCGAGCCATGTACCTTCCTGGTCATGCTTGACCTCCTTCCAACGGTGGCCTTCAGGGGGCGGGGGGACCTTGGCATCCTTGCCAATGTTGATAGTGATCTGTTCGGGCTGCACCCGCGTCTTGACACGACCGGTCTTGGGGTGCTCGCCACGTCCACGGAACAGAGAAGGAGGTTCAACGCGGAAGTTGCCAACCTTTTGCTTGCGGCCATCCCAGAGGCAGTATTGGAAGGGCTCCTCGAGCTTATCCTTTTCAGCTTTAGCAGCCTTCTTTTCTGCAGGAGTCAAGTTTCGCTTCTCCGCGCGTTGGCCCTCGTAGAAGTCAAAAATGGCTTGGAAATCGCATTTCGCAAATTCCTTGATGTCGATCTTGTTGCCCTTAGAGTCCTTTGCCCCGCCAGTCTTCTTGATGATATCTTTGAAGTCACCGAAAAAGTTCTTCTGGAAGACTGGGTTTTCTACGTTGTGAGCAGAGTTCAGCATGGTTCCGAAAAAGCTGGCGACCTCCTCGGCTTCAGGCTGAAGGCTGACAGGAACACCATCATACTTCAGCTTCACGTTCTTCGGTAACAGCTCGTATTCAGGAGGGAAGACAACGCCGGCGTGCTCCAGGGTTGTCCATTTGATGGTGCCATCGCCCTTGCTTGCATCTTCCCACCAGCGATATTCATCTTCCTCTTCTTTGTCTTCAGCATCTTGGCTCTCGGCTTTGACAGGCTTGGCCTTGCCCTTCTTCGCGGAGGCAGGCTCTTTCTTGACGCCGTTAGTTGCTTTCTTGGCTGCTGCGGGCTTAGTCTCCTTCTTAACAGCGGGTTTGCGAGCTTCTTTTTCGGCAGTTTCTTCGATCTTCAACTTCTGCGCAGTGAGCTTTCGCTCGATGGGAACGTCGGAGTCGGATTCTTCTCCCATTGCGGTCTCGGAGGCTTTAGGAAGCTTTCGCCCATTGCGTGCCAGAGGTACGTCATCATCGGTTTCCGGATCCTCATGTTTGACAGAAGTACGTCGCCGTTTGCTCTATCAGATGGTCAGATATTTTAATCGAGGAGACTGATGGCATGGCAACGGGGGCAAACAAATCCCGTTGTGCATTGCATACCAAAGGTTCGTCCTCCTCGCTGCTCTCCGCTTCTGTGTAAGACTTCTTACCCCCGGTGCTAGCGCGTGATTTGCGCTTACCGGCAGAAAGCGCATCATCTTCCACGTCCTCCATCTTCACGTCCTTGTCTTCCACGGGACCAAATCGGATAGACACTCCGGGGTCAACATGACCGTTCGCGCCAGCGGGGCTTGAATTGGCCATTTCGGTGTCAGCGGGCTGAGATGTAGCTAGAGGAATAAGAGACGAAAGGTCAGTAGGCTGCTTCATCTGAGGGTTCGTGATGTGAAGAAGTGACGTCAAAGCGCAAAACAGACGAATGTTGACTATGGCAGAATGGTAAAAGAGGGACAATATAAGAGAGAGAGAAGTGATAGGAAATAGTATGCCAGAGGTATGCCTTTGCGACGCAGTGTAGAGTTGTAAGGTCACAACCGAATGACCCGAGGAACTCACCTTTACCACGCCCATTGGTGCGCGCGAGAGGCACGTCTTCCTCAGAAGAGCTCATGATAGTATGTGGAGGTCTATTGAACGGAAGGCGAGGGTAGAATGAAACGAATCGAGGTTTTGGTCCAGTCAAGGGACCTCGTGCGCCTAGTCGGACGAATCGAGCCGCCTGATAGAGGGCTGAAGTCAAGGAAATCCTGACCAATGAACAGTAAAGTTACAATGAGAAGATCTGCTGCATCAATGATGCAGGCAGAGAGGGGTGTGGCGAGTTGGATAAGAATAGAAATGTGAGATGAGATTGAAAAGAGAAACAAGAGGAATAAGTTGGAGAGGAATGGGGATTGGAGGAAAAGACGCCTTGAGGCCCTGGTGCCTCAGGCAGAAAGTAACTGGCTGGTGCCTCAGGCCGGAGCTAAGCTGGGCGCCCGGGCGAGTCGGCTGGCTGAGGAATGTTTTCCCCCCTCTTTTCCCAAGGGTACGTGCCGGGCCTGTGGTGGCCTGAGTTGGCCTGAGAGATTCCGATTCTGCCCGGTGAGACCGCTTAGTGCCTTAGCTCCCAGACTGCGCCGGAAGTCGGAATCGGTCACCGTAGACCTATACCAATTGCGGTTTAGCGGCGTGCCGGGACAGAGCCAGGAGTTCTCAACTTCGCACTTCCCGACCAGCGAGGCATCTGAGTCTAACCTTCGTCACTCCTCTCCACCGCAGTCACTACCTGCCATCCTACCTTTCCCCCTACTACACCTTACACAATGTTCTCCCGTGCCGTCCGCCCGGCTCTGCGGGCTGGTGGTGCCGCCGTCGCTCGGTAAGTCTTCATCCGATACCTCGTGCAGTTCCCTTCCACCCGACGTACCCCGACGCAGCATCAACATCGCCAAACTCGGATTTTATGCTCGATGTGAACGGTAGTGAGGACTACAATTGCTGACATGGAATCCAAGCCCTGCCCCCGCCAATGCCGCCGGTTTCGCAACCCTCCGTGAGATCGAGGGTCGTCTCAAGTCCATTAAGAACATCGAGAAGATCACCAACACCATGAAGATTGTTGCCTCTACTCGTCTCACCCGCGCCCAGAAGGCTATGGACGACTCTCGCGTTTACGGTCAGACCTCCAACACCCTTTTCGAGCAGGCCGAGACCAAGCCTCTTGAGGACAAGAAGACTCTTCTGGTCATTGCCAGCTCCGACAAGGGTCTTTGCGGTGGTATCCACTCCGGTCTCAGCAAGGCTGCTCGCCGCTACCTGGCCTCCAACCCCAACACCGACGTCGCTATTCTCGGTGAGAAGGCCAAGGCTCAGCTCTCCCGTGCCGCCCCCGAGAACATCGTCCTGAGCTTCGCCAACGTCTGCAAGGACATCCCCACTTTCGCCGATGCCCAGGCCATTGCCGACCAGATCGCCCTCCTCCCCGAGGACTACGCCAGCGTTCGCATCATCTACAACTCCTTCGTCAACGCCCAGGCTTACGAGCCCGTCTCCATTGAGGCCTACTCCGAGGAGGCTATCACCCAGTCTGGTGAGCGCCAGTCAAACATTCTTGGTGAAGGAATCCATACTGACATATTATCCAGCCAACATCTCTTCCTACGAGGTTGACGACGAGGCTCTGTCCAGCCTCCGCGAGTACGCTCTTGCCAACAACCTCTTCTGGGCCATGGCTGAGGGTCACGCTTGTGAGATTTCCGCTCGTCGCAACGCCATGGAGAACGCCTCCAAGAACGCTGGTGAGATGATCAACAAGTATGTGGACCTCCATGCCCCTTCGCTATATACGACCCTAACAATATCCTAGGTTCCAGATCTTGTACAACCGTCAGCGCCAGGCCGCCATTACCGGTGAACTTGTCGAGATTATCACTGGTGCCACCGCCAGTGCCGACATGTAGAAGCCTTCCTCTACGGGACGAAGTCGCCTCTAGTGTAGACTTCTTCGATTCATATTTAGATCGACCTTCAGCTTGTGTAAAATCAGAGTCAATCCATTTCAATTTCTTATGTACCCCCTATGGCTTGTAGCACTGATTTTACTGCGTCCAGGGATGTTATCAATGGCTCGGTATCAAGAGCATGAGCTATGAGGCACGACGACGCTGTTGCCAGAGAATCATGGTTGAGAGAGATAGGAGTTAATCATCTCGCCTGTTCCGCTCGCTTTCTAGGGCTGGAGCTTCACTTCTCTCTCACTTGCACCTTCCTAGCCTCTGTTCTACCTTCCAGGATTATTGCTGTTTCTTTTCTTCTTCTGGCTCCTCATGCTTTGCTCTTGACCTTTTCGAGATATCCCCAGGTCTCTTTCATCTCTTACCTGTTCTCTGCCGGAGTTGTGATACTCCTCGAACCCGGAGCATGTATTCCAAGATTTGAGCTGACTGTCGAGTAAGTGTATCGAACTAATCATCCTCATCCTTACGCCTCGTGTGGATTGACATCTGCTCCATTGGCTCAATTTCAACACATTCATCCTACCACGCCGTCATCCCCAGCCTTTCGTCTTCAAGTTGAGCCTACCATTTGACAACGGTATTAACGCAAGTATTTAGCAAACATGGAGACAACCGAAGTTTTTATCGATTCATATGCTGTCCTGGGGGTGGCTCAAGATGCCAGCATCAAGGACATCAATGCTGCGTACAAGCGTCTAGCCTTAAGATTCCACCCTGACAAGGCTGGAAGTCATGCGGAGGCAATCACGCAGTTTCAGAATGTATGTCATTGTGTCAATATTGCCTAAAGTGGGTTGGGCGATATGAAATGCACGCCGCTAACAACCTGACAGCTTCAAGATGCAGTTGAAATTCTCCGTGACCCATCTCGCCGCCGTGATCTTGACAGGACCTTGGACTCGAGGGGAAACCGGCACCGAAATCGTTACGCCTCAAACAACTGGTCGTATCATGATCGCAACGCTGAGACCCACCAATTTTCGTCGAAGAGACAGCGTGGTAAATATGGCTTCGCATCCAGAAATCGAGGACAGCAAAAGCCTCCCTATTCCAAGAAAGAGTTTGACGACCTGCTGAGGCGGCAAGAGCAGTGGCAACAGAGTTCATATAACTCTGGCACCAGTCGCTACACGTACAGTTATGGGCACAGTGTGCACATGGACCCTGAGTCTGAGGAGTCCAAGGCCACCAGGGCAAGATATCATGCAGAGAACGTCCAGTGGGAACGGGAGTGGGCGGGTATCGACTCAGAGGTGGAGAAAGCACGAGCAGAGTCTCGCAAAGAGGCCATGAGAGCCAGAGTGGCCCGTGACATGGCACAAATGGAAGTCGATGAGGTGGAAGCCAAGAGGGAATCACCTCCTGTGGACAGCCCTGCCAAACCCATTGTCGACCCTTTGAACACGGCCATCGATAACGCGGTGAATGGGATTCAACTCTGTGCTGGGTTCTGGAATTATGCCAATGGCCTGGCTCCCCATCCCGAGGAGAATGTCAAAAAGGGCTTCTCTCATGCATTTGGTGGCTTCGAACACTACAAGCTTGTCAAAGAGCCCGTGATCATGGACAACAAGCCCCAGGATAGCAAGCTCGGGGATAGCAAGGAAATTCCCGCTACATCAGAAGTTCCGACCAATCCTCTTGCTTTTGCTGGCTTCGAGCACTACAAGCATGTCAAAGAGCCCGTGATCATGGACAACAAGCCCCAGGATAGCAAGCTCGGGGATAGCAAGGGAATTCCCGCTCCATCAGAAGTTCCGATCAGCCCTCTTGCTTTTGCTGGCAATTTGCCAACCACTCCCTCTTTTAACGGCTCCTCGGTCATCAACAGCTCAGTCAAAAGCCACCAGGCGAGCGAGCGTCCCATCAGTCCTATTGTTAGCGAACCATCAACCAGCTTCTACTCAGCTAGGGATTATTCAACAGACCAGGCTTCATCGCCTGCATCACTGGATGCAAATACCACTGCCCAAAAATTGGGAAATGCTTACGTTGTTGGTCACGAATCGACCCTAGACCATTTAGTCCCCCTGTTCGAGCAAAAGCTAGCCGACCCATTGGGACGTTACTCAATCAATGATTTGGCCTCCGAGCTCAATGGACTGGTACTTGAGAGCTACTCCAGCTGGTTGGAGGATGTCCGACTCTCAATTCCTGGCGCTTCTCCTGCCACAGCTCGAGCTACGTCCGAAGCTTGTTCTCATCTCGGCGGATGGTATAAGGGATATGGTCATGATCAGTGTGACAATTGCCATTTCTGGAAGCCCTTGTACGTTCTTACTTGCGCTGGATGTGGCACCAAGGGTTGCATCCGTTGCAAATTTGTGTTTGGTCATCATTGATTGAACCCTGGGAACCACCACAGGGCCAAATCTTGAAAGCTGCAGTACCTCGTATCTCTGCAAGATTCAGTCTTGAACACTGGAGATGTATCCTTGATCAAAGCGTCCAAGAAGTTTCAAGCTTCTCGGGAGAGCTAGGTGCCTAATTAACGATAGCAATGAAATATCCATGTCACTCTGAGCTCTCGTAATATCGTCCCGCCAGAGCTTTAGTATTATGTCCAGCTGCTTGCCAGAAGCAAACCTTTGAAACATTAGGACAACTTGGAAATACTTGGGACCTCGGGACTTCCAGGCGCGCACTCAATCATGCCCCAGTGGATGGGGGAAAGGCTTCAAATAGAGCCGCCCGAGCGAGCTCCCTTATAGTTTCGTCGCTGCCCAGGTGCCCAGGTGCGGCATCGGGATGAATAGATCCCTTTATAAACAGCCCTAGAGGTGATGCATAAATGTAACACCTGGACACAGAGCACCAGCTGACGGTCTGATGCCAGGGTTTCTACAAGGCCTGCATAGTACATCTTTTGAGTATTTCAGATAAAAGATTGGTATAGAGCAGCAAGACAGCAAGCCCTGGAGTAAACTTGCAAAGGTTATTCAATTCCATCATCCAAAAGACCAAACAGACAAATCGAAGTATATTTGCAGCGCTCTAAGAGAGAACTCCACGCAATGATAATAGCAATCATGAAGCACCAAGATATCTGAGCGAGTTTCTCAACTCCTTGATGGCTGTATCAACATCATCAAAAGTCAACGCAGAAACAGCCCACCGGGCATGCTTCTGCGCTAATTGCACCGAGTTGTCATCCACACCATGGGAGGGCTGAGTGGGTACGTATGGCTCAGGGGCCACAGGTGCATGAACAGCTGGGCTCGGGACAAAAGTTGGGGCGGCTGGCGGCGGAGTGGGATTACTAGGGGGAGCATCGTAGAACGAAGCCGGGTCTGATGCAGTTGTATCAGTCGGGGGTGGTGGGAAAGATTGGAAAGCTGTGGGGGTATCTGGGAGTTTCGGCGTGGAGCCAATAGCTGCAGGGGTTGAAGGGAGACTCAAGCCGCCCGCTTGGTCATGGTTGAAATTGGCCTGTGGGAGCGTGCCAGGCGCATTCTGAGGCACGGAGGGGATCTCAGGCGTCACGGGCTGGCGCGGAGCGGATGATGTACGTGATGGGTGAAGTGACTCATCAAGGGTTGATTTCCGAGCCAGGTCTCGTCCAAGACGGTCAGACTCATCGGGGATCTCTTCGATAGAGGCTTGTCTTGGGTTGGAGGCTTCTGCGACAGACTGATCAAAGGCCTGCACATCGGGATCATCGACAAGCTCTTCCTCTTCTTGCTTTGGTACTGGATTGCTTTCGTTCGGATCCTCGCCGGCTTTGATTGCCTTGACAATTCGGACTGCGTGGAATTTGGCGAACTTGATTCTTCCCGCGATTTCTGGATCGGCTCCCCAGATCGAGCAAAGCTCAAGGAAGGTGGCTGCAGCCAAGAAGGTGTCTGCAGTTTGCCTGAAGTGGCGATTAGTTATTTGTGGGATAGAACGCTGCGAAATAGCTCACTTGGTAACCTTGTTGGCGTTCATGGCTGCCTCGGCACGACCAAAGACCTCCAATCCGAATTGTTCGACATATGCGCTGGCTGCAACGGTATCGGTGATCGTCTCATTTTCTGGATTCTCATTTTTGAACTACGCCGAGCGAAACGATCAGCAATGGCCTGCGTGAGAGGAGCGGTGCGGAATAGCAGGGAATAGGGAGAAACATGGGCGGGGAAAACGACTGACCTGCTCCAACTTGTCCACCATATTTGTGGTATAGAGTTTTATTTCATCATCGGAGCTATGGAGGCCCCTTTCAATGATCTGGTTCACAATATGGAAGTTGCCTGCATCGAAGGTTAGAGCGACTTGAGCTTCACTGCGCTGCGCGGGGGTCCCCGGACTTACACCAGTAGGCCACCACCGGTTTGGCAGTTTCAACCTGAGCAGCCCTGATCGCAAAGCGACCGATATCAGCTGACCGTAGGCCAGCTGGGATAGTGCTCGCCATGATTGCGGTGTTCTGTGCAGGGAAGAGAGATGACGTTCGGAGATACAGGGACACCGCCCGTGTGCGGGGACATTCTTATCTGCGATGGTGTTGGAGATCGACCTACGTGTGTACCCTAGGTACGTACTTTTCAACCTTCAATGCAGCATCTTTTGATATTTCAACTATCTGGGTATCATTCCTCCTCAATTACCCACTTTCCGATCTTGACTTGTTCCTCTGCCAAGGCCTCAACTTCAAAGTGATCTTCCACCTGCCCACCCGGGCCCCCGATGCGCTCTAGGACAATCCACACAGTATGCTCAACACTAGGATAAAGATCAAAGTCTTCTACCCGCACACCCGAGGTAGTGTCATTGTGGTATCCATCTTCAGATGTAGCCAAAATCTCCTTGTAGGGCCCTTGGCCCAGTTCTACGGTCATCAGCACGGGCGACGGGGCAACAGCCCGAGAGTCAATGGTAGACCGCTTGTTTCGCGCAATAAGTCTTATTCGCGTTAAGCGAGACACCCGCAATGATGCCAGCATTCGATCCTTTCCTGGGGGAAGAACGCCGACGTCAGACAGGACAGCGCGCCGCCCGGCGGACTCAGAAGCTAGTTGCTGAACCACGCACGGGATAGTCGATGATATCCATAATGTGAAACGACCGAGCTGGTCGGGTGCGAATGTGGAGCTGACAATGGTGTAAGTGCCCTTATCCAAAGACTTTGTCTCGGCCAGTGCGCATCCCCGGCGGTAATCACCACTGTCTGCGATGATGTCCCGACTCCGCACGCGTGAGACCCGTTGGCCATTGGACCAGAACAGTTTCACGTGGGTTGCCAATTCGGCCTCTGTGGTTTCCAATAAGATTGAGATATCCGTTTTTTCGGATATCTGAAGACTGAATTGAGGATTGGAGTGGTATCGAGGTGACTCGGCATTTCCACCGGCTGTCATCGCTGTCCAAGATCCTTTTGCTTTGGTTAAACAAAGATACTTATCCAGCGACGGCGCGACAGTCACAGGAGCGGTAGAGAATGCGGAGAGTGTAAAGTTCTGGCTAGCAGATGGCAGAGATTGCTCAGAGACTACTGCGGTGTAGGTTGAATTTGCGGGCATATCGAGCCTCATAAGTGTATTTGGTGAGTCAACGTACGGTCCGCGATGGAGTGCACCGTCGCTTAATGACACCCTTTTGCCGCCCGCTTGGAAGATGTAGATGCTGATGAAACCGTGTTCACTTTCTGGGTGACCGGTGTTCAACTGTTGCTGAGTTTCAGTCTTAAAATGTTTCCCAAGCAACAGCCATACTGTTCCTCCTGCCTTGCTGGATACGGAGAATTGAGGATTTTTCGCGAAACAGCCAGCAATGAGCCGATCGTGGGACAAATCCCAGGTAAAGTGGATATCTTCGCGGTATTTGAATAACCCGGGATTCCAGTTGAGGTAAAGATTCTCGAAGTTCAGAAGAACATGTTTGCAATCCATCCAGAATTTGCCCGGGGAAAGAGACGAGTGCCCATCGGGGGATTCAACGTCGGCTGTGAATGTGCCTTGTATAGTGGGCTCTGCGCCGGCCCAAGGATTCTTCAGGAGGAACTGGCGTCGGCCCTGAATTTCCTTCATATCCAAAATAGCATAATCATGCTCGCTCACCAAGGCCAAGCCTTGCTCTTCTCTTTCGGTCAGCTTCCCGGTTCCAATGGTCAGCACGACATCACCGTGATGGAAGGCATTATACAAACGCCCCCAGACTTCATCACAGGTAGAATCATCGTGGTGTAAAAACATTTGCTCGGGAATCCAGCCTGTCAGAACCCACAGGTCGGTTCCTGAGTTGCTGCCCGGAAAATCGTAGCCCCCACGAACTTTGAGATAGGCTTTCTCCACGAGAGCAGGCCACAGACAGTTGGGGTTGTTGCGGTCGACCACATGCAGCGATCGAGTAGTCTTCGAAGATGGCAATCGATCGTCTATGATGACTTTTCGAAATGATCCATTGAAATAGAAGCGGAAGATATACTTCGCACATCGTGACAATATAGGAACCTTCTCCTCATTACGCGGGTACATCGTTGGCGATGCATGCTGCACTCATTAGCTTGAATGAAAGCGATACAAGAGAAGCCCTAATTTACATACCTGCCCAAGACCTCTTTCTGATCTAGATGTCGTTGCACAAAGACTTGCGACCACCGAGCAGTCGGTCAAGACGTCTTGAACGAGATCTGTCTGCCCCGAGACGGACATAGACGGATTCAACCCGTCATTCGCTGAATCGGTGGCTTGATAAGATCGTAGCAGATCACGTGGGCTTTTCCAACCTGCAAAGATATCCTTCTGACATTCAGAGAGGTGTAGGTCAGGCGTGTCTCTACATCCGGTTAGCATCGGTCAGGGCTGGCATTGTCTTGAACCTACTTAAAAGGCGACCCTTCCCAGACAAATTCATCTAGATGCGGAGCCCGGGTCCACGGTGGGAAAATAAACCCATGGAGCTTAGCGCCCTCCAAGATGATGATTTCCTCACGGGTGGTGAGCTTGCGCGTGGATGCAGGCGGACGCAAAGTGAGGGCCTTCTGGGGCCCCGCATGAGCGGCGGCTTTCCAGTCGGCAGCGCTCTTGATCTTCTCGGCCTTGATGATCAACTCTTTACATTTCGAGTCCAGTGGCTTCTTCTCGTCGGCTGGTGCCAAACGGAGCGCTTTCATGTAATGTTCCGCGGCATTGATTGCCGCCTCCAGTGCCGCTTTTTGGGAGGTTGCTGCGGCTACCGCCTCTTCGGCGCTCTATCGAATCGTCAGTTCTGGCTACCTTCATAGGTCTTGTCAGAACAGTTTACCAAAGCTTGCGACAGGTGTGTGGGCCCGGATCTTGACATGGATACCCGTGGACTTGTAGGTGGTCGTGGAGCACTCCGTAATCAGATCGGATCAATTGACTTAAATTACCGGGTTTGGCGCGAGCCGAGAGGGTCCCGTACGCACTGGTTTCACCGATGTGCGTCTCGGCATGTCTATGTGTTGTTTAAGGGTTGCAACTGCTAGGAGTATATAGTTCTACGCCACTATATGCTGCCAGATGTATATTTGATGTGAAACCCCCGATCGACGCAGGAAACGAAGTATAAAACGTGAAAGCGTGATGTAATGCCTGACATAAGCTAATACCGAAAGTGGACCTCGGCTCATTTTAGGGTGAAGAAGCGCCGAGGTGCATCTGCTCATGAACTCGGTCGCTCGCTTTTTATACTTTGATCATTCGGGTGACTTCGGTATAGAGGTGAATCAACCTGTCTTTTGCGACATCGCTTTAGGATCATCCCTCTGACCACGATACAAAGCACCGAAGCCCCGCTAGATCTTTCTCCTATCCGAGCTTTTTTTTGGGGGGGAAATCTTATTCTAGTTTCTCGAACACTTCAAGTTTTGTCTTGAAATACCTTTTACCTGCAAAATGACTGGTCAATCAAAGCCAGCCCTCTCGCCTTGGGGCAGCGCCGTTGCAGGCGCAACAGGTGCCGTGCTTGCGAACGCGATGGTATACCCACTTGACTTGTGAGACCCTCCGCCAAATGTACAACCTACCTGTTTGGATGCCCATACTGACCGCATCACTCTCATCTTCAGGGTCAAGACAAAACTCCAAGTGCAGATTAAGGAGAAGAACGGCGCCGCCTCATCCTCAGACCTCGACCACTATGAATCGACCATAGACGCCATCACCAAGATCGCGGAGAAGGAAGGAGTGAGCGGCCTGTACTCTGGAATGGCGGGATCCCTCCTCGGTGTGGCATCAACCAACTTCGCATACTTTTACTGGTACAGCGTCGTAAGAACCCTGTACATGGCCTCCGCCAAGTCACCCAAACCCCCTGGTACCGCAATCGAGCTCTCCCTCGGTGCTGTCGCAGGTGCTGTGGCCCAGATCTTCACAATCCCGGTGGCTGTCATCACCACCCGCCAGCAGACACAGCCCAAGGGTGATAAGAAGGGGTTGATCGAGACGGGCCGGGAGGTGGTCGAGAGTGAGGACGGCTGGTCCGGCCTGTGGCGTGGATTGAAGGCTAGTTTGATCCTGGTCGTCAACCCGGCCATTACATATGGCGCATACCAGCGTCTGAAGGAGGGTATCTTCCCGGGGAAGAACAACCTCAAGCCTTGGGAGGCATTCCGTGAGTGGTCCTAGCTCGATTGTTGGCCAATCGATAGCTAACAATGTCTCAGTCCTTGGTGCGATGTCTAAGGCCATGGCCACAATCGCTACCCAGCCTTTGATCGTCGCCAAGGTCGGTCTGCAGTCTCGTCCCCCACCCAGCCGTAATGGCAAGCCCTTCAAGAGCTTCGGTGAGGTGATGAAGCACATTGTTGACAATGAGGGTCTTCTCGCCCTCTTCAAGGGCATTGGACCTCAGATCTTGAAGGGTCTTCTGGTTCAAGGCCTTCTCATGATGACGAAGGAGAGGTATGCTGACCCAAAAGAACGTCGCGTTCGAAGCTGACTGGTTTACAGGATGGAAATTCTCTTCATTGTCTTGTTTGCTTACCTGAAGGGCATTAAGAAGGACAAGCTGAGCAAGGTCGTAGACTCAGCAGCGGCAAAGGCTCAAGCCAGCCGACCCGCCACTCTTAAATAATTGCCTTTTGATCACAGCCTTCTCCCTTCGACTCGATTTTGTTTGTCACTCGGCGCACCGGTACTGCGTGGCAATGTTGGATTATGAACGATCTACCTAAGTAGACACTTTTTCGGACTTACTTTCTATAAAGACTCAGTGTGATAGAGCCATGTTTCTTAGTCGAATATAGAATTGTACATGTTGATTCCATTTTCGTTGATTATTTGGAAAATAGCAATATTCACGCTCAAACCATGCCACATCGAAATTTGAGTATTTAGAACAGGAACGATACTTTTCAACTCAAAAGTAGTAACTTCAAGCTGATGCCCTTGAGACCCATTCCAAGTTGTTTACGGGTTGTATGTTGACCGACCTCGGTAGTATACCGCTGCAGGGATCCACCGCAATTCTACAGGGCTCACCGCGTCGATCCTCTACCCCAACAACCGCAATCACCCAACCCCAGCTCACATTTGCCAAAGCAGTGGCATGGGTCGTGATGCGATGGCCGCCATGGAGCTCCGAGTCGAACAATGACGAAAAACAAACGAGCTCAAGCTCCACGAATTCCATACTCGACTGGAAAGCCTACACAGAACCGAGAACCCTGGTCCCAACTCTCGTCCTGACGAGTGGAATTCTTCTCGCAGTACGATTCCACCGCTCGTACCTGCGCAGGATTCCCGACGCGCCTAGCATCTCGTCCTCATGGCTCCGACGCCGCAGTGTTTTCGGCCAAGTCACCAGCGTCGGCGATGGAGACAACTTTCGCATCTTCCACACCCCCGGCGGCCGGTTAGCGGGCTGGGGCTGGCTCCCGTGGAAAAAGGTCCCTACAAACAAGAAGGAGCTTAAAGACAACACTGTTCGTACCCCCTGCTTCCCCAATATTCCCCTCCTGCCAAGCCCAATACACATATACGTGCAGTACAACAACTTACCCGATTTAGATCCACATCCGACTTGCGGGCATCGATGCTCCCGAACTCGCGCATTTCGGTCGTCCGGAACAGCCTTTTGCGCGCGACGCTCACGCATGGCTTACGGCGTACCTGAGCGGACGACGAGTGCGCGCGCTCGTCCACCGCCAAGATCAGTATTCCCGGGTGGTGGCGAGCGTTGCTGTGCGGCGGGCATTCGATTTTCCACCTTTCAGACGGCGCGATGTGTCGTACGAGATGCTCCGTCATGGGCTGGCGACTGTGTATGAAGCGAAGATGGGATCTGAGTTCGGTGGAGACAAGATGGAGAAGAAGTATCGCAAGGCGGAGTGGTGGGCTAAGAAGAAGGCGAAGGGGCTTTGGAAAGATTATAAGAAGGTTGGAGGGAATTGGGAGAGTCCTAGGGAGTATAAGACTCGGATGGGAATGGGGGATGTTGAGAAAAATGGGAAGAAATGAGGAATTGGCAGAACTCCCAATCTTGTGATTTAAGGCATCTGGATGAGCGTTTCCCAGTTGCTTTGCTTTGTTTCGTGGCATTTACATCATGGTATGATACGACTACAGCCCCTGCACATGTACTGGGTATTCATGAATGGATCTTGACGACAATGAAACCGATGATAGGTTGCGAACATTAAATATAATACACCGGGATGTGTCCGCTATACATGCACGGGAGGTGATCCTCCCCGAGCCCGAACTACTGGGCGGGCATTAAGACTCGAGCGATCTTTGTATCGCGGGATAGAATAAAGTATACAGGTTCCAGCCACACTCAGCAGAATCGGCGTTCGATCTCGGCGAACAATTTGGGTGTGATCTCATCGGAGCTATTTCCTTCAGCGCGGAAAAGGCAACCCCGACGGTCATAGTGCTCCAATAGAGACTTGCTGGTTTCTTCGAACTTCCGTAGACGCTGTTTCCATGTGTCGATTGAGTCGTCCTCGCGCTGCGTCAGTGGTTCGCCGGTCACATCGTCTTTGCCCGGCACCTGTGGTGGGTGGAAGTCCGTATTGTAGACGCGCCCCGAGGGCTCGTGGACCCAGCGCGATGCGATGCGGGCTAGAATCACTGACGGTGGTGTGAGAAGGTGCACAACAAAGTTAACAGGAACTAGGCTGTCCAGGCTGGTTGCCTGTGAGGATGTTCGAGGGAAGCCGTCCAGGATGAACGAGGCGGAGGGGTCGACTGATGAAGCGGATTGCTTTTGTGCTGGGGGTAGTGGGTTCGAGGATTGGGTGGGAGCATCGGGTTGGAGAAGCCAGCCCTTGGTTTTCATGTCATCGGAGATCAGGTTCAAAATCATGGAATCGGGGACGAGGTTGCCGGACTGCATTGTGGCCTCGGCTTGTATGCCTGCTTATGGTTAGCTGTCACTTTCTGGTTTGCCTTGAATCCCATGCTTTTCTCACCGAGTGGTGTTCGTCGGCGCACATTCTCTCGCAATAGATCGCCCGAGCTGATCGAGGCCAGCTGCGGGAAGCGGGATAGTAGCCGCTCGGATTGTGTGCCTTTTCCTACTCCAGGTGCGCCAATTAGAATGATACGCGCAGCCTTCTTGAGGTGCTTCGTCGCGTGCGACATGATGTGTTGGGGGAGCTCTTGGGGGCTCGAGGTTCCGGCTCCTGGAGGTTCCTGAAAGTCCCTGGATTCAACGGTTCGGGTGTTGGGGCGCGGGAGGAACCACGGGTGGAATTTCGTACACCCGGTCTATGCTGTGAAAAGGCTGGGGAGGATGCAATCTCTAAAGGACAAGCAGTCGCATATCTCGGACTCAACGCTGATTTTGTGGGGTTGAATCTTGATTCTTTGGGGGTGTCGGTGAACGATCTCCGAGGGAAACTATGTACTTTGGATCAAATACAACGGCCACAAAAGAGCGAGATATGATTTTAAACGTGTTTTTAAGCAAAAGGTGGGAAGTAATTCGTCCTAGTTTCGAAGGTATTTACCCGGCTACTCCAAACACTCAAGCCCACCCTGGACAGGGTTTCACATGCGACACCCCGGACGCTTTGTCCAGTCGCGGCCCTCGGATTATCCGTTTTGCGGTCACGTGGACGTCGCGTGCAGGACGCGTCGCGGTGTCAATTTGATGGAGCGTGCAATCTATCACAGAAAATACACCACCGCCATTATGATCCGACAAGATGTCAATCGCATTGATCCGAAGCGGCGAACCATCATTGACCCAAAGAAACGCCAATTCGCTCCTGCAACCTTCAAGCAACAAGACTATCCCCATCGCATGAACATCTATGACACGCCCCCAACCGCAGAAATAACCCTCGAGCAATTCGAGCAATGGGCGATCGATAGACTGAAGAGTCCGTTCACCGTAATATGGTCCACATCTCCTTATACGCTGACCTCGAAATAGTTTTGGCTGAGATCGAAGCATGCTCTTATCGCAATAAATCCCCCGCCGAGACCTCCAGCTACATCACGCCCCTGCTGCAGAAATTCCTCCCTCTCTCCTCAAACACCTCATCTTCCTCCGGATCTGCAGACCAGCGATTGAAGAATGAACGCCAAAAGGACCATTACTCGCATTTCATCCTGCGTTTGGCCTTCTCTGCCACGGAGGACCTCCGGCGACGGTTTGCCCGTGCCGAGAGCATGCTTTTCAGGTTCCGCTTCCAACAAGATGACTCCAGGGAGAAGCGCGCATTTATCGATAGTCTGAATCTTGATTGGGAGCCCCTCGGGGACTTCGAGAAGACAGAGGTTGCCGAGGCCCTCATGAGTGCCACCCCGGGATTACGCCGGGTCGACGACGAGACCTGGTACAAGGTCGACTGGGAGAAGGTTCCCGAATTGATCGAGAGACGCTCGGTTTACCTGAAGAAAGGAAAGGCATATGTGCCTGGGCGTGAGCAGATGAGTATGATCCTCGCTGAATTCACCACTCGCCTAGAACGTGCGCTCGAGGTATGTCTACATCAATAAAACACATTGGTCGTAGATGATGTTTGCTAATTAAGCAGCTTACGAGCCGTGCTCTCCCTCGTTTGGACGAGGACGACCGTCTGACGCCAATCTTGAACCATCTCTCAAAGAACTTCGGTAGCGCTGACTCGGTTTATTCCGAGGGCGAGGGATATGTCGACGGAGCTCCTATCACAGCCAGCTCCATCGACCAGCTGGCCCAGCAGCACTTCCCCTTGTGCATGAAGAGCTTACATGTGAACCTACGCAAGAACAACCATCTCAAGCATTTCGGTCGACTGCAGTATACCCTCTTCTTGAAGGGTATCGGACTCTCTTTGGAAGAGTGTATTCTGTTCTGGCGCCAGTCTTTCAAGAACAAAACCGATGATGAGTTCAATTCGCAGTATAAGTACAACGTTCGCCATGCCTATGGTGAAGTCGGCGGTGACGTGAACCGTCGTGGAAAAGGATACACACCCTATTCATGCCAAAAAATCCTCGGAGATTCGAATCCCGGCATTGGTCAAACTCATGGTTGTCCCTATCGCCATTATTCCGTGGACAACCTCGTTGGATTTCTTCAGGCTACTGGTGTCAATGACAAAGAAGTTCTGCGAGGTGTGCGCGAAGATGTCGGTAAGATGCGCTATCACATCGCTTGCAACCGGGTGTTCGAGGCAACGCACAAGAACGAGATCAAAAAGGTCAAGGAAGATGGAACCATGAGCCAGACCGACCTCGATACCATTGTGCACCCTAACACTTACTTCAAGCGCAGCTTCCTCCTGAAGCAGATGTACAAGACTCCGAAGGATGCATGAATCAGCCTGCATGGCTCACATGTCAATTTTTTTATGAGGTTATGCCGGGCTGCTTTCACGTGTTACTTTTGGCCGGCGTTCTTTGGGGGCATGAACTTGTACTGTATGATGCATATTTCCAGACAGATTTTAATTGAAAACTAGCATATAAGACTTCTACTAAGGGAGGTTCACGAATGGGGAGTGTGACCACAGCTGATTCCCAGAGAATCCGAAAGGATCAGAATGACCTCTCAAATCCAGGTGCCCAGCAACGGGTCAAATTAATCTCCGCTCAACAAGAAGACTACTTCGCCATTGAATGACGGAAGCTGTCAAAAATAACAAGTTCGAAAACAAGTTGGAGTCGGCGTGAAGTTGAAAGAAAAGTCTCGGGGAGTGCGGGTTGCCGAGTTTTAATGGTGTTTTGGTACGGGACGCTGCAGAGACCAACTGTGCTGCAACCTGGCCTTACTCGCGGAGCAGACACTCCACACAACATACTCCATCTTGTTCAATCATTCCCTAGCTATTAACAGGGATTCTCTTTACATCCGAGGACTGGATTATGCTTCGGGTGTCTCTTTAAACTAGTTTCTTGGAGTAGAGATCAAACCCCAAGGTTCCCCTTTCATTGCGACTTCTGTTCATCTACCCCCCTTCCATCAACACCGAACCAGGACCGTCAAGATGGATTTCGAAGCGCTCAAGGACCAATGGAGTGATGTGGAAGACCGCGATGGAATCAGGCTCAGTTGGAACACTTTCCCGAGCACTCGCATGGTTCGTTATGGCGGCACTTGGTTCCCTTGACCGCATCAGTCACTGAGACTCGATATAGGAAGCCTCCCGTCTAGTCGTCCCGATTGCCGCTGTCTACACCCCACTGAAGGAGAAGCCTGACTCCCCATTGCTTCAATACGAGCCCGTTAGCTGCAAGCAGCCCTGCCGTGCCGTGCTTAACCCATATGCGTACGTATTGGGCTGGACCTGTCATATCGCGGCACATGAGCTGATGTTGATCTAGCACTGTCGATGTGCGCGCACGAATCTGGATTTGTCCATTCTGTCTCTCTCGCAACCCTCTTCCTCCTCATTACAAGGATATCACGGAGAATACGATACCCCCAGAGCTCCACCCCCAGAGCACGACAATCGAGTACCAATTGGCACGACCCGCCCCCGCGCCCCCAATTTTCGTCTTTGTCGTCGATACTTGCCAGGAAGATGACAGCCTGCAGGCCGTGAAGGACTCTCTCATCATGATCTTGTCGCTTCTACCGCCCAATGCGCTCGTTGGGTTGATTACCTTTGGCACCATGGTAGGGAAAACGATATCCCAAATGGCGGCATTTTATTGACATCTCTATCTAGACTCAAGTCCACGAGCTCGGTTACACGGAATGCGCCAAGTCATATGTGTTCAGAGGTAGCAAGGAATACAACGCAAAGCAGGTCCAGGAGATGCTGGGCTTGGCCGGTGGTATCCGTCCTGGTGTTCCCCAGCAGCAACCTGCTCGTCCCCCACTTGGCCCGGCCGCCCGCTTCCTTATGCCAGTTCAGCAAGCCGAATTCCAGATCACAAATGTGCTCGAGCAATTGCAGCGTGATCCTTGGCCTGTGGCCAATGACAAGCGTCCCCTGCGCTGTACTGGTGTCGCGCTGAGCGTGGCTGTTGGTCTACTTGAGACTTCTTTCCAGAATGCCGGAGGTCGCATCATGGCTTTCACCAGTGGTGCAGCCACGGAAGGCCCCGGCCATGTGGTTTCACCTGAGCTCAGAGAGCCCATTCGCTCCCACCACGACATTGACCGGGACAACATCAAATACTACAAGAAGGCCGTCAAGTTCTACGACAGCCTTGCCAAGCGCGCTGCCAACAACGGTCACATTGTTGATATTTTCGCCGGATGTCTCGATCAAGTGGGTCTGTTGGAAATGAAGAACCTTTCCAACTACACTGGAGGTCATATGCTACTTACGGACAGCTTTACCTCGTCACAATTCAAGCAATCCTTCATTCGCGTCTTTGACAAGGATGCCAATGACAACCTCTTGATGGGCTTCAACGCTTCCCTCGAGGTGCTCACAACCAAGGAGCTGAAGGTCACTGGTCTGATTGGTCACGCGATTTCACTGAACAAGAAGTCAAGCTCCATTGGTGAGACAGAGTGCGGTATCGGTAACACATGCGCGTGGAAGATGTGCGGTATCGACCCATCCTCCAGCTACGGCGTCTACTTCGAAATCGCCAACCAAGGTGGACCAGCTGCTGTGCAGCCCGGTCCTCAGCGTGGTATGATGCAGTTCTTGACATACTACCAGCACTCCTCTGGGCACTTCCACTTGCGGGTGACCACTGCTGCACGCCCCCTCAGTGGGCCCGCTGGTGACCCCACCTTGGCTCAATCCTTTGATCAAGAGGCCGCCGCCGTGCTCATGGCGCGTATCGCAGTATTCAAGGCGGAGGTTGACGACGGTCCCGATGTTCTCCGCTGGGTCGACCGGATGCTGATCCGACTTTGCTCTCGGTTCGCTGACTACCGGAAGGATGACCCTACCTCATTCCGGTTGGAAAAGAACTTTACCCTGTATCCTCAGTTCATGTTCCATCTTCGCCGAAGTCAGTTCTTGCAGGTGTTCAACAACTCCCCTGACGAGACTGCTTTCTATCGCCATGTCCTCAACCATGAAGATGCGGGTGACTCCCTGGTCATGATCCAGCCCACCCTCGACTCGTACTCGCTCGAGCAAGAGGGTGCTCAACCAGTGTTGCTTGATTCCGCTTCTATCCAGCCTGCTCACATCCTCCTCCTTGACACCTTCTTCCACATCCTGATCTTCAATGGCGAGACCATCGCGGAATGGAGGAAAGCTGGGTACCACGAACAAGAAGGCTACGAGAACCTCAAGATGCTGCTTGACCAGCCTAAGGAGGACGCTAGAGTATGTTCCACTTTTTCCCCACCCCTCGACATCGTCATGACTAACACTTTCCCAGGATCTCATCGCTGATCGATTCCCGCTGCCCCGGTTCATTGTTTGTGATGCCGGTGGCTCTCAGGCCCGTTTCCTGCTCTCCAAGCTGAACCCGTCTACCACTCACACCACGGGTGGCTACGGCGGTGGTGTTTCGTCGCAAACCATCTTCACTGACGACGTGTCACTCCAAACATTCATGGATCACCTCATGAAGTATGTCAATCTCCCTTCTGAAACTTGGAATTCACTAACGGTGTTACAGGCTTGCTGTATCTGGAACCAGCTAGATGTAATGACAAATGACCATCATGAGAGCAAAGGGCGGTCTTTCGTCGACCCTCGGGTCTTGTGTATCTTTAGCGGTGATATAACTCCTTTGACGCGATATAGTAGTAAATTGAATGGATTGATACCATGACACTAACCTCTATGTTTGATCGTTATTTGATAGCAGCCCGTTCGAGACTTGAGGTGAGCTATTTAGATCCGGTATTCTCATTCGTCTATTTCCAAGGTTCATGGCCTATGAGGATCTCGGGGAAGTCGATCAAATACTGTAATGTCCATACTTATGGGCTCCCACCCGGGCAGCGCTCAAGTGCTGTACTATACCTAAATTGATGTGCAGTAGATCCATCAATGGATCTGCATATGGATCTATGGATGCCCAGGTCCAGCCCTGGAGGTGTTTTTCAGCAATCACATGACCCTAGCGGGACGCAGATTCCCGAGGGCCACCGCCTCGAAACACTGCCGTGGATTAAAGGGGCAGATCAGGGTTGTGTGTATCACGTGCGTCTCGCTTAGGTGAGAGAAAGTGGGTCTGGGTTAGCACGTCAACTCAATTTTCGCGCTCCGTTCCTTTTCTCTTCTGTAACCAACTTCTTCGACAACCAAGGAAGATCGACTACCTTTCGCACTCGCCATGCGTAAGTATCATCTACTTGGCTACTCGCAAGATGGCGACTAACATTCCCTCGTGATCAGCTCCCAAGTTCGATCCCAATGAGGTGAAGATCATGTAAGTCAATCTTGAAAATTTCCACAGCTGGGTCAGTTCAGCTTTGCACCACAGTAGCTAACATTTCCTAGCCACCTGCGTGTGACTGGTGGTGAAGTCGGTGCCCAGTCCGCTCTGGCCCCCAAGATCGGTCCCCTCGGTCTGTCTCCCAAGAAGATTGGTGAAGATATCGCCAAGAACACTGGTGACTGGAAGGGTCTTCGTGTCACTGTGCGCTTGACCATCCAGAACCGTCAGGCCGCTGTCTCCGTTGTTCCCTCCGCCTCTTCCCTTGTCATCAAGGCCCTCAAGGAGCCCCCTCGTGACCGCAAGAAGGAGAAGAACATCAAGCACTCCAAGTCCATCCCCTTCGACGATGTGATCGAGATTGCCCGCACCATGCGCACTCGCTCCATGGCCAAGGAGCTCCGCGGTACCGTCCTCGAGATCCTCGGTACTGCCTTCTCCGTCGGCTGCCAGGTCGATGGCCGCAGCCCCAAGGACGTCTCTGACGATGTCAAGGCTGGCGAGATTGACGGTTCGTTTCCCATGCCGACTTTGCTTCGTTCTCTTGCTAACTTGTCCCAGTTCCCGAGGAATAAATTATTCTCTCTTGAATGCTCAAACAAAAGAGGAGGCCCATCTGATTTCTAAGGCGTGCACTCTTAATGTTGAGTTGCTAGTTGCAGAATACGAATGGTTTCTCAAACCAAAAATATTCATGAGTCATGACTATGATACCATTTCTTAATGTGCGAGGTGTTCGATTGAAACAAATTGATCAGCTCGCTGTTCTTCGGTTGTATCCCTCCATTCTCCTTTTCTTTCCTGATGCCTTTCACCATTCCCTCGCTCTTCAGTGCGCTGAGGATGCTGGAAGGCCATGCCCGGCGCAGCCGACAGTCTGTCCTTTGGATAGAACCCCCACAACACTCTGGCGCTTACTGTTCTCTCCCTGCGGGGTTTGATCATATCATAACGTGGTATACGCTTATTTTAAGTGGGGAAGATAAAACCAGTCCCATTACTCACCGCGGTATCCTTGGAGCTTGCTCCGTGGGTGCAGTGGTCCATATTTCGGGTCTACATCTCTTGTTACAAGAGTTTTTTTTTGTAAGCCGTAGTCAGCTAGCTACAAAATGAAAATATCGTTCTTTCTGGATTCTTCGGTCCTAGTAGAATCAACCACAGAAATCTTGTACCTGAGTATACATGAGCATTATCCATACCACCCGTATTTCACATCCTCTTGAATTCGGAGTCTCTTCCAAGTTCTAACCTGCCAGGGTTGCACTGGGCACTTGTGGATTTCCGAGGTCTTGCCTAGGTGCATTTTGGAACTGCGTGTCCTTCAGTCTACCGCACAGCTCGGATCCAACCAAGATGGTACTAGCGGTGTATATCCAACCAAAGCCCCCCAACATGACCAGGCTCCCCTGCATGTAGGCCGCCAGCATGCATGCACATATGCAACGCAATGCTATTGATACATGGGTTATCGATATTATGTGAATGGCCAGCCAACCCTCCCACCGCGAGTTCCAACACACCGGATCAAAATGAAACTCCAAGATATATATTCCGAGTGATGCGACCCCGGCTCCCACCCTTGGACCAGGTGCACTGTCTCCGTACAAGTTCCAACCCTGGAAGTTTATCTATATGGCTTTGCAACCAAACCTAGTAGTGTAACACCGTTCGTAGGGGATATATGTTATACGTGGATGTGGCTCTGGCTCCCGATGTACAACGTTGAGCAGATGTCTTCCAGGTCTGAAACATGCCAACGGCCAGCAAACGGGGTATCCGAGCGCCAAACACGAATGCTGGTATGAATGGCTACGTTTTGACATTATTTCTGTGTTGACTGCCAGGTGGATAGCGTATACCTAGGTAGTGAGAATCCGAAGAAAGGAATCCTGGGATTGTAATGCAAGAGTAAATTAAAAAATCCATGGATGTGCCTGGGTCATGCATATACTAGTCATAGTACTGTACTCTACAGTGTATAGTACAGTAGTGCCCAGGTGTATAAACAAATTCAGTTTAAATAGTGTACGGAGTACGAAGGACAAGAGCGCAACTCATCGACCCATCCACAGTGGAGACAAAGGATGCTTGGCCTGGAAATTGCTTTGGAACAAGTGGCTCTGCGACATTTGGATGATCAAGTGGAGTTTGATATGTTTTTTTTTTCTTTATTTTTTTGCATGAGTACTTATGCTGTGTTGCGCCCGTTCGGATTCTTGAATTTCGGAGCACATGATAAAGGAAATGTTAAAAGGTGCTCAATACAGTTGTCTCTACAAGGCTGAGTATAATGCTCTACATATTTAGAATCCATTCTGTCTGTACCACCCGACCGTACTGCGTTGTGCAGGCTACGGATGGGACGCACGGTGGAGTAAGTTTGTCGATCTCTGCGACCTGTGTCAAAGACGTTGGGGACAATAGGCCTAAGGGTCAGTATGTACAGCACGAGTCTTGCGACCAGGGCCACTCCGTATGGAGGTGAATGATGGCCAAGAGCCGATCTGCCGCATGGATTTACATTAATATCAATATTGACGGCAGCAAGGTGACCACGATCCATCCCATTGTATGATGTCCGCGGAGTACTCCATACAGTACTGTATCCAAGTTAGATATAAAATGATCGGCATGAATATCATGAATATCAAAGCGATTATGAATGTCATGGGCCAGGATATACGAATCACAACACGGACTTGGACCGGCAAAGAATAGCCCCCAAGCTAAGAAAAAGGTCGCAGGGATCGTGGCGGACATCCTTGACTAGCAACCCCAGAAACCTCCCAGAATGGCAATGATCGGAGGCAGATGAGGCGGCCAACAAAGGGGAGGGGGGCTGCGCCTGTCATCACAGTGAGCGGCTAGCCCACGGCCATGCCGGGTAAGTCAAGTGGCGTTTTTCGAGATCCAAAAGTCCCAGTTGTTGGCGAAGTGCAGGCAGGGTGCAGGGTGCAGAGCGCAGAGTGGCCAAGTCCTTTGTAGTCAAGGCACTATATCACGTACTCGTAGGTTTAGCCAAGTCTCATAATCCACTGAAACCGAGAACAGGCTCGACTCGATCACCGGCGGGGCGCCACCGATCCATCACTAGTCGCCGGGACGGGACCAATGATGCACCAGAAGTCCACCCTGGTATGGAGCCTCTCAGCCAGAGGGAGGGTTCAGCCGTTGGAACGAGTGGATCATGGTGGAGAGGTAAGTTGGGAAAGTTGAAAGATGAGGTGAGGTGAGTGCTGGCGAAAGGGGGAGCCTTATAGTACTAGTACAGTACTATGGTAGTATGACTATAGTAGAATCAATTTGAATCACCAGTAGTGTGATGGAACTGCAAATGAACCGATTTAATTAAATTCATAAACGATAGCAAAAAGGAAAAAAAAAAGATCTAATATAGTGTCGAATACACCACCTCCATAATCTCCCCCACCTGCATATCCACCGTGTCCACTCCCATTTCTGCCTTTACGCTTCTTTCTTTTTTGTTGCTGTCTTTTCTTCTTCTCTTCCTTTCTTACTGGGACTTCACTACTACTACTCCGTTCTCCGTACTCCGGTGAAAAAAAAAAGTACTCCCAATTCTTGCCAAGATTCGACATCGCACATCATTGGACGCCAGCATCGTGGACTGGGACATTCTCTCCCTTGCGTCTGAACCTTTCTTTCCCTCTCAACTGTTCCCCTTTCGACCCTTCTATCTCCCAGGCTTTATCCCGCTGCATCGATGACGATCTGATCAAGTGCCGTGTGGTGGACTTGATTTGCGCCCGTTGAACCTGGCTCACATGATGAGGTGTCGGAAACGATTCAAGCATGCTTGTTGAATGTCCTATCACTTGAGTCGTTATTCCGGCTTCAAGGCGCTCTTTAGAAAAAGATGTACCCATCCGTCGCACCGTTCCACCCGGTCCAACCACACCGCATACACGATCCCAACCAGATGTACGATGCGAATGACCTCGTCCGAAATGACTTCAAACCTTTCGTGAATCCCATGCCTCGATCCCGCCTGCAACTCCCTCACCCTGTCCAGCGACTCAATCCCCGTGATGCCTCCGGCTCCAGCTCCAGCGCGAACGTGGAACACACCCTGCGAAGGAAAACCCCCAACGGAACCCTGGCTGCGGGGTATGATGGAACCCCCATCGATACCAATCAGCTCCCAGCGTCAAAACACATTCTGGTGACGCCGGAATCGGGCCAGTTCATCCCTCACCCAGCCATGCAATCGGAGAATTGGCAGCACATACCCGACCAGACCGCCTCGAACTTCCCTCCGGTTTTCAAAAATGAGCTGGCAGGCAATGCAATTCCCAGCGAGGTGGTGCAAGACGCGAATGGGACAAGCTGGGTTCGACCTGTGAACTACCCTCCGGGTGTTGACTCGATGCTGAACCAAAGCTTGCCCCTACAGGCCAACCAGCGTATGCTCCTACAGAACGGGGCTTATGTGCCAACGGTTCTGCCTGCGACTCTACAGTCATGTCTTGGGCCCACGGCATCGGCTGGCACTGGGCCCTTTGGCCCATACTGGCCAGATGGTGTGTATATCCCATATCGCCCAGCTGCATTTCGCGATGCCCGATTTGAATCTCCCACACCCTTCACCAAGCAGTTGAACGCGCCCGGTCAGCCTTTCTATGACTTAAACCAGCCTGTTTTAAATCATCCTCAAATCCCCGTGGGGAGCCATTCCGATTCGGGCTTTCCGTGGGGTCACTCCATGCCTGGGCTGCCTGCTCAGGATCCTCTTATGAAAACACATTTCCCGCCACGACACTCCGACCAGTTACCCTTCCATACCCGCGCCAACCGCTCTATACCAAATCTTCCGCCCCAACCACTCAACAATGACCCTTCGTGGTCTAATCGGCAACCCGTACACGGATTCCAACAACCAGGGCCCGCAATCGCAGTCAATGCAGAGTTCAAGGAGAAAGTATTGACGTGGGCCCACGGTGTCTATGTCGACCTCCTTGCAACGATCCACCAGGCCCGCCGCAATAGTATTTCGAATGGCACCGCCGACAGTCACTCTCGCTTGATGAAACCTAGCATATACCCTAAGCCACCCAGGCAACCGGGTCTTGACTTTTCACAAGCGCATCCCCCCGATCTCACTCGTCACAATAGCTACCCATCCAGTCAATATGATCTGCAACGACAGAAGATGGATGGTATGGCCAACCAGAGACCCAATGACCCTACACATGCTGCGCCACTTCGTGTCCATGCTCGCCGCCCATCCCTGAATCAGTTCACCCAGAACAGGTCCGATACCCACATGCTCGGGATACGCGATGTCGGCGTTCCAGGCGTATCACCATTCCCACGGGCCCGTGGATCTCTGTTCAACGAAGGCTCGCCCATGTCAAATGCCGCAGCCGCCTTGGAAATGCTGTCCCATCTATGCGGGGAAAGCCATTGGGAGTGGGTCGATGGAATGCTGCTCGGGGGCTGTTTAGCCTACGGGCTGGGTGATTACCATAAAGCCACGCGGTGGTACTCAAGAATTATCGCCCGCGACTCAACACATGTGGAAGCTATATCCAATCTTGCCGCCACTCTTCTCGCACTCGATCGCCGCGAGGAAGCCTTACAGCACTGGCTACGAGCAGTCAAGCTGCGTCCAAGTTTCTTTGAAGCCGTCGAGCATTTGATTGGCCTGCTGTGCAACAGCCACCGAGGAAAAGAAGCCGTTAACATCATCGAGTTTGTTCAAACATCTCTTCGCTACCCCAAGGATGGCGATTGTTTCAAGACCGATGAACATGCTAGCGAGCCCGAAAGCGATGCCGAAAGCAATCATTCTGACGTGAACATGTACGAGAAAGCATCTTTCGAGTACGACGATGATATGGGAAGACCTCAAGTGGAGCCCAGATCACCAGAAGCAAAGCCCATTGGATTCGCAACCAGTGGATATGCAATCGCCGGTGCTGACAGCGGAAGAATGCTAGCTCTCGTTCATGCGAAGGGAAACATGCTGTATGCTCTCGGAGAGAATGCAGCCGCAGCGACTGCGTTTGAGGATGCTGTGCTCATCGCAGCTGGTCGAAGGCGCCATGGTATTCAGAGTATCATCAAACAGATATTCGCTGCGTTCTCTGGGCCGAACAATGGCATTCCACAACCTGAACACGAGTCCAAGGAAAGCATCCTGCTGTATCCTGACCGAGCACTGAAGACCGCCAAGCTCGTCTTCCCCGGAGGAGGCATGCCCCCGGGACTCAAATATGTTGCAGAGGGCATGGCTCGCAATGCAGCGATCTCCACGACTAGCAATTCTCTTCTCTCCTTGGCCAAGATTTACCAGGATGGCATGTCTAGCGTGTCTCCATCAGGGGCACCTAGGTCTTCACGTGGTGTTAGAGACATTCTGGCCCTCTATTACCTTTCTCTCTCTCTCCAGCCCAGCCCATCCACAGCCAACAACGTTGGTATTTTGCTGGCTGGTATCCAAAATAACCCGCCAGCTCGAGGCCTAGTACGCCCGAATGGCGAGGTTCAGCATCCAGAAATCCCTGGTGTGATGCCCGGAAGTGGCATATCTCTGGCTCTAGCTTACTACAACTATGGCTTACATTTAGACTCGCGGCACGCCCATCTCTATACCAACTTGGGAAGCTTGCTCAAGGACATCGGGCAGCTCCATGCTGCAATCAAGATGTATGAGCAAGCGGTACAGTGTGATGGTAATTTTGACATTGCTCTTGCAAACTTGGCCAACGCTGTCAAAGATGCCGGTAAGGTCAATGATGCCATCACGTACTATCGTCGTGCCGTCAAGGTCAACCCTGAGTTCGCTGAGGCGGTTTGCGGACTAGCAAACGCCTTGAACTCTGTCTGCAACTGGGTTGGCCGTGGTGGCATCGCCAATTCTCGTGGATTCCGCGATAGATGGCATATCGACGAGAAAGGGATGCTTCGAGACTCGATGGGTATTGACGTAGGGTCTGGGTGGATTCAGCGGGTCGTCGACATCGTCGACCGTCAGCTCAAGGAAGGCGAATATTGGGGCCGAGGCATGTTGACCGCCAGTACGGCAGAGCAACTGTCCATGCAGCTGGCTCCAGCGCTAGAGTCCACCCGTTTTGCGTCTACCCATCGAGCGTCTCTGGCAAAGCTGTTCCAGTCTTGGGCAGGGAACAAGTGGGAAGGCTCTCGAATCGTGCGTCTTGTCGAACGTGCTATCCGGTCGCTTACCTGGCAATGGTATCAGGATCGTTATGTCTATCGTAAAGACTATCCTGCCTCGAAGTACCGCAGACCCCAATTGCCTGGTGCCCTCTCTGCTCCCAATGCCCCCACTGTTTTGCCTTTCCATACTTTCACTTGCCCGTTGTCAGCGAAGCAGATCCGCCAGATCTCTCAACGCAACGGCTTGCGGATTTCAACCTCAACACTCCGTCTGCCCTGGCTTCCACAGACAGTGTTTCCTCCACCGGCTCCGCCGGCTCCATACCTTCGTGTTGGCTACGTCTCATCGGACTTTAACAATCACCCTCTGGCGCATTTGATGCAATCGGTTTTCGGACTTCATGACTCTTCCCGGGTCAAGCCTTATTGCTACGCTACAACGGCCAGTGACAAATCCGTGCATCGCCAACAGATTGAAAAAGAGGCCCCCGTTTTCCATGACGCGAGCTCATGGCCCGTCGACCGGCTGGTCCAACAGATCGTCGAGGACGGAATCCACATTCTGGTCAATCTGAACGGCTACACCCGCGGAGCTCGCAACGAAGTGTTTGCCGCTCGCCCAGCCCCCATTCACATGTCATTCATGGGCTTTGCTGGCACCCTTGGCGCTGAATGGTGTGACTACATTCTTGCCGACCAACTGTCAATTCCCCCAGAGACTCTTAGCCCAGGAAGACGTACCACACGCATTGAGGACCGACCCATGGAGGATGACAATGCAGAGGACGCTGAAGACTGGGTCTACGGCGAGAAGATTGTTTTCACCCGTAACACATTCTTCTGTTGTGATCACCGACAGAGTGCCCCAGACGCGGGCGAGAAGCATGTCACTTGGGAAGAGGAGCAATCCCGACGCTGGAGAATGCGTAAGGAACTGTTCCCCAACCTAAGTGACGACACCATCATCCTGGGTAATTTCAATCAGCTGTACAAGGTCCGTTACCCCCATCTCCGCATCAAAACCACCAACTAACACATAAACAGATCGAGCCTACGACTTTCCGTACATGGCTGCGGATTCTGTCTCGGATCCCCAAAGCCATCCTATGGCTCCTCCGCTTCCCGGATCTGGGCGAACAAAACCTCCGCGACGCCGCCAAAGCGTGGGCCGGAGAAGAGACTGCATCACGAATTATCTTCACGGATGTCGCTCCTAAGAACACCCACATTGCCCGGGCAAAGATTCTAGACTTATTCCTCGACACACCAGAATGCAACGCCCACACGACAGCGACAGACGTTCTCTGGAGTGGAACACCACTCCTCACCCTTCCACGCTACAAGTACAAAATGTGCTCCCGAATGGCGAGCAGCATCCTCAGCAGCGCATTACCCAATTCCGATGTCGGTCAACGAGCTCGTGAAGAACTCATCGCATCCTCGGACAAAGACTATGAAACGAAAGCCATTAACCTCTGTCTCGACCTACAACATTCCCCCACTGGGCATGGTCGTGGACGGCTCATGGAAATCCGACAGATGCTGTTCCGCGACAGATATCGGAATAGACTCTTTGACACGGCGCGGTGGGTGCGTGATTTGGAAGATGCTTACGACGCCGTTTGGGCGCAGTGGGTCAATGGCGAAGAAGGCGATATCTGGTTATGATGAGCACTGCGATAGATACCCTTTGAGCGATTTTTTCTTGTTTCTTTTCCACCCCTTTTCTTTACTTGATCCTTGACGATTTTTCATTTGGGTCTCTTTGCATCTTCATGACTTGTCTTGAATGGCTGGGTCATTGACATAATGGATTTTTCTTCTCCTTTCATGGTTGATTTGTGCTGTACACGTACACTGAGCGTATGGTTTCTTTTGGACAGGCGTTGATTTTGTTTCCTTCCGAAGTATTTCGTGGATACATGTGGTTCTCTCAATAGACTGAATTTCAGAGCGATTCTTCTATCATACCTTTTAGATTCCTTTTTCCCTTCGCATTTTCGTACAGGAGCCAGTGAGCCTGCAGCACCATATCGGGTCTGGTATAGGAGAAAGAAGCTCGCACACCACGTCAGACATATTCGGACATTTTATCTTTTTCTTGCTACATGCTCTTCAGTAACTTTTCCATGATTCCGACATTTATTCGAATCTGTTTGAAATGTGGTATGTACGGAGTACATTGGATTTCATCATACGGAGTACTAGGGAATATCAATGCGCCTACCTAACCGCATCAAGCCCCAGCATCGATGACTTCTTCTGACATGCTTGCAGCCCCAAATAATCTCGAATTTATTAAGCTTGGGCTATCTCCCATCATTGTCTACAGGCTAACTGCATCTAGAGCTTCACTGGATTAAGTACTCCGCACTCCGTATACCACACTAGCTCGACCTATTGGATACTGCATGCGATATAGATGCATCTGTGGAGTATCTGTCGCATCAAATGCCTACCTAGGTACAATACGCCACTCGAGGCTGTCTAGATCTATTCGTGAAACGGAACAGGAATGCTCGGTGAACGTAATGCCTTAACGACCCCGAGATGGCCGACGTGCTCCCCGATCTAAGACACCAGTCACCGTGCCAACAAAGTCCCATTTCAAAGCATTGGCGTGGCCGTTTTCAGATAGCCCCCTGGTCTACTATATGCAGAGTCCAGTGCCACGACGTCAATTCTAGCCTCGCTCTGTTCTCCGCTCTGGCCTTCAATAGATCTTGCTCTTGACTTGTCTCGTGCAGAGGGAACAGATCCATTCCTTTCCAGGCAATTGCCTCATGTAGAAGAAAAAAGCAAAAAAAGAGAGAAGAGGAAACAAGGGCAAAAGGGTAAAAGAGCAAAAAAAGAAAAGAAAGAAACAGAATGGCACCCGTTAAGCGACTCGTTCTCGATCCAGACTTGGGCAACACTACCCAATCCGCCCATCACCTGCGCGTGACTGAGGCTGAGTTACGGAGTAGAATCTTTGCATACAAGGGGTATACGCCATACCAAAGGCATACTGCGCCGTGCAGCAGGACTATCACTATCCCGGCAGTCTGACTAGGGTCGCAAGGCAGCCATGGACCACATCGTCATCCTTACGTGACTAGTCTACATCTACATCTCCAGGGCTCTGGTCTGGGCATTGTATGTATGTACCCTTGATACGGCATGGCAAATCTCACATGCACATCCCTCTCTCATGGCGTCAATGTAAGACATGTGCATAGCCGTCAATTGACCACTCCAGCCTGCGGCTTTCCAGACGAGCTCCCACATGGTTCTATCCACGAGAATCGGGAATGACTACATGGGGATCTCAACGCAGGGACATGGGTCTGTGTTTGCACGATTGAAATAGCTAGACAGGGGACCGGTCCGATATTACGAAGTCAATACTCGATACGGGGAATCCTGCGTGGTGAATCTCAAAGGATGTACGATGCATATGCTAGTCATGATCAACCGATGAACCTTAAAGCGCCGTTGAGTTGACACTACAGAAACAGAACAGAGAAATACGAGAGAGACAAAACAACAAGGAACAAAGCACTTCTCATGACTCCAGCCTTGGAATCCTCGTGCGCCCCCTGAGTCGTAATCGGATCCCTTGCGTCAAATCTCGTTGTCGTCACGGTCTCAGCCAAGTAAGCCCGTTCGCTTCCCAACTCCCAGTGCCATGCAGTCTGGATTCCATGTGCGGTATCATATCCCTGGAGGATCGTTGGCGACTATCGGGTGATGGCTTCCGGCATATATGAGTCGGTTATGCGGCGCTGTGACTGGTGTGGCGCGAGTGTAGGTGCGCCACCGAGATTTGGGCGTTGGATCCGTCGATTAGTCGCTGTTACGCATATATTTGGACAATTAGATTATTGTACCTAGTATGTCTGAATTTGGTCATCGTATTCAAGGTTGGATATTCTATCATGGATTTAGATGAGTTTTTCCAGGCTATCTAGCCCTGGGGTTACCTATGTATGCACCTGGGCAGGTGAAAGTGGTTCTGGATGCGCATACCTAGTACACATGGATATATATCGAGTCCGAGCTCGGAGTACACCAGTTACTTAGCAACCACCAGGGCTTGGAACGCCAAGGGGTAGACTACCTAGATACCTAGTACGAATTTCAGACAGATAGGAATCGGTGAGAGCAGCTGAAATGATTGTATTTAATTATAGAGCAATATACTGCAGAGTAGTCTGGCATAAGGCTGCCCAAGGGGTTGAAGAGCACGTGCTCCACGCCATAGTCAGAGGACGATCCAAAATAGCACCAAACAAATCCGAGATCTCCTCAATCTTCAGACCGGTGATCGTCTGGGACCCGAATCTACTGGAAACGTTTACAGTTCAAAGTGCTCGCAAATATACCCCTAAAGAGGAAAGGTGGCACATTCAAGCCTCAAACATGGAAACGGACCGTTACGAGGCTTCGCACAGCTCTGCAAACCCACTACTAGTTCCTGAAACGAGGCTGAAAAGAAGCCACAAAAAAAAAGGGGGGGGGGGGGGGAATAAGGTAATCTAGAATGGTTTTGGCCCCCTAATGTGTTTCACGCTTACTCCAAACCGAGGAAAAGGTCAGATCGAGAGGGTCGGAGTGTGCGAAAATTTGCTATGGTATTTGCCGTGGACGGGCAGGAACTGCTCCGTCCAGGTTCCACTCTGACATCCATCGCCCCTCTTCGCCTCCCGAGTCATGCAGGTGTCTGAAAAGAGTGATCATGACGACTGTTTTGGGATACATATTCGTTTCAACGGTTCCTCTTTTTCTCGGGTTTTGACACCGGTCTAGTGCGCTGTACCATTGACTTGGGAAAAACAAATAACAAATAGTCAATCCAGGATCCAGGATCCAGGATCTAGTTGAACAGGATGAAAAAATAAGGGAAGAATCAAATAGTCCTACCGGTAGAATGGGCTCTTTGTGCTCCCTGTGGAAACGATTAGGTTTAGACCGGATAGATAGGGTTGGCGCGGATTTTGTCGTCGGGTTTTGGGTGATTATTGGTTCACAGCCTCTAGTTTCAAAGACGCGGTGTATTCTGCGGTACTCCGTACAGCACTCGAACCGACCCTGTACCCGTGGCGGTTCACGGAGCGGGCCCTTGACACATATGGCCCATTCGCTATCTCCGCTCTCCAGGTAACAATCTAACCGCCCGTACACTAGCTCGTGGCGTTAAGCGAGAGCGAGAGAGACAGAGCGAGAAGAGAGAAAGAGGATACGCATACTCCGTACTGAAGGGCGATGGCCACGGGCGCGTGAACAAAGTACATGCAATGTACTCCCGAAGGAGATTTCAATCTACGTCGATCCCGTTGAAGTACTAGTATGTAGAGTGTGACAGCATAGGCCCAAACGGTTTCCCACAGATCGGGCACCATGGGAGTGGTCCCCGAGATGTAAAGCCCGAGAGCTAAAGCCCGGGACCCACCAATCACGGTGATTCTTGAAGTACGGGAGTATCGAATTCTAAATCCTTCTCTGTACTCGTACATCTGTACATCTTACATCTTACATCTTACATCTGTACATCTGTACATCTGTACGGAGTACGAATACTAGTTCTGCTGAATTCACTTCTGTGCTCTACCGGAGATTACGACTCGATGATTCGATGATTCGATGATTCTATGATTCTCCTAGACCACGAGCCCGGGCACGAGCTCGGAGCATACTGAGAGGACTCCGTAGCGGTACTAGCAATGGAATTTGTCAAGGGCCACGACGAAAAGGGCAATTGATGGAATTGAGCCTAATGCCCCTATGCAGTAGCTCGTATACTCCGTACTCGTGCGTTCAAAGATCTAGGACACGTGACCCAAAACGGCGAAAAGGGGTGACAGGAACGCTTGTGCTCGGGCCTTCCTGCAGAGCCATGCGAAGGGAAGGCCCGACAGTCAGGAAGCTGCGAGACCGTTCGCTCCACTCTTCAAGGTTATTCTTATACCTCGCACTTTGATAACCAGACATTAGACGGATTCCGAGATACAATGAATCGTGAGCTTTCTTTGTCTCTGCGAACATTCCAGAGTAGTTCCTCCCCTATCAGATCCAATTTCAAACATTTAATCTAAATCTCGAAGCGTGCACGGGACTTGTGATCAGCGGTGATCCCTGCAGGTCGACCAGGATTGATCTCAAATACTTACCGTGTCTCTCATTGGCCCACAGACCAGGACACTATTGTCCCCTTAGAGTGTAAACAGTTCCCGAACAAGAATAGCACGAAGTGATATATTTTATTTAAGAATATAAAGTGACAGGTCTTATTTCGGGTATACCCTAGTCGATGTTGCATCCCAGAGCGACGGGTTGATCCTTTCAGCAACGGCTTTTTGTTGTTTCCCAGATGTACGGAGAATGGGAATCCGATCTGACCACACGAGGGGCCTTGTCCACATGGCTACACAAAGGGTCATGGTACATCCTTGAAGTGTTTCACCCCCAGACTTGCCATCTTAGGACTCCGTACTGTATACTCTAGGAGAGTCGGTTGCAGTGAAAGGGGGTGTCTCCACCCGGTCTATAGATAGTTTGACACAAAACCAAAAATCAAATTCTGTGTATACATACGGCGCGGCAGAGGATATCAGAATGAGATCTGGGAGTCGAGCTCCAGCTCCAAGGTGTGAAATAGATTAACGCCAATAGATTAAAGATGAAGTGATGCCCATAACCGCAGCCTATCTTTACCGGAACGGGTAGCCCCGCTACCAATGACAAATAGCTGGGGAGCCAATCAGCAGCCGCAGACTGGTTTGCGTTTACGCGGGAGAGGAACAATGCACGGCAAACAAGTGACGATACCCTTCTTGCGGCTTGCAGGTATACAGTTTACCACACGACCGGGTAAGAAAAAGCAAAAAAAGGTGTGGCTTGCGTTTCAACGGTTTCCACCGGTGGAGATCTCAGCTGCGACATGCCTAACCAGGTAGTCTGGAAACTTCGTTCATGTCGATCCCTCCCTCGATCCCGATCGTTCTGTTGATGCATCATCTTTTTACCATGTCGTATGTACGGAGTGGGCTGGACATTTTACAGGAGTTGTTGCGCGCGGGAAGTAGATTGCCTTGTAGTTGTAGGGCACGTCAGGTCTACAGTATACTCTTTTTCTCCGATCCACGGTCAACCGTCCATGACAGTTGGCAGGTGGTCCATGCGTGGTATTTGATACGGGCTCATCTGTACTCCGTCCGCGGTGATGCTAAATTAACGAAATTCTCGTCTAAGCGAGACTTCGATCGTCCAGAGTCCACTGCGAGACGGAGTCGACTACGGAGTCGATGGAGTAGACACGGGTATCTCATGAAAGTGAGGCGTAGAGACACGGAGAACTCCTGTAAGCTGTCTCGTCGGACCTTAAAAAAAGGAAGTTCTATAAAAAGTCAATAGTGTACAGCTGTGAGATCTGAATCTGACCGGATCCACATCTCTGTCGGTGTTGTTCGGGGGTCGAAGCTTCCTGTCATCGAACGGGGCCACCGACTTCCCCATACTATTGAAGCAAAATAATAATAATGGGTAATTTGCATCGCAAAAACGCGAGGAAATGGAAAGAGGAAAATGATGGAAAATCGTCACGGACAGTGCCCGAGTAGGATTTGTCAATGGCCCCAACTCCACCGAGATCCACCGGGTGGATCGGAACAGGGCAGAGCTCTGGGAAACTATCTCGATCGGGCCAATTACGTTTCGGATTTGACCGATGGTACATGGATCGATGTCATCGAGCTTGAGTGTTGTGCATGGGCATGGGCATGGCTGGCTGAGAGGGGAATCCGGGACGTCTAACCGCTTGTCACTCGGATAGATCTGCACCTGGGCATTTCGTTTTTTGAAAAAAAGGAATTCTTTTTTCTTTTTCTCTTTTTGCTTTTTGACCCCTGTCTGTGGCTCACATCCATGGTTTGTGATGTTACGGACTCAATTATGGGAAATAGAAGTATGGTTCGGCTTCTGCCCTATTCTGCATGTAGTAAGTGTACATCTACACTATTCTATACTGTACTATAGTATAGTACTGATGCTCTATGCTCTACTGTATACCGTAGAGTACACTGTCCAGAAGACGATCGGTTAGCTCTCAAGAGCTAGGACGAAACCAGTGATTTGGAATTCCAGCAACGGGGCTCAGGGTCGATCACTCCGATCAGTAACTGGACGCGTTTTCTTTTCCTCAGCCCGGACTGCCGGGTCGTACTGAAGATCCCAACGGAGCATTTTTCCACACCCCACGATCTCATAAATTACAATAGTCGGTATTCTATACGAGGAAATGCATTCCCTGAAAAACAATAAAATGCCCAAAGGAGTAACCAATAAATCCATCAAATCAATTAAATCAAATAACGTATTGTTCCGAACTGTCAGCTCCGAGATCTTGGATCGTGATCTTCTCATTGCGGGACCTGGTTTTTCTTTTGGACCCGTCCCCCTGGGTACATGGCTTTTCCTTCTTAAAGGTTCGGAAAGTACCCCATTCTCTTCTCATCAAACCTTCGAAACTCTCTCACTTCAAGATGCCTGCTTCACACCGCCGTGGACCTTGGGTCCCTGAGGAAGACCAACTCCTCACTCAACTTGTCCGTGAACAGGGCCCAAACAACTGGGTTCGCATTTCTCAACACATGCACTACCGCTCCCCCAAGCAATGTCGGGAGCGTTTCCACCAAAACCTGAAGCCCTCTCTCAACCGGGAGCCCATCTCAGCCGACGAGGGTCTGATGATTGAACGTATGGTCAACGAGATGGGCAAGCGCTGGGCGGAGATCGCCCGCCGCCTCGGCAACCGCAGTGACAATGCCGTCAAAAACTGGTGGAACGGCAGCATGAACCGCAAGAAGCGTGGTCTCTCCACCCCCACCACCTCACGCACATACTCCGGCCGCATCGAGGCGCCTTACACCCGCGCCTCCATGATGAGCCCTTCGCGCCCTCGCTTCTCCGTCTCTTCATCTCGCCCATCCTGGACCGACTCCATCGAGTCTGCCATCTCTGAGCAATTCTCCCACTCTCGCAGGGAGTCCATGGTCTCTTCGCGCCAGCTCTCTCCCATCTACACACTCCCCTCTATCAACCGACCGATCGAAACTCCCCTCACCTCACCCGCTTTCTCAGAGGTCTCGCACTCAAACTCCTGCGAGCCGCCTTCGATGGTCTCAGACCACAACTCTGTCTGCTCTTCTTCGCCTCGCACCATTCCCTCCCCACAGCTCCTGCCTCTGCCAGTCGACCTGCGCTCGCAGTACGAGAGCCGGAGGCCAAGCGTGCACGTCGTGGAAGATTCACCCAGCTACCCGACTCGCTCACTAGAGTCCCTCTCCGAGATCGCCTCCAAGCGCTGGATGGCCCACCAGCCTACCCTTGCTTCATGGCACCAACCAACCGACTTGTCCAAGTCATGGATCCCCAGAGCCGAGCCCGCTCGTGACACCCGAATGGGTGTGAACAGCCTGCTCAACTGAAACCAAACGCAAAAACAAAAAGCAAACCAAAAACAAGGCACCCCACGCCTATCCCTGCATTCATGATTGCCACGAGTCTCCTTTCTCAAAGAGTCAATTTTCTTTTCTACTGTTCTATACTTTTTGATTCCCCCTTGCGCCTGGGTATCTGAAACCCTGCTGTCCATTTGTTTGTCCAAAGCCTCGCGCTTTGTGTTGATTGGGAGGTATTACGATTTCCTTTTGTATACTCTTAATGTATATTACCATGATTCGAAGCAAAAAATCCTACACTTTTTAGGCTTATTTCACGTGAAACCCAGTAAATAGTAAACAGTATCTTCAATTTAGATCAAGTCCGATATTTGGTCTTGAAGCTTCCCCCCCGGAACCATCATCTGGGGGAATAAACATAGGATCAACCGTTGAGAACCAATGCCCGATCGTCCGATATCCCAATACCAGTGCAATGGCTACCGTAGGTTCATAGTGGACCCCAAAACCTGACCTGTACCCTGTACTCGTGCCGAGTACAGTACTAGTACATCAGCAGGGAAAGGCAATGGGCCTTCCAACCGTTTAACCCCCCCCCCCCCTCTTTACATGGGATGCCCATGACGAAAGCGCCACTAGACACGCTGTACTCACGAGGACGGACGCAAGGGAGACCGATTCTGGTCAGGGCGGCCTAAGCACGGAAGTAAGGACCCACTGGTTGAACAAAGCAAGGTCCATCTCAACTTCTACTGTACATGGTTGGACATGAGCCCATGTGAACCCAATGGGTTTCTCACGCCTATTGCTTGTGCACATCTACTAGTCTATGCGCCTAGATCCTGGGATCAGGTCCCCAAACCGGGTACGCTGGCCAAAGGTTAATGGATACCAAATGCATCTACCGAATGGCGATCAGATGTGATCCATACGCACATGCACATCTGTATGGAAATCGAAACGCACCACGAACCTGCACTGTGATGGGTGAAGTGACATGCACCAAGAGGAAAGCCCCAAAGTTTAAGCGAGGTTCGTCCAGGCCCTCAAACGGTCTTGTTCTTGGAGGTAAGATTTCTTTTTCTTTTTTTCTTTTTTTTCTATTAAACCGGGTCATCTGTCCACTCGGCGGGTGATTTGAACCAATACGAGGACTCGGAGAAGACAAGAGGAGTGGGCGAATGAGGCCAGAACCGGTTCACGGGCTTGGCCTCTCGCCTTTGCCTCCAGATGGATTCGGCCAGGTACCTTTGTACTTACGGCAGGAGTCGTAGGGTCGAATCATCGGCAGGGGTGGACGGGATGAGCGTTGGGGACAGGGAGTGCGGCCAATCAGCGGATGCAGCGAGCGGACTGGCCACCTGAGGATGAACGGCGGGGCTGAGATTCGGTCAGTGTTCGTGCATGCACATAAGCCAGCCCGCTTTGGGTTTTCGGGGAGTGCCTACCGCTTGGCGTCGCACTGTAACCGTTGTGGTTCTGGTTTCGCTTTCGACTACATATCTGGTAGGGAGTACAGAGTACAGGAGTATTCCAAGGTTGTTTGGTACAGTGTTTATTGTACGATTATTCGTATACGATATAAAATCTACATGTCGAAATTATGTGGTTCTGGTCGCGATTTGCCGCCCTGCATACTCCGTACTAGTACAGCACATGTAACATTGTAGATCGATCGAGATATCCATACGTCTCCATACATACGAAGTAGTACAAACGATTTTGGAGTCAGCTCCACACGGGCATTCCGTACCAGGCGACACACACGGCATCAGCTCGAGGTGATAGTGTATCGTTTGCCGAGAGGGCAATTACCGAATCAGACGCGGTAGCAGACATTAGCGATATTGCGGCACATTGGCATTGTGAGATCTGCATTTCTATTTGAAATATTTTAGCTTACATTCTCGCTGCATGGTACTTTCGACGGTGTGGATCGGGCGGGATGCGGACCGTGGAACTCAGCACGAAAACTCTGATGTCATATTAATGACAGTATTCGAGTGTGCGTCATGTGTGAAGTATTAACAAGGCATAGTACTATAGTGTGTTCTCAACTTTAGAATGTTGGACATGTAATACGAAAGACCGGATTCTCAACGGGCTAAGGGAACAGAGTTCAATCAGATGCTAGCTTGGACACCGTGATGACAGAAAAGGGGAACGCCAACGGCGCCAAGCGATCTGATCGAGCCGTTGTATCGTTTCAGGTGGGTATGGTCCATGGGTTGGCTGTGAATGGATCAGGGGTAACCTCGTTTTCACGGTACTCGTACGGAGTAGATCCAGTACTTCCAAGGAACCGCATATACGAGACGAATATCCATACATCTGTACGGAGTACAAATCTTGTACTGGTATGCTAAATCGACGTGGTATACGAGGGCCCTAGACTAGTAAATCGACCCATGGATTGAAGTACCCGTTGAGACCCAATCCCTCGGGAACGATCGACACCAACACATCCCTTTAGAGTGACTTGGTGCGCTCAATTTTGCGTGCCGACCGATCTCGCGATCTCAAAACGTCAGACCCAGGTAAGCACAAGAATGATGTTCCTTTCTACTTGTAGAAATGGGGTGCGAGATACTCCCATCCATAATTCCATATCCAACGGTGACAAGTCTATCAGATGCCTGAAAACCTGGGAACTCTCGCGAGGAACCACGGATCGGTGCGTTCGCAATAACCGCCATGTGCCCCATGATACCGACCCGATCTGGGGTTCTGATTGGCTGACGGGGAACCTCGGTGACCCACTCCCCCAGCCCCAAATAGCCTGGCTGTACTGTACATAGTACTGTACTCCCTACTTCGTACGGAGTACACTTTACACTTCCTAGCGCTCAGAGACCCGCCTGCCGGTGTCGAACCGTTTCCCCTGAAACATCGGATTTCCCGTAGGTCTCAATTTCAAGCTCTGTCAGCCTCTGGATTTCACATCAGCCATCCCTGGGTCTTGGGTGCTCTTCTCCCCGGGCATGGCAGCTCGGGACTAGCGCGAACATTGACACGCGTGGGATCTTCAGTCTTTCTTTTTGAGGTTCTTTGTCTTCTAGGTCAATCTCCAGCGCCAAGGTTCAACGAATTCCTCATTTTCAGTCACTTTTTTAAGTTAGTGTGGACTGCATAACTCCACTTATGCGTTGGCTATGTCTTGAGTGGCTGCCTTGGGCATCTATATTTATCCCCGAATCTCATATACTAGCCCTCTCCGCGGAGTATGGGATGATCAGGGGGCTTTTTGGCGGCAAGAGTTGAGGTCCTTCCTATTGCGGCTCGCGCGCTTGGTGCGCTCCAGCTACATAGCCCTGGCCATTTTTGGGAGATTCTAAAATCCCCTCGGCCTAGCGGAAGGCCGGGGGGCCGATGGGTGTTATCCCTGGACGAACTTGGAAGGAGACCAACATGGAAAGAGTCTGTCTCGAATTGGGATATGCTTCAAAAAATGGTGGATTCAGGAGACTCAATACCGTCGGCGTACGAGCCGCCAGAAGATGAGGTGCATTTTGACCAAAGAAGGAAGGTGAGTAGATTGGCAGACCCCGGACTATGTATCAAGGTAATGTGGCGACCTTGGAGCTGCTCGAGTCTCATTGACGAACAAAGACGGGCATACTATCGATTGGACATTCAACTACAACCTCCTTTCCTCCGTCATAGACCTGGGTCCCATCCCATAGTTTCCACGATGCCTGGCCTGGCAGATAGACCTTGCTGGTACGCTGCCCCGGCTCCAAGACAGGGGCAACCAGGTACTTGTCTCCAAACATGTACTCAGTCTCGACATCCCAGGCTCTCTCGTCTTCTGGGAACTCATAGAACAGAGTTCTCATCACCGGAGTTCCTTTCTCATGGGCCTCACGCATCAGTCCACGCGTGTACCCTCTCATGACCTCTCTCATCTGAATATACTTCTTGCAGATCCCATACACCTCCTCTCCATATGACCAGACCTCATTATCCGCGCCACTAGCCGTGGGCTGACCCTCTGGCTTGGGCTCCCGATCTCCATGAAGCCTCATGACCGGACAGAACGTCCCCCACTGGAACCACCTCGTGAACAGCTCACGGAAAGCAGGATCTTCGGGATTCCCACCGTGGAAGCCCCCGATATCAGTCGTCCACCAAGGGATGCCTGCGATTCCCATGTTCAAGCCGGCTGCAAGTTGATTGCGGAACGAACTCCACGACGATGCGATGTCGCCGCTCCATACCAGCGCGCCGTATTTCTGGCTGCCCGCCCATGCGCAGCGGAGCAGGTTGACGATGTTCTCTTGTCCCTCCGCCGTCATGCCTTCATAGAACGCGCGCGCGTATTCTTTCGGGAAGATGTTTCCGATCTGAAGATTGCTGCCGGCGTGGTAGCGGTAGATGTCGAAGTCGTAGATGGAGTATTCGGGCTCGGCTTCGTCGAGCCAGAATACCTTGATGCCCATGTCATAGTAATTCTTCTTGGCTTTGGCCCAGATAAACTCTCGAGCTGAAGGGTTCGTAGCGTCGAAGTGTGTGACGTCCCCGTCGCATTGCATTGCTACTCGCATTCCGCGGTCGTGACGGATCAGAAGTCCTTTTTCAAGCATTTCAGGGAAGTTTTCCGATGCGTTCTCCACTGTTGGCCAAATGGAGACCATGAGTTCGACTTTGAGCTCCTTGAGCTCCTTGACCATCGCTTCTGCAATGATTGTTAGCGCGGCTTGGTGCCGTTCATTGTGTAGATGCAACATGAAAAGTTACATAGCCTGCAAGACATAACTCACCAGGATCAGGCCAAAACTCTGGGTCGAAACTCCATTCTCCCTGATGCTTCCAATGGAAGAAATCAACTACAATCAAATCCAAGGGCACTTCGCGGCGTCGATACTCTCGGGCAACATTGAGCAGCTGCTCTTGGTTCCAGTAGCGGAGCTTGCACTGCCAGAAGCCAAGGCCGTATTCCGGCATCATGGGCACATAACCCGTCACTTTGGCATATGCCTCTTCAATTTCGGCAGGTTTATCCCCCGCTACAACCCAGTAGTCTAACGCTTTGGTAGAGAAGGCTTCAAAACTCATCACGTTGGTTCCTAGAACCGCTCGTCCTAGACCAGGGTTGTTCCAGAGGAGTCCGTAGCCAAGAGAGGATACCGCGAAAGGAACACTGGCTTGGGAGTTGCGGTGGGCTAGCTCAAGGTCCGATCCCTTGAGGTTGAGGTAGGGCTGTTGGTACTGGCCCATGCCAAATATCTTTTCTTTCGGACTGAGGGACTCGAATCTCATGGTGAGGTGGTAATCGCCGCCTAGTATCGGACGCAGCTCGCGCGCTTCGATTGTCAAGGCGCTGCATTTTGGATCCATGGGGTCTTTTCGGTGGCGGGCATACTCCTCGAGGAGTTTGTTTCCCTTCGAGTCATAGATAATGATCTTACCACGACGAGAGATAGTGGCTGTGATTTTACCATTGGTGATACTCGCTTCCTGATCGGATGTTTTGATGGTTGGGCTCGAGGTGGGCGGCTTAGAAGACAATGCCCAGTCTTCAGTTGGCATTGAGGCTTGTCTTGTTGCCCGTACGCGAAACGCATTTTCTCCCCATGGTTGAATCCACAGGATATGGTCATCAAAACGAAAAACGAGTTTGTCGTCCTCGGCGAAGAGCATCTCGAATATGCGGTGTTGACTTTGGGGGATTGGATACTCTCAGACGAAGATGAGTCTGAGATAAATGTTGTTGAACAATTGACCAGTCCAGCCCTGAGAGCGAGGTTAAGTATCATCGAGAGGACGTGTACCCCTCACCATGCAGTACGAATGTGAAGCCATGGCTGCATCTGAGTAAGTGACGTAGACCTCATGCACACATTGCGAGAAGACAGTATCATTTGCTCCAGAGCCGTTAGAATTAGCATATGTGTTGGGCTGTGGGGATGTCTCGAAATGCGTCGAGATTATAGGCAGCGCCTGCTGCATGATTAGCCTAAAGTCGTCTTTCCATATTCATCACGGGCACATTGCCGTCTCTTCTCTGAAGGTGGATAGGTCAACAGTTATCCCCCCTGAATGTTGGTCAAATTGAAGATGTCCGTAAAAGAAGAATGGATGTGCCTATCTACAGCCTGCAATCCACATGAACAGTTGGCCCGGAAGCCCTAAACCATCGTGCGATTGTCCAATTATCATCACGAGCGTGTTGTACACATAGCTTGTCATTCTTCTGCTATGATCAAATCAATACAGATGATTTCCATTTTGCTCTAGAGAGGAAATATGTATCATGCTTTGTGCTCCGTACAGGGTAGCGGGCGTACAAATCATTATCTACTTCATTGGTGATATGTGCTATGTGGAAGCGTTCGGTTGTCCAATCTATCATACCTAGGTTTGAGCAACACATATCAAGGTGCCAAAAAGTAAGCCGGTCGTGTCACATCGTCGGAGTGATGCTGAGTACATCCTGACTTGCATACTTGACTGACAATGAATGGTGCTCCTAGAGGGTGTCGCCGGTTGATATTGGCGTATGCAGTTCTTAAACGTTGCGGCCAATATTCTGCATTGGCATGATCGAGATCTTGAAAATTCTCAATTCACACATAGCAATCGTGTTTCTAATCAGGCACTGGAGTTAGATACATGATGTCGTATTCAGTGTCATATGGATGATCAAGGATATCTTGTTTGATATGATCGACAAAACGGACATCGAGAGTTTCATTGATCTGTCTTTGCATATTGAGTGATCTGAATGGTAATGTGAAACCAAATACGATTCGGATGAAGTGAAAGGAATGCTCAATTGAGATGTCTTTGTGAAGACACTCACCGCCAGCCTTTCCGAAGTTCATATACGCTAGTCCCGATCGGGACGGCGAATGGAGCTACCGCGGGTGGTTCTGACCTGCGCATCGTTCATTCCAACCTCTTGCTTGCTGACGACTCTCAATTACTGACGCCGGTCACCTTAATCTATACAAAATTACGACTTGCTCGCCCAATATGGCGCTTAGCGGGACCGCCCCCATCGCGGACATGGATATCGACATGGATCTTGATCTGGGACCTGAGCCAGAAGCCGAACCAATGCAGGTGCAGACGGTAAGCGCTGTTATGGTCATATCCGACCGGTCGGTGGTTGACATGAACTGCACGTTAGGAACAAACAGCGTCGGCCATAAACCTCGACAGTGCCATTGATCCCCTCACGGAGGAAGCGGTCTACGAAAAAGTTCATGTTCGCGGGGTCGACGAGATGACTACAGAGAACATTAAGCAATTCGCCCGCGATTACTCCGGCCATGAGCCAACGCGCATTGAATGGATCGATGATACCTCCGCCAACATCATCTACTCTTCCACCGAAGTCGGCCTCCAAGCTCTGGCAGCTCTTACTCAAGCCACCGAAGAAGAAGACACGTCTTCACTGCCACCTCTGCGTCTGCGGTCTGCGAAACTGTTCCCGTCCCATCCGGACTCCGTCCTCCAAGTCCGATCGGCGGTCAAATCCGACCGCAAGCAAGCTCGCGCTCACGAAAAGAGTCGATTCTACCTTATGCACCCAGAGCATGATCCTCGGGAACGTCTGCGACAGGAATTCAAGGATAGACGGCGCAGCGAAGACGGAGGTGATAGCGATTACAGCAGGCGCAAGTTCGACGACCGGGAGCACCGCCGTCGCCGAGATCGCGATGACAGCGATCTATTCAGCGCCGACATGTACGGTGATAGCGTAGGCGCCAGTAACGCTGGAAGAGAGCGCCGAGGCCGTGGACGCGGCCAGAGGGATCTTCTCCCAGACGATGCGGACCGCGCGAGCGGTCGTCTCCGTAACCGCAGTGCATCACCGGGACGAGATACGCTGGAAGAGGAGCTCCAGAGCAACAGGGATGGGCGTGATACCAGCAGACGATTCCGCGAGAGGTCGCCGCGTTCATCTCGCCGAAACGAAGGCAAAGAGCTTTTCTCTGGGGACAGCGAGAGCACCCCGGGAAACCGGGAGCTTTTCCCGAACAAGACCACCGACAGCTACATCAAGAAGGACCTGTTCCCCACCAAATCCAGCAATCATCGTCGCTCAGATGCATTTGATGCTTCCCGTGTGCCAGGAACAACTGAACACCAGCACTCAAGCAACGTCGATCTTTTCCCCGAGTCTGACCAAGGCGACCGCATTCGTGGCATAGTCCGCGAAGACCAGGGTTATGCCATCCGCGGCGGCGCATCGCAAGGGCTATCAATCAAGGGCAGAGGTGAATCGGTGCGCGAATTGTTCCCTTCGAAATATGGGCCTGGTAACGGGAATAATGCCGGCAAGGAGCTGTTTTCCGACACGCTGGAAGGACGTGGTGGTCCTCGGCGTCGGGCAGAGGATATGTTCAGTTGAAGGGATGAAGCACAGTCCTCGAAATGCATCACCGTAATTGTTGGATCGCTTCATGAGTCGCATGGATCACTGGCGTTTAAATGGACGAAAACGGATCTGTCTGATAAAATTATCCATAATAACATATACACTCTCTACTTTCCAGTGTTCTGAAAACCCCATTTCCAACTATGATGTATCGTCCGGCTTTCTAGGTAGAGTTTGTAGAGTTGGCAGCTCTCCTAGGGCTACTTCGTGCTGTATCCTGATGGATACTTCGTCGCGGACTAACCTTCCCTCATCACATCCCCGGCAAACGCCACCATGGCCTCCCCCTCAACAATAGACACTTTGACAAGCGCCTTAGTCGCCAGATTCCTGCGCAATCACCACTTTTCTGACACATTAGAGGCTTTTGTCCGCGAGGCTGGCCTTCCCCTCGACGTGGGGCAGGGTGCAGACGGCATCAATGACTGGACCATCCAAAGCTTGATCGAAGAGAAGAAAACTTATGATCAAACTGCAAAATTTGAGCGATATGGTCAAACCGAAAAGCAGTCAACTTTATGGACTGAGCCAGGTGCGTTATGATCTTGATTCTGCAAGCTCACTGCAACCCATGGACAGGCTGGCCCTGCATATCAAGGCATGCCTGCGGTTGACTGAAATTGATGGTCTGACAAACCCTTAGCGCCATCAAAAGCCGTTGTTGTCCAGATGCCAACGTCTGCGAATCCACTTGCCGTATCAGTAGAGCAATGGCAGAGCCCCTCTGATGATGATACCCAAGATCCTGCAGCGGGCTTCTATATTGTCTCGACGGGCTCAGACAAACAAGTCCACTTATTGAACACTGAAGAGGGCAATGAGAGTGCCACATCCTTCCCTGGCGTCTCTGACTCTCCTGTTCTTTCACTTGTGTCCATACTCCAGGGGCGATACATCCTCATGACCAACATGTCTGGCAAATTGATTCTCCTGTGTGGGCACCAAACATTGGATACCAGGAAAGATCATGCCAAATACGCCGTCAAGGTAGCCGTCTACCAAGATAGAAAGAATTCATCCAAATGGTGGGTGGCAACTGCTGGCTGGGACCAGACTGTACTCCTGTATTGTCTCAATATCCCCGAAAACAATGCGACGACCTTGAGAATTGGCCAGCCGGTTGCGCGCATCAAGCTCATCTCCAACCCAGAATCGCTTCTATTTGTGCCGCACATTGATACAAATGAGCTCCTACTTCTGGTTTCACGTCGAGATTCTACTTCTATCCACTACTACCAGGTTGAGGTAGATGGCGCCAATACCGATGCCGCTCGTGAGGGCGAACCTCGAGAAGCTCAACTTCTGGGCCAGCAAAATCTAGCTCCCCATTCTAACACATGGGTTGCATTCTCCCCAGCTCACATGGCTCTCAGCCCCAATGATCCCGGCCTGCTAGCTGTGGCTACATCAACACTGCCGCACCTGAAGGTGATGATCGTACGCCTACTGTTCCCCAAAGCGACAGCAGATAAGCCCGACTCGACCTCCATGGCAGACCAAATGACACAAGCGTCTCAGGCAATGGCGAATTTGGCTATCCAGAACCGCGAAGACGCTGCGATTCTCGTGCAAGCAAATACATTTGCATCACAGACTGCTTATTCTACGCCACAGTTGGCGTGGCGGCCCGATGGGTCTGGCGTATGGGTAACTGGCGATGATGGGGTTGTTCGTGGCGTGGAAACCAAGACCGGGAAGGTCGTGGCTCTCTTGAAGGGCGGCCACGAGCCAGGGTGCAAGGTGCGGTCTGTCTGGTCTGGATATGTTGATGTTCCCCAACAGGGCGGTCACATAGTGCGCGAGGAGTGGGTAATTAGCGGTGCATTCGATAAACGAGTGATTGTTTGGAAGGTCTAGTCCCTCGAACAATGGTGCAATCGCGCATCAACTTGCTTGCGACTACCGTGAGCCTCAGAAAAAGACGAATGGAATAGAGAATCGAATTGATTGAACTTGGGTATACTAAATAATTGATGTTACGATCTACGTAATGTAGCCCTCCTGACTATGAACCCAGTCACGATCGAGAAGAATCAAGACAGGATATATAGCAATCGAAGACAGTTTTTCTTGGCACGTTAAGAAAAAATCCTTCAGCAATCGCGCATGAGAAAAGCACGCAGCTGTACACACATATGCCGTGTTGGGGGGAAGGGAAGAGGGAAAGGGGTGAGAAGAGCCTAAGCTCAAGGGCTGCAACGCAGTCGAAGTCCAACCCTCGAGACGGAATGGAAAGAGGATAGAGCAGAAGAGACTCCGCCTGGGAAAGTGGCACCGCTGTGCACATCGAATTAAGCTTGTTGATTTCTCGGTATCAAGCAACTCGATATTCGCGCGAGGAATAAGCAGGGACCAGGCCTATTCGACACAGCGGACCATCCTTGATCGCACACGTTATGTTCACTGGACCTGCGCGTTCGAGTTGCATTTCATGATTCCCATTTTTTAAAGACTGTTCATAATCTATGCGATCTCGCGCTTGCCCTCCTTGCGCTCCTTCTGTTCAATGGGTCAGTAATCCGTATCAAGGTGTTGTGTCGTATCGAGTGGTGAAACATACAAGGGCCTTCATGGTGCCGTGGAGAGCGTGACGGTGGTTGCGGCGGAACTTGGGGTCAACACCCTTGAGGGAGGGGTAACGGTTGGTCTTGGGCTTCTTGATACTGTTCAGGAAGATATATCAGCGACGATGTTCTGGTGCGGAGTGGTGCGTGACAGGTAGTGTAGTGGGTCGACCAATTTCCCCAAGGCGAGTCTTCGAGATGTGCCCCGAATCACCGCCCGAATAATTGCTGAACCTATTCAACACTACCCATTTCGTCCCTAAAATCCGTAGTTTCGACCGAGGAAAAAAAGCGGAGGTGTAACGAGAAGATGGTTCGGAATGTTCAAGGGCAAACGTACCCGTTACGGTGAGCCTTCTGGCTGTTGTGGTGCTGGGACGCGTTCTTGGACTCTGTGGGTGAAAATTCATGTCAGCGACATCGCCCTTTTTCCATTTTCCGGCAGACAGTCGAGCGGAGATCGTATGTTCGAAAGGGTAACGTACTGGCCATCTTGTCGGATGTTGTCGCTGATTGACGGTGGGATGGATGGGGAGGAGAGGGAACTGGGGACGTCAGGCCGTAGAGGGTCGGCTAGGGCTCATTCCGTTTGTGGGCTCTCGCTTATCGGGGCGGTGTACATACTAAGTGTTCTTACAGCGGACTTACTTGCGGACTATGCCTACTTAACGTCATAACATCGGGCTATGACGAGGGCTGTGCTATTATTTAAGAGGGTTGTTTAAATGAATCTGGATTTTGAATTGTCTTAGCTTATCATGGGGGGGTTTTCGAACTTTTCAAATTCCTCATCTCGCTCCATTCTGCCGCTGTCCTGCACGTGATCTTGAATTCAATACCACGTGATTGGATATCCCGCCGCAGGCCAAAGTAGCTTGCTTTTTACTCACCTGTTGACCGATTGAAGCTGCTGGATTCAATCAGGGGATATAGAACCCCGATAATATCTGCCTCAGCTTCACGAATCAAGTACACTTGGCGCACGCTCGCGCTTCACGTTCGAGCTCCACGTTTAAAGTTGAAGCTGATCGAAGAAATCAGCCACATTGATCCCTGAGACACTTCTAGCTTCATAGATCAGTACTCCAACAAATAGCTAGCTCTGTTCCTTCTCTGTCGAAAGATTCATCGAATGTTCGTAGTAGTAGTAACCAAGGCCCAATGCTGGCCGTAGTTCGGCCGTTGGATTCCCGTGCCACGTGACCAGCCGCTAGGGAACAACCGGCATTCCGACTTCGACCTTTGCAACGCAACTTCAAGAGGGATAATCCAGCCTTGCACGTCTTCCTCCACATCAAAATGAGCTCATTCCGCTTCGCTCGCTCTGCCCTCCGGGCTCGCCCTTCTTTCCTCGGTGCTCCCGTCCAGCGCCGCGGTTACGCTGAGGCCGTCGCCGACAAGATCAAGCTGTCCCTGACCCTTCCTCACCAGGTGCGTGAACCAACCCCGGCCACCCTTCTCACATCGAATGGCATGTGCTAACGTGACAATTGTGCTATAGACTATCTACCAGTCCGCTGGAGTGTATGTTTGACATCCACCTGCCCTCGTTCGCGTCGACGATGTCTCCGCCCTGAAATACTGACCGACCTCCGCGATTACAGTACCCAGGTCAACATCCCCGCCGCCTCCGGTGAGATGGGTGTCCTCGCCAACCACGTTCCCTCCATCGAGCAGCTCAAGCCCGGTCTCGTTGAGATCCTCGAGGAGAGCGGTGCCAACAAGCAGTACTTCCGTATGTCCGATCCTCGCATCTTGAAACATGTCGCGGGAACATGTCGCAAATCTGGTCTTGTGTCAATGAGGAACAAATAACTAACAAAAACTCTGTTTGGTAGTCTCCGGTGGCTTCGCTGTTGTCCAGCCCGACTCCCAGCTCAGCATCAACGCCGTCGAGGGTTTCGCCCTTGAGGACTTCAGCGCTGACGTAGGTTTTTCCTAACCATGTCTTGATTAAAACTAATTCAAATTCCCGCTTCAGTCTATCCGTGCTCAGATCGCCGAGGCCCAGAAGATCGCCAGCGGTAGCGGCAGCGAGCAGGACATCGCCGAGGCCAAGATCGAGCTCGAGGTAAGAGCCCCCTTGCTTAAGACACAAACATGATCGCCTTTGAATACTAACACGTTGGATAGGTTCTCGAGACCCTGCAGGCTCACGTCAAATAGACTTGATGTACATACCACTACCACACCACCCATGAACCTGTAGAATTATAGCAATTCACCTTTTGCCCCCTAATTATACTTCTCTCTTCTAGTGCCTCTGGTTTCTGCCTCCATACTCTGTAGGCTTAGGAGCGCGCCTTCCAATTGGGGACCGAGCATCAGCCCAGCATTTCCCCTCATCTTGAATCTCCCTTCACTAATGCGCAGCCATGACCCGCCCTATATCCTTGAAAACTGATCCTCTGGGCTCGCTCGATACGCGAATCGCAATGGCCGAGCCTTCCGCAGCAAAATCACGTCTCGGCCCCTCGGCCACCGTTTTCGGGCTTGAGGGGGCTGCTGAAGAGCCACCCGGCAGTATGCAATCGGGGATCAGCCCGAATCGTGATTACCGAACCCTTGAGCTTCGCGAGTCATTCGGCGCCTTCGATGTTGGCCAGCAATGTCCCCGACTAGAGCTAGATGCCGCTGTGAACAAGTGCCACTTGCTTGACGGTCTCGCTGGACCCTCAAACCCACAAAACACACCTGCCTCAAACAGCGCGAGAGAATGCACGCCTGAGCCACTTCAATGCGGCATGAAGGATTTGCAGGCGAGTTCCGCATTCGAATTCAACAATTATCGATTTGGCAGCTTCAACAAATTACCAGAGAAAGGCTTTTTTGCGCCCCGAGACGATGACGCTGAAACCTCGAAACCTCAGAAGCTACGCCGCCCGTTTGACAATCAAAGACGAGCGCTCAAACTCCCGCTCACCGGTTTGAGGGGTCGTCGCACCATCACAAATCGAAGCGCCATGAGGAAGCCTGGCAATCCCGGCTTGGTGAGGTACGTTCGGTTTGGCGCAACCACTTCTCTTTCGTGCTCACCTCCTCATGTGACGTGCCGTCCTTCGCCTTCGATTGAGCGAAAAAGGAACTACATATCGACCTATCGACAGAAGATGCATTGCGAGAAGTGGAGGATAGCTCGCCGGCCAACGCCCAGAAAACCTTCCCCTATCTGCAACTCCACACTCGAGGCTCAAATCATGGGGAACATGACTCCAAAACAAGCTGACGGATTTGATCGCTCGCTGTCGAGCTCACCATTGCATGGTTTCGGCCAGACGCCGTCCCCGGCCCGATCTTTCAATGGTACTCATGCCCTGGACGGCACGTTTGACAGCCCTCAAAACACACCTGCTGTGCGTAATTCCAAAGCTCCGCGGGGTAACCAGAAGAAAAAGATGTATGTCAATATCTCTTTCTCGCTCTACAAGGTCCACAGTGCGCCCGGAGCACTTCCGGGAAAGGTTCGTCAATACGCCTATGAATTCCGAAAGGTTGAGACCGACTTCACAAGTCTCTCGGGGTATCTCCCACTGGACGTTCCCTACCGTTTCGAAAAAACAACGGGACTTGTGGCTGTCAATGATCTGGTGTTTCGTACTTACTTCATTATACCGTCGCGCGTCACCAGTCTTCCCTTGGATGCTCTTTCCACTGCCACACAATATCTGAACAACACACAAGTGGGCTACTGTGTGTTTGGTCTTGCGAGAATCATCCGGTTGCTGCTGACTTACGCCATCGCTTTCGTTTGTTCGCTGTGTGGAGTGACAATTAGGCACCATCGGCTTGCCGACGTCCGTTCGGACTGAAGGTCAACATGGTCAAGAAGGATCTGAGGCAGGAGAAGCCCAAAAATGCCCTGTGAGCGCAAGCAGCCTCTAATATACGGGGCTTCTCGTCTTTCTATATCAGTAACATCGCAGAGTTAGGGCTTGAAACTGCCCAGGTGAAGACCTGTGGTCTTTGCGTGATATCGATACCTAGGTATGCTTGAGACTGAACGTTGAGCTATAATTAATATAAACTTAATTTGACCTTCAATCCCGATCATACATCGGCAAGGTCTACCTAGGTACCTATGTATGTAGTAGTGAAGAGGACTCGTCCGTCATGCCTGGGAACTAGTGTGGTGGCTCACGGCCGATAACTATGAACAAGAACAACGTGCTAACGTGCAAAAAAAAAAAAAAAAAAAAAAAGAATTGACAAGACGCATCCATATTGGAGTCTTCGAACTGAGTATCACCTCGTTACATCCTGACACCAAAGTATTTATGTAGGCAAGACAACCTTGGAATTACCTACCTAGTAGGTACTTGGATTAAATATCTACATAGGTAGGTACTTTCTAGGTGAAATCTTGGGTGTGAAACACATTAATCTATCTCGAATTGTTAAGCTCACTTTCTGCTAAGAAAATATTGTAGCTAGTGACAAGGTGCCACAGTAACATGGCAGGCAATACTATGGCCGCAAATTTCGAAAGAAAGAAGATAACACTGCAACGTAATAGTCCACCGATTGCCCCAAAGATCCGTCCAAGCGCTGGCATACCCAAAAAGAAATAAAAGGAAAAGCTATGTAGCCATGAGAAATGTTCCAGGTCGTTGCAACGGGATAGATTCAGAATAAAAAGCAAGACATAACACAGTGAGTAGGGGTCATCATATCAACACGGTGTTCAAGCACATAACTCATTTTGTACATGTCGTAAATCATGTCTGAGATAGACACAAGAGAAAAGGAGAAGGGGAATAGGCATAGAGTAGACAGTGGGGGGATTTAGGTGAATTCAACACCATGCTGCTGCTGTCTCTCTTGGCGAGTTCTGGCTCGCTCTGCACGTCTACGCCGACGGTTGTTTGCATACGAGCCACTCATCTCAGTAGCTGTATATGGAGGTGAGGTTATGCTTCCAGGGCCATAGGGCATGCTGGAAGGCGCGGGAATCGGGGGTGGGGGTGGCATCTGGCTGACTTGCGAGGGTGGAGCAGCCCACGAGGATGTAGGAGCGGGACCCGAAGGAGCAACGAGGGGAGGAGGAGGCGCAGGAGGAGCAGCAGCAGCGGCCTGTTCACGACGCATTTGCTCCTCTTGTTGGCGTTCCAGCTCTTCGACGCGACGCCAGCGATCGTAACCGGCGTCTTCGTTGCCGGAAAGAGAGCCCGCGCTGCTGTTGCGACGACGCGAGCTTCTTCGCTCTCTGCGGCGGGCTTCACGGCTCGCGGCTGCTTCTTCTTCGGTCAGTCGGCGGAGTGTCACATGCCGGCCGTCATTGTGCATCTTTACTTTGACGGATACTGGTGGTGAGGCGACATCTTCTCGGCGTCTGCTGCTGCTTCTATTGCGACGAGAGGCAGAATCCAGAGCCGCGCCGGCAGCTGCACCAGCGGCCGCACCTGATGTAAACTCCGACCCGGCAGGCGGGATGGAGTGACGTGAGTGAGGACGCTCTGAGGCAATGTCCCCGGAGTATCCATGATGATGCACAGGCGGCATGGGCGGCATTTCTGACACAGAGCTATGGACAGCACCCGAAGCGAGTGGTTCAGGGCTGAGGAGTGATTCTTCGTGTGAGGCATGTCGACGTTGTGGCGGCGGGCGAGATAGATCGGTTTCAGTGTAATCGGTCTCACTGTATGAGCTGGCCCTTCTTCGTGGATAGGGTCCCGCTCCCCCTTGGGGCCGTCGTTTGCTGTTTGCTCTTTGAAGGGCCTCGTCCTCATCATCCCGACGTCGGATGTCGTCTAGTCTTTCCCTCTCAGCATCGTCTTTTTTGTTACGACTGAAAAGTCTCTTGAAAGCGGCGAAAGCACCAGCACCCGCAGCCGCATTCCGAACTTTGTGGTCTTGTCTGGGTGGCTCCGTGAAATATGTGCTGTCATAGTAAGATGAGCCTGGGCTTTGCGACCTACTTGGTGCTCGGCTTGGTGGGCGATTGAGGGGTGTGTGGTGGGTTGGCTCGGGTCGACCATCTTCCATCCGGCTCAGGGACTCTTCTGTATAGCTGTGGCTGCGAGAATGGGCCGGCTTATAACGCCCTGACTCTGCATCGTCTTCCTTCTTCTTTCGACGATCCCAGAACTTCTTGGCCATGAGACCCGCTCCAGCGAGTGCGCCAATCTCGAGTAACTTTTTACCAAAACCACCACCACCGCGACCATGATGGCGCGAAGACTCATCCGAGTACTTTTCATCAGAAAGAGAGGTGCGGGAATCTTCGTAGGTACGACTGGTGTGTCGGCTATTTGGACGTCGTCTGAACATGGAGGCCAAGCCAGCACCCATAGCTCCGGCAGCTAGTGCCTCTCCTGTGTGATGCTCTGGATGTCCTGAGACCTCGGACGGCCCCGTATAATGGCTATGTCCACCGCCGTGGTCACTTCCCCCATGATATCCGGCCTCGTCGTATCTGTAGGAAAGAATGAAGTAAAGTACCAGATAGGCGAAGGCCGCCAGAGCGAACAAAATGAAGAGGACTTTAGGTGAGCCGTAGAGTGTCAGTCCCAGAGGGATCTGAACAATACCAAGAATGACAAGAGCGCGACCTAGCCACCGGTGGAACTGCGGAAGGTTAATAGGTTTCACCAAAATTCGTGTCAAGGATCGCTTACTACAAGTTTCATGGGCACATGGATTCTGTGCCTCTTACTCTCTCTCTTGTGTAGGAACCAGCCCCACAGTACTTGGAAAATGACTATCACATAGACAGCCAGGCCAATTCCATGATGAGGGTTGGTCAGGCTTCTTGCCGGCCCGACGGCGAACCACCCGAGCACGAACACGACTGTGGTCAGGAGCAAGGTCAAGACCTGGCACCAGGCGTGCAGTTTGAATGCCCAATATGGATTCCATCGAGAGTAGTATCGGATGATTATGGCGGAGGTTGGAACGATGCCTAAGAAAACGATGGTTGCAATGACGCCGTGCGCAATGATTAGGGCATGGTATCCGGCCATATCCTTGAAACGATTCCCCATGCCTAGTCCATGTCAGTCAAATGAGATCGGATGAGATTTATGCCACGGCAATGAAGGCACATTTTGCTAGAGCCAGCGGACGTACCATTGTATCGCATAGTCTCAAAATTGACCCCCATCAGATTGGGCAGCAGGAAGGTATCCCGCCCCGAATCCCAGGTCCCATCCCCAACATGGAGGGTATTCGAGGCGTATGTACTGCTCCCTGCAGCTGAAAGACCCGAGTCTGACATTGTATCGATGTTTGCCGCAAGACCCCACGTTTTTCAGTCTGGAATGTCGGATTTACCGGAGGAGATCTTTCACGATCTCCCGATCCGAGGAATGCACCATGCGACAGCGGCGCGAAAAGTAAATGAAGCGCTTGATACCAGGTGGTCAATTGAATGTCGATTGACCAGCCTATAGGATAAGTGTTGGACGTTTCACAAAGTGTTGGCGCAATAAGAAGTAGACGATCGAGATGAAGCGCCAGGAAGGTGGAAAAAACGCTGTCGTACAGAGTCGGAACAGGAGATAGGATTCAGGTTTCGAAAGAGCCCAACAGGGTGAATCTGAAATGGAAATGCGTCACACAGGTCAGAGAGGGACCACAACAAGAGGCTGACTGATTCCCCAGTGTTTACACCAGCGCATAACCCCGACAACCAGCCGTGGATCGGCGACCCACCCATCGCCCAGATCAGGTGACTCAATGTCACATGTGTATTACATAACCCATCTGATAGTGTCATGTGATCTGGAATGTGGATCGGCGGACCCGTGGACGTTTGGTCATGTCGGGGGGTCACGGCGCTCTAGTCATGCCCTGATCCGCCGTCGCGATCGCGTGCGAAATGACCTTCAAGTTCCCCGCCAGCAGCGATGAAATTTCTACACACCTTCTACTCACTATGGCACCACAACTAGAGGCATCCATCAAAGCTTTATCCCGGTTTGTGGACGCCTGCACTCTCAAATGAGACTACAATGCTAATATATCCTACAGCGTCTTAGGCTGGGCATAGTCAGTACAGCCGAAATTAGGGGGCTTGGGAATTGACCATTTCATGAACTAACGCTATGACAGTATGCTCTGCTGGTCCGGATCATTTTACCCTCAACCCCTCACGAACTGGGAGCGCAAGTCCACGCTCGGCCTCTCTATTGATCTATGCGCCATCAACCCAATCGGCTTTATTAGCTACGCAATTTATACGTCCGCCTTTCTCTACTCACCCGTCATCAGAGCACAATATGCGGCCCGGCATCCCGTCGCCGCTGAGCCGACTGTCCGGTTCAATGATTTCGCATTTGCAGCCCACGCGGTGGTTCTGAGCACCATCCTTTACACCCACTTCTGGCCTTCCATTTGGGGGTTCTATGTGGGACGTTTCCAAAGAATCAGCAGGTCAATGGCGCTCATATGGTGGGGATGTGCCCTGACTCCCGTTGTGGTTATGGGCGTAGTGATGACACAAAGCCCCGATCGAGGGTACGACGCTTCGTCATGGGCTTGGATTGATGTGGTCAGTACAAAGCCTGCTCCAGCAAAATACTCGGGCTTGGAAAACAGGGAAAGACAGAGGAAGTCCCATTAACACTGACCAGATATACTCGTTCTCGTACATCAAGCTTGTGGTCACTGTTGTGAAGTACATGCCACAGGTTTACTTGAATTATAAGCACAAATCGACGGCTGGCTGGAGCATTGGCACGTGTCTTTTCGATATGGCTGGCGGCGTGCTGTCCATGGCTCAGCTCGTGTTGGACTCCAGCCTCCAAAGCGACTGGAGTGGCATTACCGGTAACCCGGTCAAGTTGCTCCTTGGCAACGTCAGTATCTTCTTTGATGCAATCTTTTGCATTCAACACTACCTGTTGTACCGCAAAAGTGCCGAAGACAAGCAACCGCCGGGACCGGGCGAGCAGACACCTCTCCTGGCGGAACAAGGTAATGCCGGAGCTCAGGTGTGACGACTTTCTTTGGGAAACAATCTTGCGACGGACCCCACGTTCTGGGGGCCGAATTTAAGACATTAGAGCTGGTGCCCTACTCCGTATTTTTGTTGATGCAAGGATTGATTGTGGGGGCGGTTGATCGTCACCGATCTCACTCAGCGAACAGACCATATGGTCATGGGTGGCTCATGGTAAGCCACGATTTTACATGCAAGATAGACCGTCCTATGGGGAATGGAATCTCGATTTGATTTTTGATTTGTGAATTGTGGTTTTTTATAGTTCGAGACATTCTTCTTTATTCTTAGATTGTCGATCATCCCTAACGTGGTGCATAAGGTGCATAAGGTCACATTCCTGAGGTCCACAGCCCGTTTCGGGCAAACGCATGGCTTCAACTATTTTGAAGCCGACATTTGACTATGAGTTTGAGGCTCATGAAGATCTCCCAGACACCGCTCCCTAGTTTTGAGGGCCCCCATAATTCTTCCCCGGGGGACCAATCCCCGTAGCCGAGAGCCGGGATAAGCACTAGGTTTTCCCGCACCAGCCAATCGCCGCGCGCACTAGGCTCGTCCGCGATCCACGCACGGTGTTAGCCGTCGGTGTCAGACTTCGGCAGTCCATGGCTGAAAGCCTATGCATCTGATGCATCCCATGCCGTTGTCGGTGGAGCTCGTCAAGTTCCCGCGCACTGATGCCTGACTTAGGGAATGATCAACCAAATATCCCAGCTCCTAGTCAGACGCGCAAGTGATACCACCTCTCGATTTAACGTTACGCCCAAGCTGACTCAAGATAGGGTGAAAGGGGATAATTCCTTCTATGCCTGATCCCATTCATTCGTCCGTGTACGAGTCTGTGTGACAGGTGCATGCGGCTCCTAACCTCCTGCCCCTCCACGTGTTTGGGGGGGGGGGGGGGGATAACTGTACAGAGATCGACGTTGTTTCAACTTCTGCAAGGCTGGGATGTTGGCTCAAGCCCCGGAGTTCCGGGGCACCAAGTGGCATTGGGGCGGGCCAATAAGGCCCATAGGAAAACCATGCAGAGGCTAGGAAGATACCCACGCCTACAAGGTACATACCGATTTAGTGACTTAAACCCTATTCTTCTCTAATGAGAGGCGTGGCATTTCAGCCCTATTCCGTATTTGGCAGCGCTCCATATACCCATAAAAGGTATTCACTTGGTAGCCATGGACCTGCAAGCTCTGACTGGATTGTCGATCACGCCAAGGACAAACCCGACCCGGTCCTGGTTATCCATCCACTTCTGAATCACCCTGAGTTATGGACCCCAATTTTCAAGGGAACCGTATCAGCCGTTAAGGTGGAATAGTTGTTTAAATTCTATATCGAGAAATATGCAGATCCATCGACGTTTCACTTCATTCTTACAGCACTGCCCCCGTCCACTGGCCATGATCATAAATAACATCTAACTGGCGTCTTGGCTTTCAACACGAGCTCAGCAAAACACAGCCAACAAGTTATAACGCGTTCGGTCTTCGACCTCGTCGGGCTTCTCCCAGTGCAGAGACAACTGTTCAGGTCCAACCTCTGAAAACCACAACACACAAACCTTACATCTCCAATTGATATGAGAAGAGAATTCCACATAGAGAATACGCTTGATTCATTTTGAAAGGGTGATTGGAGATTCGCAATCTGTTTCATATTTCCCAGCGCATCCTCATCGGCGCCATATCCAATATCGAGCCTTGGAAATACGCAACATGTACCCCAGTCACCGACGATCCAGGACAATGTACAACACCGTACCTGAAAGTGCGGGTTATTTGGACGCCCTCCAGCCGCAAGACATGGGAGGCCTGACCGGCATTTCCAACGGCGCTGCATCGAATTCTGATCTCACGAGTCTTCAACAGTGGGACTTGATGCTGCCCAGGGATCAGCGTGATTTTTTAGCACCCGAAAATTGTCCCTCGACACGACGAGGATCGCTAGGAGCAGACACATTCGGCTCCCCATTTGCATGGTCCACTGTCTCCAACACTGATATCCTCTCAACATCTTCTCACCTCTCCTTTGAACCGTCGACCTGCTCTGAAGCCAACACGCCTTTCATGCAAGCGTATGATCCTTCAGGCACCTTGCCAGCCGCGATCAACACCCCAAGCATGTCGGGATATGATCCCCAGCAGATCGGCAAATGGTGCATTGACAGCACGCCCGGGGAACTCTACCAGTCCCCCTCCTTCCAAAACATGGCTCCCATGGTCCCGACAGAGCCCTACTTGGCCTTCGATGTGAATCCCAACGAACAATGGCTCCCCACAGGCCCAACCTCCGCCCCGCTTCCCGACTCTATCCCAGAGGCCTTCTTCTCAATCCCACGCTCAACCCCAAACATCAACCTATACCCCTCCACCGCAACAACAGTCTCAGTATCCCCCTCACCACCCCGCTCTTTCTCTGACCCCGACTCTCCGCCACAAAGCTTTGCCTCCAACGCAAGCGACTTGAGCAACTATGGTATCCCGACGAGTGATGGTCTTTGGCGCTGCGCCCATCCAGGATGCTCCTCACAACTCCTCTTCAAACGAGGCTGTGATCTGAGGAAGCATTTCAACCGCCATCGGAAGTATCTCTTCTGTCGGTACGAGAAGTGTCCTCAGTCCTCGCAGAATGGGTTCAGCAGCAAGAAGGACCGTGCCCGTCATGAAGCAAAGCATAACCCAGGTGTACTTTGCGAATGGGATGGTTGTGGAAAAGTCTTCAGTCGAGTCGACAACATGAAGGATCATGTTAGACGTATCCACCGGAAGGGAGAGGCTGGAAAAGGATGATGTGTTCAACGATGATGTGAATAGATTTTGTGGTTATATGTTTGTTTGGCCTTTGGAAGCGATGTATCATTACTGGCAGGTAAAATGGAATTGGGCATAGCGAAACGGATATGGGCGGTTGTCTCCTGGCGAGGATTGACTTTGTTCTATAAAAGCATAAAAATACAGTTGCACGGATGGATAGCGTTTTCGATGAAATGAAACTTTTTCCAAACTACCTAGTACTGAATACTGAATGTTTCGAGAGAGAGTCGATACCAAATGCCTCATCTCTTGTGTGTTATAATCAGACATTTTATCTTTGCCTTAGATTTAACATTGGCGTATCATAATCTATCCAAAATCCATAGGTCCCTCGTGAGTCATTTGTGCAATTGATGCGGTAAACTCTTGGCGATTGAACAGTTTGAGTGCTTTTGACCATTAAAAAATTATGCGCACACTTGTGATGATCACTCGCTTTACAAATCATAACATGGAATTTCCTCTCATGCTCAGAAGCATGGAGTAACCAGGTAGACTGGGAATGCCTATGAATTTGGGACTTCACGAGTAGTTACTCCACCTGAAAGACACCGTAGCATCCTGCTTGGTTTGATCACATAAAGCACCCTACCTAGAGCAAGGAGCAGGAGCTGCAGGTTGGCTTGGAGGGTCTAACGTGGGTAGCGAACAGTATCTTCGGCCTAGGAAAGCCGCCAAAAATGCTTATTTGGGTCGAAGGGAATCAGCGATGGACCGAAATAGACTCCCTGATACTTTAATGCACATGGTCATAATTGTCATTAGGCCTGCACCCCGTAGTACCGTGAGAGTGTACGTGCCTTGACCGTTTGACGGCATTAGCAAGATGAAACCACAATTCCTTAATGTTCGGATCTAATAATAGGGACAGAAATTACGCCTTGTCACTCTGCCTAGGCACTCAATAGGCAATTATAGCTCTTGGCCAATCCACTATATCTATCGGCAGGCAATGAGGACAAGTATCGCATTCAGCTAGATGTCGCCACCCTGAAAGATACCACACCTTTCGAAGCTGGACTATTGGCCAAGGAGATACAGCGACGTTTGAAAACATGTGTATCCCACGTCATCACTGAATCAATTGAGAGCCGAGGCTGAAAGAAGACCAGAGCCTGGAATCTTGAGTGCTGGTATACGAGGTTCGTCGGAAGCTCCGTTGATTTCGCCCAGGGCTCCGGGGGCTGAACTTTAGGGATCAATCCTTAGCCCTTTGACCCTTCTCACGCCTCGTACCCACTATGGGCAAAACCGAAATGACATAAAGGCTTATCGGAGGTTTATCCTGATGAGTTCTTTTCCCAAAAAGCGTAGGACGCACTGGCGTCGACCTAGTCCTAGCAACGCCTGGGATTTTACCCAAGTCCATCCATGCTAGAACTGAGGTAGCTATTGCAACATCGTATATCAAATGGTACTCAGTAACCTGGATCATGTTGCAGTCTTACAACATCTGGGGAACTCAATGTTTCAAAATCAACCTTGGAAATGCATGCTAATTCTTGCAACTGCGCAATCTATCGACCAAGATCCATACAGACCCATCCCAAGGTGATGCCCGGGTGCCCAGGTGACAAACGGGACTTATTAATTTGCGTACTGCCCCGGGGCCCCTGGCCCCTGGTCATCTGTGGACTTCCACCCCTGCATCCACCTTGGGGCAAGTTTGACCATCACCTTTGCATCAAGTTTCCGGTATTGATGAATCTGTAAAAGTGGGTGGTCTCCGTGATCAATGGTCTTTCCGTTGGAGTAGGAGCAGTAGACCACGCACTGAGCTCCGAGCCAGATTCTGTATATTCTGGTGTCGCGAAGGGCTCGGTATCAAGTGGCTGAAGCCATGGAGGGCATGGTTTTGAACCGGCCCCGAAAGATGCAGATGCCTTCTTTGATTCGTTCGCAGGATCTTGAAGCCATTTCGCAATGATCGATTGAATGAGACGATAACACCCATCAGTCCGCCCACGGAACCTTGTCATATTCGCATGGTTTGTGTCGACACTGCAACTGTCATGTCCTCTCAAGACAGCAGAGTGTTCTTCCACGATCTTGCCGACTTCACCATTCATCTCGAAGGCTTCGTAGAAGCAAAATATCCTGAGAGAGAGATCATCACGATGAATCATCAATTGGAATTCATTCCCGACTCGCTGTAAATCATTTGAGCCCGGATAGAAAGCATCGACAGTTCCTCTGTCCATCGAATGGCCCGTGTCCATGCACTTGGCAAGTTTATCCACATATGATGCAATTGACCCATAATGAGGGGTTCCCATGAATATGATCCCAATTGAGCTGGACGAGATCTGCCAGAGTCCGTCTATGGTATTGCTGATTATCAAGGTTTGCTGGCATATCAGCCCTCCGAGACCGTGTGCGATAAATAAGATGGGCCTGGTCGAACAGTTGATGCGCTGGCTCACGATTGAATAGCCCATTGACTGACCACAATCATAAAGCCGGTCCGAGGAAGTTTCGAAAAATCTAAAAACATCGACGTCGTAACCGTACGCCATAATGCGTGCTCTCGGGAAGTCATTAGCGAGGAGGTCTTGTGGCCAAAATGTGCCATTGCTATGAATCCATGTTCGTTCGCGGTTCCCGGTGAGTCCATGAATGAATATAATACTAGCACTGGTCAGTATTCTGTGACATTGATTGACTTGCCAACCTCTCTCCCGATAGTATAAGTACTGATACTCACTCAAGGTCGGCGTTGGAAGGGTCAGACAGTATTCTCATCCCCACAGGTCCATCAGTGGAGTATCTTGGCATTGTAAGCTTAATTCTGTGTCTTTTAATCAGGTCTCTTACATATTATGTTCTATATCACGGGAGTTGCCTCTCAACTTGTTTCTGAATAATCTCCTCATGTCACCGGTGGGTAGAATGCGGAAGATCAAACGGAAACCACCAGGTGAGGTCTAGAGCGGGGACTGCAGAAATTAGCAGCATATGAAACACGTATGTTAGCGCTGTTGCTGCCCAGCTGGACGCGTACCCCTGTCCGGGGCTTCTTCAGCCCCGCCCGTCTCTATCAAACATCGTACGGAGTACTCGATGAAGCCGCCCATATTAGAACATCCAAAACAAGTGACACAGAGGTCGGAAGATCCCCAATTGGGCATTTTTCGGCCATCTCATTTCTGTGCTCGATTTTCGGTCGCAACGCAAATCTATTCCAGGCGAAGAGGCCCACTTTCATTCATGGCGGAAGGGAACTGGGCATCTCGAGCGAAAGCTGGAGTGCTGTGAGACAAAATTGCCGAGGGTTAGCCAATGAATCTGTTCAAACTTCAAGCCGATATACCTTATCGCCCGCACTTGCAAGGTTATTTCTCCTGAAAATGCAGAGTGCTGCCCAGTAGTCCTTGCGCGGAAGTTAGCATCTAGCCAACGCCAGTCTACAAAAGTGTGGCATTTGATTTCACACCACAAGCGGCCTCTTCGATCATCATGTGTTCTATGAAGGTTGATAGCCCGGGCCTTCTGTCTTTTCAACAGACTCACTGAAGAACCGGCGAGTGTCCACGGGCTCGAAGCTCGAAAGTAGCTTACAAAAGCTAGCTCAGATAATCCAACACAAGTCCCGAGGTCCGACTGTGTTTCAATCAAAGCGAGCTCGAGGAGTGAACGATACCACTTCTAGGTGAGTTCAACCGCACTGTATAGACGATTCGATGTGGTCTGGTTTCCTTGAATATGTTTCTTCCATGTTGCAGATTGGAGGGTCTCAAAGACCAGTCAAGAAAAACCCCAGATTGGCACATGAACAAGGAAACGAACACCGAATATTGAATCTGCAAGGTTAGTTTCTGATCCCGCGCATTTGGCCATCTTGATCTCAGGGAACAAGATGGGGTCGATAACACAGGACTCGCGACACAGGACTCGCGACACAGCTTGCACGGCAGCAACGAAGGCTTGAAGGTGATGGATGTATCATCAAGACAACAATACATGCGGTGTCGATAGCAAAAGTTTTCGAAGAGGATGGCTCCACATCCTGAGCCCCGTGAGCCCACAGGCATGGTGTACATGCTCTTTTATCAGGGAGATATCAAAAATACCGCTGCGGCGGCTCTTCACGACGCAAGATATTGGAACCAGCGAGTTTAACCAGACCTTATGGAAAGCAAGGATCCAGTTCGTCGAGAGAAGCAAGGATGCGCCCAGGTAAGAATCTCCGTGTCCAGGCGGTGGACTGGGTTAGTTGCGGATGTGGTTGTAGCTTCTAGTATATCAGCCACGGAGGTTCTGCTGGCCCATGCGTACATGGTGGCTTTTCCAGCCCCGCGTAAATCGCAGATGGGCGGAGAGGTCATGGGGGATCATCTGCATGTTCATCCATGATGAGATTCCGCCTTTCGCTCCAAACATAGACTGTTTTTAGAGTATCGGCGGATGCACGGGGTATGCAAACGGCCATAACTTCACCGATATCGGTAATTCTAAACAGATGTAAATCCGGTACAGACGAACGAGAGGAAAGATTCCAATCAAACCAGGGTAAACTCAGAGTGAGGCGAGAGCACATACTGATCGAGACTGCCCAGGCGAAAGGGAGTGAGGCCCATGAAGCTCATTGGTGGACAGCTATCTCAAGGCCGCAGGAGCCGCGTCGATGCTACAAACGGTGGATGCCAGAAGCGTCGCAACGCGTAGATCACATCGACATCCACGAATCACGAAAGCGACATACTAGGGGAGGATCGAGGGTCTAGTCCGAAGTCACAGGTATGGCTGCCCGAACGTATGCAGGTTTTCGAAATACACCGAAAGTCCGATACCCCGCAACTTGACGATGGAGCCCCATGTCCAATTATGGGGCAGCGATCAAATCCCGAACGGGGGAGGGCGGCGCCAGTCTCCGCTCGGACGAAGGAGCTAACGTCCAGTTGAGCCCAACAAGTGTCCGAGCTAGATGTGAAAGTGGAGTGTAAGGGAGCTGTAAATTTCAAAACCCCCGCGGGGTTAATCGATTGATCAAGTGTATAGAAAAGCCCTGGTATAACGCTAACGAATGACACATGTGACATGACATCTAACAGAGACAGGTGGTATCATTGCACCGATAAAACAAAAGTACGAATACCACGGCGGGTAAGCGGTAAAAAAAAATAATCATAATAATAGAAAATGGAGGATGAGGGAGGTATCACAGGAAAATCGTCACGCGTGAATACAATGCGAGAACGCAGTACGCCGTGGCATGTAGATGTGGTACATCGGTGCTAAAGCTAGGAACACCAGTAAGCGAGAGGCGGTGGGTGGCAATGATGAACGAGAGAGATAGGGAGATAGGGAGGTTAGATATTAATTCATTCTTCGCTTTCGGCCCCGAGCACTGCCCATGGGACGTTGAGCGAGGACTTGGCGAAGGATAGGATCGTCTTTGTTTTTGTCGACGTGGTGGACGCGGACGTGTCTGTGAGAGGTGAGCTGATGTCAGATTCTCTCGGAGTGATGGGAGGTACGAACCGTTGGAGATTATCTGGACGAGGATATTTGTGTTGCTGATCGGGGCAGAAGGGGCAGACATAGCCGGGGGAATTATGGACCAGGCCATGCCGCATCATTTCATTCTTGCGCTTGAAGCCCTTGCCGCCGAGAGAGCGCGGACACCCTTCTACCGGGCAGAAGTGTGGGCGGTCTTGCGAATGCACATTTGCGTGGGAACTAAGTATGGTAAGCCCTATCACGAAGGTTCCCAGAATCGAGCTTATATGCTTACTTGAGAAGATACTGGGTTTGGAAGGGCGCAGCTGTACACCCAGGATGGGTGCACTTATAGCTACCTACGGTCCCGCCGTTAGGTGTGGCAAGCGACACCCGGTCGCCCATGCCAACGCCGACTTGTTCTGTGGGGGTGGGATAGCTGGTTGCTGGACTGGTGGCGGTGATGCGTGACGCCTCATACGGAGTCTGGGCGGACATCATCTCTGGCGCACGCCAAAAGGAGGCCTGTGAGGCCGGAGAAGGGTTGGTGGAGCTGTCCTTCATGCTGATTGGCGATATGTGTGAGGGATACGGACTCGCCGCCATTGAGAATTTCCCCGGGAAGGGATATGGAGAATCAGTTCCTGATACTGCTGATCCGGGTAGCGATGAGTATGGGTAAGGGGATGGAATTGAGTTGACAGCCGGGCCAAAGTCGGGCAACTCTTTGAGGGCTTTTTGAATAGAAGGGAGGGTCTGGGTGCTGTCTGGCGATTTCGCCAGGCATGATGCATCGATCGGTTTTAACGTAGAAACGGAGAGTCGGTGTTTCAGATCTGGCGGGGATTTGGAGAAATCCGATGAAGGTCGTCGGCTCAGGTCACCGATGGAATTTAATCGATCTCTTGCGGCGCTCAAATCCTTGAGGCCATCAGGCCGCGGGGCCTGTGGAAACTGAAGGGCTCCTTCCGGGCTTCTGACCTCAATGGCTGCAGGAGGACCCTGGTCCAGCTCCTTTAATCGAGGCGCGATCCCCACCGGAGGGACTGGTTTCGGAGGAATGAAATCTGGCGGTTGAGGTCGTTTTTGTTCCAGTGGGTGATCCCTTGCTGCCAATGCCAGATGGGGTGCGTTCGGTGCTAGATATCCCATCAGCACTCGGTCGCCCTCGTGGGTTGAGTGCGGCTCCGGCTGGTGCTTACGGGACTGACCCGCGGCATCCTTTTTTTCATGGGCAGGGACGAATGGCGGTGTTGACGGTTTGTCCTCGCCATAGTTGGGCTTTATCGCTTCCAGCGGCGGCGATCTTTTACACACATCGTCCGGATCATACATATTGGACGTCATAATAAAAGTGGGTGCATCAGGCACCCGGTTTTATACTGATTGATCGGACGGACAAATCCGCATCAGAACGAACCCAGGAACCTAGAAGTCGCGTTAGAACCAGTGAACGAATTCCGACGGCTGGCAGAATGTCGGCGAGTCTGGTATCATGCGTCGAGATGGGGAGATGAGGGGTTATCCAGACCACCCGAGACAGGCGGCTCAAAACAAGAAACAAGGAACCAAAGACTAGGGAAACTAAAATAAAAGGCCAGTCTTCGCAGGGAAAAGGGCCATGAGAGAAAGGCCCCCAAAAAGCAAAAAAAAAAACCACAGGAAGAAAAGAACAGAACACGAAAACGAAAAAGGGAAGGAGAAAAAAAAAAAGAAAAAAAGGGCACGAAATGGGGAATCTAAGACAAAAAGGCAGAACCTCCCCCCGTTTCTGCAGAAAAGGTGCACTTACCCAAGCGGAAAGGTGGACGGGTAGTGATATGGGTCCCGTGTGAGGCTCAAGGACCGAATGTCCCAGCGCCCATCTGCAGATGATAGATCCAGTGATGATAGTTCCTCACTTCCGCAAGGGAGAGATAAAAAAAAACCAACAAAAATAGAGAATTAAAAGAACGTAAAGAAGTGATGGGAAGGTCGAGGTGGGAAATTGCCTCACACTCTCCACCGGGCTTGCAGAGGGGGTGAGAAAGAAGAAGAGCAGAAAAGGAGAACGTCGCAGGAGAAAGAGTGTCGGAGATGCGGCTCATGGGGTTCCATACACAATACCCAGGTTAGGACGGTGGAGTACCTCGCCAGTATACGTGTATGGTACGTTAGATTACTCGGTTACTCTATGTTCTGCCCTTCTTCATCTCCAGGTATCTCTCGGGCCATTTGACCTGTATAGACCCCGTACACCAGAGTACTCTATCCTGTGCGCCGTACACCGGAATGCGAGTCCTGAGAAGAAGACCTCCACCGCTAGTCGGGTGCGACTGGCTGTGAGTAGACCTCCACTCCCCCAGTCCTTTTACCGTTGCGCAGGCCCACAACGCTCTGTTCTCCTTCTCGTTTCACTTCCCGGTTCTGGCCCGCCATTTTCTCGGCGCACGCTGCTTTTCAATACATTTCGTCGCAATTACCCGTCGCGAGGAACTCCCACGTCAGACGTAGGATCCATCCGGTTTGAGGCGCTGTCTGCGGCAAGGAGATCGGCCGGCCCACGTTGTTTCAGAGCCTCGTTAAGAGGTGACATGCCATGCAACCAGGCTCCATAGGCTAATGATAGTCGGCCCTACTATATACAGAGGCGACTATCGAAGCTAAACTGCTGATTCTACACGGACATCCCCCGAATCCTGCGTGACGGTACTCCATACGCGGTATTTACCGAAGTGGAGTTTCTTCACACTCAGCCTCACTTAACGCGTAGAGCCGCAGGTCAAAGTCTTCCCCCTCTTGGGCCCTCCATTTTTCATCCATTGCGTGGTGGAACTCCCCTTTTCTCCGTGTTCAATCACGGTGGCTGGTTTTCTGAGCTCAGATTTGGCTGGGTGAAATTGGGGGTCTCGACTCGGCTCCCTATCGGGTCAAGTGCTTACACCACGTCAGGTGTCAGAAGTACAAGGTTCTCATGCTTGTACTTCTGCTTTTGCTGTTTCATATTTTGTTGACTTGGAAATTATTCCTATATCGGTCGGGGAGTCCTATATCGGTCCCAGACTAGACAGCAATCTGGAATCTGTCATTCGGGTCAGATTCCATTCGGATCGAGATGTCCAACATGCAAGCTAAGAGGGGCGGCCCAACCCGATGAACAGATATACCTAGAGGGAAAGTGACAGCGCAAACAAAAAGCTAAAGAAATGATTTGTATATACATCTACAGTCCGAGAGCTTGATTCATGTACTAGTACGGAATACGGAGTACCCCCCCACTACAACTTCCCCTTCAGACTGCCCTTCTGCACAGCTTGAACCCTCTCCCAAGCGCCCTCCGCGAACGGCTTCGCCCGCTTCGCATAATCCTCAGCACGGGCACTACTAGCCTGGCGCCCAGCAAACCGGGCCGCAATGCCCTGCATAATCACGGATCCCCGGAACGCAAAGAATGCGTCGCCCCACGCGACGTCAGAGCCTGTCTCGTACCCGGAGGTCTCGGCGTACCAGCGGATGCACTCCTCGCGCCCCGGCAGGCCTGGAACAACACCCGGCTTGAACTGCGACAATTGGCTGTCGCCAGTGTCCATGGTGTAGGGGCTGGTGAGATTGCAGAAGTCGGAGAGTGGGTGGCCCACCGTCGCCATCTCCCAGTCGAGAATGCCGATCACTCGCGGCTCGGTCTTGTGGAAGATCATGTTGTCGATTTTGTAGTCGCCATGCACGAGGGTGCCACGGTCGCGAGGCTGGCTGGCTTTCTGCGAGAAGAAGTGGACCATATCGTCGAAATGGGGGAGTTCGCCGACGGGCTCTTTGGTGTCGGCGTCAACTACGGCTGCTTGAGCTTTGGAGATGGTGGTGAAGGTCGCGATTTGGCGGTCGAAGAAGCCTGTCGGCTTGCCGAATGACTCGAGTCCGACAGCTTTGGGAATCACACTGTGGAACTTGGCGAGGGTTTGGACGGCGTTCTTCCATCTGGGGCGAGGGTCAGTGTGTATGCTCTCCCCGATCTCATCCATCATGACCTACAGTGCGGTTCGCTCCTCCGCGCTCACGCCAGGCATCGCGGGATCGGTGAAATGTCGCCCATCTAGGAACTCCATGATGTAGAAGGGTGTTCCGATGATGCTACTGTCCTCGCAGAGGCAGTACGCTCTGGGAACCGGTACGTCTGTGTCCCCCAATGCTCTAATGATCTTATACTCGCGTTCGACTTTATGGGCTGTCTTCGAGACGAGTTTGCCGGGCGGCTTCTTGCGCAGGACGACTTGCTTGCCATCGGCGGCAGTAATCAGATAGGTAGGATTTGATTGACCGAAACCAAACTATAACGCCAATCAATTAGTTTGGAAACCAAATCCCCCATGGAAAACTTGCCTGCTTGATATCGAGAGGTGTCTTGATTTCCGACACGTTCTGGTCAATGTACCGCTCCAAGGAGGGCATGTCTATAGGCTGGCGAACTTCTCCCGCCATGATTGCGATAAGGAATGTGAGCAATGAGGAACCAAAATCGGAAGATATTTATTCACAACAGTTTATTTCAACAGCACAAGCATGGGGTATAAGGGGGACCAGCAATTAAAGGAATGCGACATCAATGTTACCGGGGAACCTCGGCCCCAGAATGTCCTCGGCGTCACCGCTCGAGAGCGGGGAGCCGCCAAACGAAGCAAACGAAACAAACAGAGCAAACACCATCGCGTCGCAGCGGTGAAACGCGCCGCGTGGAGCTCACCGCAATTTTTTTGAAAGCTAGGGGCATCACTTGCGTGCCAGAGTGGGGTATTTGACCAAACCGCCCATCCGTCCCAATCGATCCTCAATCCACATACCATGACCAACGAAGCCGAATCCAAGCCCGCTCACAACCCCCCCTCATTGCCATCCTCCCCGAACGCGAAACGCTCCAAGCCCGACATGACTGCCCCCGCCGTGACCTCGATCCAGCAGCCGCTGCCCCCACTTCTGGTGAAGAAGCTTGTTGAGACTGCACAAGCGCCGACCCGAGGCTCGGCCTTCGCTGCGGGTTACGATCTCTACGCCGCGAAGGAGACTGTCATTCCGGCCAAGGGTAAGGCCGGCGTTGACACCGGCATTGCTATCGCTGTGCCGGAGGGAACTTGTACGTTTGCCCGAGGACTTTGATACGAGAGCGTGGTGACTGACAAGACTGCAGACGGCCGTATCGCTCCTCGCAGCGGACTTGCCGCCAAGCACTTCATTGACACCGGTGCTGGTGTCATTGATGCCGACTACCGTGGTGAAGTCAAGGTGCTTCTGTTCAACCACTCAGACGTTGACTTCCCCATCAAGGCGGGTGACCGCGTTGCTCAGCTTGTTCTCGAGCGGGTGAGTTGCACGCGAGGAAGTGATGACGTGCAGTGCTGACTTGTGCTAGATCTATACCCCCGAGGTTAGCGTCGTCGAAGAATTGGAGGAGAGCGTTCGTGGTGCTGGTGGCTTCGGTAGCACCGGCGTTTAAGACCGAACTCGAAAAAGAAAATAATACAATCAAAACATCCAATGCCTGGTAATGATTTATGCGTGATTGTTTACGATGAAAGGAAGAACAGAAACCCCCGGAATATACCTAGTACCAAACACTTGAGCAGCTCTCATGAATCTTGAATTAAATATATTTACAAACCGAAACGGGCCTTCTAGGTATCCTTGATGGATCTGATGATATCTATCAATCTATCATGCAAGATGATGCAAACGGCTCACTGTAAATGCTTGGGAAGATCCTCTTTCTGCCAATCCAGGGCCTCGAACTGGATCTTAGGGTCCCTCAAGACATTTGTATTCCTCACAAGCCGAACCTCTGCAGCCTTGGTGCGACGCAAATAATCCCTCTTCGCCGCCTCCTCCTCGGAAAGCTGCTCATTGGTCGCCGGCACCGCGACAGCAAGCTCTGCATCACGGCTCTCAAGTGTTCGCTCGAGCACGCTGTGCATACTAGACAACACCTTGATGGTAGCCTTTGCAAGTGGCAGATCCACAGCGGCGACGCTATCGGGAGAGATCCAGGACTTGGTCGCGCGCAAATCCCCGGCCGTGTTTGAGACAGCCTCGCTCAACCGAGCGACGGTCAGTGCAGCGAACATGTCACCCGTGCCGCTGAAGAAACAGTCCAGGGCTGGCACGTCGACACGGAAGATACGAGGGGACCCATCGGACTTGGTGGTGGAGCCGATGACCGTTAGGAAATTCTCCGGGGGTGGAGGGGTGGAGCCACTTTGAGAGAGCTTGAAGAGTTGCACAGAAGTGATGATGACATGGGGAACGGAATAGATGCGGTGAATGGCAGTGATTGCTTCAGCCAGGGTTTCCAGCGAAGTGATATTGATGCCAGAGAGAACTCTGATGTCATTAGCAGTTGCCAGGGTAGTTGCCTTTTAGCACCTTACTCAGCTTCAAATTGGTTGGGCAGGATCAGATCCGCATATGGGACGATCTTCTTGTAGGCGGGGATTACATCGTCGTTAACGTATAGACGGCCCTGATCGCCCATTACCGGGTCCAGGACTGGGGCTATCAGCGTCTGTGCCCAAAGGGGCGGTGGGCATGCTTACCCCAGAAAAACGACCCTGGCTTGCTCTTGGCCTTCTGCTGTAGATCAATGCCGATGGCACCCACAGATTCGACGGCCGCAGCACTTGGGGCGTAGCCAGACAACATGACGTCAAAATCGGTGAGGCTACTCTGACACAGGCCCTGGTAGAGGTCTGAGATCTCCTGTGCAGTGGCCCGGGTTCCCTTGAGCTGGCGATAGCCGGAGTGATTACCTGCAATTGGCGTGAGTCAGAATGCCCATGGCGCGATTGCGAGGCAGCGTACTAAAGTGGACAGTGTTCAAAGCGGCAACTTCACAGCCCAGTGATTGCATCACAAAGGTTGCCATTGTATTTCCGACATGGCTGGACACCGGTTAGTCACAGGTCAAAAGTGGTAGAATCGGTGTCATACCCGTAGACGACCTGTTGCGATGTGAGTCGGGGCTCCAAACAAGGGACTCTGGACTTACATGGCTGGCCACGGCGAGCACCCGTGTTTCGGGCACCAATTGATCTGACATGGTGCAACAAGTGAAGAGGGAGAGTGTGTGTACTGGTGATAATGTGGGGGAAGTTCGCCGCCGAAATTCCTCTTACCTAATTGGCTTATCGGGCTGTAGTCCACGGGTACTCCTGCCCAGGTGGGCTTCCCTATCTTAGCCTCTGGAGGCCAACTACGGAGTACAATGCTGGGTTTTCGCTAGGACTGAAATACGGGCTTGACAATAACCTCCAAATAAGTCGTTCTAGAGGCTCTCTAAAACTTCTCCAATATCAAAGCTATCAATTTCACCCAAGGTCTCAGGAATGATCTACGGAGCATGCAGCCTTCCAAGGTTGGCATGGGATAGTATCACGCTTACGACGTAGGCTCATGCACCTGGGCACACCAGTTGACTTGGCCACATTCCTACCTAGGCAGTTCTAACCTTGGAAGGTCGCCTCTCGCCCACGACGAGCATGTCTCTCTCAACTTCGATGTCTTTGTAAACACCTACTAGGTACGATGGTGTTAAGCTTGAGTAGCTGAGGAGCCTCTGACAACGATGATACATACTGCCCACTTCATCAAAACAGTTTACAGGCTCGCATCGCACTTGCGCCTCTCAATAGGTCGTTAGCATCCGAGCCAGCTCTTGGATAATCGCGAGGTCTAGGTAGAATATTGCATCACCAGAATTCTGACCTCGGGACGAACCTTCCAAGTTCAGAAATATGTTGCCGTCCAAGGAAACAGAGGAATCCGGGAATAGCGTATGCGGCACTTTCCTTAAGAGGCTGCTTGAAGACTCATGTGCCTCTTCCAAGCTTGGAAGTTGGATAGTCCAAGGGCGCTGAATTAGGCCTTTGTAGGAGTACCTATCGAGGAACCAGTGGACCTGTCCACGGGTTATCTCTACTAGGTACCTAGGTAGGGCTAGGTTGACCCATATGATCTACCGTGGCTATATTACCTCGAGTTGTACAAACCAAATCGACAGTAAAATCGCACGTCGTAAGTGTGTCATCGAGTTGAACAGAGTCACTCCTGGTCAAGGCCCTTGAGCGGATAGTAGGCATGTTCAACAGGGCTACGGAGTAGCAATTGAGTAGCGGTTGAGCAGCTCGCTTTATTGTGCAATTTCCGGCTCATTGGTCTCTCGGAGCTTTGGGCCCATATCTTCGGCCCAAATCAAACTAGGACCAGGAGACATGGACTGGGAAGTTCAGTGGTGTCGGGCAGGTCGAACCCAGTGATAAAATAGGAACCGTAGGAACGTCGGAAGGACCTTCACAAATGGTCTAGTCATGCAGATTTGATAACGTCGTGACCCGTGTAGTGAGTCAAAAGCGATGTCTAGGGATATGAAAAAAGAAAGCCAAACAGCGAGGCCAGATTTGTGAAGTATGAGTATTTGTATAACATTTGAAAACTCGATGTTACTACAGATTAGTATAGAGATTGCCAGTATAGAATAGAGACCAGTAGTACCCGTGGACCTACCTAGGTACTCTGTTTTACCCCGTGATCCGCTGTCTCGTGCGACAAAATCTCCTTGCTTCATACAACCCTCCTTAATTTCACCTGCAGTCCTTGTGCTTCGGAGAGAAGTCAAAGGAAAAAGCGAAAAGAAGATCGGCAGTCCTCACGGTCTGGACTCACCGAAATCAAGCAGCCCTGGCACAGGGCGAAGAGCAAATTAAAATGAGTTGACGGCCCCTGAGCCCAGATCCCACCGAACGGTCTAGTTCCGTGAGACTCGGGATAGGCCCGCACTAAACAACTAGGTTCTCGGTCTTGGCTAGTGCTCACCAACTTGCTGTTAGGCCTCAGTTTCTTCTCTCAGAACTCATTGTGCAGAGGCTTGGGAAATCTATCTCAGCTACGATGTCATAACATCACCCCGGCCCTTTGTTCCCACCACACTCGTTACCACACATTCGTTTCAGCTTGCAAAACCAATCGTCACTCTTTACCTGGCCTTTTTCCCCCTCAGTCGTTGGCATATTGGTGCCATTGAGAAAGACATCGACATATTGATATACCTTTGCGTTTTCCTAACTCCAATGGCTTCACGGCCCGCCAAAATGGCCCACTACAACCCCCTCTACTTAATCTTAATCACCATCCTCTGTCTGTCAATCGCAACTGCGCAACCAGTGGAGTCAAATGCGATCATCCAGTCGGGGGGTTATCAAGGGAAAGCGGCACGAGATATAGTCACAGCCTCGAATACTACATCAACGGACATGCCCACTCCATACGATACCCTCGCCTACAACTTCGCCAACACAACCTCCTGCATAGACTTCTACACGACATGGCGCGCCAACAAAACAATCACAGATTGCCACGCCATCTCACTACTCCTCGAGAACTCCAACGCCTTCTTCCACACCCTCCGCTCCAGTGCCGCCATCACCCGCGTCCTCGAAACATCATGCACCCAAGACGCCAAACGGTGCGCATCGATCATGAACGACCTGGCCGCTGACCTCCTCAAATCCGACAACTGCCGCGAAGACTACCATAACGGCAACTCGGTGGTTAAGGGCACTTATCGCGATCTAGTCGCTTACGAGCCGATGTACCGTGCCACTTGTTTGAGGAACCCCGTGACGGAGAACTATTGCTTCGTCGATGCGGCCTCCAACTCCACTTCGCCGGATGATTATAATACTTATTTCATGCCGCTGGGCAATGCGCTCGCAGTGGGTTCCAAGCCCACTTGTAGTAGCTGCTTGCAGGCGACTGTGGATCTGTTTTCTGGATGGGCAAAGGTGGATGGCCAACCTCTTGCGACGACGTATCTGTCTTCGGCGAGGACTATCAACGCGCATTGTGGGGCGGGCTTTGCGGTGACGAATATCACTGTTGGGTCCGATGCTGTTACGGGCGGTGCCGGGATCGCTATTCCACTTCCCGGTTTGGGCATGGTGATGTCCGTGCTGGTTGCATTGACTTTCATTTAAGTGTCGACGCTCTTGCGCCTTGTTTATAGACCCTTCCCCTCCTTTTTTTTTGTTTTTTTTTTTTTTTTTTTTGAACCCTTCGTGGTTCACGGTCATGCTTCATGTCAGCGAGAGCGTTGGTGGTTTATCTGTATGTAATCTTTAGTGATATTGTCTATATAAGAGAATTGAATGCTCCATCAGAGCTATATTGTGTGAAGTGTTCATCGCATTCCAAAGATCGTCTATAGAAATCTGAAACCGTATGTTGGGAACATAGCCCATTTTCATGGTCGTCACATGCCGAGACCCGACAGGTATGGCGAAGACAGCAAAGAAAGAAAGAAAGCGCTCACAAATGTACCAGCAAAACCTTGAAAAACAAAACAATCAACTCCTTCTCGACATACTACCACCCATGGCGACACCAACCAAACTCTGCGGCTCCCCACCGAAACTAGTACCCGCACCAGTTGCAATCGTAGGCGAAGCCGCACCAGAGATAGGACTTTGCGCGGCAGCATCCCGCTCTCTCTTCACACGGATGTATCCCAATTTCGCAAAGCGACCGACTTGAGTCCAGAAATGACGCCCGGCCGGATGAGCCGCGATGCGGTCTAGTAAATCGACTGTCGCTTCACGAACAACTTGATCAGGGTGGAAGAGACCCATGCTGATATAGAAGAGACCCGCCTGGTTTTCCGGCGCAACACACAGCAGTTGGCAGATTCCAGCGTAGTCCTTGACCGCATGAGAGAGAGCAAGGTAGATGGAGGCCGCTTCCGAATGCGAAAGTTTGAGCGCACGCAGACGGTCGTGATGGTGAGTGATATCTGGGCGCTGGATGGGGCGAGCAGGGAAGTACATCGCGGCAATATCCTGGATGTAGGAGTAATAGGAGCGAGTATTGCGCCATCCTTCAATTCGAGAGACGGAGGCCGACAGCTCACGCTGTTTAGCGGTTTCGTCTGTCCAGACGTAGCCATGCCCGCGAAGAGAACTTGGATCTGCTGCGTCACTTTGATGTCCTGTTGGACTATCTGGTGACAGTTCTTCACCGGGTCCTATGATGTACAAATTTGAGGCGCCATAGACGGCTTCCTCAAAGGCAGCTGCAACACGGACGAATTTAGTGATGTAGGAGCGCCATTTGGCACGGACGGCGTTCTCGCCATGGCGTTGACTAATGCTGCGGAGGATGTCTTCCATGAAAAGGGTGTCCCCTGTTGGGTCATGGGTTGTGTTCGTGTTGTTTGGCAGAAGCGCGTTCTGCTGTTGGAAGAAGAGGAGACCTTCTGTCACTGGAGCTGGCTCAACATGGGTTGAGATCTTGATACGTCCGGTTGGGAGGTCGCACAAGATATCCCACCATTCAGGGTGGTTAGCAAAAGTCGGGTTCGTGACTCCTGCGATGAATCCGGGGACTTTGAGGAGGTCGTCGATCTTAGTTAGATCTGTGTAAGGGAACGCATGACGTGTGAACCCGCGCAAAATACCCCCAGACGCTAGGGCACAGGCTGCCAGAACTGCCTCAGCAACCTCCCCTGACGGCCGGTTGTGTCCAAGGAACACAACTCGCTTCTGGGTAAGAATGGCGTTGACGAGTACAATAATAGGATGTGTGAAGGGGCCGCTGGTGGTTAGATGAGGATGAGCCTGAAATGCTTGCGGGGAGGTAGCATGGGGCACGGCAAAGGTTTGAACGAGCTTGATAAGTGAGAAGTCTCCAACTGTCTCGGGCCATATCACCGTTGGGATTTTGACCGGAATGGGGATGTCATTGTAGACCACTTTCGACTCGTACTCATGTGTATCACGAGGTAGGACATATCGGCTCATTTTCTTGGGTGATGGCGGGCATTCACCTTCTTGGCTTTCTTCCTCCTCTCGCTGGCGAATCATTTGTTCAAACTTCTCCAGGAACATATCTTTAGTGTTGCTAGACTGCAGGATATGACGCTCCAATATGGACATTTTCGGCATTAACGAGAGGTCCATAGCATTAACGGCGTCGTAGAGGGATGCGAGTGTTTCGGGGTAGGGTGATTTGAAGTAATCTTCCAGCGCCAGAAGAAGTAGAGGCTGTAAAAATCAGCGCTGATTTCCACAAGAGAACGGCGGTGGCTTACTTTATAGATATGGAGGAAGGAGTGTCGTGTACAGATCGCCATGGCCTTAACCACGGCACCACTATTAGGTGTCAGCTCACAATACAACACATCGTGGGAGTTATGGTGGACGTACCGCCGAACCGTGTTGTCTTGCTTTGTATTGACCAGATTTAGCACATACATCAAGGGTGGCCCTTCACCACCCTCGTCGTCGCTGCTGTCTTGATCATCAGAGGCTTCGTCTGAGTTCTCATCTTGAGTTCCAGCGCCATCTTGGTTCCCGCGATATTTTGACTTCCGCTTTTTCTTCTTTCCATCCACCGAGTCGGTGTCATCGTCGGCACTGGTGTCCTTGTGCAAGAAGAACATTGTCCAGTCCTGACTCCGCACATGGGTCTGATCGGGCAGCATTAGCTCTGCCAGCATACTCTCATCACCACTGATGGCAGCGGGGTACTGATGTTCCATGATCGGCCCCCGATCAATGTGGAAGGATGCAACGAGAATGTATTCCACATGGCGCTCAGGCGAGTCTAATGGGTATTGCGCCTTACAGCGGCGGGGTTTGAAGGATGAGCCCCCATGCTCTGTAGATATACGCCGATAGGATCCATGTGAGCTGCTGGGGGATCGACCGATGAAGGAAGGGGCTGGTGAGAGCCGGGGCAGCCCCGTCGTTTGGCGATTTGAGGTGGAGAGAGAATCGTTCGACGGTCGATAAGGCAACGCTGTGGCCATCTTCAAAGGTGTGTGTAGAGACGATGGCTCCGGGGGGTGCTGTCAACCGAGAAGCATACCGAGGGGGTACAATCTGAAACTCGAAAAGACCCAGTGAGCCAATGGTCGATGCTTAGGCCAATGAGTGTAGGCGATGGTTATTCAGGGGTTAAGAAAAAAGGACGATCTCCCCGCTGTGGAGAATCTACTGATAACAGATGGGGGATACGATACTGTTAAGAAGTTCCTCAGAGTTCAAAGTGCTTCGCATTGTATCAATAATATGATCTATCCGAGTGCCGTCCCTTTCTATGGCCTTCTATCAGATCTGATATATCGCATTGAGGATGATCTACAACGCAATATGATTGCACATGCAGGCACGGTGGGCGCCCCATGACGTTTTGTGGCAGGCGAAAAAGTTGCCCGGTAAACTTATTCTCTCGAAGACAAAGTCACACCAAGGTCACAGAATTCGAAAAGGCATTGAACGCTAGCGAGTTCGTAGATCTGAGGTTCAAGGGACAAAAGTTCAGAAAATCCACAGCTGGGGCAGTAAGGCGGTGAGGAAAGCGGTGACTTGATTGTTGCTTGTTTACGGCGATAACAGCGTCATTGTTTACACTTTGTGAGATGAGCACTGTCCGCCATGGTATGTCCAAACCCTCAATTGTCGAGGAGAGATGTGATACTAACCAGCTCTCTGCGTTTAGGCTAATAATCCTACCTTCAAACCATCGCCGTTGTCCTTTGGGTCACCAAGGGCATCGCCCTTCCGGAGGCCGTCCACGCCGAACTCCCCGCCCTCTGCCAGTCGTGCAGGAAACACCCCGGGAAGCTCGCCTGGCCGAGGATACACTCCTATGGTATCCCCGAGCAAGTTGAATCAGACATACACAGTAGAGGATAGTGGCTCGCAATCTCCAAAGAGCCGGTCTCCGATCCCCCAGCCCAACTTCGGCAGAGAGCTTCCTCCCTCCCCGACCAAAGGAGCACGATCTCCAGGAAATTTGTCTCCGATTACGAGCAGTAGAGCGGCCGAATTTACGGGCCTTGCTGGTGACGCAGCTGGAAAGCTACTCCCTCACCAAGTAAGGGAGATCAGAGAGGCATTCCAGGTTCTAGACCGGGACAATGATGGCTTGGTCAACAAGGATGATGTGATTGATGTGCTTACAACCCTGGGTAGGATGAGTCCATCAATAATGGCAATTGACAAGCACTAATGCGATCTCGTGTAGGCCAAGACTCGTCCCCATCCACACTCTCGCGCTTCTTCCCGCCCTCAGGAAGCCAAAATATCAATTTCCCAACTTTCTTGAATACCCTGTCTGAACTCATGGCATCGATGTCACCCTCACAGGAGCTCCTGAATGCTCTAGCTGCATTTGATGATGACGATGACGGACAGATTGATATTACCGAACTACGCGATGCTCTTTTACATACGGGCCTAGAAGAGGGAGAGACACGACTCAGTGAGAGAGAGATTGAAGAAGTCTTTAGAGGGTTTACTGGGCGGCGAGCATTTGCAGGCCGAGGATCTAAGAGCGGGATTGGCAAGAAGGGCGAGGTGTTCCATTATCTCGACTTCGTGCGCAATGTGATCGGTGGCGAAAATGGAAATAATGCGAAACAAGAGGGAGACGCAGCGCAAGCATGATAGTTGGTCAATCTGGGTTTCAGGTCGGCGTTGGGGGGGCTCACATCTCATCCTTATTTGGAGGCTGTCTGAAGATATTCTCGATGCTGGAGGCAATTGCAGATTTACATGGAATATTTCAAAGTGTACCATCAATAATTGGACTGCCAATCTAACACATCAAACAAGAAGTAGCTATGGAGGTAGTACGGAGTTAACGCGGCCATTTCATCGGCAGAAAAGCTCCAGCCGCGAGATCTGATACACTCTACCCGTCAACTGCACTCCCCTGACTTCAGTCTTTCGCAATGTTTCTGTGTCGCATAAGGCGAACCTGAGAACAATAATGGCCAAAAATCACCCCTCCTGGAGTCTGGGCATCCCAGGCCCGGACACGCCCGCATCTCCGCGTACTCTGCGAACGCTGCGCAAGATCCAATCTCACCAAGTGCTGTCCAGCTCCAGCGCACTGATTGCCCAGACACAAAGCTCTCACTTGGGTGGCCATCCTGCAGATGCTGACTTGGCCGGAGTTCCAGGCTCTGCAACAAGAGCGCGCGCCCATCGCCGAGCTCGATCAAACAGTGATGCGTCGACCCGTGAAGTTGTTGCGACACCACCGACAACACAGCGACGACCCGCGCGCAAAACAGGATCTGGCATTGGATTGAAGAGATCGCTGTTAGAAAACTATTTGCGAGATGGACCCCCAAGTGGAAATCCCCGTGAGGGCCTTCAAGAGCTCAAATACCTGGTTCTTTCCAGCAGGGTGGATGCTGACGGAGATGGCATGGTGAGTATCTCCAGCGCGTTGCGAGGCCAGAACCCGACTAACTGGATACTCCCAGTCGCCTTATCGAATCTATCTCTGGTTAATACTTCTTGACATACCCCCCATGCCTACCGACGACTACCTCACTCTCATCCACCGTGGTCGATCTCCTGCTTACGCCAAAATTCGCAATGACACTTTCCGCACTTTGGCCACCGACCCTCTCTTCAAACGAAGAGTCACTGAAGCAAGTCTCATCCGCTTGCTTAATGCTGTTGCATGGAAGCTTCATGACGCCCGACCAAAACCTCGGTCTCGACCGACCTCGTCTCGACGCCGTGAAATGGAGCTTTTAGTCAACACACCCCCTAGCATTGCAGAAGAACCACCTTCGGTCTTTGGTGGAGAGCTGGAGAAGAACAAAAGTACCCCCACGACTGACTCAGCAATGTATGTTCAGGGTATGAATGTACTATGTGCGCCTTTCCTGTACGCTGCCCGCAGTGAGGTTGAAGCATTCGCTCTCTTCCACTACTTTGTCACGCGCGAGTGTCCTGGTTACATCCGCGGAGCCATGGACGGGGTTCACAAAGGACTTCGTTTGGTCGACAGATGTCTTGAGATTGTGGAACCAAAGCTTGCAGCTTACCTCTTTTCCAAGGGTATGCATGCTGAGCTATATGCTTTCCCCTCGGTCTTGACTCTCTGCGCTTGTACTCCCCCACTGCCAGAGGTCTTGCATTTGTGGGATTTCTTGTTTGCATACGGTGCACATTTAAACATCCTGTGCATTGTTGCCCAGCTAATACGCATGCGTGATATGATTTTCGAAAGCCCAAGGTGCGTTCCTCATTTCCATGACCCCAAGCTTCGGATACTGATCTTCTTTAGTCCCAACAAAATACTTCGCTCTTTCCCACCGCTTGACGCTAAGGAGATCATTGCATTGACTGTTCTTATTGTGCGTAAGATCCCCGAAGATCTTTATGCGGAGATGATCACCCACGCAAAATAGATACGCTTCGGTGTACTCTATGGCCAAGATTAGTGTCTTACTATGTATTTTTTTTTGGCGTTTCCGGTATTTCGCAACATTTTAGGTGAGGTCATGGGACATGGGTCTCTTGTTATGAACGCTCAGGATACACGCTTGTTTGAATGACTTATGATTGTACACAACTACTTGATTCGATTGAATGGATCTTTTATACTTAGAATTAATATTGCAACTACTATTTGGTTTTTGTCCTGATATGTCCTATGTGGATACCTACCTAGGTAGGTACGTCCAAATGTGAATGCTACAAATTCCATCCATGGTTGGTTTCCAAGGTTGTCTGCCCTCCAGTCAACAACAAAAAAGGTACCACTAAGCCGCCATCTTATCCTTTTAAACACACTGGGCAAGACTACCTACCTAGTTGGTATTAGTACCTAGGCATAAGCGAATATATGCATCGTGCACCCGTGGACAGATAATTTACCTATGTAAGCATTCATGATGTGGCCAGCTGTAAGCTCCCTTCTCTGATCTTAGCATCAAAGAGCAACAAACAATAAAGCAACAAGAATACTATATAGCAATCTGGCTCTGACTAGGTATATAATCTAGTATATGCCTGTATCTATTCCACTCTACAGGAGAAGCATATTGCCTCACCCTATTCTGATACTAGACTCAGTGCCTACCTAAGTATTCGACGATGATGCTGCTCATGTTCCAAAATCTCTCATGGGCCATCTATGACAGTGCAGTCTATATTGCACACTTCTTACTCGCGATCACATGTGAAATAGTACCTAGGTACCGAAATCCTGGGTTACAATCGATACAAGTAGGCGCAGGTCTCAATTCATGAGCCAAGATCCATCAATATGTCGCCAAATCATTGCAGGAGTGATTCAACATCATCAGTGTCAAAATATCATCCCCCCAAATGCATCCAGGGCGATAGTGAATCAGCCGCTGAAAGTCGCCTTTGGAATTGACAATGCTTTTACGCGCAGTGATGACAGTGAAGTCAGCTCGTTTGTTACAGCAGCGAGAGCTAAAATGAATCTCTCAGCGGATGGGTGGTTTGCTGTCTCCCGATTCGCAAGAGCCACTACGAGGAACTGGAGTGTCAAGCAATGCCCTTTAGTGACCCATAGTACATCTCAACTACAAGGAGCCATGGGCTCGCATATCAACATCGCTTCGATGGCTCAGATACTCACATTAAGAGTTGTGCTGCGTGTCATGTTTGACAAAACTGATCAAGACAAGATATGTGATATGAGCATTCTAACCCTTGCACAATCTATCAACAGAGCTTGGATTGCCCAGAAGGGCGCACAAGAGAATCAAATCCTCAGATTTGAAGACGACGTTCCCATGAAGGAAGCACTGTTTGATATCTTCGGGACCCGCAACATTATGCCTGGGAACAACCCGTTGAACATCATCTTGCCCTCCTTTGAGACGATGTGGAGGATAGTATTGAGGACGGTCCTGGAGATTGGGTTCGTGGGAAGCGCCGAGCACCCTGAATGGGAAAGTTCTGTCGTTGCCTTCGCGATGGAGCCGACCAAACGACAATTCGAGCTGGATCAGAACCCTCGACTGAGCTCCAGGTCCAGCTCGCATGGACAGAATATAAGTTCGAGTCCCCATGATTCCATGCGCGAAACATTCTCTGCGAAGCATCTTGTCTTCGAATCCCTTAGGCTCTATGTCCCCACCCGCAGGGTCCATCGAGCATATCAATGGAGTGAGAATGCAGGATCTCACGAGACTCTATCTGCAGATATTGAGGGATGTCATCTCCGCCGTGATATATGGGGTGACGACGCGAAAGAGTTCAACCCAAGTCGCTGGTTGAACTTGACGCACATCCAAAAAGAAGCATTCATGCCATTTGGTTGTGTTCCTTTTGAATGTCCGGCGAAACCGACTTTCGGCCCGAGAATGATTGGACTATTGGCTGGCGCTATATTGGAAGCTTTTGGTGAGCTGTCAACCGACGTGGGTTGGAGATTAGTCTGTGATGATAAAGGTGTGCCGGAGCATTTGCGATCAGGGCAAGGCTTGAGTCTAGATAGAACCGCTTACGGGGATTTGTTTCTAGCTCGGGCCCCAGGAAGACATTCCATGATGTGAATTTTTGCGTTGTCATTCCACATGAAAGTAAGGAGTACCTAGTATATTATGTAGATTTTCGTGAACTTTCGGCCTCCGGAGATAGCACTGGCATTTGAGGTAGATTACCTGGTCGGTGCAAGGACTGACAGGAAATAATTAAATGAAGCTACTAATGATAATAACTAACAAACATAGAGCGAACTAGACATATTTTGAGTTGAGCAAAGCCTGGCTCAAACTAAATGGTACAACGACCTCGAGCGTCTATCAAGTCGGAGCAGACGTGCACAGCATATCCGCCCTCGACTTGCCAGACCCATCAATCACCAACGGCTTGCAAGGCTTCCTTTCCAAGCTGCTCATCTCATCAGCCCAAGACACCGAGTCGTCTGTTTCAGAAGTCGGGCTATCGGTAGCAGAACTCAGACTTGAACCGCGCGTCGGTGGCTCACGCTCAACCATGACGCGAATGCGAGAGCCCATGAACATTACGTTGTTGAACATAGTGGCGGCACGATGTGCCTCCTCGGTGGTCTGCATGACTATCAAGGCTCGAGTCTCGTCTCTTTCCAATGCCACATTACACTGCGTGACAATTCCGGCGGATTGGATGAGGTCTTTTAGGTTGCCAGGCGTGGTGGATGGATGAAGGTTCTCCAGTATGACAGCGCGAGCACCTGGATAGAAAGAAGGGGACTGTGGATCTGGCGCTTTGTGGCATGAAGGGTAGAAGTATTGATCGGGACTGTTTCCGGTGTGTGTTGGGGTCATAGGGTATGGCATCATCCACTGCGGCTCGTATCCGTTCATTAATGGTGAAGGGGGGAAGCATTGCATTGGGAGCATGTCTGGTAGCATGGGGACGAACTGTCCCGGCATTGTCATGGGCATCATTACGCCATACTCCGGGTATGGGAATGTTGGAGTGGGAGGCTGGGCGGATCTATTGAACGTTAGATCGTGTAGCATGTGAGGATTATGCTCTACTCACTCAGGTGAGACGGGAGAGGGAGGCATCTTCATGTTTCCATGAACTCTTGGGGGGGTTGAGTGGCCAGAAACATAGCCGGACATGATGGGTGGGCTTCTGGTAGGTCCAGCGATGGGTTTGGTGGGTGTGCTGGTTCGTGAGAGAGTAACTACCAGACTTTGACCTTCCCATCCATTTGTTGAGAGTCGGTCTTGAATTTTGTTAGACCATCAATTTCATGAGGGGTTGAAAGTACGCACGGTATGTTCGCCAGGCCTCGTCTTCGTTTTTGATGATAATTTGGCCAAGTCCGGTGGGGAAGCCATGGCTATCATCGTATACTACTGCCTGGCGGATATGCAGAGCAGTTTGACGCACGAGGTCCTTCAGTTCTTGCCATCGGCAATGCGATGGAATCTGCTCCTTGGTCAGTTTAGGATTGAGGGGCTTCTATGTTAGAACATACACCTTGCAGGAAGACAACAAACTCATCATCGGATCTGCGCGACCTGGAGCGACCCTTATCACGACCAAGAAAAGGCATGGCGACGAATCTGTCAAGTTATGCACAAGAGCTAAGCGCCGAATGGGCGCTAGTTTGGAAATTTAAGAGAGAATCCGTGAGGGTTGATATCCCACGTTGTCAAGCAGTCGGACTTGTCCAAGATTGTATTCGAGTCCAGAAGACAATTGTCTGTAAGAGGTCCGTGTTAGCTCGGTTTCTATAGAGGTGATACCTGCAATGAGTGCTCCGGGGGTTTAGACATGAAACACCAATGAGACTCCAATCGAACTGGGGACTCACGAGTAGTCGGATAAATTCAAGTCAAATTGACCTCATGCACAAAAGGATCAAAGGAAAGGAAATCTGCGAGCGAGGCGAATATAAAGAGCAAGAACATGTGTCCCGGTTTCACAAGCCCAAGTTAATTAATTCCTTAGGGCTAACAATGCATTTACATAGCTCACGACCCAGAATACTGTACGATTTGGGCGAATGGTAACGCCATCTGAGGCTTCGCAACCAGTCATAGTAGAGAAGCAGGAGCGATTTTGTTTTTTTTTTTTTTGTTTTTGTTTTTTTTACCCTTTTGTTGTATTTTCGTTCATGCTGGGATATGTCATTTTCATGCCCGAGCTCAGCTCTGCCATCAATGCAATAGAAGGCTCCATTACGGAGTACCACCCCACCGGGTTGACCTCGACACTTGTCGCTTTCTCCTCCCCCAATGTACACAGTAGTTGGCGGAATTACAAATTAAATCTCCAGGCCAGCTTCTATCTTGATCAACTCCGGGTATACCCGTGCCTATTGCAGGGAGTAAATCGCTAGAAGACCCCCGTTACACCGCTAGATCCGGATCGGACGTGAAAGGTGGACCTGCGCGGCCATGTATTCATCACATTGGGTTCTGCATGTGTTCTGCATGTCTTTGTCCATTGTCAGATCGGTCCAGAGATGTCTAGGGTAAAAAAAAAAGCAACGAGGGGATCATATGGGGAATTGGAGGCAGACACGAAAAGAAAGTCCACCCAAAAAAGCAAGGAAAGGTGAATTAAGAAACGGATCGTCGATTGAAGTGGAACCCTGCAACCTGAGCAGTCATACGAACTACATTTCGCTATTGGCCTCTGGATTTGGGGCTATCGTTTTCGACATTTCACCCACGTCCTCCGTATTGCCATTATTGACTCGTTTCCGAGTACCTGCAGCGGCAAGTCAAAATGCCCAGTTCTTTCAGCCCGGGTATTTGCTACACATCGTTCGTATGGGATCCACGAGCCCTCCGTGCTCGTCTACTTTGTACTCAACATGGAGATCTCTTTCGCACGGACGCTGGAATATAATGTTGAGCGAACACGGGTCACACTGCAGGTCCCAGCCGCGTTGGAGTTTCCCAGACTATTGTTCGGTGTACGGTGTACTCCGTACAGTCCAGGACTCTTGACACAGATCTTCGACTTGATCTCCCACTGCGGTTCACCCTTTTTTCCCTGGAATGTGCGAAGTCAAGTGACCGTGTATTACCTGTAGCACAAGACTGGACGATGGCGACACGAGACCAAAGCCCTGGGCTCCGGGAATCTTATGGACGAGCAGATTCCAAGGTTGACGCCATCTTTCAAAAACAAGTATATCAAAAAAATTGAATATTTACCCTCCGGAGGGCGGAGTACTCTGTAGTCGGGTAAAGGTTGCCCAGCTGATGGGTCGAACATCACGGAACGGTGATCTACACGGGTCCCGAATATCCCACGCAGATCATCTTGGATTCCCAAGGTTGATGATTGGTACTGAAACTTGGATGAATCCATTCGGACCCCCTAAGGGGTCAACGCGTTCGCCATTCACCGCGCACTGGCGTCCAAAATGAGCACCTTGGTAATACAGGACAGATATCGAATTCTCGCGAAATCTCCCAGCTCAGAAACAGAGAATATTAAAATACCGCTATGTCCAGCGTAGGTATGGAGTAAAAAGTATCTAAATTGAATGTTCTCCGTGTGAAGGTAATGGATGACATCAAGACTCGAGTCGAACCGAGTCGGCGCTCTCAGTATGAAGACAACAGGCGAAGGAAATTTCATCCGCAGAATACAGATTTCAATCGGCGGTGCAGACACAACGCAGCATGTATGGTCGTAGAGGGCAGGGAACTCCAAACTCGAGTTCTTTCGGTCGGCAACCTCGGGATCCCCGGACTGCCCCGGATTGCCCCGGACCCCTATCACCAAACCATCTCAAACAAAAATTCAGTGAAATTGTCGCGACCAGGGTCGAGAAAATCACAGCTCCTGGAAAGTGTCCGAGGCGAGAAATTTGGAAGCAAGAACGAAAGCGCGTCGAACGTGGGTGGAGAGATGGGGCGCCATTGCAATGGGGGGCCTGCGTCGTGCTCGAGGGGAGAGTGGTAGATAGCATATGGGCAAGTTGATTCAGCTCGTACTCTGTACTCTCTCATCCCCCAAAGCCGACCTTGGACGCGCAGCGGTTACAGTAGTAGGAATTCATTCCAAACTGCACGGCGCCCGAGCCGGATTGACTGAGGCTGAGAGACTGTTGGCAACGGGAACAACGAACAATATCGAAGGTCGGAGAGGTTGCTTGTGTAGTCCGGGGGATTTCTTGGGGGATTTGCACTGGGGAGCTCATGGTTGGAGGTGAAGAAGGAAGAAAGGGGGTGAGTCGCATTTTGAGTTCTCTTGCCCCGTGATAGCGCAGTGGAATGATATTCCTGACAGTCGAGGGACCGTGAGCCTTTAAAAGCAGCTGACCTCTCCGACATACCCGATTTCCATCCCGATACCCAAATCCAGAATCCCGTAGCCTAGGTGGCTTTTGCGCCCCGGAAGCAATATCCCTTCAACTCCCCACGATATGCATGTTTGTTGGATCTTCTGGTAGACATCCACTTTGAATTCCACTAGTGCTCGCACTGACATACTCTAATAATTGGTTCCAAGTTCTTCTCCAGAGACTGATTTCAAGTGAAGATAATGCCGTCATGAGGGGGATCGACGCCATGCGGAAGGCTTGATTAGGCAATGTTTCATCTGAGCCATGCAGGTGAGGGCCGAATAAGGTGTGGCAAGACGTGGTCTGAGTGTGAGATAGTACAAATACACACCTGGGCACGAAAGATACCCTGCCCAGGGAGCCCTGGAGACGGAGGTGGCAGAGAATGAAGTGATAAGATTCGGTCGACGTCATACCTCTTACTGCAGGTGGGAACCTTGCCATTTTGCCCTTTTCGATACTTCCACTTCCACCCCTCTGAGAACAGTCTGGTGTCACCTTGATTTCAGCCTAAATCCCTCACCTTGAACTCCACGTCTACATTTCTAGACATTCTACCTTGTCCCACACATCACACAACATGGCCTCTGCATCTCCCAATCTCTACAGCTTCCCCAACAGCAATGCGCTGGCGGAGTCACTGCGCGTTTACGTCCTTCGTGCCCAAAATTCCGCTCTCAGCCGCCATGAGAGCTTCCGCCTAGCCGTCTCGGGTGGCTCCCTCCCCGCCGTCCTGGCCAAAGCCCTCCTGGCCCCCGGCAATGGCTCCCCGGAGGATACCCCTCAATTCTCCAAGTGGCACATTTTCTTCGCTGACGAGCGCGCGGTCCCACTTGACCACGAAGAGAGCAACTACCGCTTGCTGAAGGATGAGCTCGTGGCCAAGATCCCTGCCGAACTCGGCTCACCGGTGATCCACCCCATTGATGAGAAGCACGTCCACGACGACGACCCACAGGAACTCGCAGACCTCTACCAAGAGGATCTGATGCGTGAGTTCGCCGCAAAGGATTCCGTGAAGCTGCCCGTTTTCGATCTCATCTTGCTCGGCTGCGGTCCCGACGGTCACACCTGTTCGCTGTTCCCAGGTCACGATTTGCTGCGCGAGAAGGACGCCTGGGTTGCTCCCGAGACCAATTCTCCCAAGCCCCCTCCTAAGCGCATCACTCTGACCCTACCTGTGGTGACCCACGCTGTCAACATCGCCTTCGTGGCGACTGGCGCCGGAAAGAAAGAGATTCTGAAGCAGATCTTCGATTTGGAAGAGGGTTCCAGTCTTCCTTCGGCGCTAGTCAACCAGGGTGCAGGTGAAAAGGTCAGCTGGTTCACTGATCACCCTGCTGTTGACGGCGTTGCGTTCTCTCGCCGTGGAAGCCTGTGAGCCATGAAACGCGGGTGAGACATCGATTTGAGAAAGCTTGTGTCGACTTTGCAAAGTACCAAAAGTACCCAATGCGCTCTTGATTATGAATTACGGTTTAAAAGTGAGGTTCCTCTCGATCTTGGGGAAGGGTTGTTGATCCGGTAGACCGAACTAGCAATATAGACTTTATCTCTTGAAAGAACCTTAGAGTACTGGCTTTTTGTAGGAGCATAGCCACTATGTTGGAATGTTTCGCTGTAATGACTGCTATTTCCTGCCAGGTGGGCTCTAGCCGACGTCGCTTTACTCAAGGCCTGTTGTACGAAGTATGCCTAGGTATAATTTTCCGGGGCCGCTGCGTGTCGCGGACTCGCGGCAACCTTGGAACGTGCCCAGGTGAGATGGGATACTAAACTTCCAGGTTACAGATGGGGTTCTAGTGTGACCTCAGGGGTTTTACCTTATACCTAGTACCCGTGGGCCTAGGTAGAGATCTAATTCATTGATTCGAACAGCGCGAAGTATAGCTGTCCTAAGCTCTGACTTTGCAAGGTTAGGTGTAACGAGTTTATATCACAGACTCCCACGCACCTTGTATAGAGCAAAGTAGAATTCTGTCGACTGAACACGAACATGAGACTTGCTACAACTCATGAGGGCATGAAGATAGTTCCCAATATATCATTTTATTCAACGTCCATGGACCTTTGGGCGTAAGGTACTCCAGTGATGATTCAAATGTTTACTCTAGGATTTTTGAGCCTCCAGCCGTTGTGGATCTAGAAGGCGCTCAAGATTCGCAGATCGTCTCCCACGCTGATTCCTTTGCACCTCATTTGTTTAGGATTGACATGTCGAGAGTGCGCCCGCAAAGTCGGTCAGGCTTCGGGAGTTTTGATAAAGTAGCAAAGTGGATAACATCCGCTGCGGGATCAGCGCGTCACATCAACTTGGCCTCGCAGCTCTCTCCTTTTTTCCTTTGTTTTTATTTCGCATAATGCCATTTCCTATCTCATGACCCCTTGACGATGCCCATCCCAACTCGCTCAGCCTCGCTGCGCGAGCCCCGTAAACACGTGAGTCCACTGCTTGTTTATCGCGGCTCTCCGTCGCATTCCTTCCATTGCCGACATTGCGAGTATCGAACATTCGTACTAACTGCCGAAGGTCTCAAATATCGCACGACCCACGAAAATCTCCCCAAACACAACCGCCCCAAAGGAACCGGTTCGATCGAATAATGACAACCGCCCGTCTCCCTCGCCGGCCGAGGCTGTCATGAAAGAACAGGGCCCGACCGCTCGAGGGAGAATCCCACTCCCTCAGCGCAGCAATACCCAGGAGAGTAGCCGTACAGGCCAGCTACGGTTCCAGCCACCCGGCAGCAGATCGATCCCACGAGACCCCTCACCGATGAGACATGAGGCATCACCTGTCAAGAAGCAAGCTCCGTCAGAGTCGATGGCAGTAAAGCCCGTGGTGCCTCCAACCAGGCGGCAAAGCATCATGCGACCTAGCGCGATTAAGATACCCGCCACTAAATCTACGACTTCTACATCGAAGAGCTCGGCGCCTCCGTTTGCGCCGCCCTCACCCCGAAAACCAACAGGTAGACGGTCACCCGTGCAACCAGTGCAACCCCCCGCGAGGAGACCCGCATCACCAAAGAAAACGGAGATGCTGCCCCCACCGCGCCCTGCGCGGTCTGCTTCCCTAAGGCAGCCTGTCAGTGCCGGGAAGATTCCACCAGTGGCCAAGGGCCATACGCGACACCGAAGCCAATTGACGCAAAGCACCAAGCCAGTCGAATCAACGTCAACGCAGCGTTCTCGCGCGATATCTACGTACCAACGGCCCTCCTCCCCCAAAAAATTCTCCAAGCCCCCCACGCCGACCCCCGGAAGCGGGCCTCAGCCGGATAATCTGCTCATTCCCTCGTCATGGCCGGATATCACAGCATTGCAGACAGAGCTCCTCCAACTCAGCCTGTCTCACTTGAATCTGACGCACCAACATTCCGAGTGGAAGTCCGAGTCTGAATTACATCTACAAAGCAAATACGAAGGCGTTGCTGCTCAGTACCGCTCTTTGGTTGCTGATGAAACTAGACATCAGTATCAACTCAATGTCCATGCACTGGGACTCTGGCTGTCCAACTGCCGTGAACATCGTGGCTCGCATGACTTCCCAGAACAAATACAAATTCTGTCACAGGTCCTGCAGGAAGTTTCGGACATGATTGCGGAAAGTGGACCTTACTCCTATATTGTGATGACCTTCAGAGCGTGGCTCGGGCAAGCAGAGAAGATCCGCCAGGCCCGTGGACCAGGGTGCGTTGACGTTACTTTCGTCGACCCTCTTCCTCGAAGTTGGAAGGAACCCGTTCAAACCCTGGGATCTAAGCTGGAACTTTTCTCCCGGCAGCTTCAAGCGCTGGATATCCTTGGCTTCGGGCAGGTAGAGCGTGTGGAGCAATCTGCCCTCGCAAGAGTAGCGAGGACCCTGGCCGACCTCATCCAACTGATGGTGCAAGAGATGCGAGCTCTGCGCACGCTAGAAATGGAAGTTGTACGTTCTGAGAGAGAGGCTGTCAGTCTCCTTGCGAGTCGACTTGCAGGCTCGGCGAGGGAATCTAAGGCTCCAAAGGCTGGAGCCTGGAGATGCTAGACTTGTATAATGTCACGAGGGGATGAAGACCAGGACCATTCTGGGCCTGTATGTGAAATGAGAACAGTGTCATGACTTTCAATTCCAATTTCGATTCCAACAGTCCATAATTCCTGTAGTGTCCAGATGTCCGTCTCACGGGCAAAGTGCTCGATGTGCCTGCGGCGAAATGAAACCAAGTTCCAATGTTCCAAGGTTGGCAGCAAGGTTGGGTGGTACCTGCCCCCAGGTGCCCAGGTGGGGCCTAGCGTAGTCATCTTGTGGCCTGAGGTGTCAAAGTTTGATCCTGGATCTTGGAGGCGAACTGAGATCGATCAATTCCAAACCGGTTCTTTGACATGGTTCCTTGTTATGATTATATTCTCAACATCACTTTATCTAAGTCTATCCATACCCGGATCAAAAGTGATGTGAGCTTCATTTGAGCTCTGTTCCTGACGTCATCTCCAGCTATCGCCGGGCGTGACAGCCAAAACTCCGCAAAAAGATAGTCTCCACTTCATCATTACCTACCATAATGATCGATCAAACCTGAAAGCCTCCTCTCACACACTCAACGGGTTGAATGGCCATGAAGAACTCAATCCACCATCGCCTTTGGCATCGGGAATGCGGGGATCAGTCCCAATATGCCGGGCTCCGGGGGATTTATGGGTCTCAGGAATGGGTTGATGGACTCGATATTGTGAATGAGCTTGGTGGGCACACGGGCTGCGTGAACGCTCTGAGGTAGGTGGCTGAGCTCTCCTAGCTTGAAAGGACCATCGTTTGAAATGTGGCATGCCCTAACGCTCTCGCAGTTGGTCACGATCAGGACGTCTCTTGGCGTCCGGCTCGGATGATCAGTACGTCAATATCTACTCGTACCAATCCGAATCCTCCAATGCTCCATTCGCGCTGAACACTACCCTATTCACCGGGCACAAGGCCAACATATTTTCCGTCAAGTTTATGCCACATTCCAACGATGGAACTCTGGTCACATGTGCAGCCGATTCAACCGTGCGCGTGTTTGATATTGAATACTCTAGTGGCAGGAATGATGCTGCCACCTCGGCATTTGAAGGCTCCGCTCGAAGCCGCCGCTTCACTGAATTCTTCGGCGACGCGCGATACTTGACCGATGGCAATACCAATGCCAGGGTTTATCGCAGCCACGCCGACCGCGTGAAGCGCATTGTCACTGAATCATCTCCATACCTCTTCCTTACGTGCTCCGAGGATGGTGAGGTTCGCCAATGGGATCTGCGGCTTCCGTCTAGTGCATATCCTGCCCCGCGAGGTGGCCAGGGATTCATGTCATACCGACCAGGATTGCAGCACGATGACTCGAATGTGCCGCCACCGCTTATCTCCTACAAGCAATACAACCTGGACCTGAACACCATATCCTGTTCGCCAAGCCAGCCGCACTATATTGCATTGGGCGGTGCCCACATGCACTGCTTTTTGCATGATAGACGCATGGTGGGCAGGGATATGTCTGCTGCCAGAGGAAGCTCTACCCCAAGCGCTGGAAGCGTGGCTGACGAGGAGATGAGTAAGGCCACACGGTGTGTGCGCAGGTTCGCACCTGGTGGCAAGAGTCATCCGAAATACGCCGCCGACGGACACATCACCGCATGTAAAATCAGCGATGCGAATCCCAATGAGATGGTGGTCAGCTGGTCGGGAGACCACATCTACAGTTTCGATCTGATCCGTAGCCCTGATGCTCGAGAAGGTCGGGCGGACAAGAAGACGCTCAAAGGCAAGGGCTCACGGGCTCGACGCAGTTCGCGGAGTCGAAAGCGTAAGCGTCAGAAGCCTGCAACACCCTCGTCACAGGAAAGTGGCGGCCGGCATCAATCCCGTCTCCGCTCAGAAGAGCCTGATACTTTTAGAGTTCAGTATGAGAACGGCGAGGAGGAGGATGTCCCTTTCCCTACCTTCTCGGATAGTGTCCCGGACACCGCTGAGAGTATTCTCGAGCAGACTCGATATGCCGTGTTGAATGATGCTCAGCGACTGAGCATGCAGATTGCTAGGGGCTTGGTAAAACTTCGCAAGACTCTCTTTTCTCTCGAGGCGACAATTCGTGAGGCGACGAGCTCGGACGATGTGGAACCAGAATCCTATGCGAGTTGCTTTTTGACTGCGTTAGAGCTGGCGACTGAGTATCTGCCGAAGATGGATGAAGTAATGCGCCAATGGAGTTATCCCATGAATCCTTCACAGGACACCGTTACGTTTCAGCAATCTCTTCGCCACAACCGCCAGTCGTCGTGGAGATTCGTGCAAGCTTCAGGTGCTCTCGCATATGCTTTGTCAAACGAGCCGCTAGACCCGGAGTCAAGCTTCCAAATGATTAAACCTGCACCCAGCGAGGATGGGCTGGACCCAAGGGCGCAGTTTAGTTATGACTTCCTTCGAGCAATTTTACTCTGGTTGCAAGGTGGGAGATCCCGTCTCCTCGAGGGTTTCCAGCGTCATAACTCGTCTCGCCGATTGCATGACCGATACCCAATCCCAGATGAGTCCCAAGAAGACGCCATTGAATCCATATTGATCCCATACCTCATGGAAATGGCCAGCGACACTCCGATCGTGAATGTTGATGCTTCCAGATTCGAGCATGACAGCTCGCGTTTCTTATTTGGCACTCAGCGCGCGGCTGTTACTGCATTTGGTAATGTTATTCGGTTGCCTCTGGAGGACTTAGGAAATTCCGCTGCTACGTTCACTACAAGCCGCGACTCCAGTCCTTCTCCACGGGTGCGCTCGCTTGACCGTGCCTCTGCAAAACGCTTCTGGCTCTTGAGAGTCGGCCGAGGGGTTTTGATGGAAGCAGGTAAAGACGTTAATTACATGTTTGTCAACAACGCTTTCGGTGGCTTGCGCGCTACATCAGATCCATCTGATAGTGAATCCGAGAGAGATCAAACCGACATCGATCCCAATGAGGAAGAAGAGAGAATCAGAAGCATTGAGCTTGTCAGAACTGGCAATACTTCGCGGCCTGTTGACCCTCATCTTGACAATTATCCGGGTGAGGGTAGCTCTTCCAACCACGCTGATGACGATAGTGGCGACAGCGAAAGGAATGCCGATGGGTCTGATGATGATAGAGATGATGATGATTCTTCTCCATTGGACTCATTTGACGAAGATTCCCCGGAAGATTCAGACGACTCTTCCACCTCTGGTTATGCCATCCCAAGAGTACGCCAAGAAAATGTTGAGCGTCATGCACCCTGCTCAACGCATATTCGAAGCTATCGTGGGCATTGCAATGTGAAAACCGTGAAGGATGTCAACTTTTTCGGTCTGAATGATGAGTACGTGGTCAGTGGCAGTGACTCTGGTCACCTCTTCATCTGGGACCGCAAGACCTCCAACCTAGTCAATATTCTTGAAGGTGACAGCGACGTTGTCAATGTTGTCCAAGGCAAGTACATACGCATTTCGAAGCACGTGTGGCATTCTAACCAACGCAGGCCATCCATACGAACCCATGATTGCTGCCTCTGGAATCGACAACACAATCAAAATCTTCTCATCGGACCGAAATGCCCAAGAAGATGCTCGCAACGGTGTCAACATTCTAGATCCTGAAAATCCATCCAACACACTCGGTCGAAACTCATCTAGGGCCGGGGGACTGGAAAGCAAAAAGCGAATCCATGAGAGTTATCGCATCATGAGCCAGAACGATGTTGAGCGTCGTGGCGGTATGAATGAAGCACACATCACTGTAGGTTTTATCTTTGGGCGCAGCGGGCTGCCCCAAGTCAACGGCACAATGTTCTGATTCTGACCACTGATTAGAGAGAAATGCTTGGACGGTTAGCTGCCAATCTAAGAGAGCGACAAGGTGTTGCTGGGGCTGGTCTTGAGGGCCTCGGTGCTACCGGTGAGCATGCGACAGTGGTTCTTGATGATAATTGCACGGTATGTCATTGATTTTCTCCCAGTCTGGGTTTTGCTAGGTCCATACTAACAGTCTCAAGGTGATGTGAGCAACGAGTGGTTTCAATGCAAAGCGAGGCGCAGGTTCTATTTGTTTTTGGGTGAATGATATCACACGGTAGCCGCATTCTAAAGTAAATATTGACTTTCGCTCGTTTCCAAGTTGTGCCTGTGACTACCTAGGTCTATATATGCGTGTAGGGACTTCAGATGCTCAATGAGTGCCCACAGGGCAGGCGTGGGCTTCATCCAGGGCTACCTACTTGTGTCGAGCGGGCAGCCTGCGGGGCACACTGTATACAGGGCCTGTTGGGACCTCAATGTCGCAGTTGACACCACTGCGTTGGCCTGGGTACATTTCGTACAGTGAACACGAAGATAGAGGTTCAACTATTTTCCTTACTTTTCTTCTCGAAAATAACTCTGCCTACCTAGGTACCAAGGTGGATTGGAGATATTTTGATTGAGCGACAAAAAGACCTCGGAACGCAGATCTATGCGATAACGAGTGCAAACCATGCAAACATAGATTTTTCCGATATCTACAGAGGGGCAGAGTCCATTCTTGGAATGTTAACTCGATATTGCATTCAATCTTTGCAATTGAATTCACTACCTTGCACAGGCTAGCTAGGAAGCTCTCAAGCGATTGCATCAACTGGCCAGCAATCGCACGTTTCTGTGTTAAGTAGGCGTCACGATATAAAACGCCAATATCACAAGGCAAAATCTACAAGATGTCAGCCTCACAGGTATTGCAGGCTCGCAATGAGGTCACTGCCAAACTATATGCCGACCCTCACAATCCTCATCGCCACTTGGAACGAGGAATTCTCTATGAGAAGCTAGGTTTTCCAGACCTCGCTTCTGCAGACGCATACCGTGCGTTGGCTTTGCTGGAGTCTGTCATTGACCCAGATGAGTGTGAATTTCATGCCAAACGAAAGGTGGATCTTCCCAAGACTGAAAAAGAGACCAATGACTCTGATTCAGAGTCAGAGGAGGAAGACGATACAGTCCCCATCACCCAAGAAGAATACGACGCAATCATAGACAAAGTCTATGTCCTACTGGTTAGCAGTCTAGTCCAGTGTGGCTGCTATCGCGATGCCTTTGAATTCGGCGTTCGTGGTTTGGCTCTACTCAAAGCCAACCCATCAGCAGTAGCCTTGCTCGACACGCAAATGGAGCGCGTTAAAGAAATTTATGAATCCCGCACAGGTTCGAAGGCAGAACTGGCTTCCATCAACCCAAGACAACTTCCAGGCCAAGGCTTTGCCCGCCGCGTACTCTATCCGTGGAATGAGCACGAGCCCGATCGCCGCTCCCCAGAGACCCTGAGCATGCTTAACGAGCGACTGTCGGTCATCGCGCCAAAATGCGAGGTCCGAGCCGTTTCATTGCCAGTCCTGCACGCCACGGCAGATGACAACATGGATGTTTCCATCCAGTTGGGTCTTTTCGCGAAAGAAGACATCTCGCCTGACGAGATCATCCTCCGCGAATCATCTCTGCTGACCGCCACCAACCGTCTCCACGACGATCTCTGTGATGCTTGCAATGCACCGCTCCCAGATCTATCAGCAGCAGAGCCACCTGTCGCCTGTGAAGGCGGCTGCGTGGATATCATCTTCTGCAGCCAAGCCTGCCACGACACAGCCCAGGAAGTTTACCACGGAGCAATTTGTGGATTGGAAGATGGCCTCGATTCCATCGGCAAGGACATCGCCGATCCCAAAGACAAAGCAGACTACCTGTACCTGCTACTCGTTGGACGCGCCCTCGCCATGTCAGCCACACAGGAAAAGCACGCGCTTGACCTGCCAGAGGTGAAATACATCTGGGGCGATTTCCACGACTACGACCTCGAGTCACCTGGGTCGTCTGAAGAAGCCACGCTGCCATTCTCGTTTCAGCTGAACGTTCTCCAGCCGGAGCGGATTCTCGACGAAATGGGTCTTGACCCGTACGTTGAGCTGCACCGCTTCGATACCTGGGTTTTGAATACATTGTATGCGAAATTCCGCGGCACCGCGTCTGGTCGGTTAAGTACGTGGGATGGTGGCCCAGAGCTGTGCGCTGTTCACCCACTCTGGTGTTTGGCGAACCATTCGTGTGACCCGAACGTGACGTGGGAGTGGAGTAGTGAGATCAATTTCCGAGCGAGACGGGATGATGAAACAGCGGTTTGGGCTAGAGAGGGCGAGGTCAAGGATCTCAGGCCTGGGGGCATTGCTAAGGACCAGGAGATCCTGAACCACTATTGTGATATTGCATTGCCGGTGGTGAAGAGGAGAGAGTGGGCTTCTGGAGCTTTGGGAGGAACTTGTTTGTGTGATCGGTGTGTTTGGGAGGCTGGAGAGGTTTAGGTATCTTTGTGTCCAGTCATTAGCAGCCCTGTCCTCGAAATAAAGTAGAGTTCCAGTGGGAGTTTGGGGGTTACGGGCTAGACGGGGCGGCATTTGCCTTGAGTATAGAAAATGTGATTGATGGTAAAAATACACCACGAAGGAATGAAATTGCTAATGAGTCCTTGTATTCCAATCCTAGACACCGTAAAAGAAACACTTCCTCATATTTTCGCTCTCAATCTGAGCGATTTCATTATGAACATTTTGAGATGACTGTATGGTCCACGACCACGGAATCAAATGGTCAAACGGCCATCAGTTTATCTACGGCGAGGGGGTGTTCGCGAGTAGCTTCTGCCTCGTGATTCATCCCGCCGCTTGGGAGGAGGCGAGCGAGAGTATGAATCATCGCGTCCGCGCCGGGGAGGGGGCGAAACGGACTCGGAGTGCCGCTTCGCTCCCCGAGATGCAGGTTCCCGACGAGGAGGGGAGCGAGATCTTGATAGGGACCTCGTGTAGCTGCGGTTCCTCCGCGGGCTTTGGCCTCGACGCGGGGGTGTGACAGACCGCGAAGCCGAGCGGCGGTAGGGACTGCGACTGCGACTGCGACTGCGACTCGGGCTTCGGGAGTCGTAAGAGGGTGAGCGAGCTCGGCGCTTGGCTGGAGTACGCGAAAACGAGCGGGACCGAGATCGACCTGCCGGAGTACGAGATCGGCTGACGGACGCATCACGGCGACGGCGAACCGGGGATCGAGATCGGGATCGGGAGGGGGTATAGCTCCGGCTCCGGCTTCGGGAAGAAGGTGTAAGTGAGCGGGAGTAGGAGCGGCTTCGACCTCGGGAGGGGGAGCGGGAGTATGAAGGAGACCGGGAGCGGCGGGAGTGTGGAGATCCGGTGCATGTTGAGCACATAGAACGTGAGCGTGAGCGATCGGACGGGGTGCGCGACAGACTTCGAGAAGCACGCGCGGGGAGCGCAGGGACTGCGGGGCGAGGAGCGTTCTTCAGCTGCTCGCGCATGTCCTCTGTCAATACACCCATGCCGATACTGGTGAAGTAATTGACAGAGAATCGAGTGTGTCGAGGATTCTCGGTGGGGAAAAGACCCTCGAAGCTTGAGCGAAGAATCTCATCTCTGAAACGAGTTTGTAGGCCAGGCAGGCCAAGGTTCTCTGCAAGATTCTGGAAGAGAATCTTGATGAAGATACGGCTGCTAGATGTGGTCTCCTCTTCGTTGAGATGGATGACAGACAAAACATGCCAGCCAATGGCATCATTGCTGATCAAGTGGCCGAAGAACTGCGCAATGTTGCGAAGTTTGTTGGTCTCATAACGATGGATGGTGTCGTAGTATTTGGCAAAGGCGGCCTCAAAGAGGTCGGACCAAAGACGGTTGATTTTGGCGAAGCGTTCTCCAATCAGGCCGTAGAACTTGGAGTAGGTACGTTCCTGAGAGCAACATTCTATGATCATGGACGGAAGTTCGTGCTCTAACCCGGCCGGCAGGTTAATCTTCATCAATTTGTGGCAACATTCCTCGAAATCAATGCTGGACATGATGGTGAGGTAGATCGTTCGTCGGAGATTGACCAAGTTGGTATTACTCTGATCCTTGATGTCCATCTGTACTTCCTCGGCATCGGACTCCTCATCTTCACTTTCATCCGAGCCGTCTTCGTCTTCCTCGTCGCTGTCTTCGCCCAAGATTTCGGCTTTCAATTTCTTGTAGGCCTCTTCGTGTTCCTCCCATTCTGGGTCATACTTGAAGATGTTGAGCATGTCCTGGGTGTCAAGGTCATCGTCGAGACCAGCACGGTGGGTAATCTGATCTTCGTCTTCCACGAGATCCAATTCCTCTTTGATAGCTGGGTTGTTTTTGTAGCGATCTTTGCGCACTTGGAAGAGCACCTCGATCATGTATTGCACACGCTTATCGATGTCCGCCTCATGCAAGATGTTTCGGAATTGATCAAACACGGCGAGAGCAATCGGGGCGTTCATCTCCTCCAGATGCTGCCCAACTTCCCGCGTAAGCCCTACAGCGATTTCCACGCTGTCGTCGGTTGGCTTGTGCAAGAGAAGCAGCAAGACCTGGGCTGCCAGCATCTCATGGGCAACCTGCTGATTGCAAAGATGCGCGATGAATGTTGTAGACGAGATACAGACTGCTTTATCGTTTCGCTTAAACGCCTTCCGGAACTGGACAACCAACCTAGACAGCAATAAATCACCGACTTGAGGGAGCTTGGTGTTCACGATCGCTGCCATGGTTGCATAAATAGGCGTGAAGGGCAAACTAGCCGCTTGCGCTTTCATGATTGACCGGCAGAAGAGTCCTCGGCCCCTCACCAAATTTTCACCAAAGAGTTCCGGCACGATGAACTTGATGTTTGAAACGTTGACCTTATTGATAAGACCATTGATCGACTTTTTCAAGGCTTCCCATGCCATGCGCTGATATTCCTTGCTCGTTTTGTCCGTGATTTGGGCTTGCAAGGCACGGAGACGGGCCGGGGGAATATAGGTACCACCCGATCGCATGTTGAGGAGCTTTTCGTATTCTGCCTTAGCAGAAGCCTGCTTTTGCTCCTCGGTCATCGGCTTGCGCGCTGCTTCGCGCTTTTCATGTTCGCGAACGCGCTCGGCGAGTTGTCGCTCCCTGTCATCGACACGCTCGGCATCGCCATTGGGGGCGTTGGAGTCATTCCGACTAGAGTCACCAGGAGGCGATCGACGGCGGTTTGGTGAAGGAGAACGAGACGGAGGCGATCGTTTCCGGGAGGTTGCCGCTGGTGAGCCCGACACGCCTGGAGGAGGCGTGGGGACGCGCACCGCAGACTGAAGAACATCCGAGTCGGACATTTTCAATGGGCAAAGGAGCCTCTGCAGAGGTAAAAAGCAAGTGAGGATACCGAGGTGGGAGTTGTGGATCTCACTGGGGTTGCAAGAAGATTAGTGAAGGGGAAAGCTCATCAGTCACGTGGCTCCCTTTTCTGCCAACTAGCCGGAAGCTCTCCTGATATGCACAGCACTCATTAACGTCGCTCTTTTAGTTCCTTTATCCGTCCCTTGGTCTCGCTATTCACTCTTTGTCAGAATGGTAATCGTTTCAATCGACCCTGATCATTCTTTTGGGCAAGCCCGCTAACGGATGCATAGCTCGGCCAACTCGTGGGATCCGTCATGCTTTTGGTCGCAACCGCGATCTTTCTCTACTACACCGCGTGGACCTTGTTGATGGTACGATACTGCTACATCCAACATGTGGTTTTGGTTCTTACTAATTATTTCTCCGCAGCCCTTCGTCGACCCCGGCCACCCTCTCCATGACATCTTCCCGCCCCGTGTTTGGGCCATCCGCATTCCGGTTATCCTCACCCTCCTGGGCTCTGCGGTGGTTGGCACCTTTATTGGAATCGTGATGATCAACAGCAACAAGAAGAAGGCAGCCAAGGCTAAGGCTGCGGCTAAGAAGAAGACCTGAGCGACTACGGACATTCTCCCAGGAGTAAAGGTATCCTTTTGACAGCACACTGTACCATCAGCCATCAGCCATCAGCCATCCTGCATCTATCCAAACCCTTCAGATAATTAATTTTGTTTCTGTTGCACGACTTCTGCCTCCCAAACTCTGCCAGTTGGTCTCGTACCGGTGCGTTGGGAAAGGACCGTCGCAAGATGATTACTGGATGTGTTGTACGTCAGGCCCTCACGTAGTTTGGCAACTAAGATGCGCGCGGTTCTGGCCAATGACGATCAGATCGCATTTGCCATCCCCACGCTCGTCATGACCCGTGACCACGATGACGAGAGTCTTCAGCCGTTGGCCAACTTTATTCACAATCCAAACAAGAAATGACCGGGCATGACAAGGACTGGCTCGGTTGGACACGGATGGAATGCAAGGAGGCGATGTCAAAAGAGGATCAAAGAACCAGGTGAACATGACTAAGACCCTTATCGGAGATTTGCACTGTTTGTCCATTCCCCTCACCAGCACAAGGGCTATTGTAGCGTCAGGATTGGAGAAACAAAAACACTGTAGGGTAGAAAGAATGTCCCCGGGGCCGAGACTTGGGGAGATCACACTTCCAATCAGAATGACCATCCGAGGGTCATTATCCCAGTATACCCGCTCTCTGACTCAGGTCTCTCCCCCCCCCCCCCCCCCCCCCCCCCCCCCCCCCCCCCCCCCCCCCCCCCCCCCCCCCCCCCCCCCCCCCCCC